GATATGATACAAATACATGTGGACAACATTTTATTTATTTCCTTATCAAGAGATCTCGAGGAATATCAACAGACTGTTTAATTAACAATTACTTTGATGTTGATAACACTGTTAAGAATGATGTGTTCTTCTATAATTTCGTTAAAAATAGATATTCATTGTATTAGAGTTATATTACTAGTTATTGTATGAGCTTAAAAGCTATGTTTTTCAATCATGCTGTTATATATGACTACTTACGACTAATTTCGGTCTCATATCCTATAGCAGATAACATAAAAAATACTAAAAATTTAATCATTAACTATAAAAATATAAAAATATAATCACTTTCTTATTCACATCACTATAGTTTGGCTGATCCTTGTCGTAGTTACTAAAATCAAAGTCAGCATCGTGTCATTTCACAACTCTGTTTACTTGCTCTCATGGTAGGCGAATGCGATAGATAAAACTATCCGTATCCATGTAACACAAATCGGTATGTGGTAAGTGAACCTTTTGTAAAATTGTAGTTAAAGCCATATATCAGGATTTTGCTAATGTCTAGAATGGAGAACCCAACATTGATTGGTTCGTTCAGTCTTACTCTGTCATAGTTCTTTTGAACTAGCATAGTTTCATCATTTAGTCGTGTTTCTCCATAGAACTTTGGTAAACGAGTCATCGTCTCAATATGTTACCGTCTGTACATACTTCGTGTTTGTGCGAACAATCTTCAAACCTCTTCCTTTTTTTCACATTTTCCATCGTCTTCCCGAATGCAGAGGGTTCATCAGCTTAAAGAAAATCCTTCTCGAAATCGTTTCTTATATGTTTTTATTCCTCAGTATTGAAGACTATATATTCTGTTGCATCCAGTCTGCTTGGATCATCCATCCAGTCATACGGGTAGACTCCCTTTCTCTTCAACAACTGAACTACTGACTTTACTTCCTCTCTTTCCTCTGTTGTTTATGTTAGATTAATTGGTCTCCAATTCTTATAGTCGTTCATATCACTCGATAATAGGTACTCTTTCTTATGCTCAGAGTTTGTTGTGAAATGGTGTGAATGTAGACTTTGTACTTCATCGTTTCTGCTTTCTTCATCTTCAGGTCTTGATATGGAGAACTCGAAATGTCATTATCTTTTCTCTAGAGTTTGCGATTACTGATTTCTCTCGTGCTCCTAAAGACAAGGAGTAGTGCAGGAGAAAATGCGCAAAGTAGACTTACGGCGTTAAATCTCTACCTAAACCTATGCTCACTAAATGCACTGAACTGCAAGCGCAATTTTGTTAATATTCTGATTCCCTCAATATCATGGATGTTGTAAATACAATTTTCGTTGAATTCTGCGATGGAAGTAGAGGACCTCGTACTGCTATCAAAAAATTTCCATTCAAAGGGCGCATTGCTTAAGTATGTATTTGAGAACGAGACTGTAGCTGGTTTGTCACGCAGCAGGGATTTCATTGAAGAGATATTCAGGAGACTTTGTATTATTCAGGTTGAAATAATGGCATAAACGCCGATACCATCTTCTGTGGTATAGGGTTTCCCCTTCCCATCCCAACTTATTGTGAAGCCTTCCCTATTTGCACTTCTCCATGCTCCAGAAACAGCCAAGGCTGCAGAATACTGGGTTTGTTAAAGTTTTTCTGTAAAACTTAATCGCATTTCCGGGTCATACCTATGATACAATAGATTAGCATAGTCAAGATGAGGTCTGACGTATAGTTTATATAAAAGATTAAAAACATCTCAAGAGACATAATTTGAAAGATATCGTATCAGACCAATAGCTCTTTTCACCTTTTGGATAGCTGCTCTTACATGGCTTTGGAAATTTAACTTTGAATCCAATATCACTACTAAATGCTTATGTTCAGTCTCTTGTTTAGTTTCGTCGATACTTACCGTTAAAGGGGGGTGGACAATTCTGGCTCTTTTGGTGGAAAATTCGACTTTCTCTGTTTTATCTGCATTAAATTGCATTTTCCACTGCCAAGCTCAAAGCCGTATTTTTTCAAGGTCTCTATTCAATTCATCAGCGCCAACAAGTTCGTTTTCAATCACTGAGAACAATGAAGTATCATCTGCAAAGAGATTGACCTCACAATCTAGATTGTCACAGAGATCATTTATATAAACAAGAAAAAGAAAGGGACCCAGCACAGACCCTTGGGGTACTCCTGCGAGAACATCCTTCCATTCTGAAGTCTTCCCATTCAAGAAAACTCTTTGTTTCCGATTTGTTAAAAAACCCCAGATAAGTGCGAGCATATTACCAGATACTCCATTGCATCTAAGTTTGTGGATAAGTCCTTCATGCCAAACTTTATCAACGGCCTTTGATAGGTCAAGGAGTACTGCACGTGTTTCTTTACTTGGTATATCATGAAACGCGCAATAGATCTTGTGTTATGACTAGCAATTGATTTATGGTGGAGTCACCAGGCCGAAAACCCGATTGGTTCGACGTTAATAACTGGTTTTCACACAAATGATGGTAGATTACATCAAAAAGCTGTTTTCAAATAATTCCGAAAAACTAGACGATAGTTGTCCTTGCATTGCCGACATCCCTTTTTATGAATTGGAACAACACCTGCTTTCTTCCATGATGAAGGATAGATTCCAGTCCCTTTGCACTTGCTTGTCGAAAATCAGACTTAACAGTTCAATGACTGCATCATCACATAACTTAATCATAGCAACAGAAATGTCATCACATCCATGGGATTTGCTGGAATCAAGAACTCGAATCTGGTTTAGTACTTTCCCCCTAATGACGTTTAAGTGCTGCAAAGTTTGGGCAGAACTTGCTACGAAACTGTTTAGTTTACTCGATGTGCCTGCTGGACAACACTGTGCGACAAAGTAGCCATTCAACACAATCGCTTTTGTTTCAAAGTTCATCACAAAAAGCCCATTTTCAAGTAAAGGAGAAAAATTGGGAAGCTTTTTATTACAGTTAGCCTTTTTAGCGAGGACCAGAATGTTTTAGTACCAGTATTAGGGTCGGAGAGTTTACAGTTTACTACCTAATTTTCGGTAGTAATTTTCTTTCGCAATTAGCAAGAGTTTAAGTTGGTAGTGAACAGTTAGTAAATAGATCAAACAAAGTCGGCATCTAAGCAGTTCATTCTCTTCTTATTTCATACACTGTTTTAAAAAATTATAGAAAAAATCGGTAAAAAATGCTTATCTTGACCAAAGTGGCCTAGCCCCCCCCCCCCCTCCAGTGGCGCCGTGCCTGTCTTGAAAATAATTTACAACTTAACTTAGCTTGTGTGGACTCAACCTTGCCCTCATAAACATGTGCATCAGTCATCATTGCATCCAATTGCTATGACAGTTCGGTAAGAAATGCTTTCGTTTTGCTAATAACTGAGCTCTTCCCTGACATACCTGTTCCGTTCGCTTTAATGCAATGTCAGGAAGGGAAGTTCATCGCAAATATGATACTTCCTTTTCAAAATTCCTAAACGACCATTTACAAACTTCAGAGGAGGTGTTTCTGCCTTGCAATAAAATTTTTCTCGGCGCTCTGCAAAATCTAGTATTCTTGAGATGGAAGGGAGTGCTAGACCCCCACACCCCACGGGATTTTCGCCCCTGATCCTAACACTGTATATTTACAAGCATGCACTCGAAATCTGCGTATATTATGAATGGAAATACCATCTTATGTCCACAATTAGCAAATTGTAGCACCGAATGATCCTCAACTGGATAAACTGCTGCTTGAATGCAATTTACTCCTCCACAAAACACACACGATGTTAGACACATTTTAAAATAGAACCGTTGTGCCGTCGTTTGTATTTCTGCACTTTAAGATGTGCTTTTCTTAAAGTTAAAGCACTGCTATTATACTTAACTTATAATTGAGTTTCAGCATTAAGAGACTAAACATTTTCATTATAAGATGAAAACAAAAAGTTCATATTTAATTACATTTCTAAAGTTGTTTTTCGAAAAATTAAGGCTGAAAAATTAATATCCTGATTCGTCTATATTTAATTTCAACTTCCAAACACATGACATGAAATGGTAAGGATTGAAGTTACTCAATGCAAGAATAAAAATTGTATGAATATCATATTCTTATACTAAGGAAAGTGAATGAGAAAATGAATTGCCCTTCAAATCTGAAAAAAAACTTGGTATGTTTCAAATTCATTGAAAATTTTAATGCAGAGTGAAAAAACTAAATCAAACATTCTTAATGGGCGAAGTCAGAAGAACTTGTACTCAACTAGTCTTGATCAAAACTCCTTGCAACTCTTTTTTCAAACTTTTCTAAAAATTTGTAGTTTGTTTCAATTGTAGATATTATTTGGAGACAGGTGTAAATTTGAATGCTTATATAATTTAATGATAAAAACGTGTCATAGTTTAAATATATTATTTTTATAAAAAGTTTATGCTAGTAAAAACATTCACATCAAAAATACTCATACAAATACTGATTCTTTAGAAAATGATAAACTTGATAGAAATAAGCGGAAAGAGCGTGAAAAAGCTCAAAAGAGAGAATTTTACGACAGATCTAAAAGATTAGAGGGACATTGAGAATACAGTTGCTGAAGTTCAACATCATGTTATTTTCAATTAAGATGTTCTGATAAACAATGGACTGAGCCAGAGAAGCAGAAAGTTCGGTTTGGCTTAGATAATTACTTCATCAACGCCCAGTGAAGTTCAAAAGCAACTCACAACTGTCAAATATAATTTTCATTTATTTTGATCCACCTGTAGAATTTTATCTAAAATTTCTGATAAGGTCGCAGCCGGTAATTTTTCCAAAGCAAAGAAAGAGCTCGTACTTTAAGAAGACTTTCCTGCTTTATTCCCTCTTTATTTTTAGAGCTGGACTAAGAACTTGCATCAAAAAGCTTTAGGCAATAAAAATGATACTGTGAATGTGAATGCTATTGTACATTTTTAGAGCCCCATTTATGCGAATTGAGGCGCCGTCATTACGGAGTGTTTTCAAGAACCCTGCGCAGGATTGCCTTCCTAATTCGGTCAGGGGCTCTTGGTCAGGTGAGTTGAGAGCGTCCAGTTTCAAGTTCCACCAGATTATTTCTACGTATTATTCAAAATGCCATCTCCCGTAGAAATATCGTTTCTTTCTGGACTTCGGAAGCCTACAGCCAATGCAAACTGTCTGATTGTTGGTCAACTTGCAAATCTGAAGCGCGTCAAGTTTGATGATATTGCTTGTAAACTCGAGACAAAAGTGGAAAAACAGGTGATTTGATACGGCTTTCTATTTGATGATATGCCTTTTATTCATTTGGAACCCGGGGAGGTACTCAATATACTAAATATGGTACAGAGTAGGGGTCCACGGTCCAAATGCGTCCCTTGAAATCCATCAGGAAAATTGCGAGTGCTGAATCCCCGTTGATTGTGCGTTGTTTTGTTGACGCAGAGGTTTTCTCCTGGACAAACAAATTCCTTGTTTTCAAAATTGATAAACCTTAAAACTACACACCTTTTTGCTGATCCCTCAAATTTAACTATGTTTATAGTTTTAAATTTCCCAAAGCAACAACAATTTTTGACCCTAATGTATGTATGTATAATTTACCAAATTATTTTATTTACAGATTATAAGAGTTAAAAAGATTACAATACAGGTCTGCAAATTAGTAACAAAGATAAACACCCTTAATTTCAGTGGCATGGATAGCATTTAGAGGTCAAGCCGACCCTACTTCTATAATGGTCCCCTTGGAAGTGCTGGTTCAACAGGAAAACAAACAAGGAAAAAAGATGATGCATGAATCTTTGACTGTTATTAGTTACAAATTGGTCCTTAGTTGTATGCCCTCTTCCTTTTTTACTATATATAAGCTATATTTTTACCAAAATAGCTCCAAAAAATATTTCATTCCTGATAATGTAAATTAAGGACCTTTAACAAAATATCTACAAGTAACCCCTTTGATTAAAACAACTCTACTGGAAACAAGAAGTTTATGACCTATAGAAATAATGACAATCAAAGAAAATTCCAATGTTTACAATATTTGACCAGAATCAAAGTTTGATGATGCCAATAGGAGCCTAACCTACCACATCACTATTGGTTTACAGTAAATATATGATTTTTAAATATTTCAGTGTTTTTAAAATGCTTTTTTTCTTTTTGTTTTAGAATTTTGAACATGCATTGAGGTCTTTGGTGCCATCTCCAACAGACAGTGTACAGCTAAGTGGACGTAGCTTTGTATTGTCTTCCCTACCCACCAATGGGAGTAGACACAATGCACCTATGTTCCCACATTCACTGACTCAGCTGATTAGGAACTCATTACAGCATGGTGAAGAAGAAAATGTTCTTGTATGTTTTCAATTTTTATCATCTGTACAAAGTTTTCATTTATCTTGTTTTAATTGCGCATAGTACTGCAACATTAGGATACCACAGGTGCGTAAGACACTTTAACAGAATGCATTCTATAAAGCAGGGACTTATCTCATAACAGAAGATTTGCATGCTTCCAAGCATCCCTTCCTTGTGTGCAATTGTGCTACAATTTTGTAGCTTTTCAGTATGCAATTTTCTGACACAGATAGTCATGAATTGTGTGATATTGAAAAGCAAGAGAAGAACTTGTAAATACAGAAGTTCCTTTGGATGACAATGGGCCTGAAGATATGCTTTGATAAAATGTAAAAAATCTTGGAAAATTGTTTCTTATTGTTACAAGCTGTTCAATATCGCATGTGCACATTTTCAAAAGAATCCATAGTTTACCAGTTGTAAAGTGATGAAAATTTCAAAACAATTTGGCAATCATTAAATTGTTTTCCAATCTGTCTGTAAGTTAAAAGGTACTACGAGGGCCATTCAAAAAGTTTCCAGATATAAGAAATCTGTTATAAAGAAATGTACGTTTCTGCTAAAAATGAAATCATGTATCTATAAATAACGTATTTTGGAAGTTTTGTTTACATAGCTTGAAAAACATGAACACAGCTGAGTTTTAAATGTGAATAGCTCGATGTAATCACTATTCAGTCATGGAGCTCCAACGCACTCAATGGCGGGCTATGATTTTTATGACTTTAAAAGTGGGTTAAATCAAAAGCAAAGCCTTGAACGACTTCAGGCTGCCTTTGGAAATGAAGCACCTTCAAGGACAACTGTTTACGACTGGTTTGCGGAATTTCGAAGGGGCAGGAACTCTTTGGAAGATGACCCCCGCTCTGGGCGTCCAACAACAGCAACAACAGAAACCAAAATGTCTGCCGTACGTAGAATGATAGAGGAAGATTCCAGAGTAACGGTCCTACAAATTGCTGAAAGTGTTGGAATATCATCGGGAAGTGTTAGCAACATCCTACATGATGTTCTTGGACTCAGTAAAGTTTCTGCAAGATGGGTGCCACACATGCTGACAGATGAGCAAAAATGCAAGAGGGTGCAATGGTGCCGCAAAATGATCGAAAGATTTGACAGAGGGAGGTCAAACGCTGTTTGGGAGATCGTCAGTGGGGATGAAACTTGGATTTACAGTTTTGACCCAGAAACAAAACAGCAGTCTCAGCAATGGACCCCAGTTGGACAAAAGCCTCCGCAGAAATTTGCCCGCTGCCGCACCGTCGCCAAACAGATGATCGCAGTTTTTGTCTCTCGTGTGGGCCATGTGGCAACCATTCCACTTGTAACGCAGCGAACAGTTACTGCTGCCTGGTATGTGCGAGACTGCCTTCCTTGTGTTCTTGCTGCAGTTGCTGAAAGGTGCCCAAGAACTTGACACCGTGGGCTGCTGCTGCATCATGACAACGCTGCAGCGCACAGAGCAAACGCTACACAGGAATTCCTGCAAATGGAGAAAGTACCACAGCTAGATCATCCACCTTACAGTCCAGACCTGGCTCCCTGTGACTTCTTTGTGTTCCCTTTTATCAAGTCGAAGCTCCGTGGGGTGAGGTTTGACACCCCTGATCTTGCAGTAGAGGCATTTTTGGAGCACACCCAGGCTATACCACAAACCGAGTGGGCTAACATGTTCCACAAATGGTTCCAGCGCATGGAAAAGTGCATAGATAATGCTGGAGAGTACTTTGAAAAAATATAGATAAAACTGTTTAGTTGGTATTGCCGCGTATTAGTATAACCGGAAACTTTTTGAATGCCCCTCGTACTTGAGTACACAGAAGCTGTGTTCATTTTTTCTTGTGGTCTTTTCGACCTATCTTCAACTAGGTGAGAAGTTAGCAGTCAAATTTTGTTGAAAAATGAAAACACGCAAATGTTTATGTCTTCCTCTTGCAGTTTGGATCCACACTTAAGCCCTGGTCAAACCATCAAACATTTCACCCCAACATTTTGCCCAACATTTTTCTTTTATGTTGGAATGTGATCCAATGCTGGTGGTCAAGTGATCCAGCATTTCACCCAACATTTCACCCAACATTTCACCCAATATTTTCCCATGCAGATCGAAAAAGGACTAGGTGGAAGGTCGTATTGAAGGCTGCACAGTTTTGCGACATTTTGATTCGAAAAAAAACAAAAGGCAATCGCCGCACTTTCTATTTATTTTCTCTTCAGATATTTCCACTACCATTGTAGTTTTTCAAGACAAATGTGGCATTCCCTATCAAGTCCTTGGCCTAAATTTGTTCCCTTGTGCTTTCTTGTAGCTCCTCTCTGCTACAGGCTCCTCATTGATGCTTTACGCTTCTTCTTTCCTACAGAATTTGTCATATTTCATTATATTGTCCATAATTAAAGTGTTACTGATTGTAAGCAAATGTGATTGTTGAAACAAATGAAACCAGCCTGTGAATGCTATGATTGAATTTTGGTGCTCTTTAACCAGCTGCGCGTGCACAGAGCCAACAATACTGGCTGCGTTGGGCAAACGATTCCAACATTTTATCTAACGCTTCAAAACAATTGATTTCAGCTAATTTTGTCATCCCTGATTTAAGACAGCAATGAAACCCAACTAAGGATTATTTGCAAACTAATTGGAGCAGTGTTGCATGGATGAGAAAAAAAGCTGGCAGCAAGCCAGCTTGAAAGGCTATATGTTTGAATTACTTTAGAAAAAAAAATGAGCAAGATCACTTACAAAAGGCAAGATGGTAATTCAAACATTTCAAGACAAACAAACAAAATATGTGTGGAAGATTAGCTGCATTTCTTGCTAATAATAATCCCATAGTTTCCCAGGTGAAACAAATTTAACAGCTCTGGGATGCTTTAACTAACCCTGCTAACCCTTATTTTTGTAAGCCCCCTGGGTCTCTGCAAAGAAATGTTAAGATTTGAATCACTAGCATGATAAAGCCCTGTATGTATTATGTTGAGAAATGATTATTATTTATATTTTAATTGAGAATATTACTTCCAAAGAATTGGAATTTTTTTCTCATGGCATGTCATCTGTTTTCATTTTTGTATTATTCTTCTTCAGTTTGGTTGTTTCTGTCTTTTTTATTGTCTTAATTTGCTTGATCCCTTTTTGGAATTTTTTTATGCATGAATGAATATATGAATAAATGCATTAAAACATCCCTATGATTGATATATACTAGTGTCTGGCACTCTCACTTTTTACCCTACTGTTTCACTTTTTACCTAGAGGCCCTTATTCTTATGTTTGATAAACCCAATTTATAGTAACAAAAATTCACAAGTGGTATAAAGATCCATATATAAGCAATCAAGAGACTATTTGCTTTGAAGCATGTCTAAAGGCATTTTGCATTTTCATTATAGATAATTTGTGAAAGACGTGATTGCTTTGCACTGGCAATGGCCATACCTAGAGCATATCCTCTGTACAGCAGGAAAACAGCGAAGAATCCAAATAGAATAGAACAACAGAGAAAGCTGACAATAGAATTTTTCTTTGTTGGTGATGATAATGCCCCTTTAGACCAAATTGAAGTAGATTTTTTAAATGCGGCAGCTGATTCTGTAAGACTGGCTGCAAGAATTGTTGATGCCCCGTGCAGTGATATGAATACACTTGCATTCTTAGAGGTATGTCTCTTGATTATGTTGCTTCCTTTTAGAAGTAGTTTCTTTTTTCTTGTTGAAAATACTATCTTATTGAAAATACTTCATTGATATCTTCCTATTTATCTTTATTCCAAAGAGGGGGATTTCCACAAACATTCAAATTATTGTTAAGGGTATTGTGCAACATAGAGAGTCTTCAGTGACTTTAGAAACGTTACAAAGTTTCAATTTTATTTAGCAAATTTAAAGAAAACCAGACAGAAATAGCTTTTACAAATGAAAACGAAAAGCACCCACTTTTAGAATGGTGCGCGGTGCCTGGTTCACATTACTCCGTTTTCGCACGAAATCTGAGCTGAGTGGAACCGATTTTATTTTGCATTCCAATGAATACGCTTGAAAACGAAGTCGTTTGATAGTAATGTTCAATATTGTCAATCGAAAACAGAGTGATATGAAAACGAATCATTTTAATAGGAACAGCGTAAAAGAAGTCATTCGAGAACGAACCCATTTCAGCACAAAGCATTTTAATGAGGAAAGTGAAAACGGAGTCATTTAGAAACAAATTCTTTCATCTTCAATTTCAAAATGAGCTCGAACAAAGGATAGGAAAACGGACAACAACAAAGCAATAGGAACACCTTCGTTTTTGTTTTAACCAAACCAAAACGGCGTGGACCAGAGCAATGGGAACGGCTCAACAAAATAGAGAAACGGAATGATTGAGAAATGTCAACATATGGAACGGAGTAATGGAAACAGGGATTTGATATCAAATTTTCCGTTTAAAAAAGATTGAATTGGCCTATCAGCATGCGGTAGTCACATTCTTCAAGTGAAATGTTTATCCCTAGACGCAATATTTATCGCTCGCACGCAATCGTTTGCCCCCCTTAAAGCCCTGCCTTTGTAGGTCTTCTGAAAACTGTTATCACAAGACGTTGCATTTATCTGATTTTATAGCTATTTTGCAAAGATTTGAAAAAATTGACCCCTGTTAAGATTCTGTCAGTATTTGACTGAACATGGCTCAAAATTTGTAGAGCATTGTCAGTGATATTCTGTTGGAGATGTTAAACAATCTTAATGTTTTCAATCAGCATTTTAGCTACCAAGATAATAAGTAAAACCCAATGCTTTGTTTATCAATTTGCTGTCAAAACTAAGTCAAGCACCCTTGGTCAGCCTGCATGCAGACTTTAAAAATAGAGGAAGATGTAAAGTCTGCGTAAAAAAAGTCTTTGTCTTTGAAGCCAATGAGATGTCTTTTCCAATTTTAAGGAACAAATCATAACGCTTCCTTTGTCATCGTTTGCCCTTGCGGATTTCTTTGCATTCTAGTAATTGAATCATTTTGATGTCAAATTATGATTTTTTTAACTATAAAACAATATGTACTATAAAACAATTTGACTGTTTCTAGGAAGTGAAGGCTGTTGGAGCTGAACTGAGTATTGAACCAATGATTATCAAAGGAGAAGACCTGGAAAAACGAGGCTTTGGAGGTAACTTTTTCAATTTTTGTTATTTGGAAAAAATGTTAGAAACACCATGGATCAGCGTAGCTTGCTTCTCGTGGTACTAGAGAGCTAGGGAATTTTTCAATGCCCAATAAATCTGGCCCAAAAAATCTAGACTGGGGTAAATTACCCACAAAATGACATACCATTGAATCGTCAAAAGGTTGTGAAACCATTAGTTTTTTGAATTAGAATTTCTAGAGCAAGGGCAGATTTTTATCTGGAGGCACTGGTATTAGATGCAAGAAATATAGCAAACTTCTTAAGCTTCTAATTTTTGTTTATGAAGATACCTTTGATCTTTTTCCTTTGATTATTTATTACTGTATTAAGAATTGATATTAATTTCAGTACTTGACCTTAAAAGATCATACTAATATTAGACTAACAAGATGCTACAGAACTATGAATCTTGTTCAGGTATTTATGGAGTTGGAAAGGCTGCCTTGTGTCCTCCTGCATTGGCAGTTCTCAGTCACAAACCAGAAAATGCTACCAAAAATATTGCCTGGGTCGGTAAAGGCATCGTTTATGATACTGGTGGCTTGTCAATTAAAGATAAGGTAAGAATGCATAACCAGTTTTATTTTGTCACAAAGCGCAGTGGGTCAATGTTAAGGCTGACATTCTTAGTGGGTTGATTCACAACTAGTGCTCACTTCAAGAGATGCCTTTTAGCATAAGTGTTACTCCTGATTGCATTCCTGGTGTTTAAAAATTTGATTGACTTTCTGAATTCAACTGGAGTATCTTCACAACACAGTCAGCTGTAAGTCATAGTTGCCTTTTTGGCTGTTTTAAGCTTATTATGAAGGTGATTCCCTTCCTTAACTATTCCATTATATTTCGAACACATGTCATTGTCTCATCTCTATGTTTTTAGATAGGAAGTCTCTTATCATTGCCTACTTAATCAGTATACTTCATTAATGAACAAGATAACATAAACCCAAGAATGGAGCCTTGGGGTATTCGCTATTTTCATTATTTTCAAGCGCTCATTTCTCGGAAGACAAGGCTACATTTCTATTATTTAAGGCTGTTTTCTAATCATTTGTTTGAAATGACGAGAGATGTGCCAATGCACATTAGGGCAAAAGCTTGTAGCAATATTTACATCTCTCCCAGAGAAACCCTAAATTTCCATTCAACGAAATTCATCTCTGGGAAACCCAGTCGAGTCTGCGCGTAGGCTACATCTCATGGCGCTTCACAGCAGCTAATCAAAACTTAAAGCACCATGCATGTACACATACAATAGAAAATATTATGCAATGGGAGAATAATTCATTATTTCAACTGTGCATGCGCATATGATGGAAAATTTCAACGGACCTTCAAACAAATACTGGTTTGCTTCCCCAACAATCAGATAGTTTGAACTGAAAGCTGAAGGTAGATTCTGATGATGGTATTAGAAGATGGGCTAATTTATGCATATATTTTATTTTAGGTTCATATGCCTGGAATGAAGAGGGACTGCGGAGGAGCCGCTGGTGTTCTTGGCGCTTTCAAGGCAGCAGTCAAAGCGGTATGCTCTTAAAAGGTTTTTCCGAATGCTTGTCATAAGATATCGTCATCAAATTGTTTTTAAAATATACTAGCATTTCTGGCCGTGCTCACTTTCCAGATGACATTTTTTCCTTTTATTTTCTAGGGGTTTTCAGAAAATCTTCATTGCATTGTTTGCCTAGCAGAAAATGCTGTTGGTCCAATGGCAACAAGACCAGACGATATCCACACATTTTACTCGGGAAAGTATGCGAAAAACACATTCAGAGAAATATTTAGAATAGCTACTTCTATAACCATGCAAAAATTATCCAATGCACAATTTCGAATTTATTGCGGAAACAGAGATAGTCTACTGTGCACTGAATCCTGTCCCTCTTTTGATATTTTGCGTCGTCTTTGAAACCTATCTCACTCAAAATGGTAGTTTTTTTATTTCATTTATTCACTTGCTGTGCGAGTCATTCACTGGCTATTGAACAAGATCTTAAATGGCTACAACCCATAAGACTTTTGTGTAATATGCCATACTTGATCATTGGTTGTGCGTTTTTTGTGCGCATTGAAGCGATCAATCTTTAACTGGCAAAATTGTACAGCCGAATAATGCACTCTTCCTCCTTTCAATCCTCTTGCATCTTTGTTTGATATTTTTATTAAAAATAGAAACGAAACTTCACAATGTTTTGGAACTAACGTAACCCATGGATTCATTACAGAACTGTCGAGATTAATAACACAGACGCAGAAGGGCGACTTGTTCTTGCTGATGGGGTAAGTGCAATCATTATTACGGTTGAAATTTCATTCTGCATCGATTTTATTAATTGCTCTTTAATTGCTCTTTTAATTGCAGGATATGCTTTGTGGTTCTCATAAAGCCTTTTTCCATAGGTTGCCTATGCATCTAAGGACTTAGGCTGTGACATTATTGTAGACATGGCAACGTTGACTGGGGCTCAGGGCGTCTCAACAGGTCATTACCATGGAGCCATTGTGACTAATAATGAACAATATGAGACATCTTGTGTCCAGGCTGGAAGATGGTCTGGTGATCTGACGGTTTGTTATCACTCTTATTAGGTTTTGTTTCGCTTGTTTTGCACATATTTCATATTTCACTCTGATTCTTCACTTTAATTCTTCACTTTGATTCTTTTCTTTGATTCTTTGTTTTGATTCTTCACTTTAATTCTTCACTTTGATTCTTCGTTTTGATTTTTCACTTTGATTCTTCACTTTGATTCTTCACTTTGATCCTTCACTTTGATTCTTCACTTTGATTCTTCGTTTTGATTCTTCACTTTGATTCTTCACTTTGATTCTTCACTTTGATTCTTCATTTTGATTCTTCACTTTGATTCTTCACTTTGATTCTTCACTTTGATTCTTCACGTTGATTCTTCTCTTTGATTCTTCTCTTTGATTCTTCATTTTGATTCTTCGTTTTGATTCTTCACTCTGATTCTTCACTTTGATTCTTCGTTTTGATTCTTCACTCTGATTCTTCACTTTGATTCTTCTCTTTGATTCTTCTCTTTGATTCTTCGTTTTCATTCTTCACTTTTATTCTTCACTTTGATTCTTCACTTTGATTCTTCACTTTGATTCTCCACTTTGATTCTTCACTTTGATTCTTCACTTTGATTCTTCACTTTGATTCTTCACTTTGATTCTTCTCTTTGATTCTTCTCTTTGATTCTTCGTTTTGATTCTTCACTTTTATTCTTCACTTTGATTCTTCACTTTGATTCTTCACTTTGATTCTTCTCTTTGATTCTTCTCTTTGATTCTTCATTTTGATTCTTCGTTTTGATTCTTCACTCTGATTCTTCACTTTGATTCTTCGTTTTGATTCTTCACTCTGATTCTTCACTATTTTTTGGGGGGGGTTTTTTTTTTTTTTTTTTTTTTTTTGGGGGTTTTTTTTTTTTTTTTTTTTTTTTTTTTTGGGAGGTTTTTTTTTTTTTTTTGATTCTTCTCTTGATTCTTCTCTTTGATTCTCGTTTTCATTCTTCACTTTTCTTCACTTGATTCTTCACTTTGATTCTTCACTTTTGATTCTCCACTTTGAATTCTTCACTTTGATTCTTCCTTTGATTCTTCACTTTGATCTTCACTTTTGATTCTTCTCTTTGATTTTCTCTTTGATTCTTCATTTTGATTCTTTTCACTTTTATTCTTCACTTTGATTCCTTCACTTGATTCTTCACATTTGATTCTTCACTTTGATTCTTCACTTTGATTCTTCACTTGATTCTTCGTTTTGATTCTTCACTTTGAATTCTCACTTTGATTCTTCGTTTTGATTCTCACTTTAATTCTTCACTTTGATTCTTTTCTTGATTTCTTCGTTTTGATTCTTTCAACTTTGATCCTTCACTTTAAATTCTTCACTTTGATTTTTCACTTAAATTCTTCACTTTGATTCCTTTCCTTGATTCTTCGTTTGAATTCTCACTTTTATTCTTCACTTTTGATTTTCACTTTGATTCTTCACTTTGATTCTTCACTTTGATTCTTCACTTTGATTCTTCACTTTGATTCTTCGTTTTGATTCTTCACTTTGATTCTTCACTTTGATTCTTCACTTTGATTCTTCACTTTAATTCTTCACTTTGATTCTTTTCTTTGATTCTTTGTTTTGATTCTTCACTTTAATTCTTCACTTTGATTCTTCGTTTTGATTCTTCACTTTAATTCTTCACTTTGATTCTTCACTTTGATTCTTCTCTTTGATTCTTCACTTTGATTCTTCACTTTGATTCTTCACTTTAATTCTTCACTTTAATTCTTCACTTTGATTCTTCACTTTGATTCTTCGTTTTGATTCTTCACTCTGATTCTTCACTTTGATTCTTCACTTTGATTCTTCACTTTGATTCTTCACTTTAATTCTTCACTTTGATTCTTCACTTTGATTCTTCACTTTGATTCTTCGTTTTGATTCTTCACTTTGATTCTTCACTCTGATTCTTCACTTTGATTCTTCACTTTGATTCTTCACTTTAATTCTTCACTTTGATTCTTCACTTTGATTCTTCACTTTAATTCTTCACTTTGATTCTTCACTTTGATTCTTCACTTTGATTCTTCACTTTGATTCTTCACTTTGATTCTTCACTTTGATTCTTCACTTTGATTCTTCACTTTGATTCTTCACTTTGATTCTTCGTTTTGATTCTTCACTTTGATTCTTCACTTTGATTCTTCACTTTGATTCTTCACTTTGATTCTTCACTTTGATTCTTCACTTTGATTCTTCGTTTTGATTCTTCACTTTGATTCTTCACTTTGATTCTTCACTTTGATTCTTCACTTTAATTCTTCACTTTGATTCTTTTCTTTGATTCTTTGTTTTGATTCTTCACTTTAATTCTTCACTTTAATTCTTCACTTTGATTTCTTCACTTTGATTCTCTCTTGATTCTTCACTTTGATTCTTCCCTTTGGATTCTTCACTTTAAATTCTTTCACTTTAATTCTTCTACTTTGATTCTTCAACTTTGATTCTTCGTTTGAATTCTTCACTCTGATTCTCACTTTGATTCTTCACTTTGATTCTTCACTTTGATTCCTTCACTTTAATTCTTCACTTTGATTCTTCACTTTGATTCTTCTCTTTGATTCTTCACTTTGATTCTTCACTTTGATTCTTCACTTTAATTCTTCACTTTGATTCTTCACTTTGATTCTTCGTTTTGATTCTTCACTCTGATTCTTCACTTTGATTCTTCGTCTTGATTCTTCACTCTGATTCTTCACCTTAATTCTTCTCTTTGATTCTTTACTTTCATTTTTCACTTTGTTTCTTCACTCTGATTCTTCACTTTGATCTTTCACTTTGTTTCTTCACTTTGATTCTTCATTTCATGATTCATTAATTCCTTTCACTGTTTATTTTATCGTTATAAAATCAAGATAAATCTCAATTTTGCTTCGTTTTATTTGTTATTTCTTGATTTTTGCGATAAGATTGAAATGTATGCAAATAATGACATTGTATTTCTTTGTCTTTGTCTTAAAGCCACCGTTGTTTTTTTTACTTCTAGCATCCGTTGCCATTTTGTCCCGAAATGCATTTCTCTGAATTTAATAGTTCTGTTGCTGATATGAAGAATTCAGTCAAGGTAAGTCTCGAGGCTTATTTCAAATATTTCACGGGCAAAAACAGTTCAATATTATGTAAAAAGTCAGAACCTCATTTAAGGCATCTTCAGGGCTTTTAATTTTTTTTCTTAAATGTTTTGCTCTATTTGTTTTTTGAGAATGACTTATCGAAGTTCTGTTCTCTCTTCCAGGATCGTGGCAACGCCCAGAGTTCCTGTGCTGGTCTTTTTATCTGTAAGTGCATTCATCTTCAGATTTATTTAAACTCATATTTAGCAAAATCTCCTTCTGTAAATATTACTCAGATTTAGGAAATAGAAAGACGATACTGTTATACTTTCCACTTCCAGCATCGTTTTATAAATAAACATGTTTCCAGCGATTGGTTGACTTCAAGACAAATTGAATTCCTATTTTTTGCCTACATTTGTTCTCAAAATTTTCAGAACTTCTTTCTGAGCTTGTATAAAGTTTCATGAGAATTCCCGTATGCTACAAATTTATTTGTGCAACTTCTACGAGCGTTATCTTTATACTATTTGCCCTTAATTTCACATATTTTTTCAGTTGCCCACCTGGGATTTGATTTTCCTGGTGTATGGCTGCATATTGACATGGCAAGCCCAGTTCATCGGGTAAGTTTGAGTCACTTCAAAATGTAAAGTGTAATTCGAAATAACATATCGCCTTTTATTGTTCAATGAGAACATTCTATGTAACCTGTCAATTCTAATGTAGTTTTCATTAGGATATTGAAATACCATAATTTAAAAAAACCAGAGCAATCAAATTCTAGGAATAGCAAATACGAAAAAAAGATCAATAGATAAATGAACGTGTTAAGACAGTCTTTAGATTGCGTTTGCGTCAAGTTTATAGAATGTGGTAGGCAAAACAGGGTATTCCATGCGCTGAAGAATTTTTTTTCTAAGAATATCGACGTTTCTATTTGATTTCAAAGCTAGAAAAAATCTTTTAGTTTAGCAAGGCTGATAATGTAGCTTTTAAACTCTTATGTTTGCAGGGTGAACGGGCAACAGGATATGGTGTAGCATTGCTGGCAACTTTGTTTGGAAAATTTTCAAAGAGCAGACTGTTGCAAAGCATCGCCCCTGAACTCTAGTAAAGATTCTAATTACTGTTAGCCCCTGTTAACTTAGACATTTGCTAAAAATATTTTGTAATGATCATATTGCAATTTAAAATTTCCTCTGAGGATTTTTGATCCAGGATTTTTTATTTAGAATTTGTATCTGCATTTTCAGCGAAGAATGCATGAATCCCTTTGATATCTTTACGAATGCGTTTCTCATCAGTTAAATGATTGATCTGAACACCGATCTAGGTAACTAGATAATTCTGTTTTTGTATCTTGCAATGGACTAGAAGAAAATCGTTTCTCAAAAACGCAAGAACGTTTGCTTCTCAATGCCTCATCTTATCTCCACGCTTGTACTTGTACGTCCTTTTTATAGAAACACGCCAGGCTCAAAGTTCCGTAACATTTTGTTGATTTGAGCCTCAAATGTTTTTTTAAATGTGTCTTTAGAAAATACTCTTGTTTTAGCGTACCAGGTGCAGAAAGTCTGTAGCTGTAGCTTCGAGATTTTATTTCTGTGCTTTTAAAAGCAGTAGCATACAACGAAGCAGTGGCGGGAATAATAGGGGCATGAGGGGCTCAGCCCCCCCCCCCCCAATCAGCGTTCTCGTCGGAAAATTCACGCTTTCGTCGGAAACTTGACGAACTTTTAACGTGTCGAAAGCCCATTCAAGACAAATCTAGTTTTAAGGTGCAGTGCTAACCCCTTTGTGCAGCAATAAAACCTTTTTGTGCAGTGATAAACAGTAAAAGTATGCAGTGTTGAAAATTTATTTTGTAGTCAAAGCGAGGAAATTTTCCGTATTTTTCACAAACTTTGATAGCCTAAACTTACCTAGGGCAACAAAGAGAGTGGACAGGGGTGATCAAATTTCCTAGGGCCTCAAGGTGTCAGGAAACTCTTAAGGTAAAGAAGTCAGTTTAAAGAAGTATGGCTAAAAATGCTTAACTATTTTAAACGAAAGATAATGACTGCAAAAAAAATTCTGAAATATATTTTAAGCTAACATAAAGGGCGTATTTGCGAAGCTTTTCTGCTCGCTTCGCCCGCAGGGGATCTGCGTTTTCCCGTTCTGGGTCCTCTTTAACCTCTATGTGCCCTTCAACAAACCAGATGCAATATTTTTCAGTACTAAATAATCAACAAACTATATGTGATAATATCAAATCTGCTTGCGAAATTTATATGTAATTTCAATTTCGTAAAGAAGAGCTGAATTGTCCATCGAATTCTTCCAAACAAAAGTTTTTTTCAAATATATTTCCCACTGAAGAAAAAATGAAACTGGGCATAAAAAAAAGAAGAAAAAAAAAGAAAAAAAAGATCAAAAACAGAAAATGAACTAGTTACAATTAGTTAAAATTTTGTTGTTGTCATGAATGACTTGTCAATAGTGTAATCGGTCGACCTTTTGTACACCAATTTTCTTAGATGTGATATCAGTCATGGTATCAAAAATCATGAATGGATTGTTCTTCCAGCTACTAAATTAAAGGGCGTGGTCAGCAAAGATTTCATAAGGGTTATGCCCAAAGACCACCTATATTCATCAAAATGTACAGTGATAATTTTTTTCTTTAGGCAAGCGGCACTGATTGGTCAACCTATACAGTCATGTGCTCGTGTTTCTGATTGGCTTATTTCGATCCATAACTGGGTATATATATTTCTTAGCGTACAGTTTTCGATCTATGTTCTGACGTTTTAAACTCTGAAGAGTGTCAGACGAAAAGCTTTAGTTTACTAAATGTTTGCTTTTTTCAAAGCCATTTACAAGTTTTGTACCACCAAAAGATTGTTAGAAACTACACTGAGACATCATAGCCTGCCTTACACTGAGACATCATAGAGAAAAGAGGGCTACGAAGCTGCTGCTATCATATCATATCAGTCCCTTTAAGGGAATTCAACTCTTTGTATAATTGATTTACATCATATGGGTTCGCATCATATGCGACCCAGCAAAAGCAAAGCTTATCGAACCTATGCTGCTACAATTGTTGTATTTTAAGAAAACGACTAAACTACTTACAATCTAAAAGCAGCATAGCAAATCTAACGATACAGGATAATTCTAACCGATAACTTATTCAAATTATAACTATAGTTATAATGTGGTTTCAAATTGAGTTTTTCTTTTGCGGCATGTTAACAAAAGACAGACGTTTCATAGATTGGAACGACGCGATAATTATTGTTGCTTTGCTAAATTTTGAAAATTGAGAAGACTATAACGATTCAGGCAAAATGCCTTTATAAACTGTCAAGTTGTACCGGTTATTCTTCAATGTTGCCATGAACGTTTATCTTTCTGCAGATCACTCCACAAATGAGCTTCTGCAGATTATTCCTCCAATCATACACACCTTATTCCCCAGTTTTGGAGAATTTAGTCACCTAATTTTTAGTTTATCTTTTGAAATTGGTAATTTTTTTCGATAGCGTATATCATAATCCTACTTCATTTGAAAAGAAAAGATTTTGAAACGTTTAAGGAAAGCATGGACATTGTAATGGGCACAAGGGAAGGTGCATATCATTTTAAACTTTAGTTTCAGAGAGCATCCCCTACTTATTCAGAGCACAGCAGTGTTCGTTAAATCAATGACTTGATAACGGGCTACGCTTGAAACGTCGTTATTCATTAATCAATTTTTTCCTGGTACAATTTACTTACATTCATCGTTATTATATTCCTTAAATCAACATTCAACCGAATATTTCAGTATAGAATTTTTGGTCTCTCTTTCGAAGTGGTCAGTTGCTCGCTGGATAATTCCTAGTGCCATATCTGATGATCGTATGTATGTCCACTATCATCGTTGATGTTGAATAAGCAACAGCTAATTGTAAAATATTATTAAAATTACAATTATATAAACTAACAGAAATGAACTAAATGTATGTAAAAACATAGCTGAAATCTAAATTTTCCCATTTTCAAGAAAAGTTAACATTTTAAAAACTTAAATCATTTTCTAAAACATGTATCTAAAAAACTTTCTAAATTCATCTAGGATGTCGCATTGAAATTTACAGACATTTAGTCTACAGAAAAATCAGCTAAAAAAGGTTTTCAAATGGTATAGCAAAAAATTCTTTACCATTTCTTCTCATCTTTGCTCATTTAAACAATGTTAAGTCAACCCTACATGTTAGTTCTATGGCCATTTTATATGAATAACAGCAAAGGACTATAAGAAGATAAAATTTTGCTCTTTTATGAAAATTATTTTATGAATAGCAAAAGTAAATAGAACAAAGGAGTAAGTTATCAAATTTAAATGGTGACAAATTATACCAAATTGCAATGTTTTGATAACTATGACGTCACACGTTGAGACGAGATAGTTAGTGGAAAAAAGTAGATTAAATGTAATTTTTAAAGATTTGAGCAGCTCAAATTTTGTTTTATCAAATAACATGCCATTATTCTTTTCTCAATTCATTGCCGAGAGAGATGTTTAATAATTGGTTCATTCATGAGCCATAAGTGTATTCAGACGAAACATTTGTTGCGAAGTCAATTCCAAATAAACAAGATTTCTGATATCTTCCAGAAAGCCAGTTTGCAAGCCTTGTTGAATGGACAATGGTGACGATTCACATCGAGCACTCCTGAACTTCTCGCCTTTATTACGTTTTCAAGGAATATTTCAAATATCTTCGGCAGTGGCGATTCTAGCCTTAAAAATCTGGGGGGGGGGGCTAACTGGGGGCCAAACTTTCAGTTATAGGAGCCAACGCTAGCTATTACTTTGGGCACTAGTAGAATGTAAAGCAGTGGCGTGGTGGCACAAAATTAGCTAGCTACAAGGCACCGGTTCTTAGCTCCCCATAGATAAGTATGTCCTTGGTACAGCTCCAGACCCGGCTTCAGGAAATTTTTTTGGGGGGTTCAAGTGTTTATCTACCGTGTACATTTTGGCAGCATTACACTTCGTTAATGCAATCAGAATATTTTAGCATTGTTAATATTTAAATTTCAGCTATTTCAAAGCAACTTCAGCTGTAAAACTATTTGTTTTATGAAAGTTTTAAAATTAGCTTTTGTGGTTACGTAGTTTATTCAACCTTTAGAAACACTGAATAGAACTCTTCTGTTCTTCAACTGGACCCACTTCTTGATAACAGATAAGTTCTGTGAAAAGTATTTCTCGCACGAAATTAGCGCAAGAGATGTAGACGACCTGGAGCATTATACTTTGCAGTTTCAGAGACGGGGCCACAAAATTTTTTTGAAATTATGCCTTCTAGAATGGCTAAAAACGCATCTCCCAGGCTAAAATTGTTTCTGCCTTTGTCAAATTGTCTTCTCTGATGTTCCTAAAAATTCTTTTCTAGATCAACGGAAAAACTGAACTGCAGAACTTTTCAATATCTTTGAATGTTTTTAAAAATTACACGAAGGACAATTTTCTACAATAAAGATTATCTACCGATCAAAATCCCAATTTTACCGACTATTCAACTAAAACGCAAATGCCTATTCTTTGGGGGGGGGGTGTTACACCCCTCCTCACCCCCACGGGACCGGCCCTGTACAGCTCTATCAAGGCTGTTATCATTGTGCCAAATAGTTTTATTAGTGGTGCAAGGAGAAGCTGTCCTCTAGGAAAAATAACAAAGAAAAATTGTTGCTGGGGGCCCCTAAAGTTTCGGGACCGTTTGTTATTTGACTAAAAGTAACTTTGTTCTGTTACTCAACGGAGTTTTATCTGTTCAACAATAATGCATCATGATCATGGTTTTCAACAGAAGAACTAAACTTCTAACAAATAAAAGTCTAATAGCTTTGTGAGGTTGATTGGTAAAATTTTTCCATTGTAGTTATGTCTTATATCCAACCTTCATGAGATCAAGCAAATCATTCTGTTACACAGAATTTCAAGTCATACAATTTCGATAAGCAATAGTAGATTGCCAAGGTATACTGGGATGGTATTTGGCTGACCCTGCACACCCCATTGCAAGAAGGTGGATCTTCATGATAATATATAGCAAATATAGAATTTAAATGATTGTCAAGAATGAGTTTTTCTTGGTAACTACGGAACTCTTGGTAACTTATTAAAAAGGAGCCAAAATTTCATAAATGTCCACCTCGGTTACAAACCAAAACGCTTATCAGGGCCCCTAGTTTGTTAAATAAATGCAATAAAGATAGCATTGAGGAAAATAAAGAGAGAAACACTAACAAAGTGAAAAAACGATTGAACAGCTTCGACAGAAAACATTGAATTTTTAATAGAAAAATATAAGGCAATTTATGTTAAGTCCAAAAGACCGTGGCCCTCCTTGCCCCCCCCCCCCCTCCCGTAGAATCGCCACCGATCTTCGGGTGATTTTCGTGAGATATTCATCAGATTTAAATAAACAACGAAAATCTGAGCGTTATGTACAGGGATAACTTGTACTTGGTCTGCTGTTGTTCAAACTTGTTTGGTTGCGAGGTTGCTGCTTTCCTCTGGTGGTATGATGTCGATTGTGTTGTCAATTTAGTTCAAAAATATGGCAGAAGAGGAAATACTTGCTGTTGGAAGGTAGGATGACTTTGATCTATGTATAAGTATCAGTTTATCGTAAATACTCCCTTAGATTTAGTTCGTCTCATAAAGAGAGTCTTTTCAGCCGCTGCTGGCAGTGAAAACGACAACGTTTTTTCTATGACATGACAGAGGCAACGCAAACAGCGAAAACTAATTTTGAATAAACGGAAAAGTTGATACTACAAAAAGGGACTGCTTTAAATATGACCGTTTAAATATGAATTGAGAGGTTTCGGGTAGAAGAATTTATGTTTGTCAAATATCAGCCTCGGTTAAAAGGCTTGCGTTTGCAAATAATCATAATGAAGAGATTTGTGTACAAGAATGTGATAACAGGGGAACTGATTTGAAATATGTAAATAAATGTATTTAAATATATGTGTTGAATAGGTCTTTTTGACTTAACATGAGTTGCCTTATATTTTTAAGCATAATATTCCTACCTTTTGCAAATTTTTACCAAGCCTATTTAAATAAATGTAAATCTGTTATGGCAAGCTTGTTTTGATAGAACAGCGAGGGGCAACCTTTTCAATCTTGGGGCCAAATTTACAATATTTTGTACCATTGAAGAGCAGGCCAAACTAGGAAGGGCTGAACAGAAATTGAAAGCATCTTTCAATGAAATACTATCAGACTTGATTCCACTCTCTTGGTTCAATGGATTATCTCACCAGATAATTTGTTTCTTTTCTATCTTTTGATTTGAACAAACTTGAGCTAGAATTTCAAGGGAACATAATTTCCCCCATATGTGCTGCAATTTAGATTTAGATGTCCTATACTAGCAATGAGCTATTCTCCTCCTGCCAGCATGTCAAAATCATATCAAAGTCACCAAAGAAAGTGTGCATGCTCATTGTGTTTGAAAAATTTATAGAGATTCAAAATATTTCATGTCAATTCACTATTCACTCAATTAAACTGGTTGGTAGCTATTCTGTAATGAAATGTAAATACTTGCAGTTCGCTTAATTTTCTGTAGTGGACATTGTTTGTGCCAAAACTGGTCAACATGGACTTTTATGCTGCTTTTTAATATATTTTTCTCATGTTACATAGATACCAAATAGCATTGTTGTTAATTGTACAACTTGCATAGTTTTTATAGCTTTATTTTCATCATAATTGTACCTTATAACTGAGAGCTCAAGGAGTGTGCTGTGTTCCTTTCTTGAAAGCAAAAAGGAAATCCTGTAAAAATGGTAATCTAAGAAAATTTTCACTTCTCCGATCTAATTTGTTGGAATATGTGTTTAAAGAATTTATTGCAAAACTGTTCAATAATTTGGTCAAATGCTGCTTTTTAGGTCAAATGCTGCTGATGAAAAATTTGATCACACTGTGGGTGCTTTAGAAGATATTGTCATGGGTAAGTAGTTTAAGTTCCTGCATTGAAAGTGACGTATAGCAGATGCCTTTTAAAATAATTTTGCAGGTTTTTGCAGAGATGATTTCAGTGGCTGAAGGATTTATATTATCTTGTTGTTAATATTCAAATAAAAGAGCTCCCAACACTGAGACAGAAGACTTTTTAGCTATAGTTTGCTGACTATTTCAGTTAAACTGTTTGATCAAGTTTGTTTATCAATGACTCATCAGATGAATTTGTATTTAGTGTTACTACCATAGCTATACAATTTCTCTCTCCTGGGTAAACTCTGTTTATGTGCCATGTTCAAAGCAAAAAGCAACTTCACAATGACAAAGAAAGTTATTTTTATACATGTTTATATATATTTAGGAGGCACCCTTTTTTTGCAAGTGGTCATTTTAAAATAGGTTTGTTCCTTAAAAAAATCATCTTTTTAGAAATTTGCTTTAGTCACACATAACAACACATTATAGTTGACTGAGCTTGTGAGACCCTTTTAATGAAATAAGCAATTCTCTACAAGCCTGACCATAAGACTTTTAGCAGGGAGCAGTAAAAAGCTCTCCTAGTTATCTCCAGGTGAGCTATTTTTAAATAGATAAGATTAACAAATGAAGAATCTATTTTAAGAAGAGCAATTTGCTTTTTAGAGCAATTCAGAAGTGCAACCTGTAGCTCCCAGGCCTTTCCCAGAGACGAGGGCTATAGCCTGCACCCATGCAAACCCCACACAAAATAGATTTGCGAGAGCTTTTTTCTGCCCGCACAGTTTTTCAAACCAACGTTCTCATATAATCCGCGCAGTTTAGCTTCCCAATATTTTTACTACTTACATGTCTAAGTGTTTATCAAATGATGTGATAAATAGGAGATTTCCGTTTCCTTGTATAGGACATGTCAACAATCTTTTGTATTATCTGCTAAAACCTGCAATAGAATAGAAAATGTGTATGCACGAAAGGGATAAAATATAGCGTGATCAATACTATATACAAATAATTAAAGTGAGAAATGTTACACCCTACTGTCAAATAGAAAACAATTTCTTTTCAAATCAAATCTTATAAACTAGGCATTTGCAAAAAAGCCACATTTAACCTGCAAAACCTAACAAAACTTTTCCATATTCCAAAAAAGTTATGTGCCTATTTTGTCTTGTTTTGATGAGTGGTAATACAACATTTAAAGGTAGTGATACACACAAAAATGCCTTCATCTGAACAGTGCTTAAAGAATCAGCAAGGAAATGTATTTTTACCTTTGTAAATACCCAAATATAAAAAAATTAACAACAGTTCAACAAGGGCTAAATAGCCCACGCAGCCAAACTGGCAAGGGCTTTTTATAGCCCACATTCTATTTTTTCCCAGAGAGGCCTGGCTCTCTTCCAGCATTTGAGGAAAGTCTGAAAGGGGAGCACAGGCTATGGCTCTCCTCAAATGGCCAAGCCTGCTCCTGCTCTATAATGTCCATGTATTTTTATTATATTTTGTAAGATGTTAGCAAGTACACAAATCAGAGCAATTTCACTGGAAAATAATACGATAAAGATTATATTTATTGGTACTAGTGAACTCTAATTGCAAGTAAAATGTAAAATTTAAATTATTCACTTTGTCAAATTAGATGATGGATTTCAAGATTTACAAGACACATTCATGGAAAAATATTATCAAGAGTTTGAAGACACAGAAGAAAATAAACTGGTTTATATGGATATCTTCAAGGAATATGTAAGTTTGCAATATACTTATGGAGTGGTATTTTCTTTGTACATGACAGAGATCCAAAACAGCAACTTTTCAAATTTGCAAGGGTGTAAAATGATGTCAACAGCTTTGAAATTAGATGGCAATTGAAAGCAGTGCTAATCTTTTGGCTTTCTGTGAAAACAGAACCAATTAAATCTGCTTGACAGGCAAGGCCATGTTTCTCCTTGCCTTATTTTTTCAGTTGTGATACTGGATAGTGTGACATGGCACTTTTGTATTCTCTTTCTTTCCAGACTGACATGTTAGAACAGCATATTGAACAACATTTGACTGAAAAAATTCCTAGTTTCTCAATGGATGAATTCCAAAAAAATATCATGTAAGTATGAGGAAAGTAGAGCATTTTATCATTCAATTTACATGTTATGATAGAAATTTACAATGTATCTTTCATTCTCTCATTTGTGATGCAAGAGCCCAACTCTTTATTGATAAGTTTGTGCATAGACTTTATGAAACCCCAAAAGTAGGAGCAAAATGGTAACAAAAAGTAAACTAATGATCTTTTTCAGTATCAATAGAATCATTCTTCTATGGTTACTATTGATTTTATTTTTTCTAATTGTTTAAATTTTAGCATTTTGAACAAGTTTCTTGTAAGGGTTTCTGTTAGATCAACAGCCCTGGCCCTTTGAGGCAGCGATCGCCTGCACGCGCCTCCATGCTCTTCCACTCCATTTTTCGCTTGTCTATGTCAGTTCGCACATTAACCGCCCGCCTTGGTCTTCCTTTCATTTCTCGACCTCTCTTGAAGTAAAACATTCTAACAAACAGAATATTGATAGGAACTTGATCCCCTATGTTTTGACGTTTTAATCTCTCAGGAAGTCATCTACTCCTGTAAACTCGTTAACTAATTAACAAGTCATGCAAAAATCAAACAAAGCATTTTTAAATGCAATAGGGAAGAAAATCCTTTGAATGGTTTCATTTCAACCAGAATGCTATTTCGAAGGCCAATTGAGTATTCTTAACAGGTGAAACCCAAATCATTTCAACATGGCGAGTAACCAGAAAGGATCGACTGTTGAGTTAAGAACTTTCGAAAAATACGACAACAGGGCTGTTCTTGGAAGAAAAATTGAGGAGATAGATGGAAAGAATATGGTGACGTTCGTTTGGTGCAAACTTTGTCTAAAGACAAAGCTTCTATTCTCTTGAACCCACTTTGCAAAGGCAGTGCACAGGTGGATGTTGATGCCTACATCAATGGAACGAATTTTGAATGTTTTTGATTTGCAGTTTTATGAAACTATATGAATAAACAAAATTCTTTATCAGCTAAGTTTACAAAATAAGATGGCGATTCTCTGACAAAAATAAAATGATAATCATTTTATTTTTGTCAGAGAATCGCCATCTTTTTTTGTAAACTTAGCTGTTAAAGAATTTTGTTTATTCATATACTTTAATTGACGATTTTTAAAAGACTAAAAATCACCCGCCTGACTCTACTGAGGAGAGCGATGTACAGCGCGCCTGCTAAAATGCTCAAGGCCAGGCCTGGATAAAGTGTGTCAATTTTCTTTATTCCTGAAAAAGTATTACCTTTGACACAAGGAAAATAGCTAGTTATGCTTTTAACAGATATTCCACAGCTAGGGTTCCTTGCATAGTCAATAAAATGAAGAAATGCATGGACCGCAGTTCTGATCAGCAAAGTCAGGAGAATGTACACAAATCATCTGATCAGATTGAAAATCTTGCCTTTCTTCTTTGTACCATATTTTCTCTTTGCCATATATTCACCCCTGACCTAATTCAACAGCAACTTTTATGTTTGTTGTCTAATGGTGTGTTTTCAGTTATTGTAGGGTTATCAATAGGTAGTTGATAAATATGGTCTAAATTGTGTTTATTTCTTGTTTAGGTCTAGAAGAGATCAAATAGATTTAGAGATATTTGATATGCTGCAAACGATGAGTGATTTTCTTGAATTCAAACAGATGTTCCTTAACTACAAAGCTGTGAGTATGCAAAAGCGCCATATTACAGCTACTAACATTGCATCTTACATGTGCTGCTGCTGTTATGAACACTTGCTAACATTTCAATTAGCAGTGCATAAGCATTGCATTAGCTGGTTTACACAAAATTTCAATATGACATTACTTTTTTGCATTGTGCTTGTCTCATAAAGAGATGATAACCAAATAAGCTTTTTGTACTGAAAAATTACTTATATATGTGTTATGTTTATGCGTTATACAATTATTTTGCATTCATATTGATAAAGTGTCTGAAACAAAACTTTTCAATAAAAGCTGGTTCCCATAAAATTGAAAGAGTTGGAGCATGTCTCTGATTCATACTTTAATCAAAGAAAAAGTGTTTACATTGATCGTGGGAGAGTTGACAACTGTTACAAAGCGCAGTATCCTATCATCTTTTTAGGACTCAAAATGCTTTCAAAGCAAATAAAACTTTGCTATGATTGGTTAATTATGTCTAAGTGACTATTTTCTAAACAAAAGTTGGTTGGCGATGTTGGCAACATGTGCTCCCATTAAAATTTTCATTGATCAAAGGTGTCGTAAGAGTTGGGAAAGTTAAACTCAGATCAATTTGCCCAACCCTTGAAATTCACAGCCAGGCAGGCATAGCTAGCACAAGAAAGTATTCCTTAAACTGGCATTGTAATTCTATTGTATGTTACACTGTTCACTAAATAATTATGTTCTAATTGTAAAGCATGTCATTTTCTTCATGTTAAAGTGATTCATGGAAGTTGTAAATGTATTGAAAAGCTACTGGAGTACTAACAAGAAAGATTGCTTAATGCTTGCTTAGATTGTGTATATCAAAAGATTGGTTTGATATAATTTTACCCTGGTCCTGGTGACTGTTTTCCAGCTCCCTGTTAACTTTTGAAGATATTGTGTCAATCAGTAAATCCTTAAAGCCTGAGTAAGGTTACCATTTTTTTGTCAGATGATGTCACAACTGTCCTTTTTGAAGTTTTATTGCTCATCATCTAGCCAAGATATTGTAATTAAAAGAAACAGAACTAATTTTTTTCTCCTTTTTTCTCTGTTTCAGATGAAGGAAGGAAAGATGGTAGATTTAAGCCAAGGAATTGTTGTAAAACACTTTGAGAGTTCAGATGATACAGACATCAATATGGACAGCAATATTGACATAACCACACAGTTTCATTCAGCATAATGAACTGGGGAAATCAACTGTTCTTGCTAACAAGTAATGAATGCAGTCAAGTTTGGCTGTGATTGCATAAAGTACAGCCAGAGAATGCATGGTATCCTGAACAAAGACATTGCTTTATAAAAAGCATATAATCACACATAAGCAGTGATATCTGGCTGAATTTCTATTTCAGAACTATTACTTAAATTATCTTTCCTTCTCACTTCATTCTTTTGGCCAGTGAGATTCCTTTGTGGTCATGTTTTCACACTTTGTGAATATCATTAACCGTGTATCAACTGTTACACCTTATGGTATCTTTGAACATATGTTGAAGTTTATAGTTTGTATTCATTTACTAATATACTTTATTGAAAAGTTTTTGAAAATTGTTAGAAGTAGCTGGATAGAACTGCAGATAGATTTAAAAGGCTCATTTTCATAACCTAGAATTGGCAAGTTGTATATAATTTCAAAGAAGCACAATGGAAAGGTTTTCAATTTGTTATGATTTTTGTTTCTCTTCTCAACACGTGTTTCTCTTCTTAGATAACCTCGTTTTCAGTTATCATCAAAATGGAAAATATTGACTTTTGTCTTACATGTAGGTACCAAGAGATGCTTGAAACCAAGATTTTATTAGCATTCAGAATATTTATATGAATTGATATTGCTCAGAAATCAATTTCTTTAAAAGGGCATTTTGCTGCCCCTGTGCTGCCCCCGTGCGGCCCCCGTGCTGCCCCCGCACCACTAGGGCAACGGGGGCAAATGCTCCCACTTCCCCCGTAGCTCTGGCGCCCTTGTTCCTGTACAAAGCCCAACTGGCAATAATGGCATGCTTGAAAAAAATCTATTGTAAACGCGCTGAAGAGGAACCACTGACCAAAATTTTACTCTTCTGCTGGGAATAAGATTACTTCCCACATGACTTGGAGGATGCTCGATAAATGCAACTATATTATAGCAAAAGGTTTGGTTAGCTTAAGGTATCAAAAGTTAATGTGAAAACAATAGAGGTGCAGACAAACTTCGTATACCCCCTTTTCTAATATCAGCCTTTCTCCAGCCACTAATTTTGCTGGAACCTGATATGCTGTCATTACATTTCAGCCAGCAATCAAAAGAATGGAACAAATTTAAGAAAACATCGGTTTATCTGTCTTTTAGAAACTTTCTCTGATGACGTCATCAAAATACTCGCGTTGCATGTTTGATCTTACACTATCAAAGTGTGCCTCGCCATTTTTGTATTTTTAGCTTATTTCTCTAGAATAACACCTTTAGCACTGTATCAACTTGTCTTAGACCTTTGTCTGCTTAGAGCCGAAAATAAAGCGTCTTGAATAGTATTTTATTTGCCTATCTATCAATAATATTTTTGCATCCTCAGGTTTTAAATTTCGATGGCACATCCTATCTATAGCCACGATGAAGCGTTTTTCTGCTCGATTCACTTCTGTGCAATTCAAAAACATCCCACAATTAGCTGAATGAAAAAAGAAATCCGTGAATTAACCAGCAGAAGTAGCTGATTTACACTACACTCTTTTTTTATAAGAACCAGTAAATTTAAGTTCAGGCTGACTGTTCTTAATTTTTTCGAAAATCTGAGGCTGGACTGTTCTTAATTTGTTCTTAAATTAAGAGGGTGTAAGCAGTGCTACTGCTAGCTTTTTCGCTCTAAGGAGGTGTTCAGGCCTCATTTGCCAACAAAGTGAGTGAGACAGCCTTAATTTGCTGACAAATTTGAATATTCACCGATAAAGCACCCATACATCGCTAAAAATCCTCGATTTTGAGAAAAAACGTTGTTCAAAATTGCATTTTGGAGAAGCTCAGCCTCAGCTTGTTCTTAATTTGTTCTTAACTTTTGACAGGTTTTGAGGCTCGTGTTCTTATCAAAAAGAGTGTTTTTCTATCTGGAAACTGCGCCCCCTAAAATCTCTCTAAATTTATACAAGGGAACTGACCCCCCCCCCCCCGAGGCCCCTCAACGACATCCGTCACATCAAAGTAAAAAATGCCACCTTTTCACTTGAAAAGAGAAACTGATACTTGCATCGCTAAATGATTTTCACACATCAGGCTGTTATTATTGATGATCCCTTAATCCCTTAACAATGCTGTTTTTGGTAATGCTATAACAATATAACTGTTAATGCCTTTTAACCAGTGTTGTGGTGGAAGGGGGGATGGGGCTAAGTGGGGGGGGGGCTCAGTTTTCTTGTTAAAGTCCATAGGGATTTTGGGGGGCTAAGTGAGTTTATATTTGGTTGGGCAAATTCTGTGTTGACAAGCCTTTATCATACTTTACAGTAGATTCCTTATGTTCAGAAATGTCTTAGCAACCTTTTTGTTTCATCAAATAGTTTGAATGACTTCTACACACAACGGAAATTATCTAAGACAAATGCAAGTATATTGGGTGTGGTAAGGGTTTGGTCATGGGTGTGGCCTCTTAAACCTGCCTACAGTACAGCCCCCTTTCCTGACATTTTAGGACGCATCCCTGCTTTTAACATGTTTTGAGTGCACTCTAGTGTTAACCTATTGTTTTTATAATGGAAATGGTCTTTAAAAGTACAATCAAAGGGGGTAGGGGCATTGATATATTTATTTTTGATCACCCAACCGGGCCTGAAACTTCCACCCCTCTGAAGATTCTGCTGTGGTAAAACGCGTGTATCCGAGGCCGTGCACGCGAATATTTCAAACATCGCTATTCCTATTGATGGCCTTGTCACTCACAATCAAGTATTGAGGTGGTGGATTGCCCTCCCTCGCTGTAAAAGCAGGCGAGACTGTATAAATTACACTGTAAAGTCTGGAGAATAATGAGAGTTTGAGAAGAAGTTATATAGTTGGCTAGAATTTACGGTAAGTTAACTTTATTGAGGTTTTATTACCCAAGATATTTTGTAGATATTATGAAGCTAGTAGAGGTCCGTCTACTGGCCTAACCTAGCCCAAGGATTTTCGAACCTAGCGAAAACCTCTTTTTCTTTTATAAAGCTGTTTTTACATTTGTTGGTTCAATATGTATTTGATTTCTAACTGATGCTTTATTATCTTATACAAAGGCTTTGTCGAGCAAGTTTCTTCTCGGTTGTATAACTGGCTGCTACGTTCAAGCAAGTCTGGCATATTGTCTCAACAGATAGAGAAGAAAATAGTGGTAAAGAAAATGGCGAGTGGTAGCAAAGCTCGTGTTTACGCCGAGGTGAATACACACAGACCAAGAGAGTATTGGGACTATGAGGCTCATGTTATCGAATGGGGGTAAGTTGAAGGGAACAAGCTTACTTTCTGCAGTAATTTGTGTTGACGCATCCTGTTACCAAGGTCTAAATTGCAGGTTGTATTTATTCCAGTCTTGCCTTGGTGACACCAATAAGTATTCATGTAGAAACATCGTGATGTGAATCAATCATTTAAACGACTTTGCAAGGCTTTATTGAAAACAGCATGATGGTTTACAGAGTACTAAAATAGTCACACACAGCAACACACAGCAACAGAAACTGAATTTTATGTCGCAACAAAAACCTGTGATTTGATCCGTGATGTGATAAAGTGATAATCAACTTAAGGAATGCATTATCTTTTTTATATGATTTTCATTGTCCCATCAATTCATTTTTACCTTGGATAAGGTTCCTCCCTCAAGTGAAAGCACTTGTTATCAAGGGGCTCTACCATAAAAGACCAAGCTAACTGTATTGTGAAGTTGCTAGTTAAAAACATCTCTACAATATACAAGCTTTTCCTTTCTCTTTATGGCAACATACATTCCACTTATTGTATAAAAATGTAGCTCACTTAGAAACCATTCTAAAAAGGTCAGAACCTACTACCAGACTGTACCATTATTACATCATGTGGGTACTACATGCAAAAACTGTATTCAACTTTTGTCTGGAAACCAGTGATTTGCAATAAGCTTTTTAAAGTGAATTAAAACTATTGTGGTGAAGGTTTGAGGAATCATGTGTCTCAGGTGGTGATAGGTCATCAAGAAAAACATGCAGCGAAAGAGATGTTGCTGTAGGAATCTGGGGCTATTGTTAGAAAGAGAACCAAAGTACTTGAAAATCTAGAACACAGATGTCAAGCTCAGACTTTATTTAACAAGGCTTTAATTCAGAATGACCCAGATGTGTTGTTGTTCACTTGTCTGGTTTGGCATTTATGTCCCTCAGCTTCAACCTAAGTTCACTGGCAAACAATTTTCCGTTTCAAGTGGCTGGAATTCAGTTTGCTTGAGCACATTTTAAGCCACCAGAGATTAAGCCAGAGGAAAGCTTGCTCTATAAATGAGGTGACAGTGTGTATACACAGTGAAATAAAAAGGGCAGTTGGGCAGCTAGAGGTTCTGTTTTAAAGGAAGCTAGAGGGTTTACTTTGTAGGAAGATCAAAGTGCATTCAAGTAGAGAACAAAGATTATTATGGATATTTTAGGGGGCTGTAATTTTGATTTATTGAGTGATGAAATATCAAGCTAGGATACTGCATATAATCTAGTTTAACAAAAAATTTTTTATTCTTTGGGAAATACTTATCAGTTTTAAGTGGCTCAAATTCAGCCATTGGCAGGGCTTTCAGTTTTCATTTACTGATTTTGAGTGGTCCAATATGGATGGCTTCTTACATAGACGTGGAAAGATTGTTCATTATAAAAAGCAAAGTATGGTGGCTAAATAGTCAAGTTGAAATTTTGAAACAAAAAAGAGGGAGATTTGTAAAGAATTGTAAAAAGAACCTTCTTTATCTCTTTAATGGTAGCCAAAAAAGAAGCAAGTGTTATAAAGATATGATCAGCTTAACAAAAAAAATGTATGCTCAATATTTTATGTATAAAATGTGACAAAAAGCTCAACAGCTATTGGTTCAGATCTTTGTCTATTCAACATATGTAAGAAAAAACTTAATAAGCAATCAAATAGACAAAAAATGTGTTTCAAACTACATCATTAGAGAACAATGCATAAGGAATGCTTAAAACAGCTGCAAAAGGGTGCTTTTTGAGTCTCAACCATGAACAAGATATCACTAACATCACCTGCTCTTCTGGTTTTGAAGATTATATGAATCAGGCAGCAATTTCCACAATTGCTAACTTTCAACAACAGTTTAAATGGCATTCAACAAAGCTCAGCAAGGAACATTAGGAGTGTTCAAAAGGTTGGGTCACTTGATTAATTCCTTCCTCCATTAATTAAATACAATGTTATGTCATTTATTATGACATCAAACAACCACTAAAATAAAACAATAAGGCTTTTACTGTGTTAAAATCTTTTTTAAGTGGCAAGAAAATAAATTGGAATAATTTCCCTATTTAACAAACAATGGCAATTACAAACAAGCAAACAGCTGTAAAAGGAAGAAAAATTTATAAATTGTGCCTATGTAGATATTGTCTTTGAGATTAAACATGTTAATTTTTAAAACCTGTCTTTCAAACAGAAACATAAAAATCTTTTGTCTGAATTTTCAAAACACAGAATATAAATGGCATTGAACATAGTACCAATCAGCTGCTTAAAATTTACTAAGTCAAAGAAACATGGTCAACGAGATCCAAGAAAACAAGGCTGACCAGATGTGAAGGTCTGAGAATGAGAAAGAACTGGTTAATATATGGCAAGGAATGCCTTGAGACTGAGTAATTTTCAGCAAGATTATCAGATCAGTTGTTGGGATCTATTGCTAGTAATATTTATATCTCTACTTTCTGATTTTTTCCTCTAAATAGCTTAGAACCTCTGCAAACCTACTTTCGTCCATTCAGAAATACTGCAAGTACATTATATACTTTGTCTACCGTTTCCCCTTCACAAAATTTTTAATACACCTTTTTGAGCAACCCCCTGCTTCACTAATGTTAGTCTGTTCCTTCAGCTAAGTCTTACCCTATGCAAGTACAGCATAACAGCTAGTAAAGCAAACAACTTCTTCTTCTTCTGCCACGAGAAAGCAGCAGCCTTCTTAGCTGACTATTTTGCTGCCAAAATCAGATATCTATCACCACACAAAAACCCCTTATGTGCACAAAAATCAAACACAAAAGCATTAATTTTTTAAAAACAAAAATCTTTCATCTGCTCTTGTTTCAAACACAGATTGATAGATTTTTTTGAAGATATCATTGTTTTTTATCATCTTAATACATCCATTGTCTGCCATCTTTGCTAAAAGCAGCCTTTCCAATAGCCCAAGTTAACACAGTAAAAGGTTTAAAGGTATCTGCTTTTTAAGCGAGTCAATGGAAATGCCAGTGTATTATAAACATGGTTTTTATCTGTTGTAAGTGGGTCAAAAATTATACTGGTTGTGGCATTTCCAGTAACCCACAATGAGCTAAAATATACTGGGATTAAGCTGGTCCACTCTCAGGTCTGTTTTCCAGGTTTTTTGTCACCTATTTGGTTTCCAGTTAGGTTAGTTGGAATGAAACACAAAAACAGATGGCATTTAAGCAGGCCTGGCCATTTGTATTTTTGCAGGTGAGCTGTGAATTGCTCATCTTGATTGTTTTTTTATCATGTGTTTCAGGATAAGTTTCTTAAAATCAAATTTTTCAATTTTTTGCAATGGCCTCCTTTGCGTTTGCAATACCTCAAGTGACTTTGCTGAGAACCTTCATCCCAGCAATTCTTTCATCAATGCTTTTATTGTTCACAGGCTTTTTTCTTCTATGCCCATCTTTCCAAGGGTTTGTCTTGAAGTCATCTAGCTCAACGATGGTGTTATCAACAATCCCTTTCAAATGCACAAGATGCAGGCCTTTTCACCTTTAGAACATTAATGTAACTGTCCATTTTGAAAAGGTATCTCGTAAGACTTCAATGTTTTAAGCAAGTCTTTGACCTTTGCACTTGTTTCTGTTGCTCCTGAACCGTCTGCTAAGGTATTTTTGATAGAAGTTAGTTATCAACCCCGGACACATCTGGTCATGCTTCTTGTAAAGCTTCCCCAACACAGAAGTAACCATTTTTCAACCTTCCTTTCCAATCAATCTCTCACCAATTTCTTTGACTTTGCTACCAAGAATATGCCTGTTCTTGTAAGTTCTTAAGGTTCTAGGCACTACAATGTACATTACACTTCATTATCCTTTTCCTATCATAACATGAACCACTTGACAGGCAAAAATATTCATAGCCAAAAATTTGAAGGAGAAATCCCTTTATAGAATTAAACCAATTTAAATGTGTAATGTTTTCAAGATTCTGAAAATATGAGCAGTCAAATAAATGATAATTTGAAGGGAGTCATTTCCCCTTCAAATGCAGTTTAGAAGAGCAATTCACAGCTCGTCTCAGGTTGTGAGGGGAACATGGAGGTTATTGCTATTGCTCGCCTCAAACAGCAAGACCTGATTTAGCCTGATGTGTTTTTATCTGGGCTAGTTGATGTCTACCTATTGGCTCTCACAATATTTATACTGGTTAACCATCTAGTCACATTTAAGGAAGTGAAGTCATCTTGTTTAAGTTGACAAAAACATCTATATAAACTTTTGTTTAGAACTGAGGTTGTATTGGTATATTTGTATAACCGAGGTTGTATTGGTATATTTAGTGTAATGGAATTAAATGAGATGTAGAAAAATGGGAAAGAGATCTTTCAGTTTTCAGAGGGTACACTTTTTTGTATTTAATGTTTACCAAAAGTTCTCATTGTTTAATTGTAACGTTAAAAGTAACCTTGAATCTTTGTTGAGTTTTTTCACATAAATAGCACATTAAGAGTTTAATCTTTTCTCTCAAATATCAATGATGTGTTTTAATGTTTTTATTGTAGACAACAAGATAACTACCAACTTGTTCGCAAACTTGGAAGAGGCAAATATAGTGAGGTGTTTGAGGGTATAAATGTTGTTAACAACGAAAAAACTGTCATCAAGATTTTAAAGGTAATGAAGTTTGCATTTTTTTCTTCATTAAATTTTCGGATTAACAGTCTTCTCAAAATATATCTTGAAAAACTACACTAAGTGAGCAAATGTATTGCACAGGCTGAAACAGAAATGGGGGCACTATAGGATGACTTTTTAGTTGGAAAATATTGAAACGTTTATCAAGGATCTTTGATACTGAAAGTAGCAAATGCAAGAATATTCTTGATTTTTGTCTGTTTCTAAACAATATCGACATTTGCAATAACACGCAAATTGAGCCACGATGATTGAAGTACCTGTGAAATATTTGCAATAAAAAAGTTTATCTTTGCACCAATATTCGATATCTAATTAGAATGAACTCATGGATACTTACATTTTGCTTTGGTGTCTAGAACTGCTTATTTTATTTATTGTTGTTGATGAAAATGCTAAACGTTTTGGTCGGAAATTTTCAAAGCTGCAACAGGCCTGATGGCAGCCGCCACTTTATGTGTGATATATTGCAACAGAATTCAATCAATAAAATGTGTAACAAATCTTTAAGTCCATCTTTTCCAACCAATTGGGATGTTGTTAAAGGAACAAATAATGCTGCGAATTGCTTGAAACAACATTTTGTCTTCTCATAAAATGAAAAGACAAAATTACAGCGATAAACAGGTACACTCCAGTGCCTCAATAGCTTTGAAAGAGTTATTATAATAAAATTGCTTAAAATAAGTCACTTTCTACCAAATACAAGGCCAAAAATGATCAACTTGGCACTCCAACACCTGAATGTGATCTTGCAAATGTTTTTCTGGGTCTATCATGTCATGTATTAACAGAACCTGTTACAAAACTTTTTGATAAAATTTTAGCCAGTCTCACAAGGGTTTCAAAGCTGCAAGACTGCCCAATAGAAATTTAATTTTTTTTACTTTTTAAAAAGTAAGTTTCTTTGATTTTTAACTTGAAAGTTTTGCCAATGGTTTGAGGTTTTTTTGATTGGCTTTTAATTATAAAAGGCAGGGGCGGCGCGCAATGGTATAAACTGTATGAGCCTCATACCATTTTATTTCCAAAAAAACCTTTAAATTCATCGGCTCGTTCGCCCGTTTTGTACTGCATTTGAGGCAGTAGCGGAGGCGCATTGCGTGTTCAATATTTATTCAAATGTTAACATCAACGAAAGTTTGTGTTTGACTTGTTCCGACAAAAGACTGTTAATTGCCTTCTAATCCGTTAATGAATCATATTCTATAGTACCGTTGATAGCAATTGAATCTCGAGGGCAGTTATGGCCATGGTATTAGTTTCTCACTTCTCATACCGTGATGTCATTAAACTTTTGTCTAAGTGGCCCTGCCCTACGTCGGGGCCTTTTGTCATCCTCACATTAAACAAAGCGACTTGTACATCATGGTATAAACTTTGGATTTCTCATACCGTGGCCAGTCTAACCATTTTATTTCAACACAACGCTAATCTTTCCCTTGCTCGCATCAATATACTGTGTCTTAACAATATGGATCGGGTCTTAGGAAGTGAGTACCGTTGGGGAGTTTCAAATATTTTCTCAATTTTGTCAACTCAAAGAAGTTTAACTCACGAACAGCGGCTTCGCCTAAAAACAGACGGAAGACCATGTCCAAAAGTTACCGTGAAATACGTATCGAGTGACACTGCATATCAGAAATTTCCGTGGATTTGTGGAGACGTAGAGAGGAATACCTACTTTTGTTGGCCATGTCTCGTCATGGGTGAATTATCAAAGGTGAGTTTTTCACTGAGGCTATTTAAAATATTTTTAAGGCAAAAAACGAAGTTTCCCAAACAAGCTTTTTTCAAATAATGGTTTTTAAAAGTTAAAAAAGGAATATTTAATCAGAGAGTGCTGGTGATAAACAAAGGTTGTGACAAGTCCAAATGCTGTGTCTTGGTTGGCGTATAGTATTTTGCACAAAATTTTTCTAGAATCGGCTTTTTTATTTGCGATCCTGATACCCTGGCAGGCTAGTGGCAATTACGAAAGGGCTCTAGACCAGCAGCAATGATTGTAGCCGTGGCTCTACGCCCTGTACCGCATTCACTGGCCATGGTATTAGAATCGCGATTCTCATACCGTGCCCTTAAGGTGGCGATACAGCAAGGGCTGTGCGCCGTCTGTCTTTAACCGGCCTTCACCCATAAAGATAGGAAACCTAAGCCCGCTATTAGAACAATGACCCCATTTTTGTAGGTAGAGTGATTAACAAGACGCTGGTTTATCAATGCATTTTCTTTAGAAATAACAAAGCGTATATGCAAAACAATAAGGAATAAGAATAATCAATTCTTAATAATATTGCCCTCATAAATTTTGTATGTGAAGAAAAGCTCGATAGTTTCATAGACAGAATCAAAAACACAGCTTCTCTAGTTTCATAACTATGATAATACAGATACTCTAAAATGACAAAGAGGGTGCTTCGAATAAGGGTTTTTAGGGCAGATCACTTTTAGAGAAATTTCACTGAGGGGTGAAATCATGAAAAAGTCTCAATTTCAGAACAGATGACAAACAAATTACTCCTAAGTATCGAAATTAAATTAAACATAAGAAAGAGTATTTTCTCTTCACTAAGACTGCAACCATAAAGTCTGTAGGGTGAAATTTTCCGACATAAAAATGTAAAAGAAAGTTTTATACTTAAAAGTGGGAGGTGACGTTTAATTCGGACTCGAGAATAATTTCTCTATTTCTTTCTTCGTGTAGATGCAAGGTGTTTCCTTTGTGAAAGAGTCTGGATTTGTATCAGCTGGTCAAAATCTTTCAAATCTCGCTAAGCGTCACGAGAAGTCTAAGATGCACACAGTCAACTACACTGCTTACCAGCTCTTGGGTAATGTCGACGTAGCATGTGCTTTGGATGAAGCAAGGCAACGGGATGTCGTACGACACAATCACAGTGCTACACGTCTTTCAAAGATGCTATATCATCATATTGATATTGCTGTTTTATTAGCTGCTCAGGGCCTTGCATTTCGTGCTCACGATGAATCTAAATTATCATCAAACAGAGGAAATTTTTTAGAGCTCTTGGAATTACTTGGAGCTTACAGCCACGAACTTCGTTTATTCTTAGACAAAGACCACATTACATACACATCCCATGAACCACAAAATGAGCTGATAGAATGTATTTTTAAAGAAGTTCAACAGGAGATCCAAAAACGCATCGACAGCTCAAAATATGTCGCCGTGATGATGGATGACACAACTGACATTAGCAATGTCGAGCAATCTGCGGTATCTGTGCGGCTTGTTCATAACGGTGAAGTTGAAGAGCATATGCTAGGCATGATCGATGCTTCCAATGATCAGTCAGCCGATGCTCTTGCCAAAATTATGATGTCGACGTTGGAAAAATACAATTTGGAGCCAGCGACAAGTAAATATAAGCTCATTGGTCAGTCGTACGATGGGGCCCCTACAATGAGCGGGCAACTTAACGGTGTCCAAAAGCAAATACAGCAACATTACCCAGCAGCCTATTATAATCACTGCGTTGCTCATAGGTTATCCCTTTGCGCAGCACAGTCCGCGATGAAAATCGCAAAAGTTGCCAAGTTTTTTGGCACAGCCGACAAGCTTGTTGGCTTTTTCAGAAGCAGTCCGAAGCGCACAAGACTTGTCGGGCTTAATCTTCCAAAACCTGGAGATACACGGTGGCTGTCACGTGATACTGCAACAAGTGTCATTGACATCCACTACGAAACGATAGGGCAGTCCTATATGAAATTTCAAGAAGTAGAAGCAAGAAAGCCGACACACAAAGTACAGCCAGGGGCCTTTGCATTCAAATGCAACAAGTCGAATTCGTCTTTCTGCTCAAGCTTTACCGAAAGATATTTGAGCAATGCACGCCAGTCATGACCATCATGCAGAAGCCAACGCTAGATGCCGTACAGCTAAGATCGATGGTTGATGACTTTCAACGTTCACTTGTTTCTTTAAATCTCGACCAAGTATGGGAAGAGACAATCCAGGCTGACCCAGATTTTCCAGTTATGCGTGAGAGAACTGGGTGGAGGGGAATAGAGAATGGAAATGATGGCTCGCAAGAAAGCTGGAAGGCTTCATTACAAACCCTTGCATTGACCATCACAGCGAAGTTTTCGGAGCAGCTGAGCTGGCGTTTTGGAAACCTTGAAAAATTCAGATGGATGGATCTCATCCATCCAACAAAATTCAGCGAAAGAAGAAACGCGACAGCTAATGAGCAAAAAGCTTTGATTGTAGAGCTGCACAAATTGTACCCATTTGCAGTTCAAGATGTGATAGCAACAGAAAATAATCTGTCTGTCCTTTATAACAGCAGTGAGATATCACTCCTTTTGCAGAAAGTTGTCCGAGAACGGGATACAATCCATGCAGCTAAAAAGGAACGCCAAGCACGGCTGCAACAAAAAGTCGAAGAGGCTAGCGACAAAACAGTCGAAAAAAGATCTAACGTGGGTGAATCCATTGGTGCAATTGATGTAGAGGAAAGTGACGAATTTGAATTGGAACCAAATTTGGAAATAGAAATTGATTCTGTAAAAGAGGGCTCACCAAGTATTCAAGATCTCTTATCTGTTATCAAGAAGGCAACACTTGAGGAGGCTCTTCCTCAGGCAATGGCACTGCTAGAGCTTGCAGCTACAACTCCACTTACCAGTGTCCATTGCGAGAGGATTTTTAGTCGAATGAAGCGAGTTGTAGCACCTTCAAGGTCAAGCATGCAACAAAAAAGAAAAGAAATGCTTGTTATTTTGCAAGTAGAGCACAAGCTTTTACGGTGGCTCACCAGACAGCCTTTTTTTAAAGACAATGTTGTTGCTAGATTTAAATCGTTCAACCGGCGTAGATTCGAAAGATTTTCAAAAAAATAAAAAGGAAGCTTATTATTTAGCATTTAAAATATTATATGAAATATTATAGCCTGTATTTTAAGTAGTTTATCCTTTCATAGACATGAGGTAGAAATCATTTTCTCATCGGGGTAATTTCTGAATTTGTAAGCTGTTTCAAAATCAATTTTTGTATAGACCAAATTAATAGAGTGCTTCCCATGCAATGTGTTTGCTCCTTTTTGAGAAACCCCACAAAATGGAGCTTATGCACTTTTAATCTCAAATTTAGAGTAAGTCTATGACTTAAATTCATAAAAAACCTTTTTTCAGGGGTAGGACCTCAATGAGTCTATACCCCCCCCCCCCTTCTAGCTAGATTGTTTTTGAGCTGTTCAAAATTTCGGAGAACTAATACCAAAAAAATTTGGCTCCCAGCCGCCCCTGATAAAAGGATGTCAAATGTCTGCACAAAAGTGATTTAATTTTCCATCGTCCTGTTGTTTACAATGTGGCTGCCATTACTCATTTGTCACACCTGTGCAATACTTTTGCTCACTAAATGTATTTTGATGTTGCAAATACTCTGAATATATGATGAATAAACAAGCAGATGATGGCCTTTGATATTTTAAATCCCAGTTTTTGTTTTCCTACTATTTACACATTTGTTTGTGGTGACCCGGTTTTGCTTTCTTCTTTCTTTCTATTCTTTCTTATATTTATTTTTTAGAACTTTAAACCTGGTTATTCAATGGTTTGAAAAGTTTATCTACTGCTCCAAAATCCAAAATCCTGACATTGACATAATGTTTTGCTGTATCTTTTTAATTTCCATCTTCTTGTTAAAGCATACCAATTTAAACATATTCTTGGTTGTTTTTAAGCCTGTTAAAAAGAAGAAGATCAAGAGAGAAATAAAAATACTTGAAAATTTGCGTGGAGGACCAAACATCATCACACTACTTGATGTTGTGAAAGATCCAGTGGTCAGTGACAGTTAAATATCAATATTTTCTTTTTCTTGAAATTAGCAGTCCATTTATTGAAAGTTCAGCTCACTTATGCTGATTCATGTTTAATGCTGTTTTGGGTGAAGTAATCAGAAGCAATTATGGTTGTTTTAAATTTTTTCTGCAATGGTTTTAAGCAGTTTTTGCAATTTTTTCTTGTAGTCAAGAACTCCAGCGTTGATTTTCGAGTATGTCAACAACACAGATTTCAAGGTACATTTTAGCTGTTTAAAAAATTAATTGGAAATCATAATTAATCAGTATGCACTAATTTTTTCACACATGTTTAATTGACTTTGGACTGTTTTCATTGCAGTTACATTAATATCAGTTGTTGCCTTGGAAAAGCATTTTTAAGTATTTCCTATGCCGGTACAATATTTAATGCTCCAGGAAGCTTTATTGTTTGTCACCTTGCAATCAATATGGCGTGGTCAGAGCAGTGGTTGAATGTCGAACTTTCTGTATTCTGCGTTAGTGCGGAGCATCTGGCAACTGAAAAGTTTTTGTTTCTGTGAGAAGGCCTCATTTGGTTTTTTTCTGTCTTTCAGCAACTTTATCAAACTTTTACAGACTTCGACATAAGGTTCTATTTATACGAGTTACTGAAGGTATGTTTTTCAAATCTGTATTCACTAAATATTTACTAAGAAGTTTATGAATTTTCTTTCATTGTTTATGAAAGAAAATTTTTAGTAAAACTTTGTGATCTGTTTCATTTAGGTAATAACTGTCAGTTTTTGAAGGTCCTGCATTCGACAGTAAATAACGAGTTCCCTTATTGGGAAGGAAAACTGAATAAATTGGATATTTTGGAGAAAATGGATGGTGATGAGCTTCTACCTAGTGTGACACTGCTGTTTTACATTTGAATTACCGTTTATCGAAATGAGATTTTTGTCTTTGCCAAGCTAATTACTATACTACCGTCAAATGTTTTGTCTGCTTTGTCCGTCAAATTTTCATATATCCCATAGTGCATTGCAGGATTTTCGTGTATTTTTCAGGCTCTTGATTACTGTCACAGTATGGGAATCATGCACCGAGATGTAAAACCACACAATGTAATGATCGATCATGATCAGCGAAAGGTAATTACTCGACAATATGTTGTGATACTTCTGCAGTAGTTATTTGTTGGACTTAAGTAAAAACAAATCTTACAATTGCATGTAATAGAGTGTGCTCCATTTGTCGGTGACCCAAAAGTGAAATCGATCTTAACTAATACGTGAATTAGTTATGTGTTGGTACACAAGATTGGGTTTGACTGGACCACAAAATAGTCATCAGCCGACATGTAATAGGTTAAAGGAAGTTGCCAGTAAGGATTTTAGATTCTTCTCTTGTTTTTCTCTTTGAAATTTTTTCCATGCTTTCACTTTTCTAATTACCTTTGAAAAAAATTTTTGCCAAGAAGCATTTTTGAATTTAAAGTGAATACGTATTCTGCGTTGCAAAAAAACAGAAGACGATGTTACTTAATTTATTCAAATAATTCCTTTGTAGCTGCGGCTCATCGACTGGGGTCTTGCAGAGTTCTACCATCCCAATCAAGAGTACAACGTCCGTGTTGCCTCGCGTTATTTCAAGGGACCAGAGTTACTCGTAGATTTCCAGGTTTGCTGTCGCTATGTACACATATTATTCAGCATTTTGTTGTGTTCCCTTTATCTTTGTTTACAATTAAATCAGCTATAAACTTAAATGCTTTGTAGGGAACCTGCATGTTAATATTGTCTGTATGTTGATGTTGTATTTCCTCTGCTACTCAGCCGCCTGTGTTTTCTTTCCTTCTGTTTTCAAGTTCAATACTTTTTACCACGCATACTTCTAAAGTTTCATCGTCATAGCCAATCATATTCTTCTAAAGCAGCCTCGCAGCCAATCATATCACCTTTAAGAAATACTTTTCATCTGCAGGAGTATGACTATTCTTTGGATTTGTGGAGCTTCGGATGCATGTTTGCAAGCATGGTGAGTCACCATATCATTCATGTGAACCATAAACTTGTCTTTAATAAAAGGCTGTTACTTTTCTTGCTTTTCTTGCATTTTAATGAACAGAGTTTTGTTATTAAGGGTGGGGTGAATTGTATAATCAGTTGAAGGCCACGGAATAACTGCTATTGTTTAAAACAATAAGGTGTCATAAAAGACATATATATATAAGATAAATTGCACGGATACAAAGTAAGAATAGATAGGGAAAGATTGACGAAGAAAGCAATGATATCATTTAAGCAGAAAGACATGAAGCAAACATTAGGTTGACAAAAAATGGAGCCATCGGCATTATGGAAAAACTGCATTTTTCTAGATCGAAAATCCTAGCTTTTGTATCAAGGTTGCTTAATGTATTTATAAAAGGATTTCAAGTTAATCATAAATCCTGTTATTTTATTGCAGATTTTCAGAAAGGAGCCATTTTTTCATGGTCACGATAATTATGATCAGGTTTGTATCCATGATTTAATCAAACCGATAGGTATACTCTCGTTCTAATTATCAGTTTAGTTTTCCAGACATTTCTCGAATTTCTAACAATTGAGATCCATGTGAAAGGTCTTTTCATTTGACTACCTTAGTCTCAATAGCACAACCCTAAGTATTTCTACATGCAAGTAACGCCTGTTGGTTCGTCATAATTTGTATATACATTTCTTATGTGATCACGCGACGACGGTCCATGTACTGATCATATTAGAGCAGCCAAGTAATGAAGCTGGCTGCCTTTTACTTCAGACATATTTTTAATCTCCTGACCTACTTGTAGTGTTAATCTTTTTGACATTCTTCTGCATCCTTCTTAGCTGGTAAGGATCGCCAAGGTGTTAGGCACAGATGACCTGTTCGATTATCTTGAGAAATATCACATCGAGCTCGACCCAAGATTTAACGACATACTTGGAAGGTATACTCCTTTGATTTGTATCACATGGTGCATTCTTCACTTCTTACTCTCATCAAAGCTCTCACCGTATAAAGTTTTCGTCAAAAGTATTTACGCATTGCGATTTTCGTCACAAGAAGAGCCCGCTCAGTTGGTAAAACATTTTTTCCTTTACAGCAGAATCACCATACTGTAAAGAAACATAGGAACGAATCAGAACAAAGATTTAATGAACGTAATCGTGTTTTGATGACTTGAGCGTTTCATTTAAAAATATGTCTACTCTGTTTTGTTTCTGAAATATGTTTCTGTTTTGGTGACTTCGTTTGGCTGGGCAGGTAGTGGTTCAGAATGCCATTTGTAAGCTTTTTTATTGGAATAGGTTGTCAATGAGAAACTTATATAAGAGTATTTGTCTGTTTTTGGTATTGCACAAAGATGTATTGTTGTAGGCATTCGAAGAAGAGATGGGAAAGGTTCATTCACAGCGAGAATCAACACTTGGTGAGCCCCGAGGCCATTGACCTGATTGACAAACTTCTCAAGTACGATCATGCGGTAAGCCATTGTTTTGTGACGTCAAAAAGTTATTTTGATTTTATACTATCTTGAGCAGCTGTAGCTCAAGGACTCAGAAACCCATTCTACTTTAAGGGTGTCTTTCTGAAGAAGGTGGCATGGTTGTCACCATTTTTAGAATTAAGATTTCAATGTTCTTATATTGGAAGCATATACGTTTTGCTTTTCCTTTATGTAAATGATAATCTTTTGATTCACTAGGAGAGGCTGACTGCAAGAGAAGCAATGGATCAACCGTATTTCAGTACGTGCCCTTCTTAATTTTCCTTCTTTTCATTTTTCTAACGTTACTGTAATTCTTGCTATTTGAAATCGAAGCTACAACGCCATGTTCTCATATCCCTCATTCAATTTTTTATCATAAGGTTAAGTTGAGATTTGGCATTATTCACCGGGACCATTGTTTTTGTGCTTTCAAAGTCGTGCTGTAACCATATTATAATGCTTGATGTCGATATTATTTTATGTTGTTGCCATTGTGTGTTCTGCTAGAGAGTTTGTAAGAAAGCCTGCTACGCTTTAAACAAATATTGCAGCACGCTGTGTTTTCTTTGTTGCTAATAGCATTTCTTTTTCATTTGCAGTGCCTGTGGTGCGTCAAGAATCCGCAAGGTCTGGAAGTGCATCAGCGGCATCTAACAATGCATCGATAAGCAACGGCCCGTCACCAACTTTATGAATGGGTACATTAATCGAACGCTGTACAAAAATCAGCTCACTTGTAAAGTTGTTTCCACAGGTGTCCGGCTTTCTTAATGCAAAGTACGGACCTTATTTGAACCGCCCATGATCATTTCCATCACTTTAACGTATGTAGATTTAATTATTACACTTGTAGGAAGCCATGTGTTTGTTTTTGTTTATTCTAGAACTGTGTTCTGGCCTGTTATTCAGTAGCGTAGCTTGCATATCCTATTTAGTAACTGTTTGGTTGACAGTACCAGCTTTGCCACGTAGAATATTCCCATCATGCTGTTCGATGTTCCCTGCTGAACGCTTCTAATGCAGGAATAAAACAAGAGCATTTGAAAGCCTCTGTATAGGATTCACATTTGTCACCCATCCATCACTTTTTGGAAAACAGTTGGTCATTGGAAATAAGCATTACAATAGTCGTCATTTCTATGCCGCATTTCATTTTCTTATTAATAGAAAATTTCTTTCTACTTAAAATGCGTTTGAAAATTGAGATAAAAAACTACAAAGCCCTCTACTCTTGAAAAAAGTGAGGTGTTCGGACAAGGCATCACCTCAATTTCACTTTATGATGATATGTTTCTCGTTCATCCCCTGTTTTTACCTACTTCTCATATTCATATTCGTATTGAAATAATTCTTTCATACGACGCCCTTAGTTACGTCAAGACGTATGCAGCACTTGCCATGAGCATACCTATTCTAGGTATACCTTTTCTACCTTACATTAAGTGATTTGTGCTTTGTTAAATCGGATGTTAATCGGAATGTTTGAACTTCTGTTGTCCCAGTGTTGTGTAAAAGCAGGCGTTGGTTTATTTGTTTTCTCAAGTTTAGTTTGTTGCAAATGGACGTATATCATAATTTGCAAATAGGGTCTTTGTTCAACAAAGTCGTAAATCTGTAAACTTTCATTAATCAAACCTTCACCAAGTCAAATGTTGCTATCTTTGGAGCAAATCAGCTCGTCTGCTGCATCATCACAGATAATGGAACATTTATCTGCCTTTGAGATGAAAATGTTTGAGTCACGGTTAGTATTTTCTATTCAGTAAAGATAACACCAAACAGTTTTAGAGCTGTACAGTTATTGAGTAACAAATTTCAAAATAACAATTTCTTCAAATCCTCCATAAAAAAAATATCAAAGTAATTCCAGATGATTTGAGGATATTTTGAAGTAGTTGTCGACAAGTAAAGTGCACCAAAAAACCTTCTTTTTTTACTTGTTAAGTTTCTAGAAGGTATTATTTGGTCAGTAATTGATATGTTATTGAAATCAGAAAAAGAATTCTAGAGAAAGAAAAGTTGGAAGCGTATTTTGGATTAAATACCACCAACTTAAAAGGAAAAAGTTTTGAAATATCTCATAAAAGTAATTAAAGACGGCTGGATTTTATTTGTATGAGTGCAGAGTTTTTCGTAGTTCCTGACAAATGCATCAGGCATTTACCTTGATAGTGTCAGGCCAAATTGGACTGTGAAAAGACGAATGCTCAGCAGCGTCAGCCTTGAAATGGTTGGTCTCAAAGCCGGTGCTGCTGTGTGCATTTACTCCACCGACATTGATTTATTTTTGAAAGACAAGCCAATTTTCTACGTGTTGAAATCAGTGCAGAATGAGGTAGTAAAAAGTTTAGTTCAACGTTTATGTCGTGGAATGAGAGTGAGAAAAAAAAATAATATAGAATGTAATGTGGTATATGAAATAGATATTTTGAATGCTGAAGAGATAATGTTATTGTTTTATATGATTATATCATGTACCGAGTCACATCCTATTCTATTTATTTCGAGATGTGAAATGAGCTTTTAGCATAGATTGAAAGGGGTCGACGTCTACTCGATAATCCAAAGTGCATCAAAATGCACAACCCCTGCCAATTGTTTCCCAGGCAAATTCAGCCATCTTCATCTCCCCCAAGGGTGTTATTGAGTAATTTTTTTGTATGATATTTTTCTAGATTGTCTAAATTTCTGTGGTGAAAGGAGGATGGAAATAGTAGTATTCCGGAAAAGAAATGAAATATAGAAAAATAACGCAAATTGCTGGGAATGTTAAGTAATTTCGGCAGGCATTGGGCAAGCATGGTCGTCCTTTCGCCAGGTGTTTTGAATCATGTCTACGTCAAAACAAAGGATCCAGAATTGTGATTCGTCAAAAATGAGCAACCAGTCATTTTCATGTTACTTTAGGTACACAGCTGCAATATAAGTCACTCATTATCCGACGTTAATGCATTGAGCAGGAGTGGCGGTAGAAAAGTACAAATTTTTAGTACTAAACACCAGTTCAGAAAAAAATAAAGATAATAGGAGCTAGCACGCAACCTTGTTTAACGACCTTTATCAAATTGGGTGCCTACAGTTGATCTGTAATTCCCCATGACCATTTCTCGTTTTCTTGCTGTTCTTAACGAAAACCAGACGACATAAACTTACATATTCAGTTTATGCAGGTCAAGCAGTGTGATCATACCATGCTTCCCCAATGTTGCTCGAAGCGTATCACATCTACTCGTGGATAGAACAGAATTGATGTTATTGCTGGGTTTTTTAGATGAACAAACTCATTCAAATCCTCGTGATTTTGCTTGCAATAAATTCTAAACCCTGTGAATTTTGAATGAATGTGTTAACGACGTTATATTTTCATTTCGAATACCTAACACGATCTTTATTATGTATTTTCTAGATTTTACATTCTCGGAAATTTTCAATACAGAAACAAATATGAAACATATTGGAACGTTTTAAACATTTAAAATCATAAATGTTTTAAAAAACTGTTACTAACGCAAGGTTTGGAAATTTGTAATTTTTGAGCCAACATTCAGGTATTTGGTTAAAAAAGCGATAACGAAGCTTTTAGAGAAACTTTGCAAGAGGAGGAGGGGCTGACCATTTCGAGTCGCTTGTTTCTTTTACTATATTCATTCAAAAATTTGGGCTGGATAGAAAACTGACTTCTCAAGTCCCACTTCTTAAGTCATTTTCTTCACTTCAATACAGTATAATGTTGGAGTAGGTTGGAGTAATTTTGGAGTAGGTTTCTAATGATCTTCCTAGACAGCCCTTCCTCCCTTTCTTAGTATAGAATCTTGCCTGTATGACGAATCTGTCTCTCACAGAGAAACCAATTGTAGTCATCGATGAGAACTGCAGTCATCAAACTCGGCTATGCAATCTCTTTTTGTTGTAAACACATAAATAACCTAAATCCATTTCAAGCGATTTTGTTTTACGCCTTTGAAGAATAAATAGAGAGAATACCTTAAAACCAATAATGTTCTTAACAACTGTAGATCTAGACGCAAAATTCGCCTGCCTTTGTTCTTTTATTCGAGCATCATGAAAATTGGGTCTAAAGGCTTAAAACCGTTCATTGATTGCTTGTTTGTGAATGTCAGTCCAAAGATGCTTTGGCAAAGGAGATTCAACACCACCTTATACCATCATTTTCATGAAGCATTCTTTCTTAAACAAAATAAACACTTTGTTAATAATCGTTTGAACAGTTCCCTCATCATTGATATTTTTAGCCATTCTTATTTAATGAATCAGTCCAAAGAATTTTTCAAATGCAGTCAATTTTCACTGAAAACACAATCAATTGACGTGATTTGGGTTGCACGAATCACGAACACAGTTGAAAGTTATCACGATTCATGAACCACAATTATTTCAAAACACGAATCACGAAAAATAATAAATTTCAATAACGTTATACGAAAATACCCATACCGGCCCTCTATATACTATATGTATATCGGTACGCTCGGTACTCTCGGTACCCCTCCATACACTATATTTGTGGTGAATGTCTATATACTATAATTTCCTCAATTAAAGTATTATATAATGAATTACGAGGCAGCCTAGTTTCAGCCTGTGCTCCAGACCCCTAACTTGAAAGTAGAGGTCTGGAACACAGGCTACCTAGCTTACGCACTAAAGGTAGTCCACAGGCATCAACACTGTTGTTTGTTTGGATTCTTGCTGCTTGTATGAGGTTAGATAATCACAGCTTTATGAAGAATCAAAATATTTTCTATTGTCATGCAAATGAGGTTATGGCATTCAACCAATGAGAGACTCCGATACTAAGGGTGCTACATAGCTCCATTTTCATGATACAGGACGTTATTTAGACCGAGGTTCAGACTCAAATTTTATTTTGAAAAATACATGATGCTTTTAAGGTAAAAAGCCATTTTCCTGCCGGTTGTCAATCAGACCTTTCAGGGGTCGAGTCAGTTACATCTTATTAATTATGTAGCATTCTGACGAATGATGTTGTTCTAAAAATATCTTGATGAATTTGAATATACTAGTTTTAGAGTTCTAGATACACATTACCACCAACCTTTAGGTAGTTTGACTGTGTTGGGGATTTGTTTTTGAATGAGATATTGCATTTTCTATGGCGTATGATTTTGTTAATTTTTTACTGTCAGTTTTGGAAAAATATAGACTGCCATTTGTGAATGAGAAATTGTGCTAGTATTTTGATGTTATTTGTCTGGTCATACCATAAAAAAATAACCCTTTTCGCGAGTCTAACCTTTTAAAATTAGTAAAATTATTTGTAGTTTCCAAACAAAGCCGTCGCTAAGCACTTTCACTTGGGGGGGGGGGGGGTGCCAGTCACCAATTTGTCGACAAAATAGGGCGTAGTCTAGGAACATCTTGAATTTTGGGTGCGGCATTTTGACGCAATTGATTTTGTTTATCAAAGAGTTCTCGTTAGTCAATCATCGCTTCAATTATCGAGTAACTGAGGTCACTTTCTTTGATTTTAACATAGAATACAAGACCACCAAGAGGCTTCGGAGGCCTTGCAGCAAAAACCGAGGCTCCCCTGCGAGCGGAGCGAGCAGAAATTGTTGCGACCTAGCCTTTTAGACTGTTTTGAAGTGCATTTCAGAATATTTCTTGCAGTCATCTCTTGCAATTAATTTAAATATTTGCTTATGGACTGGGGCAGTCTTTTCATCCCATCATTACGTCACAGGTGTTGCCACACGCAATGTAGTTTTAGTTACTCGCGCCGTTGCTATCCACCTTGTTCGTTCACTGTGTATCTCACTGCTTCGCCCGTTATCAAAGTATATGAATAGAAACATGAATAGAAATCGAGTCGAGTCAAAATCGAGAAGAAGTCGAAATCATGAATAGAAACATTTAAACTCACGGAGATTTCATTGAAAAGGACATCTGTAGTTTTTCAAGACTTTTGCAGAGGAAATCGTCCTACTAACAGTTCTTTCAATGGAGCGACATTTGAACGTTGTTAGGCCTATTGATACAGAGAGTGGGCCTAAAAAACGAAACGGTGGCAAATGAGGGTTCAAAAGTTGTGTGCCACAATGCTTCAGCAACAGTCGTGTGGATCGGGATTTATCCTTTTACACTACACTCTTTTTTTATAAGAATCAGTAAATTTAAGTTCAGGCTGACTGTTCTTGATTTTTTCAAAAATCTGAGGCTGGATTGTTCTTAATTTGTTCTTAATCTAATGGGGTGGAAGCAGTGCGAGTGCTGGCTTTTTCGCTCTAGGGTGGTGTTCAGGCCTCATTTGCCAACAAAGTTAGTGAGACAGCCTTAATTTGCTGCCAAATTTGAATATTCACCGAAAAAGCACCCACACATCGATAAAAATCCTCGATTTTGAGAAAAAACGTTGTTCGAAATTGCATTTTGCAGAAGCTCAGCCGCAGCTTGTTTTTAATTTGTTCTTAACTTTTGACCAGTTTTGAGGCTCGAGGTCTTATAAAATTGTTCTTATAAAAAAAGAGTGTATTTGTAATTGTAGATGTTACGAAAAAACTTTGCTAAAAACACGCTGCTTGCATATGATCTCAAGGAAGGATTTCAACCTCACTGCAGCACATAGGTGGAATTCTTGCACACAACATGCAAACCCTGCTCTCTGCATTTCACTGGTGGACGTAAGACGTACATAATATATGTGTATATAGGAAAGATATGTGGCAGGAATTGCCTTGGTTCCTATCTTGTCTGCTGTAATTTTCCACCGTTGATGCTACTTCGAATCTTATTTAACGTGCAGTGAACACGGAACCAGTGAGAGAGACAGTGTGTTGCCTGTGTAACTCTGATGTGAACTGAACTTTATACCAATTAAGATACTTATATACAGAAATCAAAATGCTGACTAAGGATTAGTTAGGATGATGTAATAATGATGTAATGGAGAAGGAAAGATCTAGACTTGGGAAGAAATCAGCATGACATAGATGTGTAAACGTGTGTACAATGGTAAAGGGAATGTCCTGTGACCTATCCTATGTGATGCCGTGAATGACGTAAGGGGATATCGTGGTGCTGGCATGATCGATGAATGAATGCAAATATGGCCTATTTTACAATATTGAAATCACTACATATATATTGCTCGAGGCTTTGAAAAAAACAAATTGAACAAGAATTTTAGGTAGTGTTTCTTTCATTAACAGACATCAAGGATTATTAAATTAACAGCGAAATTTAGCCAACGATTACATATTCTGAAATATTAAGCAGCTATTTGATATCAATGAGTAACGTTATGATATAATCAGGCGCGGATCTAGGCCGGTTGCACAGGTGTCAAAAAACCGGTCAAATTTTTAAGAGCTATGTTTCTCTGTAAATTTTGAATTTCTATCCAAAATTTCAACTGCAACAACTGCTGCATTTCTCAAACACAACTCAATTCAAAATAGAGGCAATCAGTCGCCACTCGAAGTGACAGTTTGGAGTATGCTATCTATGCGCCAATATTGAAACCGGTGGCTATTGTTTTCTGAAAACCTGTGAAAACCGGTGACCATATGTTTCCCTTATGCGAGAAAAACAGGTGGCTAAAAAGCATATTCGATATCGATATCCATAGCTCGAAAGTCTGGACGCTTAAGACAAAATGATACAAAATGAAATACGGATGCAAATAAGAATCTGAGGTTTTGTATTGAGGGACTAGACTTTCTTTCTCGGAAAAAATCATGAAAATTAGAATCGAAGTTGTAAGAAGAGGATCAAAGGCCATGTTGAAATGGAGTAAAATTCTGACATTTTAGTAGCCTGCGTCGCAGACCATATTCTGACGGAGAATAAGCTAACATTTTAGATAAAGTGTAGGAAAATTAATCAAACCCGAAACTGGTGTCCTTGTTGCAGTTCTATAGAGGCAGGTTACTTTTGTTCATCACCTGAGGCTAGTTGGTTAATAGTTGACCTTGCAGCAGCGATACTGGTACCTTACTTTGTTGTCGCTGCTGTTGCGTTGAAGCCTGATGTAAGACAATGCATAACCAGAATTGCAGGACACTGTCTGCCTGTCAAGGTAGTAGACCCTACCACCGCCATCGTCTGTGAAGTCAGTATAACTGGTGTAGCACGTGCTACGACTTGCCCATGGGCTTGGAAGGTTGCAACAATAGTAGTTGTAACGAACTTTGTTGTGGGCAGAATTCCTCTCAACTCTGATATCATTGATAAATCCAGAGTTACCGCAATCAGCTCCATGCCTGTCCAAGTAGACAAGATTACCACCACCGTCGTCGCTGAAGGATGTTGTTTTGCTCTGCAATGAGCAAGATCCCTGAATTGTGCAGCATTTGTATTGGTAGCGCATATTCCCACCACTTTTTTGCAAATGGAACATGGACAAGATAGTGCCGCTCCCACCGCAGTTCATTCTGTGACGCTCGATATACACCATATTTCCATCGCTGTGTGTTTGGTAGAATGTGTACTTGTAGCTGCAGCTGTTAATTTCTAAAAATTGAATTTAGTTACATATTTCTTTCATCAACATTTTACATAAAAATACCATTACCAGTACCAGTTGAAACTGTCACAATAAAAAAAATTATGTCCAAATAATATTGATTGAAATATGGATCACTGTTTATATTATAAATGCAACGAATTGATCTTCCATACACTGCTGACTCTAGAAGTTACCATTCAAAGCAAAGCTAATCCACTCATTGACAAATAAAGCTTTGAATTATATATGGAAGAATACCTGGGCAAGGAACGTGTGTATTGCAAGAAACTGACGTTCTTGAAGATCCAGCGCAGTTGCTACCACCATTCTGTGGTGCAGGATTTGTGCATGTCCTCCTATCTACCTTCACTCCTACTCCGCATGTCTTGCTGCAAGCTCCCCAAGACCATGAACTCCAGCCACCATTTACTGTAAACATGCAAATAAGTTGAATAAAGATTCAATAATTAAGTGGAAATCTTGGGATCGTAACGATTTTACTTTGAACAATCAAACGTATCTAGACAAAGTTGGACATCATCTAATTTAATGCATCAATTTAAAAATAGATATCGGAAACCACGAAAGAAAATTAAGGACAATCTACAATAAATGACCATCTCGCATTGAACAAAAAAATCCAAGCTCATCACAGACCTTAGAATCCTCGAACTGGGAGATCAGGTGACCAACGAACATTATATATTGTGAAATATATTAAAAATACCACATGCTCATTTACGGACTAGCTTTTTGGCGTGGCACAATGTTATTGTAGCTGGTCGGGGAAAAGTTTTCTTTTTCACTTTGTAAAGTTTCAAGAAAATGATACTTATGGGGCAACCTTAACTGTTTGTTGTTGCTCCCCCTTGTAGATGCAGTTAACCATTAAGCTATTCGAGTCTACGAGTTTAAACTTGTACGATAGAAGGGAACTAATCATTTTCTAGTTTCACTGAGCAAAATGCAACAAACGAGAGGTTATATAGACAATTAGACAATTACTTGTTAATTTTACTCATCAAGAACATGTAAATCTCGCAACCAAGAATAGTTCTGCTTTCCCTATCCTGGGTACCAGAGTCTCCATCATTTAATCTCAGGTATAATAATTCAAATTTTTTGTCGATTAAGAACATGCCATATCCCACCGCTCGAACAAGTATTATGGGCCCCATTTATAGTACATTTGTACATTTGAATGTTATTACAGGTAGATAACATAGATTAGAAAATTAACAAAGATAAAGTGGCTGACCTGGGCATCCTTGTGTGTTGCAAGAGGCTGACTGTTTTGAAGGTCCAGTGCAATTGCTACTCTGTGGTGAAGGATCTGTACATGTCCTACTTGCGTACTTCACTCCTCCTCCACATGTCTTGCTGCAACCTCCCCAAGTCCATGAACTCCAGCTACCATCTACTGTAAGCATTAGAAAGGGCTGAATAATGTTACAAAATTTTAGTGGAACTTTTGGGATCGTAACGATTTCTCGTACAAGCCAAAAATTCTAAACAAACGAACGTATCTTGACAAAGTTGGACATCATTTAACTTAATACATTAATTTTCAAATACACTCTTTTTTTATAAGAACAATTTTGTAAGAACACGAGCCTCAAAACTGGTCAAAAGTTAAGAACAAATTAAAAACAAGCTGAGGCTGATCTTTGCAAAATGCAATTTTGAACAATGTTTCAGCATGTGAACAAAAAAATCCCAGCTCGTCACGGACCTTGGAATGCTTTAGCTAACATGGAGATCAGCTGATCAGCGAGGATTTTATTGTGAAATATGTTAAAGATACCGCACGTTCATTTAAGAACTAGGTTTTTGACGTGGCACCACGTCAATGTGACAAGGACGAGGTAAACTCATTTTTAATAAAGGATTTTGTAGCTGTTTTCATTGTCACTTTTCTAAAGTTTCAAAAGAACGATTCTTATGAGATAACCTTTACTGTTTGCTGTTGCTGCAGATGCAGTTTACCATAGAGTTGTTCGAGTCTACCATGGAGTTTTCGAGTTACCATGGAATTGTTCGAGTTTTCCATGGAATGGAATTTTTCCATGGAGTTTAACCGTGTCTACGAGTTGAAACTTTTATGATAGAAGGAGACTACCTTTTTTCTCAATATGGCTTGGCAAAATGCAACAAACGAAGAAGTTAATGTGTTATGTATAAGCATCTGCAAAATAGACAAATATGTAATAAGACAGATCGTTCAGACATTCGCTTATATTGCTGTTGCTGCTGCTGTTGCTATTTCAATTATGGGTTTTTCTGCATGCCGCGTTACGGTTACATACCGGTGTCTGGTGTGCTATGCGTTTCTGCATGGGCCGAGACGCATATGCGTTTGAAGTGTTACAGTGTAATGGCGGACATGCAGGGCGTAGCTGTGAATGGCTTGAAGCGCATATGCGTTAGACAGGACACAAATGTGTTTCAACGGATGTGCGTTTTCTGGTTTCTGCATGGGCCTAAGGCAAACTACAAAAAATGATAAAAATTCAAAAATGCTACTTGCATGGACAAATTTGACCTATATCAGAATGTTGCAATCATTTCTTGCTAGTAAACATTCATTTGCGATGAAATTCGATGGTGTTTTGATTTTAGATGCCCCATGCAGAAACGCATAGCACTAAAACTCTCTATGCATTTCTGCATGGGCTAAGCGGATGGTAGTTGCTCATCTTATCATTAGCTTGATTGTAATTTCGTCTTTTGAGTTTATCGCGTGACGAGGTTTATATATTTTTGAGTATTTGATATTTTGTTAACATATAGAACTTCGATTTGTTTTGGTATTGTTTATATTGCAGGCTTGCGTTGTGTATCCCACAGCTAGGCCCTCCATGTCCGCCATTACACTTTAACATTTGAAACGCATATGTGTCTCAGCCCATGCAGAAACGCATGCCTATGCAGAAACGCATTTGACACCGGCATTGCATCAGACGTTGTACTTTGATATTGCATCAGATACTTTTACAGCGTTTTCCTGATTGGCCATGAACATGATATACATTTCTATTAACCTTATTTAGTAAAGATCTATTATTTTCATAATGTTAATATTTGCCCCTATTTACTCTAATATATATCGTGTAGCGTAGTTTTTAGGTAGAATCTCGAAGAAAGTTGTAGACAAACAAAGATGCCGAAATAATCTGCTGTTGTCGAAATCATTTGCTGTTTAAGACGAGAAATGTCTTCATTTTAGTTCTTCTGTCCAAGGTTGTAAGTCAATTCTATTTATTATTTAGAACTTACGCAAGGTTATGTTAAATAAAAGTAGTGATTTGACAAATACTCGATTCTACTCACCAAGAACATGTAAATCTCGCATCCAAGAAAAGTTTTATTTCCCGATTGAAAAGTTGTAACTTCCAATTAGGGACCCCAAGTATAAGGAAAAGAACATGTACATTTGAGTGTAATAATAGATAGATAACATGAGTCAGGAAGTTAATAAGGAAAAAGTGACTGACCTGGGCATTCATGTGTGTTGCAAAAGGCGAACCGTATAGAAATGCCAACGCACCTCATACCGCCATTCTGTGGTGAAGGATTTGTGCATGTCCTAATTGCGTTTTTCACTCCAAATCCGCATGTCTTGCTGCAAGCTCCCCAAGACCATGAACTCCAGCCACCATCCAGTGGCGTAGCGTGAGCTGTTGAAGTGGGTATGCGGTGTTAGGTGTGGTCAACAAGTAACGCGCCTGTGGGAGACCAGAGGGTAAACCCCGAAAGCTGCAATTTTTTAACTCCAGATGATTGTTAAAATCGTGTTTTTATACAGGAATTTCTACCATTTAAAAAAGAACACCTGACACACAATCCTAAAAGACGTTTATACTAATGAAAATATGATCAACTTTTTCACAGTCACCGTGTTACGTATGTTATGTTTGAAATTTCATTTAATTCCTTTAGGCTAGCCAAGGCTGACGGCAGAAGAGGAGTCGGGGGTCGGACCTCGTTTTGTGTCGTTCCATCCTAGCTGTTGAAAATTGCTCACGTCGTAAATGCTGCTGTGAGTCCCTGCAATAAATTATTGGCGGTATCGACTCTGCCTATAGTGCGCATGTAAATTTAAAAACACTGAATAACCGCACGAATAATCTACTTGTACTTCAGCCCAGGACGTATTTTTTACTTAAGAAACAATAACTGCATTATAGAAAGCGTCTATTTATATAATCTATCCTGTCTCCTCTGCCATGTCATGTTCATATCAGAGTACAATTTCTGAGCTAAAAAACAATCCCATATCCTTTATAACGATTTAATGTTGCCAAATATATGAATATTCTATAAACCATATCAAGGCAAAATGGGTACCCTGACAAGGCAGACCCCCGTTGGCCCCTGTACTATCCCTATTTGAGTGCCCATCTCGGCAGTTTTGGTGCTAAGGTTGAAATGATGAAAAATAGCATTTATATCTTCATATTTTGCTTCTCTACAATCTACACAATGCACTTGTTCTAATCCAAATCTCAACGAATTGCGCTGAGATACATCAACATACATTTGGGCGTTTGCCGAACCGCCTGCCCTGGCTCTTTATTTCTCAGTACCTGGCCACGTGACTTGCCTTACTGAACAACTGCAAATGAAGGAAGCTGAGATTAGTTGCTTCCCTTTCAAAGCTCGATCCTCAGCTCTCACAGCCAAAAACGGCAGCAAACTTCCAGCTTGCTGCCATTTAAACGCAGCTTGTAAAAACGAAAACACTCCGAAAACCAAGACTTTCTGCTTGTAAAAACTAAAGCAACCCATTTCCAAACTCACTTGCAGCACTCATTTCATGCAATCACGCATGTGTAATGCTGATTCACAGGTCACGTGCCAATGTCTATTCACGTATTCACGCATAATAAAAATTTGTTTCACGAATTCATGCATCGAAAATATGCCGATCACGCAATCACGCCAAGATGCTGATACCCCTTTAATGACGTACTACTAAATTTTGACGCATTCTTAAAGTACTGGCTAACTATACAGCCATACTCCAATTGAAAATGGCAAATTTTTAGACCAAAGCAAAACGGCAAATTTTTCTGGGCTCCCAAAATTTGATTTCCCGGTAAAGAAAAAGCATTCAAGTGAGCCCCTTTTGCAGAGTTTTGCAGATAAATTTTAACAAGAGACCTTCAGTCATGCTCAGACTATACAGCATTGTTTTGACACAAAATTTCTCTAGTCGGTGAATAGAGAGCCTTCTGTTAGAGGTTAGGGCCAGGAATTGTTGCGTACAGCGTACAATGAAAACAGTGGAGGATTTTCATAAAATTTTGGGGGGGGGGGGGCATCAGTGTGAAACTTGCTGAATGTAACATGATAAATATGTGATGTGATATGTGATGACTTTCATAGTCCAGCAAAAGCCTAACCTTCCTCTGACTGCCTTTCTCTTCAGTTGAACCTTTCGCGAATTTGATATAAACCTAAAATAATGGGTTAACTCAAAATGAGTTTTCTTTGAAAATTGATATTTTTCAATTGATATTAGAGAACGCCCGACTATTTGTCACCTTAAGAAACAACTTAAGGAGTATTCGAAGAGCTGAGAGCATGCTAGATTGCAATTATATCTTTTTTAATTCAACTAAAATATTTATACTTAATTAAGATTGTGTTTGGGTAGCTGAAGGGTTGCATCGTGTATAAAGAATATCATCAATTAGAAGTGAATTCAATATGGAAGTTACAAATAGTATAAACAGAAAAGCAAGAGCGATATGAAATACCAAGACCAGAAATGCCTCCAGCACCATCAATGGCAGAAACCGTAATGAAGCTAAGAAAAGACAGACAACGCGGACACCAATGCGCAGTGGTGTAACGCACCGTGTGCAGTGTGCACCTTTAAGCACAAAACTAAGGGCCCCCAGATATTTGGGCCCCAAAGGGGCTCCTAGGAATTTTCTAGAAAAAAGGGTTTTTGGGTAAAAGCACACGTTTCTTCATAGCATTCAAAGCAACCACATAATAATGATGTAAGCTATAGCATGTCAGTAAGGTTTCTCTCTAATGCACACCTCTATTGTTATAAAATCTTGTTTTTAATTTACAAGAATATCACAGATATTTTAAAACTAATTGATTCCTTCAATGAAGCTGTTTGAAAATGTTTTTCCATCTAAGCATGTTTTCAAATGCATGGGTCAATGTTCTTGCTTTCATTTCATGAATCTTGTGCCAACCAAAGGCTTGACAAGAAACGAAAAATCTAAGCTGCTTCAGCAAACACAAAGAAAATTTCGCTATTTTTTGGAAAAGCAAAGACCAAGATCTACCAAGCTCGAGTCTCCCTCAGCAGGGAGAAAAAGCCGAAGAAAAATTCACGAGCCCTGTCATTAAGAAATCTTCTGACACTCCTAAAAAGAGCAGCAAAAGTGCGAGTCAAGCTTCAACTGGAGAAATGTCATATCAGTTTGATCTCTCAAAGTCTGATTTAACTGCTCATGGTCATTTTTGTGAAGATGTCCTTGATACAGATCTTAAGAAATTGATTTACAGAATGGTCCTGGCCATTTCGAACTAGTGGTTGCATAAAGAAAGATAGATCTTTCTCTGCAAATTTTAGTGCTAGGTATGATAATATTAACACTTTAAAACATTTCAGTTCTAAGGCAATGGCTCTGTTATTCGAAGGAATTAAAGAAACTTTGTGAGGTTTGCTGGCTGTTTGCAGATATTTGCTTAGGTCTGTTCAAACGGAGAAAAAACACTTACCTCTTCCACTCCAAGCTCGAGGCCAATTGGTTGTGGATTTGTGTTCCATGGCACTTAAACTTCCTTTCAAACAATAGCTAGCCTGCGCGAAGACTTAACAAATAGAGAAAATTGTAAAGTTTGCGCATCGGCGCAGATTTTCTTGTATCCACTTATTTCGCAAGGCTATTGCCTTATTCAAAGCTGTTTTTCTTTATAGCCAATGTCTTTTCACGAATCATATCGATTCTTTTTAATCGTTTTGCGTTGGGGATGACTTTGCATGCTAGTATTTGAATCAGTTTGGTCGCTTGGGACATTTCGTGTTCAAATAATTTAAATTCAATTTAAAGCTATTGTGCCAAGGATAATAGATTGGGAAATAAAGACGATACCCTTAAGAAGATATGACGTAGTGGATACAAGAAAACAAGATTAGCTGATAGAAATACAGCTCAACCCGAGAAGTAGTTGAGTCTTTAGAAATATGGAATTATCAGTTTGAATTTTGATTTATCATCTTCCTCGTGGGTACTTCATGAATTAATGGACAATCATTTCTCACAATTGAAATAGTGCTAGTTTGGACATATCACACTGTCTTTGTTGAAGTGAGACCAAAACTGCAAAAACAGTTTAAACAGAAAAACACAGAAAGTTTTGACTGTAGTCAATAATGCTACCATATCCCATTGCTTCAGAACATTGTGCAATAGTCTTTCACATTGGTCTAGACAAAGGGGAGTTGTACTATTTCAGCAGATCTTTAGGGACATATAGACTAGGCCTATCATTTAGAGATTTGGAAAAAATAATGGTCAGCGTTTTAAGGTTGGGAATTAAAAGACAATTGGATCGGCCCTATTGACAATATTCCCCTAAGTAGTCATTAAACAATACCTTAATACGTCATATACTTGTTTTGCTGAGCTAGAAGCAAATAAATGAAAATACATCTTAAATGCTGGTTTTCATACAACGTCATCAGAGTCTACGATGAATTAAGATTATTTATATGAAAACCGACCAAATTATATGAAAGTCACCTATCGTAAAAAATCCTAATAGAACATTAATTTTATCTTGATTCAACGTCATTCGACTTACATTCCCCTCACAACAGCATTGCATCACATTATTCAAAATGGCGGCACTTTTTGTCAACTTTTCAACCATATCAAACATTTGAATGCATGAATTGAGTGAATTGGCGTACTTAATGGCAATTTTTCTTCTGGGAGGGGGTTGGAATTCTTGAAAATCTTGCTGACGTCATATGAAAAATAGTTTGAAATTAGTAAATGTGTCTTTGTTTGTAGAAATGTCGAACATGCCGATATGAGAAAAAGTGTCAAATGAGAGGCTAGTCGGTATAAAATAGTTATGGGAAAAAAGACTTTAATTTTCGAAAAATTGTTGAACAAGTTAGATGCAGCCACACAACAGCTGTGAGAATAAAAAGTGTTTTCTCGAAAGTGTTTCAGTAGCAAGAAACCGAGCAGTGGAGGTGTAAAAAATTGATGTTAGAGAGGAAAGAATTTGTCTGTTTCGCTTCAAGGCGTTTGGACTTAGGGGCACTAAAGGCCATGAAACTTGAGACTGAGCAAGGTTTTTCAGCTCAAAATCCTTCCAGAAAAATAAGAATTAGTGTCTTACACAAATATAAGATAAAAAGTTAACTGAATAAAGGAAACCATTTTTTCAACGATTTGTTTTCAAACAAGAAGAATTCAGGGCGTCCATCAAGTCCAGATTTGCACATCGTTGAAGATGTTTGCCTTCCTATGAAAAACGTTACGAACCATGAATCGTCAAGTGAAAGAATTCTTCAGGTTTGACATGAAACTCCACAAAAATACATTGCCCGACTATATGCAGCTTATTCAAGAAGGCTGAAGGTTTGGAAAGTTTGTGGTTTTAAAAGTTCGCAGTTACGGTTACTATCAATATATCAATATATAAATTTGAAACTGTTAAAAGACCTTTCTTACTGTTTTTTTTTAAAAATTGCTCCAAAAATTTTGAGGCTTCGATTGGTGGCTGTTTCACTACAAACCCATTTCCAATTGCCACGCAAAAACACAATCAATTCGCACACCAATGACTTTTGATAATTCTGGCGCCATTAGCCCTCCTTCGAGGTGGTGCAATACTGTGGTGAGGTGAGTGTAATTCATCAGAAGAAATCAAAAATTTTGTTTCTCCAGACAAAATACGTTGAATACGATACATGAAGATTACATGGGCCCAACTTTAGGTAGGGGCCACATGAAGGCAAAAGGGAACACCTCCGTGGGCTGTAAATAGGGGCATGACCGCTGGTTTTGAAAAGAGGAGGGCACGTGCTCCTTGTGCCCTCTATGCCCCCGGCTGCTAGTGTACACAGTATATTGGGGGAAATATATCGAGTAAAAGATTCTGTAAATTCGAAAAAACCGAACAAAGCTATTAATTTTTTAGTCGGTTTTCTCTAATTTCTTTATAAACTCTTTTTTCAAGTTCCTAGCCATTACATTTTTACACTAAGTTTTCTTTGATATAGTTAGTAAAGGTCATTATCAAAATACAACATCAACGTCTGTGATTCTGTCTATACTGATATCAAAAGCAATGTTTTCAGACAAGAATCAGTGGGCAAAGAAAATTTAGAACATTATGATCCTTTAAATTTCTTACAAATAACATTCTTGTTCTTACAATTTTCTTCTTTTTTTCTCTCAATTTTCATTTCCTTCTTTATTCCTCCAAAAAGCTCAAATTTCCTTTTGGGAAAAAGATTCTTTCCAAGTGAAAACATTGCCAATAAGCTTCGATATATGTCTCGTGAAAATATTTGCAAGTGGTTGATTTAAAAGCGTAAATTGTGTTCTTTCATTTGTTTACGAGAAGGGGAGACGAAATTTTTTAGGTCGTTTGATTCAGTCACCATTTCTGATCCATTTAAATTCATTTTAAAAAAATTATTTTTGGGAAAGCTTTTTTATTGATTTCAAATTTTTTTTCGGGGAGCCCCATAATTTGCCTAATTCATTGGAAAGATAATCAAGCTTATCACAATGACTCTATAAACCTTGGAACGGAAGACAAAATGGCTTATCAAATTTCCCGCATGGCCAATGATTTTGATAAGTCATTTTCTCAACTTCCATACTGTATGCTCATAGGTTATCTATGGTATGCTTTATATATACTGTGTGTTCTTATTACCAAAGTAACAAGGCAAAAACTACACGATCCTAGTTCTGCCTGCGGAAAACTTAAACTATATCGATGAAGCCAACAAGCATTTGCTTGGACGGCATTATTTGAGTGACTCAATACCACGTGCAAATCATTTTATGCCAAATCACATGTTTAAAATAATTCCTTTAGACCTTCAGTTATAGATAGTCTAAAGAGCAAAATAGAATTTCAGTTAGGAATAGTATGCTACACAATATTTTGCGCATTCTATACGCTCTTTGTTGCTATACTGATTTAGATGAGCCCACCATTGATCGAAAAGGTAACTTTTTCATAAGAGAATTAGTAAAAATTTATTTATTGACCCCAGTCGTTCTTACTACCTTTGAAATAAATGTTATTCTCAATGAAATAAAAGTATCACAGTTGGATATACACAAAACATGAAGATACAGCGCATAGGTAAGAAGAAGAATGAATAGGCAACGAATAAGGTTTCATATGGTGAACTTAATACAAGTGTTTTTAATTTACTGCAAGTGTTTGATATTTGCTTTTATCGATTATCAAAAATTGACTTTACAGCAACGGTAAATGTATCGATATTGGTCCCCACCAATGTTGTTTCTCTGAAGCTGGATGTAAGACAAGGCATATCCTGCATCACAGCTTACCATCTGTCTGTCCAGATAATAAACTCGTCCATTACCATCGAATGTGAATCCAGTATGTCTTGTATAACACTGAGCTAGGCCTGTCCAATTGGCTGATAATTGACAGCACTGGTAGTTGTATCTTACTTTATTGCCAGCTGCATTCCTCTCTAATCTAAACTCACTGATGAAGCCTTTTGTGCTGCAATCCATTGCATGCCTGTCAAGATATCTCGTATTGCCAGTCCCATCTTCACTGAATAATGATGTCTTCTGACTGCTGCTACACACCCCTTGGCCTTCGATTTTGCAGCATTGATACCGAAAGCGAATTTTCTCACCATTTTTTTCAAGATAAAACATTGACAAGATGCTACCAGAACCAGCGCACTGAACTCGATGGCGATCAAGATACACCATGTTGCCTCCTCCATGTGTCTCATAGTTTGTATATGCCAGATTGCAGAGATGTATTGCTGTAAAAAAACAACGGATTCTTTTGCATCTTTAAACTTCTTTTTAGAATAGGATTTCAATTCATAACTCTCATTGATTTAAATATGTCAGTATTCGATGGAGTTTGTTTAAGGGATGTCAGATGCTGAAACTGATTTTGCGAAGTAAAGTCACTTTTCTTACTAACAAGCATATGTGGCTAATTATGGAATATCATAATTGCAGTAGTAAGTGTAAAAGACGTTACTTTGTAAGCGTATTGCTAAAGCATGGCAATAAAAACAGTCTGCTCTATGATGCAACTAAACATAACAAATAAACTCTTCAACAACAATTCATTTTAATTTCTTTATCTGTTCCGTTTAAGTTCAATGCTGCTATAAATTACTGGAGGTTTTTATATTGACACAGAAAGCTGTTTTTCTCACACAAGTATTGTTTTTTAAGATTTTGAAAAATTAGTGAAACTTTATCGAGTTGAGGAAAGTTAGATTTAGCACGAGGGAATTAATAGGAATCTTCACAAATGTTGATAGCCAGAAACACTTCTCTTGATAACCAGAATGTTTTTCTCAGAAATAAGCATGATCCTGATTTTTAAAGGAGAGAAATGTCGCGAGGAACTTTACAAGGTATACGGTGTGTTACCTGGGCAAACATCTGTGTTGCATGATTTCGACTCAGATGATGGACCGTGACAACTTTCACCACCATTTTGAGGCAAAGGATTGTTACATAGGCGATGACGTGTTTGGTTTCCTCCTCCGCAATGTTTGCTACATAGACTGTATTGACTGTAAGGGCTCCACCCTCCATTCACTGCAAGTAGAAGGTAATTGAAACTCATTTCTTTAACGATTCCTTTATTCGAGAATATTTAACTCGATTTGAAAACATCACATCATATCTGGATACAATAAAGGCAATAATTCAGTGGATCATGCGTTTATCGCTATACCTGGGCAAAGCTGAATATTGCAGGCTTTGGCTTCTGAGGTGTGTCCTGTGCAGCATTTTCCTCCGTGCGCCGGTGCTGGGTTAGAGCAATTTCTATGGCGGTATTGGACACCTCCTCCGCATGACTTGGAGCACAGCCCGTATGACCCATACTCACTCCAGACACCGTCCACTAGAAAAACGGTTGACATTTACATCAACGAAAGCCTATATTATACAGGGCCTACGCCACCAGGGGGAGGAGGGCTGGAGGCCCCCCCCCCACTTTTTTGGTAAGCAAAAGTATTTCCAGGGAGGTCCTGTTTTGAAGCACTACATTCAAGTTTGACTTGGCCCCTCCACCTTGAAATTCGTTGCATGGGCCCTGTCATATCGATTGATAGTTTCGCAACAATATTTGCGATATCATGATGAGAATTAAGGAGACAGAGTGAACAATTTCTTCTGAAAGCAACTCAGAAATGCTTAAATGAATTCTTTCTTGGTAATAATAACTTCTTGAATTTTGACCATAATATTGGGAATAAAGTGTTTTCATAATATCATAGTATTTTTGAGATAGCAGCCAATAATCTTATTAAAAAGTGACGGCAATAGAATCCCATTACGAATTATCACCTCGAGGAATGTTACAGCTAGAATTTACCCTAAAACCTTCTTTAAATACCCCAGTAGAAAAGTGTCTTTCGATACAAGTTGATCGTTGCATAACTTAAGACTTGGATGAAAAAGAACAGTTTCTACAACAGCCAATGACCGGAATTAGTCAACTAGCCAACTCACAGGCTGCTTTGGCACACCTGCTTAAAAGATGTATAGTATTAGCGACAAGTTGTTAAAATGGCACAATCTGCGGAAACTACAGACCATATCCTGGACCTATTTTCTGTAATAACTTGAAAAATTGAAAAAACTCTTTAAGTAATGTTTATTCGTATTTTGAAACGCCTCTAATCTACTTTGAACCGGTCAGGTTTAACACAAAATTTCCTATTCTTTATGAAACGTGATTACGAAGTTGAAATGAAGCCAAATGAAGAAAAAATTACCTGGACATTCTTTGATTACACAAGGTTTCCTCTCTGTGTAAGGGCCAAGGTGGCTACAGTCCTTGCCCTCTCCTTTGGGAGGTGGGTTGTCACAGTTTCTTTCTCTGTACATAAAACCCTCACCACATTCCTTGTCACATTTCGTCCATGGAAGCCAATCACCAAATCCTCCGTCAACATCTTCACAGAATCGTTAAAAGACAAAAAGACAAAGTTGCTAGTTAAGTAGAACTCAAGTGTAATAGACTAGCAATGTCTATTATTTACGGAACCATTTATGATATGAAACATCAAAGATACACCAATTTAAGCACGTTGAATAATGAAAAATGTGTCATCTAAATATTTATTGGACATTTCAAGAAAAATCTGCAGACTTCTTCTAAAACGTATATGAACACCAACAGGAAACAAGATAATTTGTTACAAATCTGGTCCTTTGCGCGCAAGGTCTCAAGTTTACTTTATCATTTAATGGAGTGTCTCAAATTATTCAGCTCTAATTTATTTTCAGTTCTCCATTCCGAACGTATCCTGTATGTTCTAAACCTCAAGTATCGTATCATACAGTTTATTTTCAAAAAGTTTCATATAGTTTCTTCAATTGATCAATGAACAATTTTCATCGTAATATCGTCACGATAATTTCCTGTGTTATAGCCATAAATACAATCTAAGCTAACAGCATGTTCTCGATTCAAACATGTTATTTTTTTCGTCTCTTGGGTGCCTTTTGTTTATTTATTAAGGACAACTTTTAAGAATGGTCTCTTGTCTCTTTTCTGTTAAAGCCTGTCGTAAGGGCAAAGAGAATTATGTAATTAACGAGAATGCTCTAAAAATGTTTTTCCTCACTTTCTTCTGCGCTGTCGATGAACTGATAAACGGCTTCAGCATTTTCCTTTCCCATGCAGTGGCTGTGCTCATCTTTCAAGCAATCAACGTATATCTGCTCTCCATAACAAATCTGATTCATATGCTCTTTTTTCATCAACGCAGTCACCTGATCCTTAGTTCTGCCGTAGCACTGTCCTCCATAGTGGATTGCATAGCCTGCAAATCCTTGTGCTTTAGCCGCTTCTGCGCATTTGCATGAAATTCTAGAGCAAAACAATTTAGCCATCAAAAATGATATTCCTTGAAAAAACATCACATTTGAGAAACTTTTTAACTTATCAAAAAGTGCTTATAAACCAATATAGCCTTTGTTCCAAACCGAGGGAACTTCAGTGGTTTCGAGAAAATAATTTTAGGAGTAGGTTTCCAATGATTCCTTCCTAGACAGCCCTTCCTCCTTTTCTCAATCTAGAATCTTGCCTTTGTGACGAATCTGTCTCTCACAGAGAAGCCAATTGTAGTCATCGATGAGAACTGCAATCATCAAACTCGGCTATGCAATCTTTTTTGCTGTAAATGCATAAATAAACTAAACCCCATTTCAAGCGATTTTGTTTTACGCCTTTAAAAAATAAATAGAGAGAACACTTTAGAACCCATAATTTATCTAAAAACTGGAGATCTAGAAGCAAAATTTGCCTGCCTGTATTCAGGCATCATGAAAATTGGGTCCAAAGGCTTAGAACCACACATTGATTCCTTGTTTGTGAATGTCAATCCAAAGATGATTTGGCGAAGAAAGTTTAATACCACCTTATATCCCCATTTTTTTGAAAGATTTTATCTTAACATCAAACATAAACTTTGCATCTAATTTTGCTTTTATTCTCTATAAATGTTGACACATTTAAGGTTTGAATGAATTCTGCCAAAATTGTGAAACTTCTTGCAGTTTTTCAAAAATAGGATTTTAGAGCATCCCAGATATCCTATTTGAACTCTAGAGCGAACCAAAAAGATAATCCCAAAGGCTATCACAGAAAGCTTTTCTAATGTTTCTCTAGCTTCCTGTTAAGGCTATACCATAAAATCGATGCCACAAAATTATTTAAATTCGTTTGTTGCTAATAGGTGCTCGTTCCCGCATATACAAGTCAATGGCAAAAATATAAATCTAGACTTACCCACTTAAAAAGGTCCCAATATTTTTCCAGTCAATGACATGTTCTTCATTAATGAGCAGTTTGCCAGGGGAATCTTCTTGGAAGCAACCAATCATTTGGTATTTGTGCACGCATACAGTGTTTGCAGCAGCTAACGATTTAAACAAGAAAAGACACATCAAAAGCACATATTTTTTTAAATTAAAGCGGTAATTCGAAAAAAAATCGATCGCTAAGACCATCCCGCTGATTTATCTAAAACAGGGTTTGCTACAATTCTAAGATGCATGTAAATGTGTTTAAATGTGTTAGTTATCTTTAACTTTACTTACCACTACTTGCAAAAATCAATGCAGCAAATGCTAACAGGAACCCGGCCATCATGGAAACAGCAACCTCTACAGATAGGAATCATAAATCATTAACATCTTCGAATCTATTTAGTTTATGGTCATTGAAAGAGAACAGAAAAATATTAAATTTAAGGTAACAGCAGAAGGAATTTTATAAAAGAGAATAAGGCCGGTCTTGTCTCCATGCTTAGCTTGTCTCCTATCATAAAAACCTATACAGTGTAGATTTACGTGAAGTTCATCATTCCTATTTCGCGATACTTACTGTTTGAAAATCACCCTAGAATGCAGCAGTACATACAACTGTTGAGTATCACTCGAGATGGAATTTATACTTTTTAATGTCAATATCAATTAAGATGCTAATATCTATTGTGTGAAAAAATTACTGCTAGGCTCTGTTTGAGCAAACATGTTGAGAGAGTCGGTTCTTTCTTTAAAATTTTCGCATAGTAAACATGGATAGCACTGACAACATGGATTTGGAAGTTCTCACGTTAAGCGTAAAGAGCTTTCCAGACGTCAGTAATTGCGACGGTACTTGCGTGCAAATATGATGGAAGATTACACTAGCGATTTACAGATTTCGACAACGCTCTTTCTGTTTATGACTCGCCAGCAATCTATCAACATCTCAATAACATCTCCCTTTCTTTATGATGCCGTTAAGCATTTAACAGGTCAATTACAAAATTTATCTTTCACTAAATTCCAGTGCTAGTACATTTTTTCATAAGCTCAAGCAAAGTCATCGGGAGTATTTATGTACTTTTCTGAAATATTAGTGCTTGACTTTATTTTCCGCCAGTTCTTCAAAAAGAATGAAGACACCAATAGTATTTTAGCATCTAAATGAAACAATGTCTTCTACATAGGTCTTTCCTGAAACAATTCTGTTCCATCGTTATTAATGCTGTAGCAATTTACAATATATATATATTATGATTACTGATGAAGACTTCGGTCGAAACGTTTAAGCGATAGTGTTTTTTCTGAATATCTATATATATATATATATATATGTTAATTTTGATATAATTAATGACGTTCTATTTGCTTAGCATACACTTTAAGCCGTTACAAATGTTTTCCTTTTGCATATGACCATAACATAACTTCTTTTCCACTTACTTTTAAGCAAAAAACCTCGTTGCTGAATATTTACTTCTTTGAGTCAAAGTGAACCGTGAATCAAAGAATGTTCATGATTTTGGTGTGGCTAAAACTAACACGGTGAAAATCCATGTAAGAAACTCAGAATTGCTTGTGCTTGAGAGCTGTAAAGCAAAACCAAATCTACATCCACCTTTGACGAATGAAACAATCTTTCAGAGAACGAAATATCAGCCCAACACCCAAAGATGCCTAGGAGTTGAGATCGTCCTACCCTTGAATTATATTATGGCAGATTTTACCGCAACAAGAAAAGTAATCAAGTGGACTATCTCTTTAAAAAGCGGATACAACGTTGGAATGGAGAAAAATGCAATTTTATGCTTTGCAAAATATTCATTCTATAGACCTTAACTTGATTTTATCTTGAATGCAACAATTTCAATCTTATAATACTATCTGTGATATTTAAATGCATTCTGCATGATGCTACAGCAAGATTAACAATTTACAGCAATGTCATGATGTTATTCATGAATTGTTGCTTTACCAGTCTCAATTTATTCATTTCACCAAGGCCGGTTCGCCTTTGTATTTCCAAATTGCAGTTTCCACTAATCTGAATACACACGACACTCTAAATCCCCCAGATATATTTCCTTGTGAAAAGTTTATTGTAGCTTAAATATATATAGAATAATATTTACTTCTACCATAAAGCCATGGGTGAAACGATATACAAAAAGCGAATATTTTAAGCTTGAATATTTTAAACAAATGATTTATGATGGAACGTCGCAGCTAAGTTAACAAGAACATGTGAGCAGTTCACAGCCGGTCTAATTACGTTTGATGTAACTAGAACAATGTGTGTTGCGTCGTCCAGTTACCAGAAATTTTGCATGCAGTTTTGAAACTAAAGGTTTTTGAGTTGTCCACATTTTACCTTTAAAGATCTTACGAGATTTAAGTACTATTTCATGCTGAGAGTGTGATGCCAGAGATGTAGGCCAGTCTCAAGTGTCTGTATCGGGCTCAGAATATTAACCTAAAGAATATATAAGCGACAGCCTCTCTGCCCTTGTCTGCCAGCGTAGTTTCATCGCAGCAATAGATCTAGAAAGCTGAAGGAGCTGCGCCATTGGGTTTTCTATAAATTGTGCATGTGGCGTCACTGCATTTCTTTTGCCGGCGTGACCGCTTTTTGTAGCCGTCTTTTGTAGCACCTTGAAGATAACCGGCGTAACCATAATTGTTCTGCGATAAACCTTCCGACCTCATCAAATTTATTGATTAAATTTATACATGGACCAAATATGAAAATACTTCCAAACATGCAGATTAAAGAACATAAGGTCAATGAGATAACCCAGGGTAACTGTGGACGATTTGAACGATGATTGGTCTCTATTTAAGTAAAGTATTGACAAGCTAATGAATTTTTCCCAGAAATTGCGATTTTTCAAATTGCCTATACAGTCTTCCTTAACAAAATCATTCTTTCTATCTGAGCCCAGATCGTTCAAAAATCTGCTTGAATTGAAGATAGTGACTTATCAAGAAATGTGTAATGTTTTGACTACTTCTAATTTATCTGTGCATATATGGTTTAATGCCTGTCTATGCATGCTAAACCTATTTTCTTCAGGGCCTAAGTTAGGGTGCTCATGACTTAACTGGCACAGGGCTTGATTTGCTCTTACCTCATGTTCGAAAATTTTGAAATCTTCCCAAAAATTATTGAATAAGGTCGTACGTTTGGTATGCTAACTGAAATCCTTTGGCAGATCTTATTGGTGATTATGAATTTCAAAATGTCTCTAGGTGAGAGGAGTTCGCCTTCATCCACATATATTTGAAAAAAGATTTAATAAAACCTTTGAATATTTTTAAATTTATCAACAGTGCTCAAAGCATCTATGTCAACATCGTAGCACTCAGCAAGTGTCTCTTTTTGCTCCACTGCTTCTTCATTCTGTATTCACATTGGTTAAAGGTATATGAACTTGTATGTATTGCTGTAAAATGGCTCCAGTCTTTCCATCATTTCTTTGGTTGTATGATCGAGGATTTCAAAATAGTTTACACTTTGTCGATGATCAAATAATTGTTTTCTTCTTCTTACCCTTGTTTCTAACTGTTTCTTGGTTCTCTTCAAATACAATATCATGAGAATCTGCGAAAGCTTTAGATGCCTCGTTAATGTTCTTCAAATAGTCATCCTTTCACGTTATATTGTACAGTGCCTCTTTCGTTGATGATGTCGAATCGATTGCTTTTATCATATCCATGTTTACAGTCTGCAGCTGCTTGATAAAACGTTGCATTTCTGTAATATTTCTTCCCATTAATTTTACATGAAGATGAAGTCTTGAGCAGCATATATCTTGTCAAATCCATATTTATCTTGTCTTTTCACGCAGAAGCAATACCACATCTTTCTAGTTATATCTTCTTTTTTGACTTTCCATTCATTCTTTGTTTAAAATTCCAAAGAATAAAACAACAACGTTCCGTGCTTTATTTCTATACTTAATTTTCTCACAATGCATTTTCTCAAATTAATACACCCAATACTTGGAAGAAAGATGAAACAGACAAGCAGCCAATTATTATGTTATTTATCACTTTATCTAACATTAGATAGAATATCTAGCTTTTTCACAAATAGCTTTGATCGGCTAATTGAAGCCTACTAACAGAAGAAAGTATAAAATAGAACCTGCTCCTAAAATTATTTAATCAAACCATATATTCAAGCAATGGTTCCTGGATTTGGCACATCCTGGGTGCATAACTTCAAGGAACATGGGATTGAAATTTGTTTTATTGGTCTCTTAAAGATCTGTGCAATTTCTTATTTCGATGAGGTTATTCAAAATCTGATTGCATCTATAAGAAACTCTTTCCAGTTGTAATCAAGACAAGTCTGTTTTAATGATGATCAAACTTGTGTTAATCATCAAGTATTAATTCGTGTGATTTTCTTTCCTTTCTACTTTTGATTGAACATTTTCGAATGATTATTCTGTTCTAGTCATACTTGATCCTCTGTTTCCTATAACCATTTATTTTATTTCTTTATTTAGAAGCGTGCCATTTTTTCCAACCATTTACTCAATGTGCTTATTTCAGATTCAAAAATTTGGATTATATTGTTGGCTTTTTGCCTCTTTTTCCTTATCGTGCTATCATAATCAACCGGATGCATAATCATGATTACATATTTCAGTTAGAAATAGTAAAACCGCGTAAATCGCAGAATCTGTCGCAAATCGCAGAATGGCAGAAGAAGCCGGAATCTGCCGCATTTTGAAAAAAAATAACGCAATTTGGCGCTTTTTATCCATCTACAATAAGTTCCCGAACAATTGCTGATAATATATTTATTAAATATTCTTAATAGCTGAAACAGGCTTATAAATGAAAGATAAAGAATTTATGGAATGCATCGTGATTTATTCTAGGCCAACGAGTGTCAGAACTTGCATATTGAATTCTCAATTTTTCCCAAGCATTACTGATTTGAATTTTGAGCGACTGACTGCCAATCTCGAAATTTTCTTAATTCCAGCTCACTCTTACCAGCCCCTGCTGTGTGCTCTGATTTTCATTTAACTCTGTGCTTTTGAGCGTAGTTGCCCTGCCAACAATGTTGCTTCCACAAGCATGTACAAATAGGAAAATGTGCAAGACATCGCGTGATCTGTCAATAAAACGTGAAATACTTTTTTAAGAATGGCGCTTTAACTTTTTATTAATGATTAATTTTATAAAATTTGCCGCAAACTAATCCATGAATGAAAGCAAGCTGCTACATTTCGAACCAGAACTTTCATATGACATGAGCATTTTGAAGGATTAGCAGATGCCTTTTCCAGTCTTTGACTACAAGCCATAAGAAATAATAGATAAAAAATAATTAGAATTAAAATAGCTGCTTGCTTTTTCCCTGAGTCTGCTAATCCATGTGAAGAAAACCCTATTTAGATCATCGTGGTTTGACCAATTAAGAAAAAGATTTTGAATGATGGATAAAGATATTTGGAATGTGTGTTTTGTCAAAATATGATACAAAATTGTTTTTGTTCTTCATGAAGAAAGTTAAAAAAATGTGTGCAACACTCTCACAAAATTATATGCAAGCTTTTCATCAATTTAAACAAATGTATTAAATCGTATTCCTTCTCTGATTGGGAATTGAGAAAAAATTATCTTCCACAACCTGAGTTAGCCCGCTAGAATTTTGCTAACCACCTTGCATTTAGTCCAGGCAGCCCCAGCAGCTTTACCTTTCGCTGCCAATTAAGGAGAATCAAACTTTGCTTGGAGAAATGGCTAGAAAAAGAGAAAAGGGCATTCCCGAGAAAATCGTCCAAAAGAGCTTGACTGCATTTAAAGCTCTGGAAAGGTATGGTCAATAAATTTTAAGCAGCACTTCTCTACTATAAATATTCCAAATCTTTCTATAGCAGAATAGCATTATGCACAGAGGAATTGTAGTCGTAGCATGCTGCCAAATGTCCTTTATTGAAACAATCTACTTTTTACGATGAAGTCTGTGAAATAGCCCGACAAAGGAATGAGACGATTATCAGGATACAAATAAAATTAAATGTTTGATAAAACAATGTAATTAAAAAAATGCAATTTGAGGATCTGTAAAACCTATCTGGCCAGCATCGATTTTCTTGGCAAATACGAAATAACCCTCGTTAAGTTTTCATTAAACATGGCAGTTCTTGTTTGCGAAACTTATTAATTTTCTTATAATCGGCTTGAGCAAAAGAATTTTTGATAGGTAACCTAGATCAGTCCGCAGTTAGTTTGAACTATAATCGTTTTGCTGGGTCAAAAGACGACAAAATCATTTCCTAGAAATTTTCTTTTTCTCGCGGAAACGTAAAGGGCAAAAAAGGACATGACAATTAGGATTCATGTTTAATGGATAAAGCAGTATTCGTTCTTTGGCTAGCGTAAATAAGACATGGTTTTGCATGTAAATAAACTGTGGCGACGTCAGCTACCAAGGTGTGAAGGGGCAAAGTAAATTTTCAGACCACGTCCTTCTAACAGTCAGAAAATTCCCTTTTACCGACAGGGAACACCCATGTTACCAGCGAGGAAAGTCCGTGATTACCTTTTGCTTACGTTGTTGGAGTTTGAAGTCAAAGAATCACATCACCAAGATGTGTCACAATTTTACCCCTCCCCAACGCTCTTTATTCAGATTTACATCAAGAACAAACTCGATCTTATTGGAAACTGAAAAGACGCGGCGATATTAATGGATATGAATAATAATGAAATATAAAATTGAGAAGATTACTGGGCATTGTGAAAATTTTCGTTTCCTAGCAAAGAATTTTGTGCGCAAGTATTTTTTCTCCAGCACTACAAATAGAAAAAGCAAAAAAGCTTTGCTTGTATCGGTATCTTTTGAAAAATAGTGAAAAAGTATTATCAATTAATTCGCGCAGGTCCCATAAGAAGCTGATTAAATAAATTTTTTTTGACAATATCATCTTTCTGAAGAATCAATGATTTTTCGGGTTGATTTTTGTTTACGTCCGCTATTGTTTGAAATGCAATATAAACGCAATAGAACACGAATCCACAGCCAACTAGCCTCAGGTTTGGCGTGGGTGAGGTGAGTGTTCTTTATCTATTTAAGCAGATAAACACCTATATTATATAATATCCATCAATTTCCATCAATTTCCAGTAGCATTCAATTGCAGCAGGAGTCAAGTTTTTCTCTATTAACCTTCGTATCAGATTTCTAGTAGGGACCTTATCAAAAAAGCGAGGGGTTTTAATACATGGACAATTTCACATTTCAGTTCTGCATAAGACAAACATACTGTTCATCCTTTTTCACTTCTAATCTTAACAGGTTTAAAGAAATGGGAATCTTTATTACCTTTGAAATAATCATTTTTAATTCAGAGGATTAAAATAGAACACAAGAATTTTGTATTCCGAAAATTTTTTCATTCTGGACTTCTTATTCTGTTATTTCTTCATTCTGGTATTTTAAACAAACCATTCCATCCATTGTTAAATCATTTTATAAAAGCTCTGTTTTGTTGTTCTTAGTAAAGCGAATTTGCTAAATTTGAAACTCAGACCTATTTTGCAACCTTTTTTCAAACTTCATTTGAGTTCTTATTCATTTGATCTTTATCATTTCCACAGGTACAGCAATCATGTTCCGACTAGCATTTCTTTCGTTGCTGTTCTTTGCAGCATGTGGTTAGTATAGTATTTTGAAAGTCTCAAAATATTTCTATTTGTGTTCAAGTTTTTTCAGAGAAGGCTGTTGCACTTTTAAGGCCAGGATTAGTCGTTCATTCTATTCTACCTGATATGCATTCAAATTGTATTCAAATTATTTCTTCTTTATGTATTTCTTCTTTATCTACCTTATATGTATTCAAATTTATTTCTTCAGATGCCACAATCTCATGCAAAAGAGACTATGATATGCTTGGATGCTACGAGGAGTATTCGCCAGGAACACTGCTCTTTAGCGACAGAAACAACATTAATTGGGGCGACATCGAGGGCTACATGAGAGGGTATGTAAGCAAGCTTCCTTTATATAACCATGAGACGTGCCATTCTTGAATGTCAAAATATCTCCTGCGCATGCTTGTACCGTATACCGTTTTCCGTTTTCCCTCCATACCGTGAAGAAGAAATCCACCTTTACGGATTAGAATTTGCTGCAACTTTTGAGAAGTCGTAAAGGTTAGAAGCGAAGGAGGTAGCGTGCAGCTCGTATTGAGAACTGACTAATCATCACGGCAAAATTACAACAACACGCATGAATTTCAGACGAAAAAGTTTCAAAAGTATAATGTGAATTTTTATATTTTTTCAAAGCCATTTTCAAGTTCTGTACCGTCAAAAGATTGTTAACAAATTAACATATAACTTAGTGGCTTAATTACAAGTTAGCGTCCATTCCTATCAAAATGTGTGTAGGTGAGCGTATTTATGGACTAGGGGGCTGCAGAAAAGCGTGAGAAAGAATAAAGTGAGAGAAATAGAGCGGTTGATTGTTTAATTGGCACGTGACTTTCGATCCGCATCTGGATATAAATTTTCTGCTTATCTGGACATTACCCGACGTTAAGGTGTATCGGATGAGGAGCACTCCAGTATGATAAACACTCAATTTTGCTGTACTAAAGGCTTTTTTAATATTGAGATATTTGCTCTTTCCATTCAACTAAGTACTCACTCCCTATCGTGGAAAATAGCCCTGTAAGCAGTTTGTTTTACATATGTATTCATGTAGTCAAAATATATTCCCGGCTTTCACAAAATACACAGGACGTTGAATTCCCGATATCAAGTTGCAATGATATCCAGTGTTGCGTGGCAAGTCTCTTAATTATCAAATGGTAAGCAATTGCAAGGCAACGTGGCATCTCGATTGCAAGTGACACGTGTGGCATTCTATGCAACAAAGCGTTTTGGACATACCAAAAATTTCCTTTTGTTCGAAATGGTTGCAAATTAAAGGGCCCTTTCTTATTTTATGCACTTTCGAACAATAAACTATTTAGAAAAGCTGCCAGTAATTTTGGTGGTGCTTCATTTTGAACCAATTATATTCTTTTTTGTCTTTTTATTCACTATTGCCCTTGTATGACGCAAAATTGTGAAAACTTCTACTGAACCATATCCTGGGTTGAAGATTGAGCCAGCATTTAAGGGATGAATTTTGAATTAAGATTTTCTGCTGTTCTTTTCTTTAATGAACTACTGATAACTGACAAAAACCTTTTTATCTGTTATTAGCTTTCCTAAGTTGGGGATCGTTTAATTTGCAAGAATTAAGTGACATTATTTCCTTTTATGTGGTTACTTAAAAATGACTAACTATAATGCTTAACCAAAATAGGTATTACCAATAGAATGAGAGATTATGCAACAAGCCAAAATCAACTCTGAGTTTTAAGATGGCAGTTTGCACCCAAGGCAAATATTCTGCCTAATAGCTAAGTTGTCATTATTTGTTACTCTGTATTTTTTCAAAACATAACTCAATCTTCAATTTTAGACTTATTTCTACTCCAATCTGACACGAGTCAGAATTTCAAGGGATCTTTTCTTGCCTAATTTTTTACCTGAAACTTGCTTGAAAGGATCAAAATCAGTCAGTGGGTCTACAGTGCAACTTCGACTGTTTCGACAAAAGTTTTAAATTGAAATTTCGTGGCAGATTCCTGTCAGTCCCTGTCTGGTCTTTCTTTTCGCTCTGAAATTGAATCTCATAATTCGTAACAGCAGCAATGCCAATTAAACTGGTAGATGGTGATAAAATATAAAATTGAACGTATTTGGGGCTACAACATTTTCTTTTTTTTCAGTCTTGCTTGCAAATGTTCTCAAAAAGCTAAAGTAGACGGCTATGCAGGATTTGCTATGCACTTCTGGGGTGAATGCTACGGAAGGACGTCGGCCGAGCTCGCAGGGCTTGTTGCGAAAAGTCACAGTAGTCATAAATGTGTAGGAAACCAGAAATACACTCATTGTGATGTAGCTGAACATGAACATTGTACAGGGGTTGAATACGCTGAAGCAGTCTACAAATTCAAGGCGTCATCTGAAGAAAGTAGGCACCTCTCCTTGTGTAGCTTTATATGCACTTTTTATGCTATGACAAAGAGTTCAGCTAATATGCAACTACGTCCTATCCATATATTCTACTGATTTTATTTTATAATCACATAGAAAGTTGTCTTTATTACTCAAAAAATCACTCTTATTCGTTTCCAGATGTAAATGGAGGTTTGGGTGAGTGGGAAGACTGGACACCTTGCGATAAATCATGTGGCAGTGGCTTGCAGGTACGAGAAAGAAACTGCGACAGCCCTGTGCCAAAAGGGAGTGGCAAAGATTGTTCCGAGCTCGGTCCATTGTCAGAAACAAGAGTTTGTAAAATAAAGGAATGTCCAGGTTTGTACCTAGAAAGAATATCAGCTTCTTGAACTAGTTTCTGGATAAGTTTCAATAAAATTCACTTTCTGTGTTTACAATTCAGTAATTTCTTGCTACCAAAGCAAATAAATAATAGATTTACTGAACGCTGTTAAGACCTGGTCTTTACAGTTTGCTAGATTTGGTAGATTTGAAGCCTCCAATAACCAGTGAATTAGGTCTAAATCAAAGCACAAAAAGATACTTCAGACAAAGAACAAGGATTTTAGATTTTCTCATTCGCCGCTTAATTTGTTATAAATAAAGGGCCAAAATGGTGTTCCCTTCTGTTGTGTCTCAATTAGGCACCCTTAGACGCAAAAATCGCCATTAAGCGTTGGCGCATATTTGATAGTGGGAGATCGTTAGAAATTCTTTCTTCCAGTTCTGAGGTTCATTCAAGGGTGGACTTACGAGGGGGCCAATAACAGGTTAACGTATTGGGAGCTTAAATGAAAAGAAGCATTCACTGATTAAAATTTATCAATGCCCTCTTTTCTCTTTTATAAACCTAATTAAGAGTCGATCTTTAAGCAACTTTTGAATGTCGCTTACCGTTAAGCTAGATATGTACATTCAGGTGCATTTGAACTTGTTTGAAAAACTGTAAACCAGAGGAAGGGAAAGCTTAGGAAAGCTTAACAAAAACAAAGCCAAAATGGCTTAATAAGAAACAAATAATAAACTATGATATTATGTGATTTGCTAAATTGAAACGATTTTGGATAAGAAAAAGTGGTATTAGATTTATCAACTTTACAAAAACATGCCAATTGACATTACTTTTTATAGACCTATTAAACCTATTTATATAGGTGTAACCTATTCAACTTTAGAGAGATGCAACACTCAGGCACCGCGGAAGAGGGGACGCTAGGGGGGCTTTAGCCCTTTAAATAATTTTCAAAATGTCCCTCAATCTAAAATATGATCCGCCGTCATTGACGACACTATATTACAAAACATTTACATGTTTAATTTTAAGGAACGGTAGGGTCAATCAGAGCTGCTATTCTAGATGGGGGCCATTTCAAAAATTAAGCACAATCTGAAAGCTATCTACATTAGATGATAAATTTTAATAAGCCTGATAAATACCTAGCCATACCAGTTAAAAGTAATATTTTGGCTCAAACTAGTAGTCGTTACGATTCTAGATTACCAGAAAATATTGAAACCTTCTTTAATATTTACAACCCTCTAAAAATTCACCATTTTAATGCTTACAGTAAACGGTGGCTGGAGTTCATGGACTTGGGGAGCTTGCAGCAAGTCATGTGGAGGAGGAGTGAAGTACGCAAGTAGGACATGCACCAATCCTGCACCACAGAATGGCGGCAGCAGCTGCGCTGGAGCTTCAAGACAGTCAGCTTCTTGCAACACACACGGATGCCCAGGTCAGCCACTATATCTTCCTTTAACCTCTTGATCTGTGTCTCTAAAAATTTTTACTTTCATATTACTAACAATTATTAATTATTACTTTAATTTAGATTTAAGTTTCGGTTGGCTTAAATTAACACATGAGCTAGCAATAAGTGCCAATCTTAAACAAAGAAATTATTTTTATTATTATTATTATATAATTTTGTTGATACCGGTACATATATTTGGAATGCCTGATTATGGCGTTAAACATGGAGTACAAACATGAATGAATTTTTTGTGTCGGTTATTAGTTTGCTTTATAATTTATTCTTCAGACTTTAGGTCCTCTCAAAGAACAAATTTTCTATATCAATGCGGGTTTATACGGAAAGTTTAGCTTCGAAAAACTCAGTTTTCTGTTTTCTATTCACGGAGATTAAAAAACAATTCCAGTTTTGTCAGATGCATTCAATTTTGAGATGTTACGCATCTTTAGGATTAGATTGGTTGTTTGTAATTTTTTGGCCTGTATGAAAAATCATTGCGATCCCGAGATTTTCACTTACTTACTGAATCTTTATTCAGCTCTTTCTTATGTTTACAGTTAATGGTGGCTGGAGTTCATGGACTTGGGGTGCTTGCAGCAAGTCATGCGGAGGAGGAGTAAAGTACGCAAGTAGGACATGCACCAATCCTGCACCACAGAATGGCGGCAGCAGCTGCGCTGGAGCTTCAAGACAGTCAGCTTCTTGCAACACACACGGATGCCCAGGTCAGCCACTATATCTTCCTTTAACCTCTTGATCTGTGTCTCTAACAATTATTACTTTCATATTACTAACAATTATTAATTATTACTTCAATTTAGATTTAAGTTTCGGTTGGCTTAAATTAACACATGAGCTAGCAATAAGTGCCAATCTTAAACAAAGAAATTATTATTATTATTATTATTATATAATTTTGTTGATACCGGTACATATATTTGGAATGCCTGATTATGGCGTTAAACATGGAGTACAAACATGAATGAATTTTTTGTGTCGGTTATTAGTTTGCTTTATAATTTATTCTTAAGACTTTAGGTCCTCTCAAAGAACAAATTTTCTATATCAATGCGGGTTTATACGGCAAGTTTAGCTTCGAAAGACTCAGTTTTCTGTTTTCTATTCACGGAGATTTAAAAACAACTCCAGTTTTGTCAGATGCATTCAATTTTGAGATGTTACGCATCTTTAGGATTAGATTGTTTGTTTGTAATTTTTTGGCCTGTATGAAAAATCATTGCGATCCCGAGATTTTCACTTACTTACTGAATCTTTATTCAGCCCTTTCTTATGTTTACAGTAAATGGTGGCTGGAGTTCATGGACTTGGGGAGCTTGCAGCAAGTCATGCGGAGGAGGAGTGAAGTACGCAAGTAGGACATGCACCAGTCCTGCACCACAGAATGGCGGCAACAGCTGCGCTGGAGCTTCAAGACAGTCAGCCTCTTGCAACACACACGGATGCCCAGGTCAGCCACTATATCTTCCTTTAACTTCTTAATCTTTGTTATCTAACAATCACAGCATTCAAATTTGTATATATTCTATATAAACGGGGTCACATGATACTTGTTTCAGCGGCGAGATACGGCATACTTTCAATCGAGAAAAAATTGCAAGTTATATTTCTGAGAATAAATGATGGAGATAGGGTAGGGGAAACGAAACTATTCTTGGGTGCGAGATTTGTATGTTTTTGGGGAGTAAAATTGAGAAGTAATTGGGAGCTTATAGAGAACAAGTTAACTTCGTCGTTTGTTGCATTATACCAGACCATATTTAGAGTGAGAGGTAGTTTCTTTTTATTCAAAGGTTTTAGATCCCAAACTCAGTTAAACTCGCGAGTCCCCAGGTTGTGCCACCAACTGACCGACCGTGTGCATGCATACTTTTATATCACCTTGCTCGAAGTGAACCAGTCTCGCTCGCCTTTAAAGTGAGATTTGGCAATTTGTTATTTGATTGGGGAAGGACCTGTGATCTTATGGCGATAACTTATCTGATTGAAAGACATGTTTTACGATACTCTTTTGTCCCGATTTGTCTATTCCTTAAATAGATTTCTACGACGTCATCTCGCAAAACACTTTTTTTCATGATATAATTTTGTTTATACATTCACGGGCTCCGATAGAGGTTGGAAAGGGAGGGGGGTTGGTGTTGCAAGGGAAAATTCAGCACCCCAAACAAAAGTTTTGGGAAAGAAGTTGTTCTACTGTTTTGCAAAAGAATGGAGTTCCTTGGCTCCCCGGCCCCCTTTCGTCGGAGGCCCTGACATTAGGCGCAAAACATGGGGTAGCAACTTAGAAGCTTCCTGTTCTATACACCAAGCGATATGTGCATGCGTACACACATGCCGTAATATTCAATTTTTAGATTTCATACACTCTCAAGAAAGCATTTTTGCATATCAATGTGGCAAGTTTAGATAAAGACTCAGTTTTCTGTTTTCTGTTTTAAGCAGATTAAAAAACAACCCCAGCTGTGCCGGATGCATTTAATTTTCAGATGTTAGGCATCTTTAAGATAAAATTGTTTGTTTTTAATTCTTTTGGCATTTATGAGAAATCGCTACAATAAAAATTATTGAAACTTTATTCGACGTTTTTCATATTTACAGTAAATGGTGGCTGGAGTTCATGGGCTTGGGGAGCTTGCAGCAAGTCATGCGGAGGAGGAGTGAAGTACGCAAGTAGGACATGCACCAATCCTTCACCAAAGAATGGCGGTAGTGGCTGCGCTGGATCTTCAAGTACTTCAACTTCCTGCAACACACACGGATGCCCAGGTCAGCAACATTATCTTTATAAACCTCTTGATCTCTGTTATTTAACAATTAACTTTCATATGTATATATTTTCCTCCTATTTCTTGCGATCTCTTATACATTTTTTGGCGGCGGGATTGGGGATATTTTCAATAGAGAAAAAATTGCAATTGATAACTTTTTAATCGGGATTTCTGGAAATAGAACCTGTTCTTGGATTCGAGATTAACATGTTCTTAGTGAGTAAAAAGTAATTGTCTATTTTCTGGGAGCTTATACAACCTCTTTGTTTGTTGCATTTTGCCATGTCAGATTAATAAAGAGGTAGTTTCTTTCTATCGCAAAAGTTTAATGTCGTAGACTCGGTTTAACTCGTACAACTCAATGGTTAACTGCATCTGCAGCAACAACAAACAGTAAAGGTTGTCCAATGAAAATCGTTTTTTTAAAACTTTACAAAAGTGACAATGAAAACTTTATCATGAGCAGCTACAAAATCCTGTATTACAAAAAAGTTAACCTCGTCCTTGTCACATTGACCATGCGCAACGCCAAAAAGCTAGTTCGTAAATGAACATGTGGCATTCTTAATATTTTTCACAACATAATCCTCGCTGATCAGCTGATCTCCCAGTTCAAGCATTCCAAGGTAGTCGTTGATTGTCCTCAATCTTTTTTCGTTTTTGATATCTATCATTAAGGTTTTTTTGAAAATTAATGCATAAAGTTCAATGATGTCCAACTTTGTCAAGATACGTTTGATTGTTTAGAATTTTCGGCTCCTGCAAGAAATTGTTACGATCCCGAGATTTCTACTTAACTATTATACCTTCATTCAACTAATTTTCATCTTAGTAAATGGTGGCTGGAGTTCATGGACGTGGGGTGCTTGCAGCAAGTCATGCGGAGGAGGAGTGAAGTTCGCAAGCAGGACATGCACCAATCCTTCACCAAAGAATGGCGGTAGTGGCTGCGCTGGATCTTCAAGTTATTCAACTTCCTGCAACACACACGGATGCCCAGGTATTCTTCCCTATTTATAGTATTTTTTGTCAATGAGTGGATTAGCTTTGTTTTTGAATTGTAACTTCTAGAGTCAGCAGTGTATGGAAAATTAATTAGTTGCATTTATAATATAAACGCTGCTCCAAATTTCAAACAATATTGAATAGACACAATTTTTGTTACAGTTTGAGGTAGATAAGTCAATCTGTGAACAAGTTGTGTAGATGTAACTGAACATCACTTTTAATTTTGTTTCTTCAAGTAAATGGAGGTTGGAGTTCATTTGGCTCATATGGAAGCTGCAGCAGGCCCTGCGGTGGAGGCACTCAAACACGATATCGATCGTGCAACAACCCAAGTCCCAAGAATGGAGGAGCATCATGCCCAGGTTCAAGTTCCCAGAGCACCAGCTGTAACACTTATGTCTGTCCAGGTTGGTAATCATTAATGCCATCTCAAATGCACTGATTCTAAATATTGTCAAAACTATATTTCCTTAGCACCTTTATACAAAATGTAGATGAAGAAATAAGGAACTAACTTCCATTTTAGCCATAAGCAGCTGTAGCTACAAGTACACATCCTACCAAACACACAGCGATGGAAATATGGTGTATATCGACCGTCACAGAATGAACTGCGGTGGGAGCGGCAGTATCTTGTCCATGTTCCATTTGCAAAGAAGTGGTGGGAATATACGCTACCAATACAAATGCTGCACCATTCAGGGATCTTGCTCATTGCAGGGCAAACAAACATCCTTCAGTGACGACGGTGGTGGTAATCTTGTCTACTTGGACAGGCATGGAGCTGATTGCGGTAACTCTGGATTTATCAATGATATCAGAGTTGAGAGGAATTCTGCCCACAACAAAGTTCGTTACAACTACTATTGTTGCAACCTTCCAAGCACATGGGCAAGTCGTAGCACGTGCTACACCAGTTATACTGGCTTCACGGATGATGGCGGTGGTAGGGTCTACTACCTTGACAGGCAGACAGTGTCCTGCAATTCTGGTTATGCATTGTCTTACATCAGGCTTCAACGCAACAGCAGCCACAACAAAGTAAGGTACCAGTATCGCTGCTGCAAGGTCAACTATTAACCAACTGGCCTCAGGTGATGAAGAAAAGTATTCTGCCTCTATAGAACTGCAACATAAACACCAACATCATTATATCATAACATTACTGATTCACATCAAATAGCTGTTTAGTATTTCAGAACATGTAATCGTTGGCTAAATTTTGCTGTTCATTTAACCATCTACGTTATTTCATTCATGAAAAATCAATAAGTAAAACTCTTTTTTTAACTGGTTTTCTTCTAAGACTCCAGCAAAATATAAATTAATTAGTGACTTTCAAAATGATTAGTTGTATTCATTACCTAAAATTTAAATTACAAGCACAGCCAATATGTTGTATCAGGATAAATAATATGGGGGCAAAACTAAACGTGACCTCTAGAAATCGTACAATTGTGGTTTGAAAAATGAAAATAAGCAGTGGTAAATTACGTCATAACGATTTGATGACGTCACAAAGTATGTTTTGGAATTTCAAAGTTTGATTTCAAATCTCTTTCAAATTGGTCATTGTAAGAGCTGTATTATGCTCAATCCTGGTTCAAGTCAAGATCACAAGCCTGGTCCACACCAGAGTGATGAATAGGACTTACCTGGTTAGCTACCGTGATCCGAACCGGATCTATTCTATTTAATATCGAAAGCTATTCGGCCGATGATATTGAATTGTCAGCCTTTGCTCTCGCTAACGTTTAGGTCAAGGCTATTCGTGTAAAACCAAACACGAAATCTTGAAAACTGTGGGATTAGAAGAAACATGTCTAATTTAAACGCAGGTTTTAAGAGTTAGAAACAATTACCGCTGACTGATCTAACTGTCAATAAGGGTATAGACACAATTTTAAATATTTGTTAACAGTAAGTGCAGCACTTGTCAATGAACAAGTTGGTTTCATTTTCAAAAATGAAAAAACTAAAACAGCTTGGTGTCTGCAAATAAACCAAAAATATTGTGATAGAAGTCAATGCAGAGTGCAGAACTTTCCCCTTAATTCTTCACCCCTAACCCTCAAAATAATAATTCAGCAAAGGTGTTTTAAAAATCTTTAGAAATTTCCAATGCAGAGACAATCTATAAATAAAGATAGCAGCTAATGTTGCTTGAACCAGAATGCATATACACTGGTTGGAGTGTCAGACAAAAGCTTAAGTATGTTTCAAAATGCCTGCCTTTTTCAAAGTAATTTTTAAAAAATTAAAAAAATTCATATAATGTTCTAAGAGCTTGGAATGGAATCTCGGTGCATATAGGGAAGCTTCCTACTTCAATCCATGAGGAGAAATAATAGAAAAAAAATTGATGAACTGATGAATAAAAAGAAGACAGACAAGAAGAGCAGCATTCTATATGGCCATATCGTGAATTTTTACAACTTAATGCAGGTAGGTATTGCTCCCCTTTATGAATGTATATGATTGGCGGTCTACCACTTCTTCAAACAAATCAAAAGGAACCTGTTGCTTTTAAAACAACGAGACTGAAGACAGGGCAAACGGAATATAAAAATTCACTACGATTTTTTATTCGTGTTTAATTTGCTTCAAAAATTAATAAACATATATTGATAAGAGATATAATTTTCATTATAATTAATAGCAAAGAAAGCTTTTGCTTAAATCTATTTAAGTCTTACAGCCATCTAAGCTAGGTAAGGCTTAGTCAAGGAAAGGATTGCCAGATCCTGCCCCTCCTTCATCTGAATCTAAAAACGGATTTGATGTATCATCTTCAAACGGATTTGATGGTTCTTTCTCTTCAAAGGGATTTGAAGAATCTTCTAGGAATGGATTGTTTCCATCATGGCTAACAGGAGGCTTTTGCTTTTTCTTTTCATGAGCAATATCTACTAACTTTTTCTTTTGAGATGGTTTGGTGCATAAAACAGGGTCACTTCTTCTAATTGAGCTAGAATCAGCATCATTATCACGAGCAGGCTTGGCTGGAGGCGTTGCGCTTTCTGTCTCCTTCACAGCAATGCTAGCAGTTGGATTCTTTTTGCCACGTGCTGCCTTTGGAGGAGCACTAGAAGCCTGCCCAGTTTCCTTACTGCTCAATTTTGTCACAGGTCTGTCTTTACTGCCAAAAGACTGGCTGCGTTTCTCATCAAAATCACTCAAAAGACCATGCATTTCTGCAAATCTTTGCACCTCCTGCGCAGGCCAGAAACACGACAACTGGAAAAACATCTGTTTGTTGAATTCAGTGACCATCTCATTTACTTTTCTGAATAAAAAAAGAGAGGCAGTCAATGAGGAGCTTGCTTGAGTACACATGAATTTATCGCTGAGGCGAAATAAAATAAACCTTGAAAGCTAGTTATTCTCTAACGTACAATTTGACTTGATTTGGTGCATAGAACAGGATGGTTTGAAGTTGATACTCAGAGTTTCATGTTTTTTGGATGATTACATTAAATGTGGAACTCGAGTCTCACCTTAGGACCATTCTGCTCATTATACCAAACGGCATCGAACACTATACGAAAAACTGGTATTATAAGATTTGTATACCATGTTAATACTAGAAATTAAGAACATTTAAAAGTTTAGCATGTTATCTGAAAGCAACATTTGGTTTAAATATTTTGACTAAAAGGGCTAGAGTAAAAGGGGATAACTGGATAGTGCAAGATGGAAAATATGCAATGATAGGTTTTCTCGTAAAAATCAATATTTCATCAAGCTACTCAAAAATCACAAAGAATAAACTCATGAATTACTGAATTAAAATAAACGCGTATGTTTCTTAAACCTTAAATTCTCTTCTGAGGGCTGAGGTAAACTTTTTCGTGTCTTCCGTAAAATTTCCCTGTAAATTGAAGATATAAATTGTCAACCTGAGGAATTTTATTTAACAGCACTTTTGATTGTGAAAATGATTTCAAAAATAGGCCTAAACAATTGGCAACAGGTGAATATTTCCAGATTCAATATTATTTTTCTCAATGTTACTCTCGACGTTTGTCTCACAACTGTCAAAATGAGCGTTATTCTCTTATTGTTATGGTAAGCATGATTTAGAACGAGTCCTGTGAAAAATGAAGTGAATTGCTGAAAGGAAATGGAATGCAAAAGTAAAGGGAACGTATTACAAACATCCACTATACAAACGCGCTACAGAAAGAGCGCAACTGCATACAACTGACGGAGTGAGCAACACATTAATTAATAACAAAATGAAATAATACGCAATGATCTTAAAAGAAATAACATACTGGGAATCTTTTGCGAGGTTATATCGCAGAAATCCCTCAAATACACTGATTTCCAGAAACGCTTGTAGAGCACCACTTTCTGAAAACTTTGAGTAGCATTCAAATATTCTTTGCACTTCTTCAGCAAGCATTGCTCCAATCTTTTGAAATATTCTCTTAACAAAGGACGATGATATCGAGCTGACCTGTAAACAAAGAGATATTAAGTGATATGTGCCCAAGCAATATACATTTTGGCATGATGAATCAACATAAAGGAAAAAGTTATATGAATGAATAGCAAATATATACCTGGTCATGTATAACCACAAGGTTTTGAATAACCTCCCTCAGATATGGTCTCACACCTAACGGAGAAGAACGATCAACAGTGAAAACAAAAATTAGCTATACTATCTTTGAACAACTGATGAAACGGCAAAGCTATTCTATGGTTATGCCTTTGGCAAAACTGTAATGAGCTCCTAACGAGTAGATATGAAAGTAGGTTAGTAAATGAGAAAGACGGTGCATATGACTTGCATTGTTTTGCCCAACAGCAGACCGTTAGATGTGGGTGTAGTAAATTCAAAAGCTTATTTAAATTTTTTTAGAAGTTACGAAATAAGCAATTTTAGCTTGTGTATCAAACTGAGTAACTTCTGCCAAGTAAGAGCTATCTATTTCCAAACCTCTTCTGTGCAGGGGATCATTTAAAAACAAATTGCAACTTTTTTAAATAGGAGTGCATCTTCATCGGCATTAAGGAGAGCTTTAAGTTTTACAATGATCGTATTTTTGCTAAAAACGCTTGTTCGATACCTTTCGTTTGGGTGCTGTCTTCCCATCGATATTCTCCCAGCAGCATTCCTTGCTCTATGCTTCCGACCAACGGATCACCTTTGTGCTCAATAAATTTATCGAATAACTTATTGTCAAAATTGCTAATTGTTGACGAGAAGGCCTAAAGTTTAAAGAAGAAAATTCAAAATTACCAATTGTTTACAAGAAGGCATAAAATTTAAACAAAACAAAATACACACGAAATATGAGCTGGGAGCCTGCTTTCAAAATGACGTTGGCAGCATTTGATCAGGCTGGCATGGCGGGCCTGATATAGCAGACGGACACCAATTTTGAAAAATATAAAAACAAAATACAAAACAAGGGGATATAAATTTTCAGCAACAGCAGTACAAGAAAAAATTTACATCACAAACCGTTTTTATATTAGCAAGCTCTTCAAATCCACATTTTGAGCATTTTGAACCAAGCTTTGGCAACACAAATTCGTGAAGATAATTACAGTTGCTCAGACATACGAGAAACTTCTTATCCTGGGAGATGAAAATACCAGAAAAACATTACAACAAGAATTGTATACGTTTTTGGAAAGAAAAAAAATAGGACTTAAAAAGTCCTATAAAATGCTGATCAGAATAAACTATGAACGCTAAAGATTGAAAAATATTGAAAATAATCATGCAAGGAAAATTAAAAATAATTATTTAGAGAATGTTGAAAATAAAGATGCAGAGAATATTGAAAATAATTATGCAGAGAATATTGAAAATAACTGTGCAGAGAATATTGAAAATAATTATGCAGAGAATATTGAAAATAATTATGCAGAGAATATTAAAAATAACTGTGCAGAGAATATTGAAAATAATTATGCAGAGAATATTGAAAACAATTATGCAGAGAATATTGAAAATAATTAAGCAGAGAATAATGAAAATAATTATGCAGAGAATAATGAAAAAAATTAAGCAGAGAATAATGAAAAAAATTACGCAGAAAATAATGAAAATAATTATGCAGAGAATAATGAAAATAATAATGCAGAGAATAATGAAAAAAATTAAGCAGAGAATAATGAAAAAAATTACGCAGAAAATAATGAAAATAATTATGCAGAGAATAATGAAAATAATAATGCAGAGAATAATGAAAAAAATTAAGCAGAGAATAATGAAAAAAATTACGCAGAAAATAATGAAAATAATTATGCAGAGAATAATGAAAATAATAATGCAGAAAATAATGAAAATAATTAGGCAGATAATATTGAAAATAATTATGCAGAGAATGAAATGGAATAACGAAGGATCAAAGTCTCTAACAGCATACGAGTTATTTTAATTGACTCACGAGAGTTATTTCTGTAGCAATATCTTTTTGGGTTCCAGGAGAAGACCTTTAAAAATAAACGGTTTTCGCATAATTAAGAGGCACTATTCTCTCGAAGATTTGCACTTTGAATTTAAAAACTGATTCAAATTAGCAAAAATGGATTTCCCTGTAACAAAATGATTATTCTTAATACTATTGATAAATGAATTTAGTCCAGTGCATTAATCACAGAGGGAGAACTTAGTTTAAAGATATACCCATTCCTGCAGGATAGAAGAAGGTTGACAATACTAGATTAATAAATGGATTGAAACCAAATTTATGATTTCACAAAACACCTAGACGCTTTTTCTGTGGCCCGGATGGTTTCTACGGTAAAGTGAACTGACAATATCTCTAAACTCCGTCACCTAGCACTGTCATTTGACACAAATATTGGCATAAACTTCTATGGTGGTCAAATCATTGATTACCTTTGTCTGTCAAACTCCTCTTCTCTTTCCGAAATATTCTGTAGACAATGCAGGAATGCCTGAAAAAGATGTCATTTAATCAGTTCAAAAATTTTCCTAAATGACGAATTATAGTGTTATGTTGATGCCCTGGGAGAGCTTAGAATGGTATCCAATGACGGAAACACTGTGTAAAATACTACTTGTTATTGTCGTCGAGCACTCTAATAAATATTCATTGAATTTTTGACGCGAGAAGTCACACGGCCCATTGCATTGCGAACAAATTATTTACATTTTGCTTTCGAGAAGTTGTTTTAAAAAACTGTTGGTATTTGAAAATATTGAAAAAGTGACAGCCACTAGGAACTTTGAAATGATTAAAATTATCTAAACACAAGGGTCTACAGTAATCCGGCCATAACACAGCAGATACAATAATTTTTCTATAAAATACCACAATAAGAAACAGAGACTTAAGGTGACCAGAAATTAAGAAACCATAGAACTGATAACCCAAACCTTAAGACGCTGTTCGAAAATCCTTCTTTTACAAAATGGGGTGCAAATGTTTTATTTTTAACGATTAGGCACCTCTTCCTGATTGATTGGCATAAATAAATAGAAAAGAAAGCTTCTTATGACTTATTAGGTGTTTTATTTCATGATATTTTATTCTGCAATTTTGGGTTCCTAAAAATAGCGCTTAAGCATTTCGTATTTATAAACCCTTAGCACTGATATGAAAAAATTAGAAACTGAGTGCTAATCGCAATTTTAGTTTCTTACAAACAAAATTCGTCTTTGTGAGCTTATTTTAGAATCTGTTTTATAAATCTATAAAGCTCACAAGGAATATTTTAAAAACTAGCCTCGCGGTGCTTTCTTACGGGAATACTGGGTACACCGCCTCAAAACTGCAAGCACACACTAGCGTTTGAGCTAAAAAATTCCTTGAAGTCATTCAAGCTCGATAAAAAGAAATAGACTGAATTTTTCCCTTACAGAACCACGATTTTGATATACTTGTTCCATCAAGCTTGTAGGACTGGATTGCAACTACTTTCAAAAAGGGAATAGCTGGCAATTTCAAATTACAAAACTTCCATATTTTCATAACTTCCGTGTACAGATTCAAAAAAGTTTATTTAACCTTGAAGCAAATGCAAATAATTCATAGAGGTTCAATTTGATTCATTTTCAAAGAAATGAATATATTTAATTTACAATTTTGCAATCAAAGTGATATTTCCTCAGCTGGTCTTAATCAATTGTGCTTCTACGGCATCACATCCGAAATATAAGCTGGGACTAAGCAAACATCTTTCATCTTTCTTTGCAAAGACAAATCTTCTATTTAATTTCTAAAGAACAGAAACATGCGATACAGATACCGCAAGCAATAGCATTTACTTTTCTTCAATTTCAACCTTTTTAACGGTTAAATTCGAAAAGTTAGCAAACATTGAAAATAAACCGAAAAAATCAACTAGAAGCAATGCGAAAACTTTAAACAAAAATGACAGAGCTCTGCTCAATGTATCAATGTAAAAAGGTGTACAGCTCCTGCAACACCGGTAGAAATAAATACAATCCCATCCGAGCGATATTCATCAGTTATGTCTTAATGCACTGAACCTGAAAGTACGGTAAATGCCAGCATAGATCCAAGCAATACAAAAAAGGGTTAGTAATATATTGTGGGGCTCGTGGCTATTAAAAACCGAGTTTAGTACTCTTTGGAGAAGGGATCTACAAAAAAGTTTGCCTACGAGGTTGCTTTTGTCAGCTTATTTCATCTTTGATACTAATTGATATGTGGTAGAGATACAACCGTGACTTTGAAACAACGATACAAACAATCTTCCTTACAGATCCCTCAGATTTTTCACTGAAACCATAATCGTAAATTCACAGCTTCATAAATATTTACACCTCTGCTACCTCTCTATCGTTGTGCCCATCGACTTTTCAATCCTATAGTAAGGCATGTTGCCAGTGCTTGTCTTAACAGAGTCAAGGGTGAACACCATTACGCAACCGCTTGCCGTAAGGCAGGTACCTTACAAGCAAAGAACTTAACAGCTCCATGCCATAAAGGCCTTCAATTCGATCCAAAATGAGAAGAATTCTACAAAATGTACACTTTCATAAACTGGTGAAACTTATGTGGGCTTTGCAGCTTCCTTTTACTTATTGATTACAACCATGAATGAAATGCATTCCTCTTTAACTTTGCAATTTCCTGACATTAATGACAGTTATAAAATGTTTTTTCTGATTTTATTCTTAATTTTATCAGAGTATTACATGCTGAAGTGCAAACTTCTGTAAAAAGAAACGGTGCTGTAAACTGAAAGTCAGAAGAACATTTTCTATTAGCCGAGCTTAGAATAAACAATAACTATTTAAAGAAAAAGTTTTCTTAACTTACTTCAACGAGTTTTTTAGTGGAGTCGGCAACATGTTTTCGTATCCCCGGGCGCTTTTCCTGAAACAATAAAATAGAGAGCGACAATGCAGTTCTGAAAGTCAACCAGAGGGTTGTTTACTAGTGACAAAGCTGCAAATTGAAGTGAAATTTTCGATTTTCAACATCTCGTTTTCGAAGCAAAAAATGAGCTTTAAGAGAGAACTATCAATTAAAACTATATGATTGTCTTCATATGCCAAAATGGTCAGCATATCTAAAGAAGAGCTTAACTGCTACATAAACTGACAAATGAAGCCTCGACCCTTCACCACAATTACAAAAATATCTTCTTAAAAAAATGTAGGATCATACTTTCTCTTCAATTGTCGTTTCATGCATGAAATTCTTGATAAATGAAATGCAATCAGATACCATCTTCTCAAAGCTGATAGGCTGCAAAGAAACAAGAAATAACAAAGTCAACATGTATTTTGAGAAAAATTGTTCACTTCAAATATTTCAAGTCAAGTTACCCAGCCACAACTATCCGTAGACCAAACTGGTACTATTCCACAAATAAGAAACAAAAGTACAATGTGATCTCCAATATCATTTCCGATATTAACTAAGATAAGTCTGATATTACTAAATGTTTCTTAGGATTTTAAAAATCCGAGCGATATTACAAGGAATATTTTCACTTCATATTGAAAACAGTCACAAACAACTTCCAATAGCATAGCAAAAACAGCGTAAAATATAAAAATACTTTTACATGACCAATAACATGCTAGCAAAAAGTATTTCCAATACAGACTTAACCAAATTATGAAACAAGAGATTTCTTAGGCATGGTAAAAAATTTGAAGTATGGTTAAAAACGGGCCACCATGATGTTGAATCATTTTTGCAAAATGACGTCATTTACCAGTTTTGAAATGCAAGTGTTATTCTCATCATAGACAAGCACCCATGTTTCTTTATGCTCCAGTAGCTTGACATCTGAAAAACATGAGCAAGTTGTAATTGCATTTTGTAAAATATGAGGTACTTGAATAACAAATACAATTTGCAACGGAAGCAACCAATCAGCTCCAATAGCTTGCCCATGAGAGCGAGACAAAGATCGCGATCGGTCTTTTTATCAATAACTATGGTCGAAGACGTTTTCTAAGTCTCCATCATTTTTATTATTTTCATGCGTTGGTGGTGCATCTTGACAATAAGCTATGCATCAGAAGAGGTTCTCAGTCTGCATACAAGTTCATGTAGCTTCTTTTTTGGCCAAACGTAGCTTCAAGAAACATCACTGATATTTCGATTTATTATGTTCATTGTTGAAGTTGAAGGGAAAAAAATTGTGACGTAAAAAGGCAACTTCAAATCATAGAACTGCTAGATCATAAAGAATATATTCATTTTCTTTAAGTTGTCACGTTAGCCAATAGGCTTGTTAAATAAAACTGCTCAACTCACTGTTTAGGGTACTTTGCAGAACTTCCTTCACGCATTGCTCAGAAACATTAGTGGCAAGATTGCCTAGCAAGACTACAGAGTCTTCTGGAAGCCCAAGAGATTTCAAAGTCTCATAGGCACCACTGAAATCAGAATAAGCTTAAAAACATAACGCACCACTGAAATCAGAATAAGCGGAAAAACATGTAGCAAAAAAATCTGTTGAATTAAATTATGTCAAGAGATATATTGAAGAACTTTAATCGAAAATATTAGACTAAATATTGAAGACTAATTGAAGCAAAAAGACAGTAAATACTGACTGAAGTTTCATTCAATGCAACACTCAAAAATTCTAATGTCAGGATGGTAGGTAGTTGAAGATACAATTCTATCAATATCGAGCAATATCAACAATTGAAGCAGACTTAAGAATAAAACAGACTTAAGAAATCTAAACATACCTTATCTGGCGTCCACAATTAGGAAAATATGCAACGTACAAATCCGTTTTGGCCCAACCTCCCGCTTGAGATCTGTCTCTTTCTTTCAAGTTCAAAATTACTGAGGGTCTCAACACACCATTTACAAGGTTGCAAAAGAGTGTGACTATTTCACTGATCATGTCCTAAAACAAATATGAAAATAATTTGATGCGCGGAAAAGTTTTAAAATTTGTCATTAACAATTTAATCCTCGAGAAAAAATTGGATAAAAACCTTAACAAAGGATTTGATTAAAAAAAATTAATTCTTAAGTTTCACGCTGACAGACAAGACATTTTAAGAAGAGTTGGATGTTTCAAGAAAAACAGCACACTTGTCCCAAATAGAATTTACTTTTCTCAAATTGCATTTGATACATACCGAGAACTTTTTCGTATACTTTGCAATATTTACTTGGCTTTCACCAGCAGCATTAACCTAGAAGTAAACAACATGAAGTTTGCATCATTTGCTGAGTGTCAACAAAATACGTTTTGAGCATCGAAGGCTATATAAATAGACAAGAACCGTAAAAGACAACGAAATAAGGCAATAAAGATAACGGCAATAAGAAGATTAGAAAACAGATTTATAGAGCAGCATGAGAGCAACAGATAAGTTCAAGGTGCATTTGCCGATAAATTCACATAAAGAACCAAAGATTCTGTAGCCAACAGTCAACTGACGAGAATGCTAATACTAAAAGGGAAGTTATGAGTAGCGAGGATGGCTCTGTGGTTAGGGTCGCTGACTACAAACCCAAGGGTCCGTTCTTCGAGTCCCTGGCTTGACCAAACATTCTCTCAGAGTGAGAAGATTCGCCAGGGCTCCGTAAATCAAATAGTGTAGCAGGGCTTGAAAAGAGATTTTTTCTTCCTGGGAGCAAAATAAAAAATTCAAGATTTCCTGCGAAGCTTCGACAAAGTTTCCAGCCACTGAAAGTGATATTTTAAGTTGCTTGATTTGTTTTCGAACAGTAATCATCATTGTGTTTCTACTGGATTAGATGATCAAGGAGAACGTGATTGAGCATACTCATAGTTTGTTTTCAAGGTTAAAATTGGTAGATCTGAAAATCGAAAATAACTATAATTTAACCCCATATCAGTTCTAATAAACTAGAAACTATTGAAGTACTGGTCTATTCTACATCTTGCTTTGGGTTTCATGTTTGCTGCTCATTTTTATCATCAAAGCTAGTTGTTCGTGCAACATGTAAGAACACTATTTTTTTCAATGGTTAAAATCACGGGTGGTGCTAGAGGCAAAGATGTAATCCCAAAACGCTTACATTCTATTAAGCTAGCGATGAAAAATGTATGAGAATGTCAGTAAAAAAGCATGAATAAAAATGGACACATCTACACAGGTTTTGGGGGCATGTTCACCTTCAATACAACTGACGTAAGAAGATTGGCTGTCTTTAAGTGTTTTTACTTATCTAGAATGGCTGATGTAAAAAGAGAAATAAATTTTGTTTCAGCTTGCTTGAATGAAATTAGTAGCTAAAAATCATGCCCGAATTGCCGGAAATTTGGTATAACACGCTGATAATACCAAATGATCGTATTTTGAAAGCTAATCTTCTTTTTTTGTTAGTAGTGCAGAACAAAAATTACACAGTGTGTATGTGTATCAAAAGAAAACAGCGTTCCGTAGAAAGAGAGTAACAAAAATTTAATGTTCATACAAAAATCAAGCAATGGAGATTTCAATCTTAACATTCACTGGCAAACAGCAACAATTTCCTGCAATAGATTGGCGCTAAACATTTCCTAGCAGCGCCGCTGCCGGTGCTGCCGGAGATTTTCCAGTCCTGTAGTGTAGTTACATTGAGAAGAAGGAGCAGGACACTGCTCGATAAGCATAGCATTTCTCAGGTCTCTCCAGATTAAGGACAGACTATACAATACCAGGAGAAACCGCCAAAGAATTGATGCGAAAATTACCTAAAAACCCAAACACGGAAATAAACTGAAACTTATAGGGAGCAGAGACTACCACTAAAACTCTTAACGCAACGCAATGATACTGTCTCGGCCGAAAACAATGCGCAGGAAACCAAATCTGGAATGACGGTGGTATTTAAAATTTCTTTTTGTTTACCAGTCTTTTTCACAGATTATTATAAAGTAAAACTGTGAGTCTGTAGTGATTTTATATTGTAAAATAGGCCATATTCCTACTCCTTCATCGATAATCCATCACCATGACATTCACTTACGTCATTCACGCGATCACCTAGCACAGGACATTCCCTTCACCATTGTACACACGTTCATACATTTATGTCATGCTGATTTCTTTCCAAGTCTAGATCTTTCCTTCTCCATTACATCATCATTACATCATCCTAACTAATCCTTAGTCAGCAATTTGATTTCTGTATATAAGTATCTTTATTTGTATAAAGTTCAGTTCAGTTCACATCAGAGTTACACAGGCAACACACTTTCTCTCTCACTAGCTCCGTGTTCTCTGCACGTTAAATAAGATTCGAAGTAGCATCAACGGTGGAGAGTTACAGCAGATAAGATAGGAACCAAGGCAATTCTTGCCACATATTAGCGTTCAAGTCTTTGAAAAAAGATGATTATCTTTTACTGTGCTTTAATTCTATTGTACTGAGAAAAAACACTGCGAATTTTTTTCGCACGATGTTTCCTCTCGAGAAAATTTTCTTCAGCCTCAATTCCACTTGCTATGAAATATTTATGAAGCGAAATAATAGACAATTTTAAGGAGTCTAAAATTTGCAGATATTCGCAACTTAATTTAAATGGCCATTGTATTTTATATCTTAAGTGCTTCAAGTGCAGAGAACTTGGTGAGAAAAATGCTAAGGAGACAACTTCATGATAAAAAATCGTCTGTTGTGATATTTCGCAGGCGCCAAGATATTTGCTAAAGCTGCATACTATTTTGACAATAAATTTACTGGAGATAAAGAATAAACCCATCTCATTATAATAAACAAAGGATTCACTGGACATATCCCCGTGAAAAGATATTACTTGAAGAGCTCAAGAACATGAAAAGAAAGCTTCAACTGCAGACATTAACACCTGCCTTGCTTCCAATCTCTCCAGATAAGTAGGCTTTGCCAAGTTGCAATAAATCTGGCATGTTTCCCACAATCAGCTCGCAAAGCTCCTCGATAAATTGGATTCCATTTGGTATTGAAGCATCGTCTTGGCCTAAAATTAGAAAAAAATTGAAAACAAATTCATTCAAAATCTGCTGGAAGTCATGGTTTTGTTTCCTTGATACAAAAAATATATAATCGGTTATCTAGCTGTCATAAATAAATAACAACTATTCTCAAATCAATCGGAATCCTAGAAATGAGTGGTCTTCATTCAATCTCATACAAAATTACTTATGAATTCACGGATGTTTATTGAATGTCTAATATAAACATTTTCAGACACAATATCTACAATGGGACGATAAAAACTAAAAATTGGTCATAAATAAAATCATGAATACTGAAAGTTGTTGCATGGAATCGACAGACTCAAATATCAGGACTGCATGATTTCTGACGGAGAACCATCTTCCTGGGCCAATAACCTAACTTATGCTTTAAAGTAAACAATGAATGCAGAATTAGTTTGGATTCTGATAAAGAAATACTTCGAATGACATTTCTAGCAAATGAAATAGCACTCTAACGTTAAAACGTAAACCCCGCGATTGCATAAAGAAATTCAAGATAAAAACGGATTTGAGATAAAAATTACTAGAGGGTTCTCAGTGCTATATGTGTTATAGGTAGGCACAAATACAATTCAATTACAACAAATACGTTGCAAATGAGATATGGGTTTACTGGCATCAGCAGAATATTCTGCAAGAAAACTGTGAAGGCGCATTTTATGTCTATCTTTAATGCTTTACATGAAGTAATTAACTATTTTCTTTTACTGAATCAGTCTGGAACCTGTATAATTGGAGACGGGACTATTGGAGAAGGCAGCATCCTACAGTGGCAACATTTCCTACCATATATTCAATTACCACGACATAGGTAGAAACTTTGGATGTTGCTTACCAATTGGTGATATTGAGTCTGGTAAAACATATGTCAGAGAACCAGATCGACTGTGTTGCTCTAAGGGTAGAAAAATGAATTGGAATGCATCTACTATTGGAAACAAAGTCACTAGCTCAAAATTATACGCAAAATACAAATATTTCTAAAGCATCGAGAAGGTAAATCTTTCTTCAGCAACAAAACGCACAGATTTTGTAAGAATCAAGAATTATTACTCCAAATTCTTCATTATGAAAACCATTCACAGAATGAAACATACAAGCCAAATATAATCTTGCAGATTGTAACAAATTTTCTACGCGAAAGTCGTGCTTTTCTCTTTCCTTAAAAAAAAGACATACGTATATAATATATACTCGAATTTCACCGATTTTTAGCCTCAATATTCTTATAAAATATATTCTTATGAAAAGAAAGGTTTTTGTTGCTTTTCAGTTTGATGAGTCGGCCACAATTCAACTGGTAAAGTCCGTGGGTAAACATAAATGTACATACTTTCCTCTTGGCAATACTAACCAGAATTATAGGCCGATTCTCACAATAATATGGGCAACTGTTTGGTGAATAATTTAATAGAGTACTCACTTTTGATCGGTTTTAGGTAAACCGGTCTTGATCCCTCACTTGGCGTCCGACGATGTTTACCTTAAAAAGGATTGTACTCAATTTTCACTTCTGTTTGAAGAAATAAGGACAGTATACAAAAAAGGACTTACTACCAAGAAGAAGTTTGCGTAATTGCCGACAAAGAGGCTGGCTTCTTATCAAACACAAGCGAGATAATGTCAGGTTTGCCAAAAAGAAATGAAAAAAAATTTTATAGGAATATTTCATAGATTGATTTGCGAGCAAACCTTCACCAATAAGAAAAAATATTGCTATTAAACGCACTACCTTTGAGTCAAGGAGATTCCAGGAAAAAATTAACTTAAAAATACACTTTTGAGCCATAATAAAACTGGCCAACATGCCGGTTAAATGAATTGCAAGCACTACATGCAGCGTGAAATGGCATTTTTTGCTGCAGGTAAATACTTGAAAATGACAAAGAACTATCTCATCTTTCCAAACTAGAAACAAGTTCCAATGAACAGTTAAAATATGTCCTGGGTACAAAGCAGAAAACTTAAATAGTATTAACAAGTGATACTTCGCCATAATATTATTTAAGCACCAAACGGAATCAAATTTGCAACAAGAAAGATAAAAAAGGCCGCACACCGGAAACGCTTGTTCTTCAGTCATCTGGGGCGAAACAGGCAAAAAAATAAAATCGGCTGTAGAGCAAAGATTAGTATCAAAACACCTTTAAAACTTTGCTGTGGGTTATTCCTTAGGCCAGCCGAGGAAATCTTACAAATAATAGGCTGAATCGATCTGTGGATGGGGTTAAGCCAGCAGCAAAGAGAAGTGACGTCAGGCCGGTTAATGGTATCTTTGAGCACATAGAGATATCAATGTACTGTAAGCAAGGACAGAGGAACAGATGGTTGAAAGTAATTCGAAATCTTCAAGCCGGTAATTTCTAATATTGGATTGATAAAGAAGATTCATTGTACTGTTTCCTCTATGTTTGACGTGGCATGTACACAGGCAAAGCATTTTTTAATCTCGTCCGTCACAGCATCTTTGCGAAAACTCGGATTGTTAGTGCTTTTATTTGCCCAAGAACAAGATATCAAAACAAGAGAGAAATTCAACGGTAAAGGTTGTCAGAGATAAACACGATGCGTTAGATTTACAAATTTTCTTCAAGTTCCACATACTGACACCTACTCATTTAATATCAATACCGTACAACCGAATTCTGAAATTTTTTACTCATATTATCCTCAAACTATTTTATCTCAAAATGTGAAAGATAAAATGAGCAACTAAAAGGAAGCTATTTAAATTCTGAGAAAAAAACAAATAATATTATTAATATGAAATTAAGCTCTAAAATGGACAATCAAGTGCATTTATGCCAAAAAGGACTCACTTCTTTTGCTAAAAATGAGCTATAGATGCTTGATAAATTGATTAATACTATTAAGAACTTTCGTAACATTCTAATGAAATCGTGGCTTGGAGTTGAAAGAAGCCATGTAAAAATAATTTACAACCCCAGTGAAAAAAATACTTTTCGCCATTGCAGTAAGACTCGTCCAAAAAAGGTTCATTTTCACAGAAAACTCGTCGCCAGTGGACAGTAGAAATCCTACAGCTTTGTATTCTTCTGGTCTCCTTTGCCAGTATACACAGTAATTTTAGTTTGCTTGCATTTAAACAGATCTCCTATCCCTCTAATTTTCCGGGCTAGTAACCGACGGACTCTTGATTGAAGGAATATGTATATCAATGGATCGAATAAAAGAGCAAGCTGGTAAAAAGATTTGTAAAAAATGGCAAGAAGGTTAGGCACTGATTTGTTTTTGTGCGTCAATATCACATCAATCGTCGTTGGGCATACTTCGAATATCAAAAATGTCAAAACAATCAAGCCAACAACTTTGATGAATTGGCTCTTGCTCTTGCTGGCACTCTGTTGGCTGTTGATGGACTCAGCCCTTTGTCTTGTCGGTATTTGCGATTTTAAAGTAGAGAAAAATATCGATGCATAGGTGACTGCGTATATAACCACGGCAAGGCCATCTAGCAATATCCAAACCCACTTGTTATATACCTCATGGCACTTCCTGGTGTCCAAAAAAATCAGAATAATACTATTCAATAAACAGATGAACCATACAATGCTTATCAGGAGCTTCACATTCCGACTATTGGCAAAGATGAGATGCTTCAGCGGAAAATTGCATCCAAGGAATCGATCGATAGCAAGTATGTACATATCGAAAAACCAGAAGCAATACACTCCAGCACGTAATGCCCATATTACAAGCATTGCCCTATCTCCATACGAAAGACCAAAATGAGAAGCTATCAGCTCTGCAACCCAGCCTAGCGCTATGAGAATTTCTGCAAGGCTAAGGTTAATAATAATAATCGATTGAACAATCTCACTGCCTGTCAGCTTTCTTAACAGCATTATTCCACAAGAGTTGAACATCAGGGCTAAAGAAAGCACGATAAACGAAATGATTTCCGAGATACACAAGCTCGTTTGACACATTTCTGGTTTTACAAAAACTACGAGGCTCTTCAAAATATTTGTTGTGCTTGAAACACAGCTGATTTCTTTTCACGAGCGAGAGATACCTAAATGGCAGTCACAGGAGTGCTCCAGCAGGGCCGTAGATTTGCTTAATCCGAAACAACTGCACTTCTTTAGAAGTATAGACTATCTTGCAATGAATCGGTTCATACTTTTGGCGAAACCTGCTGACAGTAAATAACACTGAACCCACATGTTTGTAAATATACACAAATCTTATATGTAACGTTGCAGTCATATCCAGCAATCATTTGAGTCACCTACACGAACTGCGAGAAGCCAAATGCCAAAACCCACTACAGCCTTGTCTTGATAATTTCTCGATTCCTGCGAAAGTTTTGCAAATGGCTATTAAAAGTATCTTCGGAATACTGAATGCACCCTTTTAAGCACAGCAAATGTCCTCAAATGTCACTACAACTGCTGTCTTTCCAAAATATTCTGAGCATGTTTCAGTAGAAACGGTTCTTGACTGAATAAACCCTTAGTAAGGCAAAGCTGATACAAAGTTTACCTGCTGCGCTATCTGCAAAAGAATGCTTGCTCTGGCTGAAGCTCTGAAATAATCTGGTAGCGTTTATGTTTTGCAACTATTTGCTCACAACTGTTTTCCAATGAGCGGAAAGAAAGATTGATAATCGTGGATAAGGCATGCAGAAAGATATCACCAAATCAATGTGTTAATAAAAGTAGCACAGATTAATAAGACCTCATTGTCTTGGAAAAAGGCATGCGATTCTCACTTATTGTGCAATGAATATTCTCCAATGTAAATCTTTAACTCTATTGATCAGTCCATGAGCGTATTCCATTGAAGAGAAAGCGACTTGCATTACAGCACCAAAATGTTGTTGGAACAAAGCATCAGTCATGAAAACTTCCAATTCAATACGTAACATCAGAATACTAAGTGGGTGAGCTTCAATTTCAGTTGTGGGAATAACATTGAAATGATAAAGTGTAAATCAGGCAGCCAACTACAATAAGTCGTCCATTGCACCGATTTGTAATTGATAGGATAAGCATGTTACCTGCTAAGTTCACTTATGAGTATAGTGGCAATTCCAATAAATTCGTTAAAGATTAATGAGAGGTTAAGCAAATTTCTTTGAAAGGATTGAAAGGTTCTCAGTGAATCTAGAACACAAGCTCACTTTTTATTGCTTTTGATCTTGTCATTGAAGCATCTACTGCCAACAGACATGAACATTTCCTGATAGAAAGCCTTAATTATTGATAGTTAAGAGGAAAATAAACAAATGAAAATCAAAGAAAATAGATCAAAAGATAGAAAAGATAGAGACCAAATGAAAATAAAAAAAACAATAAATCATAAATCAAAAGACAGTAACAGTAGAGACTCATAAGCTTCTTTACAACCTAATTCAACTAAATTTCTTCTTTTCTAGAAAAAGTCAATGCACTGACCATAGTCAGGAAAACATTACGGTCGCACGGTCACTGACCGGAGGAAGGCCAACGAAAAACAATAGAAGCTCCCAAGACACATCCAAGCCACGTCCACTTTCTATTGTTTTGCGAAGGTTAACAATTTTTCTGGACTCTGGCACTAACAGTATACAAAACTGTCGAAAAATACGCAAAACAGTCCTAGCGAAAATAAATAACATCGCCAGGGGCGGGTCTTGACCTTGCAGACATGAGGTATATTACAATGTTCCTCTACCGGGGACAGAGAGCAGTGAAAAACCGTTGATACACGTATCCTATTGGTTAAGCAGCCAATTTCAACCCTGACTGCAGCTTCACTATAGCTCGAGCCAAAAAAATATAGCAATTTCTCCTGTCTCAATGTCTCTGATGCCTTATTCAGAGCAAATCTCCAGACCAACTAAAGCTCAGAAAATCGACTATAGCTAAATAAATCCAATATAGCTCAGAAAACCCACTAAAGCGCAGAAAACCCACTAAAGCGCAGAAAATTGACCATAGCTTAGTTCTGGTTGGTTATCCTCCTGATCAGATCACCTCTCCCTATTAATCATCGAATGGTATCTCTGCACAAATTATTGTAATTTTCCAAATCCATGCTAACTAGTCTTTTATTCGTCAAACGACTGCAGCTGCACATCGTCACGCAGTAAAACGCACGTCAAGCTTCATATAAGAAGACATGAAGACATAGCGACCGGAAATGCAACAAGACAATGTGCTGCGTTGTATTAAACAGTTGAAACCTAAACAATCTGGAAGCAGCTGTTAACCATTTTTCTTTGAATTATTTGTCAGACACTGTATTTTCTAATATCTATTGTGCCCTAATTGGATCCACAACAGTACTTTGAGAGGGTATCAACTGAAGCTACATAGAAAATAAATAAAATTGCAATAATATCCACAACGATTGATCTTTTCTTCTTATCTTTCATTAGCTTTATCATCTCATACACATATCACTTAAATACTCTTTTATCAATTAATGAGCTTCTCTCTATTCAAATTACACCTTCAAATTATTACCAATGAGAAAATAAACAAACCTGCCAATCGACACGTTGATACAGAATTTAGGTTAACCTCCCCGCGTTACTGCTACAGTGAAAAAAACACAACTTTTTCTTTTGTTTATATCCAGCGGTAAAGAGAAGTACTTCTTCACACAACACAGCGTAAAAAAATGTTTGAAGTTAGATTGACACTTACTTGGAAATTCAGATGGAGCTCCAAGTCTACTTCCCTCCGATCTACTTGGACGAACATCTAACTGTGGCGTAAGTGGCGGTGAAAGTCTGTTCGCAACATCTTTAATAAAAAGGTATTTATTTTGACATTAGACGTTAGCGAAGAACGCGAGAAGATATTGTCAGTCAGGTCTTAAGGTATATGATTAGATATTAATTATAAGAAAAAAAGAAAATTTGTTAATAGTAAAATCATCTAAGCACCAAATAAACACGGCTAAGACCTGGATAATTCAGGAGAATTGCAACTAAAATACGAATTCTACAAGGCATCCATAAAATTTCTTCATTGCAGTTAAACAGCTGACTTCATTTGTTTGTCTTTCACGTGCCACAAGGCAATCATGTAGATGTAGATATGGTGTATTAGGCACAATTTACACATACCATTCTTTTGATGATGATCTTTGGATTCCAAGAAAAGTCCCTTGATCCATTGCTGCATCTTTGCAATGCATTCCCAAGCAGGGTCTCCAGGACTATCCAGATCGCTCAGGTACCTTAAAACAGCCATTTCAAATTAAGACTCGCAGTTCTAAACAAAAAATATCTTGGATTGTTGCATACTAAGACCAAAATAGGGTTAAGCTTCATCGTCAAGATTACAGTGCTCTGAAGAACGGATTCTACTTCCAATGCCAAGGGGATCCGACTAAGGTCTTTCTGCCAAGCTAATACCAGGCAGAAGATACTCACTTTCACCGTGCGAGTCAGAAAGGTGGCTTCAGGCTTCTTAGGATGAAAAACAACAACAAAGATTGCATTCTGGCATATACAACACGCAATTTCAAATTAAATTCTGATCAATTAAATACTTAAAAGAAATCTAGTATGATCTTCGCTGAAAACCTTTTTTATCGAATTAAGAAATATACAGGGACTCCGCTTAACGAGTTAATGTCTGTTAGGAATATTTTAGTTAGAAGAACAATAAAACGGGAATCTTGCATTTTGATATTATCGTCATCATGGGCCTAACACGAAGAGTTATCCATGTGCAGACTAACATAGGATACATGGAACATCTACGCTTGCACATGAAAACTCGCAAAAAAAGCTGATGTAAGCTCAGATATGACCAGTTACTCCCATTTCCCTTCCCTTGGCAATCCTACAATCAAAATAATGTCTAACTACCATTGAGATTAACCTTTAAAGTAAACGTGAACAGCTGCTATCCATTAAAAACGTACATTTGAACGAATATGGGAAAATAAGGAGATATGACCTGTCAACCCGGTAATTGACAATTATAAAAAAGCGGTAAAAAGTACCTTATTAAGCGCCGTTTCTCTTCTAATACAGATGGAAATTCAAAGAGCCTTTCTTTTAGTTGAACCATGAAAGCACTAATTTGGCCATCAACCTTTTCTAATGCTACAAAAAAGAGAAGACAACGATAAATGTACATTGCACTCTTATACAGAAATAAACATAATCATTAAAATATAAAATATCTAGGTTTGCTTTAATATGTTGTTAGTAATAGAGCCTAATAAAGAATATGTTAAATACACTATAGCAGTGAAATAAACCAAGGGAACATGAAATGGCATTCAGTTGATGAGTAATTATATCTCTATATTGATGGATGTAGAATGGGATATTTCACAAGTACATACTTTATATACTGGAAGGTCATATTCATGACAACAAGACATCGGGACCCAGAATGAAATGAAAAAAACTCAAAGACCAACCACTTAACATCGGTCACAAAGTTTACCAGCAAATAGATCTACTCCACAAATCAATTCAGTGTTTTATTCACTTGTAATCACAATTAACATGTTATTCTGCTATACAGTTAAGAATTTTTCATCAAAATATGGGTTAAAACTACATACTGTAAAGCGGTGATATTCGTAAAAAGTGACCTCAAAAGAACTCAAGTCGAACTAGGTACCAACCAGACTATACAGCAAGAACTTGCACAGACAAAAGCTTTCCTTGTTTAAAAAAAACAGTTTAATTACTGATAGCAGAATACAGACAAGGAACTTTTAGAACCAAGTACAAGTACAACTACAAGAATTGACAAAGAAAAAAAACTTTTCTTTTTTACAAAAAAATAGTAATATTACTGGATAGTGAAGTCCTAAAAAGGAATTTTTAGAGCCAAACTAAAAGTACAAGCTACACTGCAAGAATTAGCAAAAAACAAAAACATTCCTTGTTTGCAAAAAAAAATAATAAAATTACTGATAGCAAAGTCCAGACAAGGAACTTTTAGAACCAATCGGAAAGAACAGGCTACACTGCAAGAATTGACAAAAAAAATCCTTGTTTACAAAAAGTTAGTAAAATTACTGGATAGCAAAGTCCTGACAAGAAACTTTTAGAACCAATCTGAAAGTACAGGCTACACTGCAAAAATTGACAAAAAACAAAAAATTCCTTGTTTACAAAAAGTTAGTAAAATTGCTGGATAGCGAAGTTCTGACAAGGAACTTTTAGACCCAATCTGAATGTACAGGCTACACTGCAAGAATTTACAAAAGACAAAAACCTTCCTTGTTTTTTTAAAAGTCAGTAATATAGCCAAACAAAGCCTTTAAGAGCCAATCTAGAAGCACTAAAAGAACAGTCTACATCTGCTACATTCATGAAAATATTTGCCAGCTCAAACAAAAACTTATTTACCTTTCTGAAACGATTTTACTTCACTGTTCTGAAACAGGGCCTTTGCTCGATTGTAGTCACTTATGACGATTTCAAAGTCACCCTTACGCAGAAAAGAAAACTCGTTATCACAACAATATTTCTTTTAGGCATTATAATAATAATTTCATCCAAGAAAATATCTGGGTATGAAAAATCGCGTCATTAAAGAATGTAATCAAGTCTACCTTAAATGAAATTCATCAAACTTGAGCATATGCAGTGGATATTACTTCATTTGTCGCCTTGACCAAAAAGATCGGGGTATCGTGGATAAGGCATGTGTTAAGGCATCACCGAAGCATAGGTGAAAGGGCAAGGAAGACTGACACAAATCATAGTGGGAATCTGCATTAAGTTCATTGCCCTTTTTAAACAAAACACCCATCGTAGCAGGTTACTTTGCACGTTGGGTCAAGCAAGATCTTCTTTTCAAATCTACTGATTCAATGGTTAGCGTTCCCTTCTTTTGTCTAATGATGATCTACATAGGTGCGAAAGGGGGTGACGTACGTTAACTCTTCAACCTGGTCATTGTTAAGAGGAAAGTCAAGCGGAAACGTACTAATGAGTTAGCCATCCCCTTCTTACAGAAAAAAGCATTTGCAAGAAGGGGGTAACTTTGAATGCCAATGGGTTCATGGTGAGGATGTGAAAATGGGCTCATAGTTCAGAGTTAATATAAAAAGTAAAATATAAAACGCCCAGCTATGTAACATGCCAAAATAAAAATAACTTCTTTTTGGGGCTTTGCAGCACATTATATATGCATTTGCAACATTTAGCCTATCGTCCACAGGCATTCATGCAGATTTTGAATTTTTTATAAGAAAAATTTTTCAAAAAACTTAAGTACGTATACCAACAGTTTTAGTAACGATTCACATTATTCCATGTACCTAAATCTTTGGCGAAAACCTATAATCATATTTGTGAATGAAGAAATCTCCCTAACAATAGCACAACCCCGCTTCCATAAACATGTCAAGCTACCCCCTTGCCCTGTAAAGGGGGACTTTTGATACTGATAAACAACCCATTATAGCAAAAGGGGATAGCAGATCAGTTTTGAAGTAAAAAATTCCAAGTACTAGCCTTAAGATTATTTCTCAGGAACAATGTAAAGCAAGCAAATGAAAGGAAACAGAGCAGTTTCGGACAGTGTTTTAAGCAAGAGTTAAGGAATACCTGCTGAAGGTTCTTTTCTATGTTTCTTTGAAGATTAAAGAGGAATTTGAACCTTTGAAGAACATTCAGAGCATTGCGTTTGGCGTCAGCATCGTCTTTGCGTGACAAAATATCCTTGAACATCGAATTGGCAACCGTATCGCAATCTAACGAGGACCAGTAAAATGACTGTTTAGCAATAACTTAAATAGGATTTATATTTGACGAAATAAACACCAGGGAAAGAATTCATTACAATGAAAAAGTTATTCTAACAAGTAAGAGCACATAACCTTAAAAGCAACAAAAACTGGGGGTGCTGGTCTACTGTGTTTTCAAAACTTGTGCCCGAGCACGGCTTTTCTGTTCGATTTGCTGTATATTTTGACGATTCATTACAATATGCAGAAGGGGGATGCAACCTGTCTAGCACAAGAACCATGTATACATATGTAGCTGCACTATTTGTATTGCTTAAAAAGCTTTTATTATATATCTGAAACGTAACTCAAGTACTTAGATGTATATTGTAAAAGTAAATAAAGCTGTCTACATAATCATGCATAATTGAAATACCATGTATTAGCATTCAAATTTAATCTAGCTTTAGCTATTATAATTTGTGTCTACCCCACATTGGAAAATGTTAAGAGGTTCTAGGATTAAAGATTCATTTAATTATGATTGAAATTCCCTCACTTTTCAAGATGCCTTCGAGCTCTTTGGTGATTGAGCCGCCCGGAGAGTCTTGCTTGTCCTCAGAAACAGATCGCTGAATTTCTAAAATCAAACAATGAAATAAAATTATGAGCTACTAAGATTTTAATAAATACCATTCTACAACACTAAAGAACAGACTGTATAACTTGTGATATATCAATATATTGGAATGTTCTGCCCTATGGTCAAATCACTGAAGCTATTTCTAACAGAATCACAGGCACCCAGGCATGTTTCCTTTCATTTTAATTCATTTTACCCGTATCAAGGAATTTTCTTCGTCAACATTTGCACATCGTTAAAAAACACAAGAAAAAGAAAGTGTTGAAGTAAATACATTTACACAATTACAATGAAGAAAATCATTCAGATTTATTTCAGATTGTACAAGTATTTTCTAAAGTTGACATACCTCCTAAGATATCTAATGAGTCTAGAATTGTTCCTAGATTCGAGCGCACAAGAGATGCAGGACCAGAGTAGCTCCTTGTATCCTGGGATTCCAAATGGTAGAACCCACTCCTCAGAGCATCGAAACTTGAAAAGTAGAGCACAAAAACATGTAAATATCTGCAGGTCTGCTTTAAAAATGGTCTATCTCAACGTTTAAAAGGATATTTTGGGAAAATTATTAAGCTTCTAAAACTCTTGATTGAAAGTAAGTTGAACCGGGACCTAGTTTACACCACGAGATAATTATGGTTAAGGATCATCTTCACAATTTGTTAGTCAGCAGCAAAATCCTTGATTGCGAACAAAGCAAAGTGGGTACATAGGATGTCCTTGTGATAAGTAAATAATATTTTTACCAGATAAACATTGCATAATGGATATGCAAGTAATTAACTGAGCAAACCTTGTATCAAGATGTTTTTCCAGCAGGAAACGCGCAGGATGAAAATTTTCTGATAATGGGTTACCACTGCCTTTAGGAATAAGAATGCATAACATAATCTAGAAACCTTATGAAGAATGCCAATCTAAAAATCTTAGGATTTTATCACCCTGTAAAAAATCAAGGAACCTCAAAGCCTCATGTAAAAAGGTGTATCTAAATATTTAATAGCATAGAACAAGGTATGACAATTTTTTCGTTCTTGCGACCGGACGAAAATCATGCATAAAGTTCTTGCGAGAATGTAAACGAATAAAGGGGTAAGGTACTAGACACCGTAATGATACGTAACCAATTTTTGTAAATGAAGGTATAAGCTACATTTATAAAGGTAAGAGCAACTTTACTACAACTTCAAAATCATTTTCTGTTTTGGCGACATAAGAAAAACTTTAATCAAACATGAATTTTAAAAACATTATCAAGGGTTTTTTTTGGGTAGAAAAACCTTTTCAACATTTACAAGACACATACATAAGATAAACTGTGATTTGAAAGACATCCAATTTTAAGACAGCAAACAGTTCAAGGCATTCTCAAACGGATATGAGCAAACATTAATGATTCTATTCATACTGGGAAGGTTAAGGTTAAGAGCTATTATGCATTATCATAAGTTTGAATCGATGATTGATGTCCAAGTTCTCTTAGCAAAAATACAATATCCTGTCAAATTGAACAGCCAGAACTTACTTTTTGGGTACATCTCGTCAATCTTATCTGGAGGTATTACAGCCCTAAAATGAATTTCAATAGATAGTTTAAAACCAATCAATAAAGGTATTCTAGAAATTTGAGTCACAGTCACATTTTAATCATAGATATTAGAATATACTTAAAAAAGGTAATGCATAGATTTAATGCTACTTTTATCAAAGAATCTAATTTCTTATGCAATAAGATGGCATTGTATTTCAAATTTTAAATCTTCCTTTGAAAACGATAATACACTTAAGGCAATATAAACGCTAATACACCCAATAAAACACAGCAAGAACATAACAATTATAAGCAGGCATTCCTACGAATTAATCCTTAAATCTAAACATAAGAAGAAAAACATAGCTTTATACTTTACCCTGTCTCTGAAGGAGCAACTCCAAGTGGGTCATTTTCAGAAAAATTTGGGGACAGTGGCCTGGAAATGGATAATCCTGAAGTTGGCTTCTCATCAAACAGCTTTGATTCATCAACCCAAACAGCTGACTCTGTGAGCAGTCCAACACGTGGCATGTAACCTCTGAACTTAACTGTGCTGGTTCCTTTTCCACCAGACTTTGTGACAACAACTATTGACCCATTCCCTAGTCCTAAGCCAGTTCTACATGTGATGTAATGAGGATGCCACTCTGCTGTGTAGGTACAGTTCTTATTGCAAATAAAAACCCCTGTAGACAAAATGAAAAATATAATTACTGGTATTAAAAGATAAAAAGATCTGGATATGCATGACTTATGATTACAGAAAACAGGAAATCTCACTGCATAGCTCAACTTTGTACATTACTCAACCTTTTTTATGCTTCTTGTACAGTTCATATTGATTTATGTGCCTATAGGTCTACAGGCAAAGACCTAGAAGCCTAGGGCTATAAAAGTGGGGCTAGAGGCATATGGCTAGAGACCTAGGGCTAGCAGCCAAATATTTGGTAATCTAATCATTAAAAAGATCAGCAACAAACAAGAATCCTAATAAAGATGGTTTGTTTGCAATGAAACTGGTTTATTCTGTAATTAGGTATAATAATTCCAATTAACCAAGTAGAGGTATGTTGTAATGCAGGGGGAAATGTTTTGGCATTTTTGGACTAATATGATTGATTCAATATTGAATTAAAGCACATCTGTGAACTCATGATTCTGAAATTACAAACTGGGATCAATCAAGCACAGGTTGCTGCCACCTCGGGATCCTTAGCACAAACCATGTACTATAAGTCTACTGACGATCTTCAAGATTAATCTTTATTTAAACCATTGCTAAGTGACTGCATTTGAGGGTGCCATAGCTTCATGTTTCTTGCACTTGTTTATCCCAATTCTTTTTGTTAATGGAAAAGTTAAGTGCAAACTGAAAATGCTAAGAGAATAGTATGGGTCTTTTTTGATATAGCAAATTTTGAAAGTCAATTTATTATATTTATAAAGATACAAACTTCCAGAAAAAAGTCAAGTGGAATTGTTACAGTTTTTGACAACTTGGAAGCAAACATTCCAAAAGTATTTAAATTATTAAACCTACATGCTTCCATCTCAGCATGCAGTACCTCGATTGAAATGGATCAAAATTTACATAAGGAGAACCATGTACCAAGACACCCTTGGATCTTTTTTAGAGTCTGTACACACACAAATATATGAAAGAGCTTGAGGCTCAATATTTTGTTCACAGAAATAGTAATTGAAAGTTTTTTAAGAAGCCAAGTGTAGAACAGTTTATGCTGTCCCTGGTTCTTGCCTTTTTTAATTATGATTTCATTTTAGAAGCTTTATTCTCTGGCAGCAGTCATATGATCAAAACCAACAGAACTCCTCCACCTCGATAGTTTCACAAAACAAAAATCAATTTAACAGGCTAGTTACCTTTTACAGAACAATATATAACAACCAAAAGACACATATCGATTAAAGGAATTTTCAAATCATCTAAGAATTGTCTTGTCAAAATGACTCATTTGGCTTTGTTGCTCTTTCTAACGCACTATCTCTCTCTAATAAAAGGTCCATGTTTAATTTAAGTGAACAGAAACAAACTTTCTTTTGCTTTATTTGAAAATCCAACAAAAAAGATGGCTGTAATTAGAAGCATTAGACTAGGCTATGATATGATGGGTAAGGGTACTGTGCTCTCCTACTTAGGATTCAATGCTGTTGTCACTTGTCACCTTGAATTTTTCAGTGTCTGTCACTTTCCTTGTTCTGTATCAGAATGTCATGAAATACTTCTCTATGTTGGTGGAAGCAACCATGAATGAAATGGCACAAGCCCTTAAGATCTTTACCTCCAAATTTTGAGTAGACCATCTGAATAAATATGAGATCGAAGATCATTCCAAAACTTTTATCAAGCATTTTGCCATGAAAAATAGTGTTTTCTTACATCATCTAAAAATATTCTGCTAATGTTTATTCTAAAATTTGAAAAAAAACCATCTGTAAAATGTCAGAGTCCTAAGATGATAAAAAAATTAGAAATTATAGAGCTGACCATCCTCAATTAAATGCTCAAAAACCTTTTCCAAAATTGAGTCAAAATAATTAATTTTTTCCACTAGGCTCCTCAGCAGCTCAATTGACGCAGACCTGTCAAGTTTCAGTTTTGAAAATGAGTGAGTTTTTTTAAAAGGAAGGTTAATTTTTAAATGTTTGGACGTCATAAGTGGATCTTAACTGATCCAGAACGAATCCTGACTGCAACACACAACCAAAAGCAGGGCCCAGGGCACAGCCCCAGGAACCTTTCTTTTGCCACGCCCTCTACTTCTTCGGAAGCACCCTTTTTGAGCAGAAATGGGGGAATTGAGGGGACTTTATTTTACACCATTCTATTCAGTTTTTATTGAGAAGAATTTATAACAGTAGATAATCATGAAAAAAATTAATCTGGTGCACTTGGGCTGTGCAAATGATTGCAAAAGTGCACAGCACTGTTGACCTGGAATGCAGAGGAAATAATGCAGGCGAACAAAAGGATGTCGTAGTGTAACTGCTACCCCAATTATTGTTCTCAGGAAAAAGTAACTCCGCTCTGACCGCTCCGATCACAAATTGCAATAGTGAAACTCTGACTTAAGGAATATTATGCTCCTTCAGGACAATTTCATTCCAAATCCAACGTTGATATATTTCCATGACTAAGAAACCATTTATTGCATCTGCACCTGTATTTAAAAGCATGTATTTGTATAAGGACTGCAGCTAGCTCTGGAGAACACATTTGGTGATAATCTAACAGATGGCCTTTCCGTTACAAGAGCATTAGGTCAGAAAGCTCAAGGACACCTTGTGCAACAAAGGCAACAACACCCAAATCTTCTCTTTTGGTTAGGGTCGGGTTTTGGCATTGTGAGCATTGCTCCACCCCAATATTTGATCAAGTGTCCGCCCCTGATTGTGAGAGCACTTTAGAGACATGGCAGTCTATGTTCAAATGAATGAAACTTGATACATGACCTTTTGTTAGGCAGATATGATGAATCTGACAGTTGAGCAAAGAGAGTTAATGAAGAAAGGCATGTTCTGTGCATCAATCAGTGGGCGTCCTTTCTGCTTTTTGATCAATGGATAGAGATGGCCATGAACAACACTTCTAAGATGAAATCTGATTGGTTTGAGCTACCAAAATGCAAGCATGTTGCACACATATACAAAATGGTCAGTAAGATAGAGTCAACACTTCAAGCTCTCAATGCTGCTGCAAACATTAACAAAAAGGATTGTAGCCATTCTGAAAATTCTCAAGCTAAGTCAAGCTAGAGGTGAAGCATGCTCAAGATCTCAGCTTCTGCAAATACGAGTGGAATTGTGATCATTTTGACAAGCAACACAAGAACATTCAAATTCTTGAATCTGGATTTCTTGCATCCTTAAGTCTCATTGAAGATTTCTCAGTTGAATACAAAGAAGGTAAAAACAAGTCCAACAATTTTTAAAAGAAATAATTTTTTCACGTGAGAAGTCAATATCAAAGAAATAAAGAGGAGTGGTTGTTGCAATATCATGACACAAGATTAAAAAGAGGATAACATTGAAAATATGGATAAACAAAAGATATTATGGATTTTGGTGTACGATTTCTGGGAAAAAGCTGCGTGAGTCCCTCTGTTGTGGTCATGTTGTGTTTGCGTTTGAAGCATTTATGGCCTATGGAGAAAAACAAGCTCTGAACTTGGACCTACCTATCAAATCTGAGGCATTTTTTCCAAGATTTTCTCCACGTATCTTAACTTTTGTTCCAGGAGGTCCTTCTGCAGGGGATATTCCCGTTACAACAGGGCCGTTAGAGGACATTTTCTCTTTGTAAGTTGGTCTTCTTTTTCTTTTAATTTAGCCCTCTGATTTTCATTCCCCTTCCTATATGGACAGCCTCGTTTGGGCAAGCCTGTCAGGGGGGATCCACTGATGAGGGAAATGAGCGATCACTGCGATCACTCAATTCATTAAATACATCTCTCGCCCATTAATGAGGCTTAGCACCCCAAATTTCATCCTCAAAATCATCAAAAGCGTTTTGGAACAACAGAATGTGCTGAAATTTGCTGTGATTCAGCGAAAGCTTTTTAATTTGGACGAGATGAACGCAAAAGATCAAATTTGCACTACAAAGCATGATTCATCAATCACTTTTATCTATATGATACTTAAAAATACCGAGGTATTCACCGAAGAAATTATCTTTGAATTGCAAATGCAAAATCGATGCTTTTGTATTCAGAACTGACTTTAGTTGGCTTTAAGGGTTTGCACTTGGTGTTAAATTGTGAACTTGTTTTATGTAATTATTGAGGTTTACAGGAAAGGAATTCCTTGTGAACTTCTGTTTGGGTGGAAGGGTTATAAAAGTAAATGTGAGAAATGGCACGAGGGTAGGACGAAGAAAGAATCAATGACCAACAAAGTTAGGTGCAAACATGATGGTTATTCAACGCAGCATGTCACTAAAAATGGAACTAAAGCCACACTTTCGATTGCCACAGCTTTCTTGATACTTTCGGCATTTCTTGCAAGGCTTTCAGCAAAATGTGTTGTTCTCCCTCCATTGGTTAGAATCAGAAAGGTTTTTTATTTGAACAAAGCTGTTCATACCATATCTTATGCTGCAGAAACAGGGAAAAACCCAGAGGCCAGAGCTTTATAGATATTTCTTTCCATTTTCTGAGTTCTCTTGCTTGCAGGTTTTTATTGTCTTACTTTCTAACTCAGGCTGGCCTGTTGCAAATTAACTTTTGTAGGAATTGACAGGGAAAAGTTTTTATTAGAATATAAGAAACTGATGTGAGCATACTGGATATGGGGTAACCATACAGAGTAGAGAAATGACTGAAAATGAAAGGGACAGTAAGTATGTATCATCTTTGTGAAAGAGGTCAGAGAGAAGAAACTAAGGTGGGTGAGCATCATGAAAGTTCCCACAAAGGAAAGCCTGAGGACAATTATGCAACAATTGGTATAGAATTAAGAAGAATTTGTTCTTAATACAAAAACATTTTAAAGACACTTGTTTTTCAAAGAAAAGAATAAAAGCAGCCGTATCGTTTTGTACATTTCAAGTAGCTAAACGGCAGGGAAGACTTTAGTAAAATATTTCATTTGTCGCATACCTTACGGTGCCATTGTTCGGTGGTTGAGGTTTTCTTGCATCAAACTACTTAAGGTACGATAAAATCCTGTCCGACAGCAAAATAGTAGACAAACGTTGAATAATCACTTCGTAAATACTACTGAAAGCCTCAATATAGCCCGACCTTTATCTGATAATGTGCAACAGACGTTTGACGAAAGGACAGCTTCGTCACTATTAGATCAATTGAAATGCTTTGAAAACCACCGTAGTATTTTAGAAATCAAGAAACCGTTTGATCAAAGTCCCTAAATTTAACTTTGAAAATGTAACTTCCGATAATGTAAGAGAGATAATTTACAATCCAGAGGAAGACAAATAAACAGAAGCCGATAGCATCTCCCCAAGAAAAAAGTTCTTAAAATGGCAATAGACGTTGTCTCTGGACCACTAGCTGAAAAATTCAATCGATCTCTCTCTGATAAAACATTTCCCTTTCTTATGAAAATGGCTAATGTGTGCCCTATTTCAAAAAAGAGAGAGTCAACTAGAAAAGAGAATTATAGAACAAGAAGTGTGCTCCTCTCAGCTTCAAAGATATTTGAGAGAATAATGTTCAATCAAATCTAGAATTACATCGGTGTTAAACTATTTCCTTTGCTTTGTGGATTCAGAAAAGGTTATAGCGCACAATACGCTTTCTTACGACTTATTGAAGGCCTGAAAAAGTGCCTGGATAAAAAAGGTGTGGCTGGTGCAGTGTATATGGTTTTATTCAAAGTATTTTATTGTTTACCCCATATACTTCTACTAGCCAAATATAAATTTTATGGCTTCAGCGACAATGCAATGAAATTTACGTATAGGTATCTACATAAAAGAGTTCAACGAGTTAAAATAAACTCAGATTTTAGTGATTGGATGGAAACAAAGCAGAGTTCCTCAAGGATCAATCCTAGGCCCGTTGCTTTTCAATATTTACATAAACGATATTCTCTGCATTTTAACAAAAGCAACTTATGCAACTATGCAGATGACAATACAATTTAGCTGTCAAGTACTGATATAATTGAACTAACTGACAACTTAGAATTGGAAGCAGCTATTCTTAATAAATGGTTTTATGAAAAAAATTTGGTGCTCAATAGCGATAAAAGCAAGCTTGTAAGATTTAAACCAACCCAATTTAAAGGAATCTAAAATTCAAATAAATGGTTCTACTATAATAGAAAGTAAGAATGTTAAACTTTTGGGAGTAACACTAGACCATTAACTTAGATTAGAAGAACATATTTAGGTTTTTTGTAAAGAAGCTGGGAAAAAGGTAAACGCTCTAGCCAGGATTGCTTCGTTTATGAACAAATCTAAGCGAATTCTTTTAATCAAAACGTTCATATTATCATACTTTAATCATTGATCTCTGATTTGGATGTTTTACAGTAGGAAAAGTAATAACCGGATAAACCAGATTCATGAAAGAGCAATGAGAATAGCTCGTGATGATTATGAATCAACTTTTGAACAACTTTTAAAATATAATAAAGCAATAACTTCTCATTAGAAAAATGTACAATATCTTGCAAAAGAAATTTACAGAACATTTAACGGTTTGAATCCAACTTTTATGGATGAAATATTTTCCATATATGAATGCCCGCGGAACCACATTACAAAGTATATGCCGTATCATACAGATGCAGCCAAACATGGAACTCAGTTCCAAACGAGATAAAGTCCTCCCCCACCTTGCAAATGTTCAAAAGAAAATTCTGAGAATTTACATCGCTCAATTGTACTTGTAATCTTTGCAAGAAATATGTATGCAAAATCGGCTATCTTTGAATTAGATTACATTCAGCGTTGTTAATTATAATTAGTTGGTTTTAATTAGCTTGAATATACATAGCTAGAAATTGTGCCAACTTTAAATAAAGAAAGAAAATAAGGTATCAGAGCGTCAAATAAGAGTGTATTAAATAATGGTTAAGGGCAAAATAGGGGGAATCGATCAGGTTTGCTCGGAAGGCAGCAAACACTCTTTTGCTCAGCCATTTTGTGTCATTTTGTCAATCCGGATATTTTATTGTCATATTTGCCTGTGCAAAAATCATTTTCGTTGAAGGCAAGAAAATTTTTCAGACTCACGTGCACGAATTTTTGAGAAAACCAAATATCTGTTCTTTTCAATGGCCTTACAATACATTATATTTCAAACTTTATTGCTTAATTGATTATGCTTCTATCCGAGCGCATAGCTGATGAACTTACTTGTGTTTAAACAGCTTCCATCTGAATATAGCGGTCAATCTTTCTGTGGCCAGAGCGGCGGGGGAGGGGGACGTGTTGAGAGACTAAGGATTAAAAACAAAAGAATTTTCAAGAAATTTATTTCGTTTTGCGAAAAAAAGAGCGGACATTGCCCTCCGGTCCCCCGTCGTCAGGGGCCCTGGCGGCTGATCATTCAGTTCGAATACTTGTAATGAGGCATAAAATCAACCAGCAGCATCGTTGAAGGCCTTTGGTCAAGAACAAAGTTAGCACATCATTGACAAATGGAAAGTTAAATTTCGATGCAAATTATACACCGAAGACACAGTGGCAAGAAAGGCACCAATGTTTAACAAGACGAATCGAACGAACGAAACGCCTTTTGATGGTCTCCTGCCTTTTAACCCAGGCAATGCTACTGTTTGCTTGCTGGCTGTGCTGCTGAATGGGGTCGAAATGGTTATTATTATTCGCAAAAAGAAAATCCTGAATTTCGAGAGAACACTTCTCAGCTTATGTGTTGCCGACATGCTCGTTTCTCTGTTATACGTTTGTCAAGCGTTTTACAACCTGGTGCATGATGAGTCGATGTATGGCCAATCAGCGCGGCACTTGGTCCAGTTTCCGCTCGAAATATTTGCCGTCATGTCTTCTGTAACAAACATTATCGTTCTTGGAGTTGACCGATTGTTAGCAGTCAAATATCCTTTAAAACACGCTGGATGGATGACCTTTCGTACAATAAACACGCTTATAGCCGCTGCATGGGTCGGTGGTATTGCATTATCTGTCATTTCATACGCACGCCGTTTCGCCGCTCCCGCAGACAATTCAGATGCCGCTTGGTTTACGGCCATGTACATTTTCTCTGGGTTACTTTTTTCTTCAGGCTTTGCTATTATAATTATATATGGAATGATTGTTTTCACTGTTACGAGGCGAGCTGCGAAAATGAGGCAAATGCGGCACAGTGAAAGCCAGTCGCGAGGCGATGAATTTGCCGTGACGATAACATGCATTTTAGTTGTGGTTGCCTTTACCATTTGCTCCTATCCATACGCTGTCGCACGGCTCATTTCTAGAAGACCGATTTTTAAATTCAAAACGATTCTGCTCAATCCGTTACTGGACCCACTGGTTTACTTTTTCAAAGGGCTTCTTCAGAAGAAACTGGAGCGGAACTGACCCATTCCATCCTTATCTTTAAGCACCATCGACCATAAACCACTAACAACAAAAAATAAAATGTAATTTCAGGTTATGATGTACTAGAAGCACTCAATCGATCAGCAAAAGTGCAGCTCAGCGTTTAAATACTACCTAAAATATTTGAAGCCTTTTCCTTGAAAGCCTTGTTTGATAAGGAAAGGACACCTATCATTCGCTGGGAAGTACAAAACAAGTATTGCTCCGAAATCTCTTTTTATGAGAAAAGACTATTGAGGCTTACAATTTGATGCATGCATATTTTGTTTTTGTGACACTTGTGACATAAACATGAGTGAGATCATTAAGTATCCGACCCTCGCTTCCATACTTCCCATGTCACATGTGTTTTTGGAAACATACGGGGAAAGCAGGACGTTGCAATGTACAGTGAAACCGGACTTAGCGTTCACTGTTTTGCAGAGCCAGGAAGTGTAGGAGCGTAGTAAAATCATCTTGATTTCTTAGTGTAAAGCTTATAGCTATATTCCTTCATACAAATAAAAGTATAAAGTGAGTTTCGATCCGTCAGCAATTAATTACCTTGTCAGCTGCAAGCCCCTAATAAAGTCTTGGAAAGGAAATTAAAAAAAGTTTATACATTAGCCATTCAAATAGCAGATTACGTCATTTGACGACTATTTGTGATTTCTACACAAATAAAAAGTAATTTTCAAAAATGTCAATATACCTCTAGAGTATTCTATAATTATTCCTGTGCTTTCTAGAAGGTTCTTTGTTGTGTAATACAATACAATCTATCAAACAAGTTCATAAGGCAATTGGCAGACTTGGAAATAATTAAGCAGAATTAAAGCAGCACGAATTTTATCATCTTTACTTTCAATTAGCTTAGTTATCTTTCCCATTTGCCAACATCCTCTAGGCAATTTTTGCTAACCAAAGGTTCAATGGTGCTTGACTCTTAAACAATATAGGATGGGTTTAAAAAATATGCATCATTTAGCCATGTCTTAGTTTGTTAGCAAAAGGTATCGCAAGGAAACCCTTTCAAATCGTTTTTCGGATCTTCGTCAAAGTTGATTTTTTCTTCCTTGCATCTTCAAAACCTCTTGAAAACAATCTTGTTTATCAGACTTTGAAGCAGAATGATAGATATGTTTTTGCAGCTGAACGGAACTCTAAACTTGCGTGATCAAACAAAAGTAATTCAAATATGCTAAATGTGCTATATTTTTTTCCGGTTCAAAAGCTGGTTGAAGCTTTTCAAGTCTCTTTTTGCTGATGGCAAGTTCTTAATTGCATTCAGCTCATCAAATTCTTTGTCATCGAATCTTTGCTTCAAAATGTGTAGATACTAACGAGAACCTGATTGCGGATTGCAAAATATATTTTTTCTCACGGATGTAAAGATTGTGGTGGTCTCTTCTTCTTTTGAAACATCGCACTTTCGTTCTCATCGATTTATCCCATCTAGTTTGTAACACACACCGGTTCTAAAGTGGGGGGGGGGGGCTGTAACGGAATTGGGGGCTTGCGCTAGAAAAGTTTGAAGCCACGCTTTTTAGAACGCTGGAAAACGCTCCTTTTAGAAAAAATTGCTTCTTTCCGTCCTTATCAACATTAAGATCCAGTTAAGATTTCAATTACTATAAAAATCCAAAGCCGACTGAGTAACACAAATTACCATTAAACAAGATGAAACACCAAGAAAATTAACAAAAACTGGTTCCTAGTGAAGAACTACACTTTCAAGAAAATTCATTATTTACAAATCCACACTTTCTACAATTACAGACCTACAATATTAATATACAACTTCAAAAAATGAGTCAGATCAACGCCTATTTCAGGACCTGTTTTCTTCCGGATTTGCAAATTTTTACTTGAGGCTTTCTTCGATGTGTTGTAACTCGAATCTTGATCTTCTGTCAAGACAGAAGTTTCGTTCTTTGGATTTAAGCTCAAAAAGTGCATTATTAGTGCTATTACTTCAGCTGAGCTGATACGATATCAGCAATTGACTATAACTATAAATATGTTTTGCAGTTGATTGAAATTTGATCCCTATTTTCTCATAACATCTCTTTGTAGATTTCATAAGCTTTGAGGTAGATCTGTTATTATCTTTCTTCAATTATTCCACCAGTAATTAACTCATCCAAGTAACGGACTATTGCAATCATCTTGCACAGTAGATGTCTGATTATTTGCTTGAAGATGCAATTAGCATAAACTGACTGGAAAATACATTAAATGTTATTTTTGAAAGCCTGGAGGCGTTGATGTTATCTGCAGTAACTGGTTTGCTTTCCTCTTGTTCCTCTTGTACAGATCTAGTCACATTTCGTTCTTTTTAGTATTCTTGCAATAGAACATGCAAAAATGCCTTCTATTTGCTGAAATAACAGCTAATTTGTGGATTCAAAACTTCAACAAAAGGGCACAAAGATCTTTCAGAATCACAAGTCCATGGTAGTGTAATTGTGGCAGATGCCTATAAAAGGCGAAAACCTGCTATAAAAACATACATAAGGCAAAAAGAGACTGCTGTAAATTTTTTCAAAGTTGTTTATCCAAGGAGCCAGTGTAATATGCGTTTTGGCACCATGTGCAAAAATGTAACATTGTTGTGAAACGCAATATGTTTTGTGACTTCATCATTGTGCGATGTTTTGATACGTTTTTAAGAGTTTAATATTTACACAATCACGCAAAGTTTGGAGTCGCCATTAATGTTGTACTTTTTTGCATAAACTTACAGCACCCCTTCTTATTCGCATCCCTTTTATAAAAATAGTTTAATTGTTCTACACATTCTGAACAATATGAACCAGAACATTCGACCGGTTCGCATGCCAAATTCCACTATTCGTTTTGGTACCCTATTGTTTAAATGCTTGGGTACGTTTTTGCATAACCAAAATTGTCATTCGTTTGTGTACCAGGACCGTTTTGTATGCTAAGTTCCACCATTCGTTTTGGTACCCTATTGTTTAAGTGCATGGGTACGCTTTTGCATAACCAAAATTGTCATGCGTTTGTGTACCCGGACCAAAATGCATAAGGTTACCGAAACGCATACGACACCGGCACAAAAAACTGCCTTTTGGTCGTGACCCGTTTCATTCAAGGAGCTTTTCCCCTTTTTTATAAGAAACTTTTTAAAAAACGGAGACTAAAGATGATAACAAACTTAAGAACCACAGTTCTGACATATTTGCTTTATAATTCGTCTTAAAAGATGGCGATTTTTTTCCAATGACACAGGTCTTGATATCAAAGTAAAGAATACTCACAATTACACATAATGCAATGATAGCGATCTAATAAAGCTTCTCCATGTTTTGAATCAGGGGCATCGAACAGAGTGTCTGACAAGGCTACATTCTGTCACCATTTCTCTTCAACGTTTACTGAGATTTCATTATGAGAAAAGCACTTAATAGGCTCAAAATTTCAACCAAGTTAAAGGCGGAGCTGTTACTAATAAGCTTCATGCTGAAAGCTTAAAGGCAGAGAAGACAAAGTTCATATTAATAGACAGGAACAACAACGAGGAAACAATTATGGATTTGATCTCACCTTAGAAGAGGCGAAAGTCGAGGTCGGTAAAGAATTTGGTACTACGGTGCCTTCATCACAAACAATTAAGATTACACTGAGGAAATAAGAAGGGTGCCATAGCCAACAATTGCTAAAATTTCTCTTAGAATGTCATGATATGAGTAAGACATGGCATTTTGCACTCCTAGACTGTGGTAGGAGTGATTTTTATGTTTTGCCCGAATTCTAAAAAAGTTCAGTTGCATATATGGAGCTATAAAACCTCATTTCTCAACTCATTTCATCACTTCCCCCACAACTTTAACAAAAAATATATGTGGTTTTAACTAAAGCAAGGTAAGCCGGAAGAAATATTGAAAGTAGTGTGTGTCAGGTTTTTAGCTTTCGTTTATTTTTATCAAAAAGATGTGTCCGGTAGTTGATCATGTCATGTTATTTATCATATCTTTAGAAAAGTTTTTGACTAAAAAAATTGGGAACTTATCAAGGCGTGTTTTAAGTTGAAGTAGGGTCTCCTAGACCACGATAACCCTTGCCAAGCCGTTGGCAAGCGGGCCCAAAGATCGGCATTGAACGTCTTTGACATTGAAATAGCTATAAAAATATATTTCATCCCTAATCAGAAGGTTAAAAGGTGTGCTCTGCCTAGCGACCCTCGATGCAGAGAGTAGATGGGGAAAAACTTTACAGCCCTCAATTAAACAGTGCTTCCTCTTGAAAATAGTTAACCTTTTTTCGGGAATTTTGGCTGATTGGAAGGAAAAGGGAAGGAATTATGAATTAGAATAAATAAATAAAGATTCTCTAAGAAATTGGGATCACATTTATGATTTAGAAATTAGATAATGGCATTGTTAGTCATGGTATTTTTAGAAATGAAGTTGTAGTCAGTAAGCAGACCAATGACATTGGAAATGTTTCAAGGTTTGTGCAAACGGTGGCTAGTAAACTGACTTGGCAAATTCAATGTTATAACAGTACACAAAGCTGTTTTTAAAATTTCTAATCTGGATTACACAATATGTTTTTGTGATTTAAGCACAGACTCAACAAGGGAAAGTTTCGAAACTAAACAAGGAAAACTTTGAAACTAGACAAAAGAAAATAAGTTAATGAAGCTCGTGTGTTAAGGCAACACCAGGAACAATTTCTTGAGTATGTTGAAAGCGAAAATAATTAGTGAAGGCGATTAATTCATATAAATCTAGTAATAGTAAATCGGAATTGTTTTCGTCCATTTTGAAAGGAATTTAAATAAATACATATTTTCGGGGAACTGATCGAGTGAAAAGTGCAAGTACTGCAGATTTAACTTAGTAAATATCTCGATTAAAAGCCATTCTGTCATCTTATTGTAAAACATGGCGTGCGATAAAACGCACTTCCCAGTGTGGGGAGGCATGTACCAACGCCTGCTAGTGCAATCGCATGCCTTTCCCAGGAAAGCCTGATTGGTGTACTTAATAATTTGAAATCAATTTTTATATAAGGAAAACAGATATAACTTGGGATTTCTAAAGCAATGAAGATCCACAATATTGCTTAATGTAAGCAGTTGAACAGATTTCTTCACTTTTTTTAGCAAGATCATACACAAATTTTTAAAAACCAGTAAGAAATATTTGACAAACAGAGCAATACCATAGACTACAGAATGGAATTTTGTTAATAAAGATACAACATGGAGGAGTATTAGAAAAGAAATAAATCAAACAATGATTGACGAAACCATTCTTTGAGAACTGTAACAATACCAGCATCAGCTACCTTTTGTTACCTTACAAACATTAATTGCGTATTTGGTTCTGATACAAGGATAGTCTCTGCAAAATGAACCATTGAAGAGAGGCTGTGGGCTACAATACAAGATCTCTAAAATTGTTATCCATGGTGAAGCATCAATCTGAATATGTCATTGAGTACGACCAAGCTATTAGTTACAGGATTCTGTTTCAGATGGAAGACTTGAGAGAAGCCATGTGGAGGATCCGAATCAGTCTAAAAAAGAATGGGACTGTAGTGAACAGGGTCATATATTAATCTAATTATAAAACAATTACAGTTACTTGTAATCCAACTGATAAGAAAACGAGACAAGAAGAGAGAACACAAGGGCCAAAATGTGCATGGCCTTCAGAGTAAAAATGTAGAGAAACTCTGTAAATGCTGATAATGATAACAAAGATCCTTGAATTAGCCCCCCCCCTGGCTTACTATTTTAGGAAGTTATTTGCCAAGGGCTAATTAGAGAGGGGAGGTTATATGATGGGTTGTTTATACGTGTGGGGGGAGGGCTTATATGAATCGTCTCCAAGTCGCTACACGAATAGCTCGTTTTGTAATCTTTACGTCCATTTTATATACAATTCTACGTCCAATCAAACCAAATTTTATATCAAAGCACAAAAAGATATTTTATTCAAATATATTGATATTATCAATCCATTAAATACTGTGGTCTAAATGATGTGTTCTGTACTGTTGTATTTCGATTAATCTGCAATGACTGCTTATTAAAAGGACAAAATAATGATGTTAGTTTGGTGGCTTATTAGCAATTTTTACTTACAAGGTGGGGCTTAAAAAAGGGGGTACTGCTGGCAGGAAAGCAATTTGTAGGTTGATAGAATAATTCAAAAACAATATGAACAACAAAATTATAAGGCAACATCGCAGTAAAACACAAGAGAAAAACCCAGATCCTAAAGAAAAGGATTATCAATACAATAAACACGACCAATTGATCAGATTCCAACGATGAGCCACATATGCATGATCACTAACTTCTGGCAAAATAGATTGGAAATTAATAAAGATCTTTTGTGGACGTGACCAGTCTAAAAACTCTATGAATGCGGTAACAAAATTGTAATCTATTGTTGGGAAATTTGGCAAAATTGGAATCTGGAAAGGCATTGAAAATAACATTATTTTGATATATTTACATGAATTATATGTTTTAAGTGTTAAGTGACAATAACTGTTAAGTGACAAAAATGATTTTTCAAAAGACAGAGAAATTGGCACCAGTAGTATTACGGACAGAGTGCTGTTTAAACTAAATACAACACTTATGAAGTTTAATATTCAGCAGAAATTAACTCTGTTTTGCTTATGACAGGTTCACATCGGCATTCTTTAGAAAAGGCTTATACAGATTTCAAGGAGCTTGCAGCAAAAAAATCGTTATAAAAAAGAAAGCAAAATTTACCTTCAGTTGACCAATTACAAAAACAATCAATCCGTTATCAACAGTTGGCTGGACATCAACTGTTGTTACTGAATGCTCTACCTTTTGAAATGGAAGACCCTAAAACCCAAAGGAAAACAATATTAATTGAAAGCTCCAGGGTAACTAATCACAGCTCCAAAGTACAGCTCCAAAGCACAGCTCCAAGGTACCTTAAACAATGCCTATATAAACTGCTATAATTGGGCAGAAGGCCAGGCCTTGAAAAAACATTTTTCTTCCTGGCAGCAAAATAAACAATTCAAGATTTCCTGCAAAGCTTCGAGAAAGTTTCCAGCCACTGAAAGTGATATTTCATGTTGCTTAATTTGTTTAAAAATTTGTCCTAAAAACAAACTGTCACACTAAAAAGAACTAATTGTTGGTCCTGCAGTCTTGATCATAGCTATTCAAACAGGAATCATTTTGTTTATACTGTATTAGATGATCAAGGAGAACGTGATCAAGCACGATAATACTCATCAGTTTTTTTTCAAGGTTAAAGATAGTAGATCTGAAAATCTAGAATAACTTTGATTAAATTTTATATCAGTACTAGCAAACTAGATACTTTATAAGTATTGATATATCGATACATCTTGCTCTGGGTTTCATGTTTGCTGCTCATTTTTATAATCAAAGCTAGTAGTTTATACAACATATAAGAATACTATTTTATTTTTCAATGGTTAGAATAAATGTTTTAAATCAGGGGTGGTGCTAGGGGCAAAGATTGAAGACCAAAACGCTTGCATTCTATAAAGCAAGAGATGAATGATGTTTGCGAATGCCAGTAGAAAAATACGAATAATAATGGACACATCCACGCAGGTTTTGGGGCATCTTCACCTTCAAAACAATTGACGTAACAAGATTGGCTGTCTTTAAGTGTTTTTACATATTTAGAATGGCTAATGTATAAAAAGGAATGAACTTTGTTTAAGCTTGCTGGAATTAAATTAGTAGCTGAAAATCATGCACGGAAATTTGGCATAACAGACCCTTATAATACCAGATGATTGAAAGCTAATCTTTGTTTAAATTGTGTGTGCTTTTCACCACACGCGCAAACAGATGTTTTTGCAGTTTTCTGTTAACATCAATTTCCCATGGTCTCATGATCCTTTTCCCTTGATACTTGATTAGCACTTTTGACCATAATATGATTTTTCCAATTTTCGAAAGTGATGTTTGGCTTTTAACTGGATGCTCTTTTCAACTTAGTGTCTAGCATGTTAATTAGCATGTTAAATGTAATAACTGATTTCCTGTCAAAACGTAATTGTGCCCTGAAAGCAAGTTGCTGTTGGAAACAACTTTTATTTGCTCTTGTAACTTTGGAGAGTGACGAAAACTTTTGAAAGATGGCTACTAAGGGCAACAAAATCTGTTATGTATTGATTGAATTGAGTTTTGCTCTTGCACGTATTTGAGTGGCTTTTACCTTTCTTGCTCCTTTTACCAATTTTGTCAGTTTGCACTTAAAATTTTCTTACAAGTGCAATCGCACACATAATTTTGCTTACGAAAAGGACTGCATAACATTAGGCCTTTGCAGAGGAGCAGGGACTGGAATAGTTTTCAAGCACAAGACAAACTTGTTTCTGGTTTATTGAAGACTAATTTGCTTCACCTAGGGACACCCACACTTTTTGAGACATATAATATTCATATTCTAACAACTTACATAGCAACAAATTCTAGCAATTCATACCTTTAACTTCTCTGAAATCTGTACTTCTCCTTGTAAGTCTGTGCCTTCAAATGAAAGAGTAGATTGGGGTACCTAGAAAACATTGATCAAAACAAAATCTATTTAAGTATTTGCCCAACTGAACGTGTCTGCGAAGATCATAGGTGGACTCTTGTAGACGAGGAATGGGATATCTTGTGTAATCTGAAGTCAGATTGTTGATTACTTTATAAAAAAGGATGAGGCGTCTGCTCCATTGTCGAAAGTTCAATGATTCCCACCCAAGTTTGTCATACCACTTTTCACAGGACATACCCTTTTAGGCACCCGTTATTGCTAGTGCAGGAAGTATTGGACAGCTTCAAGTTTTTCCATTAGATTAGGTAATACAACATCATGACAAAATTCGCAAATATTATGTGGGATGTAGCATATGTTATAATCTAGATACAGCTTTTGTGATGGTTCTGATGTGACTAGAAAAGAACAATTTGGAGTCCAATATGATTCCAATATGATCCTCCACATGGCTTTGCTCTAACGCATTTTTTACAGGGACGTTATTGAAGAATATGGGTGATTTACAGGAGGTCTTTTCGTGGAGAAAGTCAACTCCACTGCTTTCTTAGTATGATCTGGATTGAAGGTTATTCTCCATTTACATGCCCAAAGGCTGACCAAGGTCAGATTGTGGTTCATGTCGGCAGCAGCTTTGTTTGGATCATGAATGACTGTAAAAATTGATGTATCTGTGAAAATATGGTCTCTGTTGCAATGCATGCATTTTGCCCAAAACTCAAAAAAATTGCAGTCACAAAAGTGGTAGACACAAAATGTCATCCATTTTTTTTTCTTAGAGTTGTACATCTTGCGGTTTTTTGATTTTTTCTGATTTCTGGTTAATCATGTAACACAATCAGCATTTACTATAGAAAAGGTAATTTTATATCTTTGAATTCTGCTCCCAAATAACACTCCTTCTACCCACTTCCCTCCATAACAAGACACTTTTTTCATAATTTTTGCTGGGGCTTGGTGTTTATATTTTTTGGATGATTTGAGACTTCAGGGTTCTCAATAGTACCAAAAGGCTGATAGGTTGAATCAGGATGAAATAAGAGAACCAAGATAATTTAACTCAAACCCCTAGATTGACCTCCCTTTTCGCATCTCGATTCTGGGTTGATCGGGTTCTGTTGTCTGAAACAAGACCACCTTTGACAAGAGCAAGCCTTGGCAAGGCAAATGATGTTGCTTTTACATTTCTATTGTGTTTCAAGATGGTTTCTAACTAATTTTCCTACACCAACTATCATGTTATGTATGCCCTTTTTGGAGACAAAGTGTTGAAGAAATCGATTTTTGAACTGACTGTTTAAACACTCAAACAATGGGTTCTATCAACACGCATAGCTGAGAACAATCAAACTCACAGTCCAAAAATAGATCATGAATAGATCAAATTGCCACTTTCCCTTCGCAAAGGGCATAAAAAACTGTTAAAACACGAAAGTTGGCAAAGGAAAAGTAGTTAGAAACTGTACTAAAACATATAGAAATATGAGAGCAGCGGCTCATTCGCCTCACCAAGGCTTGCTCTTGTCAAAGATGGTCTTGTTTGGACAACAGAACTTGTTCCACAGAGAATCAGGAAGCAAAAAGGGAGGTAAATCGAGGGGTTTAAGTTGGACTATCTTGGTTCTCTTATTTTTTATCTTGGTAAAATATATACACCATTATTTCTGTATTCTAATATGGCCAGGTAAATTTTTGAATTTGTTCCTCCTCAATTACCTCCTCAAGGAGGGAAACCTCCTAGTTCTAATAAATTTTTGGCAAACCCCAGCGTTTTAATAATAGGGTGTAACAATGCCATTGGTTTTACAGGAAAAACATCAGTAGGTTCATGAAAATATAATTCCTAGTCTTCAATTTCATTTTATAATAGACTATTTTGTCCAAAGTTAGCAATGGGGTTGGTAACATACTTTGAATGAGGAAGGGATTTTAGGTGTGCCCGCATCAAATCCGCTACAAGGAGGAGGAGGACAAATATTGGTGGCGCCAAACCTTCCAAATGGCAAATCAAGCTTTTGACCTCTAGTTCTGTCAGATGAATCACACTGGTACATTTCGAAAACTGAATTTTCAACATCGATGCAAAAATTTGGAGTTGAAAGAGATTCTGGGCACTTGCAGAGTAAGGCCTAGCCATGCATAATTCTCAGAAATTGGGTCGGAGGCTTAGGACTATGAAAACTCAAAACACTTACGTATAAGTTGATTAATTGTTCACGGCTGTTATCAAATGTTGTATAATAATGTTGAACAAATTGATTGGCAATGGTTTTCATGTCCGCCATTGTTGATTTGTAAGTGGCACCAACTTTTCACCCCACCGTCCACCGAAACAAACGCCTAGGCCGAGAGCAGCTCAGCGTGCAATGGGGGCTACAAAAGACAGCCTCGTAAAATACTCATGGTGGGCGTCAAGATAACGCTCCCTGCTTCAAGGCCCTTTGAGTAAGACCCCGATACGATCTCTTGCCCCTATCCAAGATCGAAAACTAGAAATTTAAATTCACAATTGACTACTTTTTAAAACGGTAACAAACATTATGATATCATAAACAGAAAAAGGTAAGCATCGCCTTTCATGACAGAGGGAATCAAGTAAATATGCATGTACATGAGGCTATACCCTTCTTAAACAACTTTTTAGGAATGTTCTTCAATAATTCGAGACTTGAGTGCGCTAACATTTTTTTGATTTCAAAATTTATTTTTCTACAACTAGTTACATACTTTAAATTGTTTCCAAGACATGAGAGAATTTTTGAGCTTTTTTAGCAAGATTGACTAGCTTATAAACCTGTCCTATTTGATTAAACATGAACGAAAATTTTCAAAGCCCCATTATTATTTTCTTCTGATTTCTCATTTGCGATTCTTGGCAAATCGAGTCATGGTATAATGCCATTCTAAAGCGCGTTCTAAGAAGATAGTATATATGTTATTTATTTCTTAGATACCTCATAGATAAGATAGTATATATGTTCTTTCGTTGCCGTTTGCCTGATTCATCTTTACAAGTAGATGTGAGAATCCTGTTGTAAAGACACCCTAAATAGATTAAAGCCTTTTTCAACATACTAACTATGTAGGGGCAATTTTCCCTGCAGCCCCAGCGACTTTTTATTGTTTTAGACAATAGGATATTGTCCTTCGCTTTGTATAAACAGAGGTTTGCCCCACAGCTAAATTCCCTTGAAAAAGGTTATGCAAATCACAACTGAATATTTTATGTAAATGCAAAAAGAAAGTAGATATGTGTTCTGAAAGCTTCTAAAGGTGGCTCAAAAATCACTTTAACATGAATGGCAAGGCTCTAATGCTCTCCAGTCTATAAGGTGAAGTAGGTGGACAAGACTGAATTACGCTACAAAATAAATATATCGATCTGCGGTTCCACCCACGCAAACAATTACATCAAACGATGAAAAAGGGTTTCGATTTTAGGTATAACGTTATATCCTGTAATTTTCCTAACTCGTATTCAGTTTAAACGTCAGAGACCTTGTGTCTTCACGCTACTCTTTCTGCCATTCCAATTCACCCAACTGCCAACAAGAAATCTGCCTCCTGCGCACCAGGGTTAGCCGATTTTTTTTGATTGCAGTACAATGATGGACATGAATGTTTCTTCTCTTAAACATTAACATAAAAATATCCAGCATTTTTGCGGCTCGGGAGGCAGCGTGCAATTTTTAGCTATCTTGATGTCTGTTCTGAATCTTGATGCATCTTTGACACAGATAAATAAAAAAATTCAAAGTTCTAATTATGATATTTTTGAGCTTTAAAAGTTTAGACTATTTCTAAGAATCTAATTATGTACATTACAGAAAAGAAAATCTTTTGAAAAAGTAGAGCGTAAGAAGAGTAAACAAAATTTTTTTCCACCCAACATAACCAATTCAGTCAAAGCCAGTTTTCCGTAGTAGAATAATCTATGGTGCTCCACAAGACAGTGCTTTAGGCCCTCTCCTCTTTAGCTATCTCTAAATTGTATCTTTTACTTGCATCATCAATTTGTTTTTGCAACCAGCCTACTGTGTACAAACTAATACTTTCTACCATCAGATTATTTACTTTAAAAAGCAATATGTTGTACCTTAGGATTTTCAGCCATTGTAAGAGAGGCATCATTATAAATTTATGCTATATAAACTAACCATCTAACTCACTACACATTCGTACACATCTGAATCACAGTGGCCTGCACTTGAATCACATTGGGGATGGTAAGCTTGCTTTGAATATTATATCTGAGTTGCGGGATGGACCTCCAGCCTGTATTAGCAATGAATCGAATGAGAACTTGATGGAAAAAACGAAAAATTACAATAAAGAACATTGCAGTCTCACATAATAGTTACTAATGATATATTAGATAACTCTGATGATGAGAATGAGGATGTAGATGCCAGTTTGATTCTAAAAAAGTTGCGACTATCTAATAAAAACAATTTACTAATTGCACACCTGAATATCAGTTCAATAAGAAACAATAAGAAATAAATTAGAAGCACTGAAATGTTTGATTTCTAAAAATACCGATATCTTTAATAGCAGAGACGAAAATAGACGAAACTTTCCCAACTAATCAATTCCGTATTGATAGCTATATGCCACCCCTAAGAGCAGATAGGAATCGACATGGGGGAGGTCTTCTGGTATATATAAAAGAGGGTGTTCCCGCGAGAGAAGTTTCACCAAATGGTTTAACTTCCCAAGAAATTGCAAAATAAAGCAGTTAAAATAAATCTTCACAGAGTAAAATGGCTTCTTATGGGTATCTACCGTCCTCCGTCTCAATCAGAGAAATTTTTCTTCGAAGAAATCAGCAAAAGCATGGAGCATTATTTCACCAATTATGAAAATTTTCTAGTAGTTGGGGATTTTAACCTTGGCGAGGAAACTTCAAATTTGCAAGACTTCATGAGCAGCTGCAATTTAGAAAACGTCGTTAAGAAACATACATGTTTTAAATCCGATAGCCCAACTTGCATTGACTTGATACTTACTAATGATAACACAAGACTTGAAAATACTACAACAATCGAAACTGGGCTGTCGGACTCCCACGTTATGATAGCTACCGCTTTGAAAGGAAGCTTTCTTAAAAGAGGCCCTAGAATTATAACGTGCCGGGATTATAATAAATTTAACAACTCAGTTTTTAGTGTGGAACTTTTAGAAGAGCTTACCTATAATTCTGAAGGCAATCAAGATTTTGCGAATGTCAATAGAATTTCTAAAACAGTTCTAGATAAGCATGCTCCGTGCAAGAAGAAATATGTTCGAGCAAATGACGGCCCTTTTATGACCAAAGAACTTAAAAAAGCAAACATGAAGCGTACTAGACTAAAGAATAGGTTTAACAAAAATAAGACAAATGAGAACTGGACTGCTTTTAAAAAACAAAGAAACTTTTGCGTCAAACTGCTCCGTCAAAACAAAAAATCATATTATAATCGACTAGACCCAAAAGTTGTTAGCGACAGCAAAAAGTTTTGGAGAGCAGTAAAGCTCTTTTTCTCGAACAAGATTGAAGGAAGTGCCAGTATTACTCTACTCGAAAACGAAGTTGCAATCTAGGGTTGCGGAAATCTTGAATGAATTTTTTTTGATAAAACGTTAGGTGTAGCTTGTGAAGAGGAATCCACAAACCTGGATATTTCTTCGCAAGATACTTTACAAACGACTGTTCAACGTTTCCAGTGCCACCCTAGTATTGCTAAGATTAGGGCTCAATTAGACCAATATTACTTTCTATGTTGTGTACCTCAGCAAAGTGATCACACAGACAGCTCAAGAGTCAAGTCTTTATATAGCTCAAGATTCTATGCAGTCAGATTATCAGCAAATAGTACTAAAGATTGTCATTGACAAGTTAAATCTCAACTTTTGTAACAGACGATGTAACTCTTTAAGGTCAAGTAGATGATTAATTATAATTTGGTTCGCACATTTATAATTCATGGGTTGAAAGAGAGACGAAAAATTATAAATATCTCTATCCATTATCATTTTTATATGTCCACTTATATGGTTGTTTTGCAGCAATGAGAGGAAAGGTTAAAGGAAGAAGTCTTATGTTCGAACAATTTATCACCGTTTTATCATCTATCGATAAACACTACTTCGCCCCGTTCCCATGAGAGCAATGGTCAAGTTCGTTCAACTTGAATCAAGGGGCATTTCATCCAAAGTAACAAGTCACGGCATTGCACCAGAAAGGAGCAATTTTAAATTGAATCAAGTGGCATTTTATCAAAAGTAAACAAGTCACAGCATTCCACCAGAAAGGAGCAATTTTATATCGAATCAAGGAGGATTTTAAAACTACCAATAATTGTATCAAGTCACTGAGTTTCTTGGGTCCAGAATCTTGAATTTCTTTCCCGACGAAACAGAAAAGTCCACCAACACACTTAAATTTAGAATGCTAGTCAACAACCGGCCAGTTGAAAATAAACGTGCTTGCAACGTTTGCAGCCCATAGTTGTCATGATGCAATTGTATATGTATTCATTTAACATTTGTATTGGTATTCACACTATAGTTTTACTATCAATAAAAAGGAATGTTTTGCTACAATAACTTCAAGATTTAGTTATCGTGGAAAAGCAAATTTTCAGATAAGTATTAATCTACTGACATGTCATTGATTGTTTTGAAATGTTTGAAATTTTCAGCAGTTCTAAATTTCTTATTAAACTACAAAACTGCAGAAAAGTATTTCTGTAAATAGCTTGGCATTTTTGACTATGATCGAAAATGGAAGGAATAGACACATTTAAAACAGCTTCGAAATTCTTTATGAATATAATTTCTGGTCGCAAATGACACTTCTAGACGAGGGGCAAATCACTCCAAGAAAACTCGTACACCATTTGTGCAAATCCTATTGCTTTATCTGAAAATCCATAGAAATTCTTTTGTTTTGGGGAAAATTTCGTACGCTATTTGCAAGAGTGAATTGCCCCTCGCTTCTAGACTCATGTTGGTTTATTGCCTAACCTATGTCGTTAGTGCAAGCCTTATGCAAGGCATCACAGTGCATATCAGAATTGTCCGAGCCTCTTAAATCCCAACTGCACAAAGACAGATAAGATCACTAGCTTTATCAGAATGTTGAACCCCTTTTTGAAAATCTAAATTTTGATGATTTTTAGCTCCCTTAACCAAGTTAAGTCGGGCAATTTGTTTTATACGACTAGATGTTTATTGGCAATTCTTCTAAAATATAACTCACAAAACAACCCCCTAGAATTATTACGAATCCATCCAACTGACAGTAATTAATATGCTTGTCGTTTTAAGTTTTACGCTCCACAAATCTTAATTATTTGACTACGAATAGATAAACATCATTTGTCAGAAAAATTCTGAAACACAGAATGGGTTGAAAAATTATTGAGCTTTGCTTTATAAGTTTTTTTCATTTTATTCTACTTATAATTTTTTAGCGTGTTGAATTTAAAATAAAACTTCGTTTTACATTCAGTTTTATTTATTTTACATTGACTCGTGTTTTTGCAGGAATGTGGCTCGATTAACCTTGAGTCCTGGATCAATAAATCCAGCTAAATAGCTCCTCTTTTTTCAATGTCTGACGTCTTTCTATTGCTATCCATTAGATCAACACTTGTTAACCCATTAATTTAAATTATTTGTAATAGTCATATACATTCACTTGTAGATTGCTGTGAATTAAAAACTAGAATTTAAGGGCGGTAGAGACATTTTGAGACGAGCCGGCTGATAAATCTTTGAGTCCCTTTCTTTGCTCCTCCAACTCCGGAGCATCACAAATTGCAGACTCTACTTTCGTAACTACTTCACTTTTTCAAAGGAAGTAAACATTTATTATAAAAACAACAAGCAACGATTGAAATGAATGTGAATAATAAGTGTAAGTACGTAATTACTGAGCATGTCAAACCATCTGCCTTTGTTTACTTACCTTCTTAAGTCTTTTAATGACTTGCTTATCTTGAGATTATGCAAGTACATAACTGAAGGAAATTTTATTTTCATAATTCTTTACAAAGTTTAGAAAGTCGAATGAAACTTCGAAAAACATCACCCACTTCTGATAACTATCTTTAACATTAATCAATAATTCATAGCCAAAACTGCAGCTGAAGTATATAGTCTAAGATAGTGTTTGCGTTAATGAAAACGATCTAAATCCTGTGTTTATATGTGCTTATGTTCCCCTAAAAATTGTGCCGCAAAAATCAAGCTGAAAAGGCCCTTGATTGATCAAGTTAGTTCGAACATCCTTTAAATTAAAAATATCATTATGTTGAGATTATTACTTTTGCTTTATGGCTCGAATTTTCTTCTGACATGCAATATTGGTAAAGGTAATGTCATGGCCTCATCGACTATCTAGCAATTATTAGATTCCTGGTTTGGCGATAAACTTGAGAAACCACGTTCTTTTTCTCTTGTAACTCACATCATCGAGTGAACAAGAAATAATATGTTCATTTGCCATTATTTCTTTTTTTGGTCCAAATACTGCACTAAACATTGGAGTCTTCAGGTGAGAAGACTTTTCTTCATATCGTCTTTTCTTCTTCATGTCGTCTTTTCTTCTTCATACCATCGTTTCCTCTTCATATCATCTTCAGATGAGAAGATATCGTCTCTTCTTCTAGTAAGAAAGCTCTTTCTTTTGATATTTTCATCAACAATTTTTGTTCAATGTCATCTTCTCTTTCATAAATCTGATTAGAGTTTTGTAAAGAGTTTTCTACAGTAAGTTACTTTTTCATTTGATGCTAAAAATATAACTCTCACCTTCTAAATAACAACAACGTCTTTCACGACGAGGGCTAGGCATCGTTACTTTATCATTTTTCAAATTGAAAGAAATCGAAGAGTAATCTCTTGTATCGATTTGTAATAGGTAGTTGCCATTCCCCCACTTTTAAGCTTGAATTAGAGTCTCTGATCCAAGAAATAAAAATTGAGAATTCACAGTACCTGCTCTCTAAATTATTAGTCGCTTTGTAAGCTTGAAGATTGCATTCAAAAAGTTTTTATTCCACTACATGATATCCCTATGATATTCGAATCTTTAACGTTTGGTAAAAATTTGACATTATTTTCATTAATATGGGTTCAGTCTCGAGCATCCCTGAAGTACATATCTGCTATAGTGGTAAACATCTGCAGTACATGAGCTACACCTTTTTAAGCATCGGGTTTAGAATCCTAGAAGAAACAAAGCATTTAAACACAGATTATATTTATTACACTTTGTCTTCTGGTGTTTAAAATAGAGTCCTCATGTGTGACGTCACAAAAAAACTTTTTTAAGAATTTTCAAATTTTGACCATATAGCATAAAATAACACCATGAAATACTCCAATATATGCAAAATCAGTTCAATTTGTCAAAAATCAAGTGAGCTATGGCCAATAGAAGATTTGAAAATTGCTAACGGATTACTGTTATTTTGGCTCAGTTCATAAAGTTATGAAAAGCAATCTAGAAGTTTATGTAACAGCTGCCTGCAATCATTCGACATTTCTATTGGCAACGTTGCTAGTAGCGAAACTATGAGAAGCTTGACGGATTCGACATGTCGACATGTCATAGCAAGTCTTTTGAAATTTACTAAGAAATTTGGTAGAGTTAAGGCCGCAAACTCGAAGCAAGCAACTCCCTGTTTTGGGGCGCCTTCTGAAAAAGAATGTTTATCATCAAAGTCCATGTTTCAATTCTGAACAGAATATTAATCACATCCATGCAGTGATTACAACTAGATACATATTTTATTAGATACTAACGTAAACAAGGTTACACCAATAAGTATAGCCAGAGACGAGTAATTTTTGTCGCTAGGTCCCCAATCCCTAAATTGAAAGAATTCTTTTGTTTTTTCGAATTCATATTCTTTATTACTTGAGTGCCTGAAGCAAAGATTTCTTAGCAAAATATAAGGACCACAGTATTTGTTGCAATAAACTCTTCGTTACAATAAATTTCGCTTTTTGCTCTGAACGCAAGAAAAAGTCATGTAATTTGTAGTTATGTTATGAGAACTTGCATCTGGTAAAATTTCATGCTTTGAAAATATTTTACTTGCATTTATTGAGAAAATTTTGATCAAAGCATGACAGATGTTTTTCAGGTCGGAGCAGAATTTCACAACAATCTACAAGTTTATGTAACAGCTGCCTGCAAGCACTTGCTTGTAATTCAAGAAAACGTTGCACGACCGAAACAAGAAGGCGTAGTTAGTCAGACGTCATTTGATTGAATCACTAATTAACCGAGTTCAGTCAATGTAAACATGACAATGGGATGTTTATTGCTGCTTTACTTGTCATAGTTTGAAGTCATTCTGCGACGACTGGCTGAGTTGAGCAACGATAGAGGAGAGAATGGGTTCGTTTTCAGGGTTTCTGATTATAGCAAAACTGCTTTGCGTAATATCAACAGCTTCAACCAACTCGTAAGTATGCGTAAAAGCATTATCAGCTACTATAAAATGAAATCTATCTTAGCACTGTTGTTGTTAGGAAACCGATATAGATGTACCGTCAGCCTTTTGACTTTACGACATCTAACTTTAAAACGTGTTTCGATCGATGCCTTTAGAACTTCTGATTTTGCAAAATTTTGTACGTTTGAAAAGTTTTTGCAAATGATTTTTTAAAGGTTCTTGAAAGCACATGTCAAAAGCTTTATCTGCATTATAACTTGAAAACAATTATTGGCGCCAACATCATACGAATTAATCATTTATTTAAGAATTAATCAACTCTATCTCATTTGCAGAAATAATATTTTCCCTAGGCGGGATGTTTGCGTGAAACAAATATAACCATACAATAGCTAAAAGTTGCGAAGGCTTTAAAAAATTGATGCTTGGAGTAGGTCTTTAGTAAAGGGTGATGGCAAAAATGGCATGGTGGATTGCCACATTTTAAAGAATGACCTTTACAAAGACATTTGGTTTTGATCCTTGTAATAAAATAATACCTGGTCTTATTGTGTCATCTTTTTCAAAATAGAAATATAACAAGGTAAAAATGTTCAAACTTTTATCTTCTTTTCAAAATTTCTGAGTATACTGTATATCATCAAATGAATAAGGGTCATGTCAACGTGGCATTTTAACCGTACCATCTGAAGAGTATATTTGGACATGCCTTCAACAACATTCCATAGGAACAAGTATAACACTCCTTCAAGTTAAAAAATTTTTGTGCGAGCTTTTTACATTCTTATGCATTTGGGTTAAATAAAGAAAATTAGACCAGAAGTACCTTCCTTATAACATACTTCTAAAATATAGTGACCTAAAGGCGTTATTTGTACAAATCTACTGCAATTCCTCTTGACTTCACTGCCAAACGTGGTCACGCTCAGTCTCTTGACACTTCGCTATAATGCGTGACACCGAAACTTTTTTGTGCTCGGTCAGTGACACCGGAGCGTGGGAGCATCGGCAACTGGCCCTTTTCTTTTGCTTTATTTTCTTCATTTTTCTATTGTTGTCCCCTTTTTCTTGGCGCTATGCTCCCCCACCACATACACAGCTGCATGTGACAAGAGGGATTTGCGCTGATGCTTTGTACCACAGCGATCTTTATTGCCCCCAATCTCTGAGGATATTTTCAAGGATCTTAGCCTGATTGTTACTGGAGATAAGAGATTCATTTCAATTTTCAAACGTACCGCCAATAAGCTGGGGTCGCTATGAACCGCCTTTTCGGTCCAGCATAAATTTCGGTATTATGTGATTTTTTCTTCCAAAACAGTCTTAAGGCGGATTTCCACGAGGAAAATTTCGCAGCGAATACGCGGTGAAATCGCTGGTGAAGGCATCAAGGCATGCGCAGTTTTGATTTTGATTTCGCAGCGAATTCGCAAGAAAGTAGAAAAGAGTTCTACTTTTTCTCGGCGAAATATTTCGCACCACCTAAAAACCAGTCAAAGCATGGTAAATTTGCTTGAATTGTAAGAAAACAATCTCGGAACATTCGCCATGCGTGCAGTTCTGAAAATGGGCGCCCTAAAGTTGAGTTTTGGAAGAAATTATTATATAATTTCGTAGCGAATTTGCAGTCTCGTGGAAATCAAAGACAATTTCGAAGCAAATTCGCAGCAAATTCGGTGCGAAATTCGCCTCGTGGAAATAAGCCTTTAGACCCCGTTTACACTGTGCCGGATGAATTTTATCCGCATCAAAATTAGTTTAGATAGGCGTCGCGTTTACACTAGACCCACGCTATCCGCACGAATTTGAGAGCGGCTATCCGAACAAAATTAGTTCACCTAGGAATGTGGATTAAAATAGTTCAGATAGCTATGTGGCACAGTGTAAACGGTTTTATCCGGATGAATTTTATCCGCATCAAAATTAGTTCAGATAGGCGTCGCGTTTACACTAGACCCACGCTATCCGCACGAATTTGAGAGCGGCTATCCGAACAAAATTAGTTCACCTAGGAAAGTGAATTAAATTAGCTCGGATAGCTATGTAGTACAGTGTAAACGCTTTTATCCGGATAAATTTTATCCACATCGTATCTTGCTCGAAAGCTATTGGCTATTTCATTCAACTATTACATTCAGTTTTTGCTGTCTCCCAATCAAAACCGTTCGCCATCTTGGCTGCCTTGTTGTCGATAAACACTAGGTTTAAAAGTGCAGTATCTTGCCAGTCCACGTAAAATTGGCATCCTTGTCAGCTTTCCCTACTTCGATGCTAGCTCAGTGTCATTTATTTTCAAGAACAAACTATTAAAACAAACTATTAAAACAAACTAGGCCTAATTTGTATTGGCAATATTTTTGGATTCGGTCTAAAAGAGAAGCAGATGATTCTGAAGAGAGAATAAAGTCTTTTTACGTTCGCGGGAATTTTGTTTTTATTTTGTTGCCCAAAGAAGACTTCATTTTAGGCGTTCTGTGCATTTTTTAGGTCATGTAACTGCAGTTATCCGGCACAGTGTAAACGGGAGGGCAAAGTGGACAAAATTTGTGCTGCACAGTGTAAACGCAAATCAATCCGAACAAGTTTTATGCGGATAAATTTTATCCGGCACAGTGTAAACGGGGTCTTAATTGACCAAATCCAGAAACCGGTGGATATATTTGATATGTCGATAACACCTTAGTATTTTCAGCACAGACTCGGCTTCGCGGAACAGGAAGGCTGGGGGGCCCCACTTTTTGCAAAAATGCCAAATATTAAGTAATAAACTACAAGTAAAGCCTCTGAGACACCTACTTTTCTCAACGCTCCGCGGTGCCTGAGAAGACAATCTGTTTCCAGGAAATGATCAATTCGTGCATCCAGCCCTCAAATGCACTACTGAAAAGTAGCAAGTGAGTTTCTTGAGCTTTCCAAACGTTGAGGCACAAAATAAGGGCATGGATTTCTAACTAGCGTCTTTTGGAAATCCAACATTTTCTAGGCAATATATTCGCTGAAGTTTCTTTAGTTCAAAGAAAAGGAAAATATCACTACGAGGCAATAAAGTTTTGTTACAAAACAAAGTTAGGTCTCACGCATAGCAACATCAATGAAATTAATCTGGAAATGTGGAGAATTTTAAAATCATTGCAGAACGATATTAAAAGATATTATTGTTGTGCAATGATTTTAAAGTATTTCAGTTGAACCTTCGAAATATTTTTCAAAAAATTCTGATTTGTATACTTCTGCATGCAGAGAGAGTCCGTTCTCCCTCTTGAATTCATGAACCTTATGAGGGGCGAGAAGTGATATATTTTTATGTAAAAAAGACAGTTCAAGTTAGCGTAAAATATTTCTCGATTAAAGTCACACAACCTATAAATAGTTCTCATTTACTTCCCAATTTCTAGAGCGTGTGCGTCAATTTAGAATCGAGAATCAATATTTCTCACCAAAATCTAAAAGTTTATGTATCTGACTGTACTTTTAATCTTTCGTACATATTTAATGCTTATCTTCTCTCGATGTAGATGCAATGGGATGCAATGCTTTCTGCCATCAAACTACGATCGCAGAGTAAGACCTAGCCATGGCATTGGTAAAAAATTTTCTTTATGAAAATATTAGTTTGCCAAAGAGACACGCCTCTTGCTTTGCATATAGATAGCATTTTATATATGATTATTGAAAAGAAAAGCTTAAAAAAGAGTGGTTTAATTGTTTTAAAAAAATTGTTGATATATCCCAGAAAAGAATGAATCGTTACACTAAACCAAATGAATGCTTGTGCTTTTTGGCATTAACACATCTTTCTAGTGATTTTGTGACATTTGTGCCTTTGCTAAGTGTAATGTTCGCAGGGATGTTATGTATTTCGATTTCCCAAAAATATCGTTTCGTAATTGACTGTTTGGTATCCCAAATTTAATGAGAAAAAAAATAAAAAAAGGCTGGAGTATCAAGCATTACTATTGATTAATTATCAATCTGGTAATTATTATTAATTCATTTATTTTAGAGTTAATGTTTAAGATCAAACAACAAATCTATTGACATATCTACAAGTTATGCATGCCAGATTTTATTAAATAGAAAAATTACGATGTGATCAAATAAATGTGAAAATTGTTTCTGTTAAGTACTATTTATCTTTTTCTTAGGAAGTACTTTAGAAATTGAGCTCAATATGCTTATAGAATCATTTGGAAATGTGGATGTTGCAAAAATGGTACGTAATATAGCAAATGATCATCTTTCACCTATCAAAGTAGAATTGTTGAAAAATTTCGCAAAATCTTTTTAAATCACTTAGGAAGCGATAAAGAAGTGGAGGTAAAAGATGCACCTGAATTCTGTTTGGTGTAAATAAAAAAGCAGAGTATTGAAAAATATGTTTCATGATTATGTCTTTAATGAAAATTTTCTTATTTTATTCCTTTTTCAATTATTATTTTTTACAAAAGCTATATGTTCAAATGACTTACAAGTTACGACATACTTTTCAACGCAATGGAGTTTTATTATTTCATTTCTTTGAATCACTTTGTGGCAAATTCCATTCTAAAAGTTCCATTCTCTTTCAATAATCAGTCTTGAGTTAGGTTTCTTTCTGTACAAAAGACGTAGAAAAACCAGCAAAATTGAAAAAATGCAGCGTGCTCCAATATCGGTAGTTCTACATTTATGATCTAAGCATCTTCTAATAGACACTGAAATGTCAGTTTATATTCATTAGCAATCAAGATATGCATTTTACCTACCACGTCCAGAGGCAGATAGCAGGGGCTTCAACGTCAAGAATACCATGTTCCTCAGTTCTATAACTATTTTTTACTTTTGACTGTAGGTTCGTGTGCTTTCGGAATTTCACATTATAGAAATGTTTAAGAAACATGTAGACGTCTCTAAAACAGCTAATTCCAAGATAATGATTACCTTGCACATCCACTGCGACACCAAATATTGGGGCCAAAATTCAAAATATTTTTTTTATTATGTCTATTTAAGTATAATCATCAGCTTACATTTAGCATTACAAGTTAATATAATTGTGCATCCTCTCTAAGTTTTCCTTTTGTTTCGACAGAATTAACATACTTTAATGTAAGCTGGTTTTTAAAAAGGTTAAACAGGCACTGAAATTGGTATGCATTTTGCAAAAAATTCTGATTTACGAAGGTAAATGAAACGTTTCAATGTTTCAAGGTATCACATGACTTGGACAAAAATTTACACAAGCTTGACATAAGGTTAATAACCTAAATAATGTAAAATCATTAAATCTGTTTCAAGGAGTTTCATACGTTTGGTTACTTATCACAAAAATGGACTGACAAAAGACTTGCTAGAGTGAATGAAACACCACTGATGTTGCAAGACAAAGATGCCTCACTAATTTGGCTGCCAGATATATATTGCATTAATTGCCGAGAGAGCAATCTTGACAATGGAAGGAATGAGAAACAGGGAATGGTGAAAATTGACAAAGAAGGCCAAGTATATTTCAGTTTCCTGTAAGTTTTAATTTATGGTCTTTACGTAACCAGTTATAGCAAAGTGATTCTACGATTTATGTTTTAGCAGGTCAATTGGAGAATTATATACATCACACACATTAGATGCAATCAGCAATAGAAATGCCATGAACTGTCCTTCCATTGTTTCTATTATTTCACCAAATAGCCTGTTCATGCTTAAGCTATTCATCAAAACACCAAATTAATGATCGAAATTTCTAAGCCAGGAGGTATAGACACCGAGTTTTGTATTTTTTATGAAAGAAATTTTAATTGGCATGCAACATCATCTTGGAATCGACAGAAATGTCTTTCATTGAATAAGGCTCAAAAGCTAGGCAACACTTCCGAAAAAATTATTTGATATTACTGGATGTTGGAAAAGAATTACTTGAAGTTAGCTTTTCAATTATTAAGTTATTTTGGTTAGTAATGTTGAAATTACACTGGGTTTTTGTGCAAACGCCTCAGTCACATTCATATGTTTGTAAATACTACTTAGTACTTACTATTTAAATTTCCATAAACATTAACAAACCACCTTTGAAATCACAGTTATGGTGCTCTTCTTTTTCATTGGTATGGCTGTATTGACTCAAAATCGCAAATGAACAGTTTTTTAACCATATTTGTTAAAAACACGGCAATTACCTATCCATAGAATGTCTCGCAGCCGAAATAAAATCGAATATCGCCTCAAAATTTTAGCAAAAACTTAAAACAGGATCAGGAAGATAAAATCCGCAGTTTACCGGAAGGCAGTTTCATGTATCAGGCGAAATAGCTTTCTAAACCAGGCCTTTAAAGCGCCTAATTTCTTTGAAAATTAGTGCTCGACAATAATATGCTATAAAATTTCAATTCCGAGAATTGAGGTATAACGGCTAACATGGCACAGCGATCGTTATATTTAATCGGTTGCAAAGAAAACCAACGTATGTATTACTCCTTGCAAAAGCAAAAAACGTAAAACAGAGACTAGAAGCAAAGACTATAAAACTTGAAGGAAGGCTGCAAAGGCCAAGATTGCAAACAATGAATCTTTTGGTGCTACTGACACCACTTCTGAAAATTTAAAAGCTTTAAAAATATAATCTATTGGCTCTTTAAATCGTAAAAAGAGTAGATTTAATATAAGGCAAGTGTCAATATAACATCTTGATATAGGCTAATTGATCTTTAAGATGGCACTCAATTTTGTAAGCAATGAAACTTTTTAAAAGCAAAATCTATTATATTTCTGTTCCCATTTAGATTTGTTGGCATTGCTACCTGTAAGATGGATCTGCATGAATTCCCATTCGACTCTCAAGAATGCAGTATTGAACTGAGCAGCTGTGAGTTGACTAACTACTTTTTAATTTTGGCGCTCTGTGTTCAATATCTTATTAATTTTTCATCGTTTCAAAACATAACTTATTTAAAGTCAATTGATTTTTAATGAATCACGTTTTTGTGAGATCAGGGTTTGGTTGTTAAATACAATTCAAACGCCAAACTCTCAGTTGAAATGGCCGTCGCGATGAAAAATTGCTTAACAATATAATATTCCGAACATTCATGTCTTCTTGACTTATTCAAATAATGAAAATGAAATGCAATCTAATTCAGTAATTTTTCCTTATTAGATGGCTACAACACAAGTCACGTCAGTTACAAATGGTCCAAAGATCCTTTTGTTAAGATCAAGAGTATGGATCAGTTTACGCTGATGAATGAAAAATCTTCCTCTAGAACTGAGAAATATCTACTTGGTACGTAGACCAGTTGACAATCTAAAAAAAGAGTATTATTAAGTAAAAAGTTTTAAGATCTTATTGTCCCAAAGAGAATCAAGTTTCAGAAAACAGCTTTCTTGAAGTATTTAATTTGATTCACAGATAAAATTAACCTTCAACTCAAATATATTCTTCAAGTAAATTCGATTCCTAGCACACATAGCCAAGACTTGAAATGCATAACCACTTTAATATTTAGATCTTTTGTTTTCTCGTTAAGAAATCAAGCCTTTGCATATTTCATAAACCCTAAAGCTAGCACTTATCAGAAATTTTCAGATAAATCATCAAAAGTTTTTCAAGATTCTCTTGTAACCAATGAACTTAGTATATCTTTCTTATATTGGCGACGCCTGGAATAACACTCGTTGTCTGTGTAGAGTCTGAGTTCCATGACATTTTAATATTCATCATGTTTCTCTTGCATGCGCATACAGATATAGGAGTCATCAGTAGCACTTGTCATAGTGAAGCACTTTTAACTGACCTCATTGCCCTGTTTTTACATGCGACTAAAATGATAGAAAGCAATGAGATCTGGCCATTCCTTTATACAAAAGCTGAATATGCCGTAAAAGCTCTATTAATTTCTGGAGGGGGGATTATTTATTTTTCCAGTCCTAGTGGGGGAGACTAAAAAGAGAAGGGGGCTTATTAGAGAGAGGGGGCTTATCAAGCATTCGATTTAAAAAATGTTATAAAACTGCCCTTATGCATTTCATGTTATGAAAATTTCATACAAATGTTCTCAAAAACTTTGCTAGCAGCTTCAAAAGTTTCCTAAAATCTGTCAATTATGATGTCCTCATCTTTCTTAGAGTCACCAGAGTGGGATATCTTCTAAACAAATTTCGACAGACTTCTAAGGTACACAAGTAAATTTTCATATGGCCCGTATTCCGTATTTAATGCACAAATCTTATCATCATCCAGCCCGTCAAGAGACCCACTCAATGCAAATGCTTTCTTTGATTGACATAGGCGGCTTAAGAGGGGGGGGGCTTAATAGAGAGGGGGGCTTATTTCAAATGTTTGCTTGATAAGGATGGCTAAGTAAAGAGGGGTTTAACAGAGAGAGGGAGCTTAATAGAGCTTTTACGGTATTCTGTTTTATTCAAATGCTCGTATTCTCAAAATATCTTTTAGGAAACTTCACAATTTCTGAGGCAAAATTCACCTTTAAACGAAGAGTTGGTTTCTACATTCTCCAGCTGTATATTCCTTCCGCAATGCTGGTTTGCCTTTCATGGACGATGTTTTGTTTGAATCGAGTCCACTCTGGAGAGAGAATCACAATTGGTGTGACACTGTTCCTCACAATGATATTTTTAAATGGCTATGCAAATACCTCTTTGCCTAAAGTATCATACGTCAAGTCGGTTGATTTGTTCATGGTCGTTTCTTTAGCTGAGATACTGCTCATTATAATTGAATCGATAGTTGTTACAATGCTCTTGGTGCAAAAGGATAACATGCTGGTCAGAGAATTATCAAGGAAAAGAACGAGAAACATGAGCAGAACTGCATGGGACGTAAGTGAAAACATTCTGTTCGTTCAATACAATCAGTCTGTTGGCCCATTACCCTGTGCCTGACACTGACTAGGAAAAGCTTTAAACCTATGTAACATTTTTTGCCTTAAATACTCTGCTATGCTGCCATATATTTAGCAAAAGTGGATATAAGTCTGAATACTAAGGCTTCTTTCTACTCTTTAGTTTTTAACTTTGCTTGCATCACACCCAAGTTAATCAGTTTACTGATTACGTAAACTAGATTTGCCTTTGCTTCTCTTTTAGAAGGACCAACTAGATTTTCCATCTGCATAAAACGTATTTGTTCACCATTAGCTGAATTGTTGGTTACCAATTCTATTGACTTTATTGGCTGCTAGATTTTTTTCATTCAAGTTCTGTTTATGAATCATTCGCTATCTTCAAAGATGCTAGCATTCTGGCGTTTGCAATAACGAATTTTATATTACAACTTGCCTGTATAGAATTAAGAAGATATAGAAAGATTAAAAAATTGTAGTCTACATTTTGTAAGCGATTGTGATTTTGATTGATATTCGCTAAATGTTTTCAGGACGGCCACCAAGAAATCAAGGAAAACTTATTTCAGGATAATGCAGAGGAGAGCTGTAAGGTAGCAATGAAAGCTGAATCATTGAGTGACAAGGTTGAAGTCGCACAGTCACAAATACCTAAAACAGTGAGAAGAAAATTAGTGGCCAAATTAATCGGGGCAGTAGACGCATCCAAGAATTCTAGCAAATGCTGCGATGGGAAAGTGGTCATTGAAAAGATTTCAGTTGTTCTTCTTCCGGCATCATACGTGGCATTCAACGCCTGGTACTGGCAACAATTCATATTTTGAAATATAACTGTGACAAATGAATATCAAAATCAAGAGATACTTTTAGGTGTAATCGTGGCTACAAAGGCACTTAGGATACGATGCCAGAAACTGCACAAGCTTACATTCACCCATCTAGTTTCTTTATTAGACCAAAACTTACAGCACAACTTACAATATCAAGATTGCTCACATGAAATATTTAATGCAACCTAACCTTATTTCCCAGTACTGACAATATTGCGCTACTTTGTTTCCCTGTAAGCTTTTAGCAGTGCTCGTGCTTCTATGCTATTTAAACTATTGTATTAAGCTCTTATAAAGTATTCCCAATACAGCCCCAAATTCTATCAAATTCATTCGCAAATGAAGAGGGCAGGTTTTCCTAATATTCTAAACAGATGTGGCAATGATACATTATGCAATTTCATAGCAAATAACCTTTCAGTTTGCCTAAGCAGTATGCAACGTATAACTTTAGATACCAGAAAAATCTTCAGGAGGACTAGAGGATACTGGTCGTCGAATGTGATACAAAAGTGTTCTTCCTACGATTAAGTGAATCTTCAAGACAACGTCTCAAAATCACTTACAAATGTTGTGTTTTTCCTTTCACCGTGCACACTCGCCACTTTAGAATATTTTAGCAAATTTCTTGGTCAAGAAACAGGTGTCATCAAACAAAAGTTATTTGTCACGTTGATAGAGACAGAGGGCTAATAAATTATGTACTAGAAGTATCTAATACAGATGAAATGAAAGTGTCTACAATTTATCAAGTTGCTTTCACACGAGATACACATTAAATGAGCTTTGATTATGCTTGTAGATGACATAACTGATAAGCTAAAAGATACCTAATGGAGTTTAGGCTTCGATTTGAATCTATTCAAGCCATGAATAATGCATGAAATGTTTTCGACAACTTCATACTTTTGGTATTATGGCCAAACATGATTTAACAAAAACCAATAGAAAAAGCGTTTTCAATCAGACTAGAGCACTTCGACCAGAATTCAGTTAAACATACTGTGAAATAACGTTTTTTTTTTAAACCAAGGTTCTTCAATAGTGAAAGTATAAATTAGCAACAACCAACGATTACAACATAACGACTTCTTTCAACGACAACTTCGACTCGACTGGACTTGCACTCAAAGAACATACGCTTTTAACAACACTAGTGACGCACATAAAACCCTAATGACACAAATTAACGGCAAATGGACTAATAACAACTAAAATAGAGATGGCACGATGACAAACAAAATGGACCGACGCAAACATCGAAAGACATCCTCATTAACGATAACGAACCACAAACACGATGCACGACAGACAAAACAAGTTGTATAACATTACTCCCCCCTTTGAAAGACAAGCCTCCTGGCTTGATCTCTCGAAGGGGAAGAAACATAAAAGTATTATAAGGCAGCACGAAGAATCAAATCAAATAATTTTACTGAAATGAGTAAATCAAATACCATCTAAGAAATAATGTCCCTGTCCAAGTTTATTCCGTCCATACGGTTCTCTACCCGAGGCTATAACAACATTATGTACACGTAAAGGTCCTTCTCTTCTTTTAGTGTCAATCAAATTTTTTCATATGTTGTGGCTAATAAACCCTCGTCAACTTCCATTGGTTTTGAAGAAAGCAGTCGCGTCACCATTGGTCGTGATAGTTTATGTGACTCCAATTCATTGACAATCTCCTCCAATTTCTTAACTCGAGTTTGAAGATCTTGAAAGTGTGGCTCATTTCTTTTGATGTTGCCAATAAAGGTAACCCGAGGTCGCTCTTCAGCTACCGAGGCAACAATCACAGGTTCATTTTGATCACACTTCTCCTGGGATGCTAAAGAAAATTTCCTGTCCCTACAATATTTGGCAACGTGACCAACGCGCAAACAACAATAGCAAATGGGCTGGCCATCTTCAGCACGATAGACATTAGTTCGATTCACGAAGAAATTTCTCCCATTCTCCTCTGCCAACCTCACCCTTTCGGCCATGTGAGATACAACGGTCTTTATAATATCCAACAGAACTTCTCTGAATTGTTCTGTTGAAATCATTTCCATTTTTTTTTGCGAATTCGTCACGTCGTGGTCACCAATGTGAAATAACGTTTTTTTTTTAAACCAAGGTTCTTCAATAGTGAAAGTATAAATTAGCAACAACCAACGATTACAACATAACGACTTCTTTCAACGACAACTTCGACTCGACTGGACTTGCACTCAAAGAACATACGCTTTTAACAACATGAGTGACGCACACAAAACCCTAGTGACACAAATTAACGGCAAATGGACTAATAACAACTAAAATAGAGATGGCACGATGACAAACAAAATGGACCGACGCAAACATCGAAAGACATCCTCATTAACGATAACGAACCACAAACACGATGCACGACAGACAAAACAAGTTGTATAACAAAACTGAGGTATTTTAATGCGGTCACAAAAGCTTTCACGGACTCTTCTGTTGAGAAACGTTTCAACATATAAATCAAATCGACATACCTTGCCGTGGGTATACCTTGAGAAAAGTGACTGAAATTTAATCAATTAGAAATTCCGTATCTGCTACAACAAAGCTGCAAACCACACATCTAGTTCTCTAGATAAAATCTGAGCCACTGCAGCGCGTTTTGCTACGAGATATAAGCATTAAAATGCATCGAAAGCGAAAAACAAAGAAACAATTTTCTTTGAAACACAACCATTACTTCTCGGTAAGTGCAAAAAATCAAAAACATCACCTTAGCAATCAAAAAGCAAATAATACAAGCAAAGGTTAACTATAACGACAAAATTAAAATAAGTAACTTACTGAAATAAGATTGTGTCTAATGATTCAGCGTCATCTATAGCATACATAAACTCTCAAAGAACAGAAACCTGTACACAATGCCTGGCCACGTAATCGAATTACAACACAAAGAACTCTCAACACGAAAAATATAATAAATATAGTACAAAAGGACCTTATAATTCAAGAAAAAAATTATATGAGACAAACAAGTTGCACATTTGGCCGGGTAAACACAGTGATATGCGTGAAACAAAAGAAATGTCACATTCGACTCTGTCAACTTTAATTTGATAATGTCTAATCTTACATCTTGCAAACAATACAAGTGTGCCTCATTCGCATTATAACGTTCAGTTGATTGCTTTTAGGATAAGTAAAAGGTTGGCTATAAAGAGTAATTCTACTTAAATGGGGCATAGTCTGGACAGGTTGCAAGGAAACAATGTTAAAAACAGACAGAAATTACAGCAACCTCTGATTAACAACAACAATGTTAAGCAAAAGTTTGAAGCTAAATACTCTGGTAACGGTTGCGCTAGCACTTATTGAAGGTATCACTGAGAAGAGAAAGCATGGGAATGTGAAATTCAATGTTGGTTCTGCTTGTCCGACGCAACTAGTGCAATTATAGGTAATTTATGCATGCAAATTGGAAAGCAGGTGCCCCATTACCTAAGGCAGATTAATTGAGAAATTGTTTGCAAATCAAATCATCCTTTTCAAGAAACATGGCTTCAAAGGTGTTTTTGTCATCTATATTATTGGCGCTGGTATTGTGGGCTATTGCACAGCTAGCAGTGCTACGTTGTGCATTAAATCTGTGTTTTTCTGCTAACAGTTTCCTTTAGGCCGCACGAGAAATCCCACATGAAAATAGCCAATTTATCGCATTCAGTGAGGACAAAAGTCCTATATCGAACAGATGATGCCAGAAGTTTACAAAAGGTATTCAAAAAGGTACATAGTAGTGAAGAACATCTTTTAAATATAGGTCTGTTGACATATGAATAAGACCCCTATAAATTTTCTTTAAAATGCCAAGAAATTTAAAGGGATTCAATGCTGACTGTAAATTCCTTGGAAGAAGAAGTTTCCTGTGCTTGAGCACTTAAAAACATACAATCCTGGTAATGTACCCACTCTGGAGAATATTACGAGCAGACAAAAGGTGTGCTGTTTTAAAAGCACTTTTACAAGAAAAATGATGGCACTACCAAGAAATGATTCAAATTAATTCCTGAAGCAATTACACCGAACAACGTTGGAGCCATTGCTGTTAATGAATCTGTTTTTTCTCAGGAAAAAGTGTGTTTTAACGGCTAGCCCTAGGACAAATAATGTTTTGAATCGAGTAGGTTTCAATCTTTTACTGCAAAAATGACGATTAATGTCTCTTACTGGAAAACACCAAGCTAGGTACACTCTTAAACGTCTGGTTTCTTTTGCTTCATTGACTACACAATCATAGATAGGTACCAAATTTTGTGTGTTTTCGTAGACTACTGAGGTTTGTGTGCATTACAGCAAGAAATCTCAACTCTGTCACCAAATGCAAAAATATTGGATCAAAGTGAAGGGTTCCACAGAGAGATGAATATAAGAAAGGCCTCGTTCGTTTCTCAAGTGCTTCTTTTTTTAGCTGATTCCAAATTTCCAATATCGAATATCTAAGTAAAATGGAATGCTATGCAAGCAATTAGCCAGTGCGACTGCAAATTGGGTCGGCATAACAGCTACAATTAAAGAACGTTCCCCAATTCACATATTGGTACAGTAATAGTAATCAGAAACGAATATACTTTGGTTAAATACAATTCAGCATCAAATTTTATTACAAATACACAAGCAAAACAGTTTAACAGCTTAATAATGTTGATAAAAATGATGGTTATCGTTAGATAAATGCGTTTTGTGCAATGCCAGCTGATAAAGAGTTAACGATTGAATATCTGAATTGTACATGGCATCAGTCATTAAACTTGTTTAATACTGATACAGAGAACAATAAAGTGCTGTCAAGGTAGGTTTTAGCCTTGCAACAAAAGTGGCCACGGCAGTTAACTATCATTGGCAAACAAAGCAATCCAGTACCAGGCATTGAACAAAAGAAAGGACAGAGGCAACAGCACCATCGCTGCTTTTTCAACAATTTCGTGCATTTGCCATTCGTGCCGCATACTCTTTTCACAGTCATCCGTACTGCCTTCCCTATTGTTATGGTTCTTTTCAGCACCTCTGCTTGGCGAAACGTCGTCTGGACTGGCTCCGAGGGCTGTTTCCTGAATCGTTAAGATCTGCATCTCTGCCTGATTATGAGGCCCTCGTTTCAAGCTCTTTGGCAGTAGACAACCAAAAATACCTTTTGACTTTGATTTGTCAGAAACCTGGAAGAATAAGTTACTTTTATTATTTTCTTTTCTCATTTTAAAATTACTTGTAAATGAATCCGTGTAAAGAAGTTTTAATCTTTCTATTTCTCAGTAGATTTGTAAGAAAGTGAAATTTTCAGAAGGGTGCACATTTATTATCAAAAGCCTATATTGGCAAGATCTATCAAACCAATAATCATCTGTTTGATCTGCAAAATGCCCCATGACCAGTTTTCATCTGATGATATTTTTTAAAGAAAGCCATTTTTAACGAAATTAGGCCCCTTTTTAAGGTCTTGCAATTCTTATAGGGTTGAAATAACTTTAAACACACCCTTTCACAATGATCTTCATCTTTTTCTTTGGCATGCCTGTCCCATTGGTAAAGTCTTGCAATGATGATTGTCTCGATGGTTATTAGCAAAATTTCTCCTAAAGACACGACCATGAATAGGTCCACCATTTTTACGTAGGAAACCTTTGGCAGTGATGAGTTTGCATAGCCATGGAGGAATATCATAGTGAGAAACAGCGTAACACCAATAGCAATACGATCTCCAGTGTGCTCTTGATCAAGACAGAACATCGTCCAGGACAAAGCAACCAGCATCGCAGTAGGAACGTAAAGTTGTAACAGGTAATATCCAAATCTTCTTTTAAAAGAAAACCGAGCTACAGCTTTGACGAACTTTCCTACAACAGAACTTTTCTATACAGACATATAAAAAAGCCGTATAAGTAAACAAACGATTAGACATCTTTCATGTTTTTTAATTTTGACTAATGTTTTATTAATTAATATTGTTTTATTACTATCATTAGTCATTAATATTTTGACTAATGTAGTAAAACCTGAGCACAAGTAAAGATTGCACAGTTAACATTATTTGCTGAAGATGTTTACTCTCTTCCAACTCTAGAGCACGTTTTTAATCATAAACTGAAGCAAATGTTAAAAATTCTAGTAATTTTTGTGAGCATATGTAAACGTTAAATGCAAAAACTTTAAAGTTCAGTGCACTAATATTTTAACGGAGAAATGTCTTTTTGAGTATCTTTCACAAAGGGAATTGTCAAATATTTTAAATTTAAAAACCTCAAAAATTGTACCAAACCTGACATGTATTGTTCAGTTTCGAGGCTAGATTTGGCCGAATCCACCATAAACTGGTCCATCTTCTTTATTTTTACAAAAGGATCATTCTTCCATGTATAGGTTATGTGACTCATGTTATAGGCGTCTGTAATTAGAAAAAAATGATTCATACACCTGTTCAAAAAAATGCCACGAAAGGCAAAGAGCAGAGAGAATAAGAGATCAGTTTATTATTTCTTCTTTGCTTTTCAGATGAATCTCTTTTTGCCTAACATTGATAATTATTATCATATTCTTCACACTCTTATAACCTGGTGAGGATCGAAATTTCCCATATTGACACTTAATTTTTTGTACCACATGCCTAAAGAGCCTAAAATCAAAATGGCTGATATAACGGACGTTAGGAATCTTTTTAAAATTTAACAGGATGATTTCTAGCCACCTGGAAAATGTAACAGCAGTCATAACAATAAATGCAAGATTTCAGTTAATCAAATGACTGAAATTAAACCACATCTGAGTACTTACAGCTACTTAATATTACACTGCAGCGCTGCATATCAAATGGAAATTTCCTGAGATTCATGTAGCATGAACCAGTTAACTTTATTCTGAAATGACAGAGTTTTCAACTTGTTTGATTTTGGTATATGCTGTTGATAATGGCTACTTTCCGTGAGCTAAATTAGCAGGCAATTCATGTAAAAGCGAAAGAAAGAGAATTTGCGCACATAAAAGAATAGTTTACTTATTTGTAGCAAACACTAAACCATTAAAGGCGTTATGAATGTGATCGTGAAGATTTCGCATCACTATGACGATAAGAATTAGTGTAGAATGGCTGCCTTGATTAAACTTTTTTTTAATTGTCAAATAATTGGTAATTGGAAATGACGAAGCACATACAAATGGAAAAATTTGTAAGGCCTATTTTTGGATGCAAAAAAGAACATATTAGATATGATTGCTAACAGTGGATGCAATGCAGGATATATTCAAGCAAATGGACCTTTCAACAGTAAAATGCTTCATCTACATATAAGTCCACGGCATATGATAGGCTGAAAACAAGCAAACAGATATGTGTTAGGTGGTGTCTAGACTTTTGACAAAAGAGATTTGCTGATATGACAGAGATGAAGAAGAATAATTTATGAATCTTTGATAACAATGTCAAATTTCTAAATCTGTGGTGCCCATACCCTGAACTCATGTAGACAGTGCCATTGCGATTAATGCGAATCATTCCTTGCTTTGTGTTCAACCCATTTTCGAGGTTGTATGACCTACAGTTAATGCAGTATATGTCAGGGGTCCACAGATGGGTGATGTGAGAACCTTGTAATATCTTTGGTGTGTCATTCAACGCCCTGAGTCGAGGATCTTGCCATGTCTGAGAAATATATCCAAAAACATCGAATTCCTGCAAAGTTGAGAAAACATCAAAATTTAAGATAAATATGTATGAAATTTGATGAAAACGTTATATATTTTTATTTTTTTGGTCTCTTTCATACACGTACATTATTAAGCATTAGTATGATGATGAAATGTTTAACAATCGGCAATTGCCACAATATAAATGTCAAAATGTCCTACCATTTTCTCGACGTCAACGTCTCCGAATGATTCAATGTACAGCTCAAGGGAAATATCAGTTGATTTTTCTACAAAACATGATATAAAGAGCTTTTCTTTAAGATTCGTTAAAAACTTTTGTAAACAAATTAAGTATGCAAGTAGCTACATGAAAGCCTTTAAGTATAAAAAGCATTTGAATGCGAATAAACCGATGGAAATGTTTTTCAGAGTTTTCTTTTCTTCATTTGACCATGACTGTCTAACAGAAATTCAAGAGTGAAGAACTTATGCAGAAGGCAAAAGAATGAGAAGAATTATGCAAAAAAACACCAATTTATTAAGTTAAGATTCACATTATTTACAACTTGACTTACCATTTTGGGCATTTGGTCTTGACGTGGCGTCGTATCCACAGGGAAGAAAGGGATGTTCTTTTACACATCTGCAATGGATTGGACAAAGAATGTCACTAATTTCGGCATTTTGTTACTCAACACAAGAGATTTGAAAATACAACAAGCATATTCATGATAGAACATCAAAATTTCTTTGTTAAATTACCAACGTAAAAGTTTCGAGTGAAATGAAGTTATGCTGTCTGAGAGAAATTCAATCATTTCAAATTTCAGTATTTTTGTGCACATGGTATTTTTATGAATCCTGAAACGAAACTGATGTTTTAAGATTATTTAGTAAAACGAAAGGTATACTTTTCCATAGATGCCAGTGTGGCTGAAGTGAAAAAAGCTAGGGCAAGCAGAAAATGTATCAACTGATTTCGATTCACATTCGCCATGGCGCTGAATTTTGCCCTGAAAAATTGATAATGCACGAATTTATACGATACGCTTTTTCTAATTTCTGGAAAGAATCAGTATTCTTGAATATAATGTCCTACTATCTTTTAACAAGAAGGAAGTCTATGAAGTTAATTGCCAAATTAGATACCTAAAAAAAATAAGTATGAGCTTAAAATTCAAGTTTAGAGAACAAACAGCTTGCTGATAAAAATGTTTGCTTGCTATAACCTAAAAACACCATAAAACTTTTATAACGATCACCGGTTTGAGAATCAAAGAGCTGCCATCACCATGAAAACAGCTTGTTTCCATCTCGCGCAACTAGTAGTATAAGTTCACTTATTTTAATATAGATACATCGCCAGTTACAAAGTTAAGCTATTTCAAATTCTATTTCACTACATTGAATTTTCCACACCATCACATGTTGGGTGCTACAAGACTTGTTATTATATAAAAACTCACCTTTGGCTAACCAGCTTGAGATCAGAAGCTGCGCTGAACGCGTTTTAATGGGTAATCGCCCACTGCAAGTCTGGATATGAGAAGCAGACGAATGCGTGAAGTTCACACGTGACTTGTACAAAACGACGCCTTCGTGTCGTCCTTAATCAGTAAACTTATCGCGTTCACATTAATGGGTTATTATACAGTTGATATTCATTATTTATTTGCTTTGAACTTCGCAATAGCTTTTCAAGCCTAATTGAATGTTGATTTATCATCACGCAGCAAATTTTGACCATTATTTGGTAAACCTGATGCACGCAAAGAACCTGTTTTCATTTACAAACGTCTATTATATCCCCATAACACATCTTCAGGTTAAGTGATGCACTTTCTAAAGAACATCAATGGTCTGCCTGTTTGTTTCTAAAACAAGGTTAAAAAAGCATTCTGAAGTCATGATGTAAGGTGTGAAATGCTCGTCCTAATTTTATTTGGAAAACTTTACGCAGACAACATATCAAGCAGAAAAAGTATTTACCTGTATAGCAATTACTTAGCATGAAACCTCATACAAAAGCCCCGTTAAAACAATCAAATATTCCAGCCAGCATTCATTAACCACCATGCATTAACGGTAGGCGTACAAATCCGGAGGTGTTTAATCGACCCAACATTGTGGCTAACAAGAAACTCTGTTATTTTACTGCACTTTATGGCTGCTCAAGTCACTCTATTCAATTCTATTCTAATAGGATCAAGATAAGAAAGGCGTTTAAAATAAAATTGCGATGCTATTTAAATTCATGAACATGATTTGTACTCCAGCGGATAGAGTGTCGAAATCGAAGCCTTAATCCTCTTCTGTTATTTCCATCACAGAGTCATACTACATCAGCTCGTAAATCGAAGCAATTGAATTGTTTGGTGAAGTTTTTGTTCGTTTAAATAGGGCTAAACGCAAACATCAAAGCTTTGAAACAATTTAAACGGAATTGAAATTATCATAAACTTGTTGATTATTCATAGAGTTTTAATATAAAGAATTAAAAGTTTAGATTTTGTTTGAAAGAAAAACGTTTACAAACCTCCGCTGAATAAAAAATTAAATTAAGAAATCTAGGAAAATCGAAAATTACTTTAACAATTTCGTATCTTTGCACTAAAAGATGTTGATACAGCTTTATAGAAATGAAGACAAAGAAACATGTAAACTTCTTGAAAATTAATAGATAAGAGTCTAAAACAAAGCCTGAAATTTGTGCTAGTCTAATGGAGTAAATTTTTGCAGAACTTTCAGATGCTATGCTGCAACAACAATTTATACTTTTCAATGCACATAGAAAAAAAAGTAAAATAGCCTGCGTCATTTCAAACGAAAGCCTTAAAATGTGTTCTGAAACATTAAGATGCCAGAGGCATTGTGGTACAAACAGAAACTGCCATTCATTAGTGATCAAGCAAATAGCAAAATTAGACTTTTTGAAAGGCAAAATTTCGCATTGTCTTGCGCCTTCAAGGGGGCCACAAGGCCCGTGTACCCTACGTCATGAATGCGTTTGCTAAGCTCTTTTTGATCCCAATTTCATTGTCAGGCTATGACATTTAGTTAGAAAACTGCTTTATATAAAGTACATGTTTTAACAAAACTCCGAATAGTGAGTCCCTGTTTAAAGGTTGTGAAATTGCTGCACCGTATCACTAAACATTACACTCAACTTTTGTTCAGTTGCATGAAATGTTCAGTGAAATGTTTAGTCATTTTACCGGAGCTTTAAACTACTTGGCCAGATTGCGTATCACACACACGAAAGTGCAAATGTCAGCTCAAACTTTAATAAGACCCTGAAGTTGATGTAAAGCAAAATTAATGGGGCTGTGGTCAGTGATGCGGCTCAAGAATCATTTTCTTCTCGTCATTCAATCTATTCTCCAGCTTTTCTCCTTTACCATTCTTCGTCCATTTATTCGACTTGCAATTTGCTCGCCAAAACCAAAAACCCCAGGAACACAGGAAAACAAATTCTTTGCTAGCTACTTCAACAAGCAAAATGCGCACAAATGTTGCCCGAGATACTAGATAGTCTAACAACCCACCGAATTCATTGCTGTACAAAGAGGTTGCTATTCTTCCATTGCTGATATTGGGTAGGAGCCCAACTTACCCCTGGTAATCAGACCCCGAAAACCAGGATGCATCTAACTGAAAAGGTCTGTTCCTTTATTTAACAATTTGAAAAGAGGCTACATAGTATCAAATTAATGCACAATATATTGAGAAGGACTATTTGATATAAAATCTATTTAGTATCATCAGGATAGAAAAATTATAATAAGCTGTTCAATCCCTCCAAGTAACTTCAACTTCATCTGTGCGATACCTAGGGCAGAAATTGAAAGCTTTTGTTCATTTGTTTATGCTTAGGCTTTTTTTCAAGCGAGACAGGGTGCTTTAATTGTACGTGTTTACAGTCACATTTGGATTGAAAGCCTAGATTTCAGCAGACGCTGCGAAGGACACAAATACTGTATAATGCTCCTTCTGTACATAACTATTTGGATAATATGCTAAGTATCAAATATTAGTAATTAGAAATGATTAAATTTGAACCTTAAGACCGATATTCAAATATACAATCTCAAATAATTTTCTAGAGATTTCTACTAAAAATCTGCAAAGGGTTATGCAGCCCCTGTTCCATGTCACATTTTGTACAGCCTCGTCCTGGGACTGTTGGACTTTCCTTCGATTGTTATTGTGGGTCATTCAATGCACTGGAAGAATCTCTATAATACGACAACTTATTGGCCTTTTTAAGGAACAGCAATGTGCTAACCTTTGCGTACACCAAGTGTCTTCCATTGGTGTCACGTGTCCTGATCGAAACATTTCCCAGCCTGCTTGAGCAATCATCACTCCATTGTCAATACAAAATCTGCAAGTTAACAAAGGCCCGATTACTGAAGTGCATTTAGAAATGGTATTCAGAGATCTGGTTTTAGAGAAATCCTACAGAATGTTCTTGGAACACATAGTAATTTCAATGCTCACTTTCCCATGATGAACAAACTTCACTGCCAGCAAAAGCAAAAAAAACAGATGCCAAAGAAAAAATCAGCTTTTTGTCATATTATTAAAATTTTACGAGCCCACAGCAACATTTCTGACTTCAAAATTGGTTTTAATCATATGATGTTTCACGACAACCCTATCAAGAAATTGCTAATTTAACAGGGTGAGTCGCCGCCCCGTCCACCAGCAATTATCAAAAGGACAGTCTGCCAGCAAGCAAAACGCCATTCCATTGGAGCAAAACTAATTAAATGTTCCAGAACAGAAACCAATTGCGCTCGAACACGTGACATAAGGAAGAGCAAAGACTAAGGCAACCATCTACGCAATCGTCGGAAAACACTGCTCCTATAAAAGGCTTGCCTTGCGTACTTTACCAGGCTAAAGTTTTTAAAATCTAATATAGCCGCATCTAGCAAACAATCAAATACTCATTGTTCACTTCGCATCCACAGGCTTTTTCTGCCTATCAACTAATTGCAACAAGAGATCCAGTTCATTATAAACGCAGACAACGCGAAAACAATATTTTCAAAACCTAACTCTCAGTGTTCTGAATTGTCATAAAACTGACGGATTCTAGAACCGTGGATGGCATTGAAAATCAGCTGCACTACCCTGGTGCAAAGCGACAGTAAATTATGCATTTGAGCTTCTTAATAATTGACTTAAAATCTATCTTATAAATATTTTTCAGCCCAGTCAACGTATAAAATTTTTTCGAGCTGTTCAGGGCGTTAATGTTCTTATCAAGCAGATTAAGAATTAAAATATTATCACTGTCTGGATTTGAAGGAAGATTCTTCTTACGCTTAACAGAACCGTATGCAGATTCAAGGTCTGGAGAAGATAAATTACCTCCCTATGATAATTAATAGGAAGAGAATATAAGGATATCAAACCAATTTAGGCATTGCTGTAAGAATTCGTAATGCCTCTTTAAGGCAATATATCGTAGTAAGACAGTGTTTGTTTTTATCGCTCTAAATATGTTTGTTTTTATCGAGTAAATTGGCAAAGAAACAGCAGATTTCTGGAAGCACTGAAATTTTCAACTTATACTAAAGACATATAAATATCTATATCATTGAAAATGAATCTTCCAGTCAGAAACTTTTGATAAATCAGAAACCTCATAAAGAGATAAAATGAAAAATTCATATGACATATTAAACCGGGTCGCGTACTACCTGACATTTAAAGTGCCATTAAAGTTGGTAGTTGATATTAGTAGTTTTAGTGGAGAAGATATCAACAGAACATACCTTTCATCAGTAGCAAACAATTTAGCACCCCTTTCTTCGGTCATTCGTTCTGTAAACAAGATATGGATTACTTTAATTATGGAGAAAAGTATCTATTATGGATTGTTTTGATTGACTGGCATTTCCAGGACAAGAGGAAGACATGAAATACAGATCAAGATGAAGGCAAGGGCACGTAAGCAAATGTGGAAAAACTAAAACTTGTTATGAGCAGGATTTAGGGTCTATCGTAGGAGAAACAGTCAACACTGAAAAGATCTTGATTATTAGTCAATTATCAATTGATTGTTTAATGAAAAGATCGGAATTAAACGTGTATCTCTCCCACTGAACAGGATTCTTCAAGCTTACCACCAACAATTTTTGCACTTGTGAAAAAAGGTTACGCGGAACATAAAATGGAACAACTAGCTTGCAGAGTTCGATTTACTATCTCTTGATAAATCTGAAATCAATATCGACTGAATCAATTTAATACGAACTCCTGCAAATTATGACGGACCTACTAGAAGGCCAGCATCAAAAACAGATCAAACAATCAAATGGCCTATTCAAATAGAATCGGTTAATTTTTTGACTAAAGTCAAATTGCAATCTATACTCACGCATCATTTCTTGCAATCTCACGTTACCTGTAAACAAAAAATAATGACAAAATATAAATCAAAATACACAGACCATATTTTAGCAATTATATTCAAATCATAAAAATCTATCGATAGCAAGGTTTGCTCAAAAGAACTACCAACATTTGAAGTTTCAAATGAACTTATCTCTCTACAATATCTTTATCAAAATACCACAAATGGCAAGCTTACTTTTGTAAAATATTATGTTGAGGTAATATGGTTTTCATATGGATTTAAAAGATTTTATGATAAGTGATAAATGATACCAATACTACAAGTACCGAAAAAAGATATTGATACGAACTAAAAGACATGCTGAATATGAGTAAGAAAATCTCAAGTATATGAGTACATTAGCTATGATGCACTAAAAAGTCTATATATATATTTTAAAACTGTATCGCTTCTAAAACTTGACAAATATATAATGCCTTTTCTGGTAAAAGCTAGTAATTGTAAGCGTTTAAAATACTTACAACCAACACCTCCAACAATTAGGACTTCTTCTGAGCCACAGTGCGCCATTGCTCTTTCTTAAAAATGGAGTAAATCCATAAGAAATTTTCAACAAAGTATTTCCTTGTTGTACGAGTGGGTTTCTTTGTATGTAGAATTCAAATGGAAGATTTCAAGTAATTTTCATACATGCAAGAAACAAAACGTGTTGACTTCAAGTGTTCGTAATATTTTTCTCTGAAGAAATCTCGAAGTCCTTGATTTATAAATTAGCCATACTCAATTAGAAATAGGCCAGTCATCATCAAGAACAATGAAGCTGCCAGCAAATGAAGCAATTAGACAAATGAGTAGCTCGTTAATATCAGAAAACTGACCTGTTATTTCAACCAGCATAGCAAACAGCGTCTCCTGGTGCAATACATGATCAGTTTAAAAAATTAAACATGGCAATGGCAGGAATATATAAAAAAAATTACAAACTTATATTACTATTATCAATAACAATTTGATTGCTTTTATTGCAATTTCAGAGCCATATCCAAAAATATAAACTGGGTAACCAAAGTCCCTCATAAAAGGACCTAAATATTGGGATGGGGGATTTTAGAAAAAAACCAATCTTGTGTAAAAACTGTTTTAAACTACAAAGACGATTGGGGCTAAGGCTAGAAAAAAATTAATTTTTTGGAGGACTGAATGGATTTCACGGAGAAAGCAGCAACGGTCTTGAGACAACAAGGCTCATTCAATTTTCAGATCAAAAGAGGTTTTTGCAAATCTTGCAAATCAATTATTGACAAAATGCATAAAAAGGAGGGAAAAGTACCCTGCAACCAGAAATTGGCTTCCAGCTTCTTTAGAACTATTCTCATGCTAGTAAGCAATGGCTATTTATTACATAAATATTTCTCTTGCATAGCATTGTAGAAAAGAAAATATATACACAGAAAGTAATGAAAACACTTATCGTACTTGTAAAGAAAAGCACAGGTCTTCGGGAGTGCATTCACCAGAAGATAACAATTTTTCAGCCATCATCTGCAGCAAGAATGAAAAATGGGCAAAATGGCAGCATCAAGTTTCAATTTTAAATGAATCTAAAATTTTCTAATAGTATTCAGCAGCAATTAAAACAAAGAAATAAAATACATCATCTATTTCATGATAGATAGCTACCAGATACTATAAAAACCTAAAGATCTGGCAGCTCAAGGGCTATTTGAGAAAAATGGTTAAATGGTTGAACAAAACATTTCCAGGACAGGGGACCATATTCCTATGCATTTGCATTCAAATGACTGAAAGAACAGTCAGAGGCTTAAAGGCAACTTAAAAGTTTGAATTGTCAAACTTCGAATTGGAAGAGATGCTTCAGAGGAGGAGGGGAGGGAGGATTGAAGCAAGGGAGGGGCTGTGTTAATTGAAACTAAAACTGGCTCACCTCAATATATGACAGAATACCTGAAAAGCTAACATCCATGCCTTTTACTGTGTATGGCAATTCGACATATTTCGAGCCTCTGATATAAAAAACAAATGTACAACAGTCAATGGTTACATTCAGCAGGGTACAAATACTAACTTGGTAAAAGAAGATCAAAATAACTGTTAGATATTGAAAAGGAAAATTTTTTTTATAATCCGTGTGGATTTAAACGTAAAAAGTCACATAGTAGCTTTAACTAAGTAACACTTAATTTAATACCATTTATTCAAAACTTTAGTGAAAAACTTTACCAACAGATATTTTTGACACCAAGAGTTCCAAGCTAGTTACTGATTCTAATTTTGGGACAAAAACTCAAAAGAATAACGAGGAGAACAAGCAAACCTTTTAGCCATTTGCTCGATATTGTATCCAGGACTTGGATCGTTTGATAACTGAAAAGAGTAGAGAACTTTTGACAAAGGAAAAATGGCTGGTTTTAAAAGAAGTCATATGGCTTGAGGTTGGAGGAGGGTTCTATTATGCTCCTTAAAGGGACATCAAAAAACCTCCTTAAAGAACGTTCTCACCACACATAAAACAAATTATTTTCCAAACATTAATGTTAGAAACAGGATGTAGTATGGCCAAGGGGTAATGCAAATAAGAGAATATTCATACCATTACTGATGTAAATTCCATGGGCTGCAGCAAGAATCAGATTTTCTGCAATAGCTGCAGTTGATATTCCTGATGCTCTTACTGAGCACAGTTGATTAACATTGCAAACACAGGATGATTGATTTAATAAAAAGCTAATCATCCAATACCTTAAGAACTCGTGCAAATCGGTCTAAACAGTTACCAACGGCTATATCGATTGTTTCACCGAAAATTCGGTATCTCTTTTCAGAATATGCTATCACCTAAAAACGGAAAATTGCTATTAACATGTATTTAAATTTATCAAGAATGAAAAAAAATTTTAAGGAGTAATTTTCTTTGAGCAGAAAAGCACCATTTAGGATTCTCTTAAATTTTTTTTTAATAAAAATGCAAACCTCTTGTATTAAATTAACACAGACGCTGTTAAACCAAAAACAGCATATGCTGAAACACAACTGGTGGTGGCTTTTGCAGTGGTGGGATATTCATTCAAGTACTCTCAATGATGGTCGATTTTACAATAAAAAGTTTTTAGGAAATAAAAGCTGTTTTATCTTATACAGAGGCCAATCTTCAAATGAACCCCCACTGTCTATATCAAAGTCATATTGCTAGATTAATGCCACATAACATCTAAAGAAGAGTTTAATGCGATATTGCATCTGATTATAAGAAAATTATAGGTGTCTTTAAAACCAAACATTAAAAAATCAAAGATTCAAAAGTTTAAGATTCCATTAATAATAATGATTATTATTATTCTCGATCATTATACAGGATAATACTCCAGTAGTGATATGCATATATACACATTTAAACTGTTTTCCTAGTAGTCCTGGTAAAATAAACAAACAAAAACAAAAATAAGATTAAAAACTAGTTTACAATCAGCATTTATAAAATATAATTTGAAAGCGAAAAATAAATCCGGACAAGGGGGATGGAGTAGAGTTGTATAAAAGAGAGTTATAAGGTTGAGAGTCTAAGTTAAAGTATAAAAGCTCTTCAATTTATTTTCGAAGGAAATAAAATCATTTTCTGTTCGAGTTTCTTTTGGAAGTTTGTTGAATAATGAGGCACCTTGGTAGTAAAAGGATGCTCTTGCTATTTCCAGATTAATTCTCGGGATGTTAATCATTATGCCATTGTTTCTGGTTTTTACATTGGAGTTTTTCATTGTTAAATAGCTGTCAAAGATAGCGCCTAGGTTATTAGAGTGGAGGCATTTGTGCACATATGTACATATTTGTTTCATTGTGATTATTTCATTTCTCTGAACTTGTTGGCCGATGATTTTTTCTGCGCGGTTTTTTATGCGTTCTGTCTTTTGTTTTAAATATGGGGATGTTGCACCATATAGCGAGAATGAACAGTACGTCAGAAGAGGAGTAATCATTGTTTGGGTGACAAGAGTACTAGTTTTTCTGTCCATGAAGGCTCGCATTTTTTTCAGTAGGTGTAGTCTAGCAGAAGCCTTTTTAATAGGTTCATTTAAGTGATAAGACATGTTGAGATTGCATGTTAGATTGAGACCTAGATATTTGTGGGTCTTGGTGTTATGCATTTCTTTGTTCCTGTGCATAATTGGATAGGTGTCTCCTCAAGTTTGTTGAGTTTTTGGCAAGTACCAAACACCATAACCTCTGAATAAGTTTAATAAGTAAAATTCCTGAGACAATTCTGAAGATCATACGCACACCTGAAAAACTAACTGACGTACAAATAAACAATAAAAAAACTTGATAAGTATGAGATTAAAGAAAACGAACTTGTGTATTTCCACCACTGACATAGAGAACTGTTGGATTGGCAGCTCCAGTTACAAGCCTACCCATTTCAATGTCTTTAATGAATGTTAAGGCAAAGAAACAAAAGAAACCACAAAGTATATTCTGATTAAATTGATTGAATTTGGAAAATGAGGTTGAAAACTTACTTTTTTGTCCATATAGACAAAAAAATGATAACACCAATCAGAAGATTATGAAAATACAAAGAATTTCAAATGCCCTTTTCATTATTCATCTAACTAAAAGAAATTTCTTTTAAAACTTCTAAAGATTATCTTGATTCAAGGGTAGCCTGAAATTGTAATTAAAAAGTGGTTAGCATATCAAAAGGACTGGGGGGCTTGGGTAGATAAAAACTTTGACCCTAGGTTAAATTTAGCTATTTGAACAAACATTAATTCAGTTCTCAATCATTTTGATCAGAGAAACAGTTCAATACTTTTAACAGCTTATTTCAACTCGAGAAAATAATAGCAATCAGGCGTCTACCTGGGAATAAAAAAGCACAAGTGTGGCATTTCACACCCCTAGGCTGTTATAAGCGTGTGATTGTTATTAATGTTTTCTACAAAGGTTTAATAGCATAGTATACGGGAGCTTGAAAAGCCCAATTCTTAAGCCATTTTTTCAGTTCTCATACGCAACAATAAATATTTCTGGTGGGGGGCAAGCCCTCTTGCCACCAACCACGGCGGCAGCCTTTAAAAATGTTTATATTTTGGCCCCTACTTTCAATCGTGTTTCGTCAAAAGGAATATGAAAACAATTTTGAATACGGCACGATTTGAAAACGGCAAGATTTGAAAACTGCACGAAACGTTTCAGTGTAAACTCTTGAACCACAACAGTTATATTGCAGACTTCCCTCTCTTTGAATCCATATACTTGTCGTTCTGTTTTCAAGGGCTACCCTTGAACATTTCATGCCTTTATCACAACCTGCCGTTTTCCAAATTATTTTCATTTGTGCTAGTCACAAAAACGGTCATGCTTTTTTCTGTTTTCAAATGAAAACGATACAACATTAAATAATTTGTGGTACGTGAAAATAGTACCCTGAAAACGGGACATCTCGGTGACAAATATACCATACTGCGTAACCCCCTCTGGGGAGGGTTGTTTAGCGTTGCAAGGCGCATCGCTTACATTTAACCCAGCTGGTGATAGGGACTGGATACTGAAATCACTGGCGTAAACCTATAGCGTGCAGAAGGCGAGCTTTCCAGCATGGGCCATCGGCAAAGGATTAATATAAAACGCTGCAGCTTCTTAGAATGATAGATTCCTGATGATCTGGATACGATATTTCGCACACAACATGCACCATAACTTTGTTACATATTGCTTATTGCCGTCAGCGTAAATAGGATAGCCTATAATGTAGCCCTTGTCCCATTCAGGAGTGTGGAGTGTGTTTTGTTCAAACACTGTGTGGAGTGTGTTTGTATAAAACAATCGAATAATTATAAAACAGGCGTGCGATTAAATGCCCTTTTCAGTGTTGGCAGGCGTGTACTAGCATTTCCGGGGAAGGCCTTTAGCATTCTTGATTTTCGTTCTTATAGAGAGGTAAAGGTACCATTCACAATTCTACAAACCATCCAAGACAAAGGATACGTCCAATGCAGTGATTAACACCAACTAATGGCTTATCCCATAACTGTGCGATTGTCCTTGCTACAACAGCTACAGACACAAGTGGAGCACCCATTCCAGGCCCTGTCAAAAACGAGCAAATTTATACATTATTAGATGATACTAAAACACAGCACAAAAAGAGCACATCTAGAATAAAGAATAACACTGCTATTATAACAATGCCAACTCATGGCTTGACTTCCTACTTCAAAAGTAAAAGACCGAAGGACCTCAACATCCTGGAAGATATATGAGAGACATACAAATGGAATACAATATCACCTTTAGTAAATGCAATACAGTCTATCTGGGATGCCTTCACCTTTGCTACCTCCAATGCTCTGCAAAATGAATGTACAGTATAAGCCAATAACAAATCAAGCAAACAGTTTTTGGCGATGCAAAATTTGAAAATGGCTTTTACAACATACTAAAGGATTTTCATCTGACATTCCTCAGAAGATTAAACGTCAGAATATTGGCCAAAAAAACAAGATAGAAAATATAAACACAGTTTTGGATTGAAATAAGCCAATCACAAAAATGCAAGCACATGACCGGCACATTTGTCCAATTGGTACTGCCTGCCTAAAGAAAAGTTACTACTTGATTCAAAGAGAGAAACGGAACTTCTTCGGTCTACACAATAATAAACTTTTTGTTTGTGTGTAGATCCATTTGAAAAACAGCTAGATGAAAAGACTCTGCTGATTAACTGAAACTTTTTGTCATTATAGACTTTGGCGAAATCTGGATTATCTAAAAGATCTTGTCTGAGGAGTGTGTATGTTGCGTGTGGTACTTCATCCCAAATAACGACTATATAGCTAGCAAATAAATTGAGTACCAGAATGAAAATATAATAGTTTGATTGTTAAAACACGACATTTCGAGCATGTACTCGTTATCAAGGCTAGAAAAGAAACGAGTCGAGCAAAGAGAAGGCGAGATTCGATAAATAGGGGAATGGGAGGAAAGTAACAAAAGAGTAGGCAATAGGTATAAAAAGAAAATGAGATCTGATGTGGAAGGATTGGTTATGGTTGGTGATAGTGGTCGATTGGTTAATGTCTGTGCAAGTACGACAGAGGTGATGTTGGCAGGGGAAATTACCAAGCTGTTATGATGTATGGTTTAAGTTTTTTCTGATCAGGTGGTCCTTTAAATTCTTGTCTCTGCGGAAAGCCAGTAGTGGCAGTGCATTGAAGATATTCTTTGTTTCAGTTTAATTAATAAGAATATGGAAACTGTTATAAATAATGCTCTTTGTGCTGTTGTTTAGAGGGTGGTAGATCAAGGTGAAAGGAATGCGGTTGTTGTTGTTTTCTTTGTTGGATTGTAGAAGGGCACCATCTTGAGAAAGTTGCTTTACTTTATTGGATGCTGCTTGGGAAATATGGTCATGATAGTTATTGTTTTTGAAAAAGTAAGACATTTTCTCTGCTTTTAAAACGAAATTTCCATCATTTGAACAAATACGGCGGAGACGGCGGAGTTGATAGAAGGGTATGGAGTGTTTGCATTTCTTAGAATGTGATGAATCGTAGTTAAGGAGGCAATGAGCATCTATAGGTTTGTAGTAGATGGATGTGGAGATTTTGTTGCCAGGGATAGGAGGATGTCCAGAAAAGGCAAGCTTTCTACGGTAATAAAGTGCGTGAACTGCAAGGCTGGGTGAAATTCATTGGTGTAATTAATAAATTGTTGAAGATCAGCCAAAGGAAGAGATGTTGCTCTGACGATGTCAGTGATGTATCTTTTGATGAGGCAAGAAAAAGGGCCATTATAGGATTCGTGGATAAGCTGTTCTTGGTGGCCAACTCAAAAGGCAGGCATAGCTTGGGCCAATTTTACTACCCATTTCAACACCAGATGTCTGAAGATAATTTTGACCGTTGAATAAAAAGGCATTAGTTGTTAGGTTTAGTTCAGCAAGGCGAAGAAGAGTAGTAGTTGGTGGACTTTGCAAACATCATCTGTCGAGAAAAAACTTTAGTGCTTGTAGACCATCATTGCGTGGAATGCTTGTGTACAGTGATTTGACATCCATAGTGAAGAGATATTTGCTTGGTCCTTTGAATTTGAATTTCTTAAAAAAATGCAAGGAGCACATGGGGAGAATCTTTGACAAACGTTGAAAGATCTTGGACGATCGGTGTGAATATTGAAACCAGAAAGGTTGCTATTTGAGACGTTGGGCAGGAGACAGCTGACACAACAGGGCGATCAGGATTACCAGGTTTATGAATCTTAGTCTGAGGAGTGTCAGTCAAAAAAGCTTAGGGAAGTTGTAAAATGTTTGCTTTTTTCAAAGTTATTCTACAAATTCGAGTGTTCCAAAAATATATGACTGTAGGATAGCAACAGACATGATACTAATCTGGGTATTTTTTTTTTAATTTTGATGAACTTTTCAAATGCCTATGTCTTGCTCCACATCTATTCATTATTCAAGCAAATTCCCAGATACAAAAAACATAATAGAGATTTGAGCACCACAGAGGCATTTCAAAAACTGACAAGAAAAGCTTTGTTTTTGGTAAAGAAATATTGCAGTGCAGTTATGCAACATTTGGACAATATTCTTAAAATTTTTTGAGTCATTCTAAAGCCTTTAAGGGCAAACCCTCTTTTATCAATGCCAAATGACTGATTAGATACTTACTCTTTTAATACTTCTAAGACTTTTTGCTGGTGATGTTTCGCAGTATCTCTTGGCAGAAAACCTATGAAAAAGGTTCTAAGCAATTTCAAAAATGAGAGATTGTCTAGAGAAGAGTAATATTGATAAAATTTACTAAAAACAGCTTGTTTGGGGAGCAATACAAATGAACAACTGTCATGTAAAATAGCAGCTCCAAACAATCAATTTTTATCAACAAATTCTTACAAGTATTGATTGACATCGAGTCATGGTGAATAGGCCTTCTCTATAGGGGGTCATTTGGTTTCGGCGTGATTGCTGCTGTTTCATGTGATATTTGCATCCGTTGTTGACAACTTGCTATTCATGAAAATTGTTTTGTCAATCAGTACGAGGTGAGTTCATGTGACCAGATCCAGGTCAACCAATAGCATCGCAGTCATAAAAATCATGACTCAGCTAATTTTGGCACTTAGGTATACCCAATCCATTTTATCATGACTCAATGCCTTTAAGCTGTGGACCACTGTGAGTCATAATTTCAAACCACTACTCCATAATTTTTTCACCCCAGTGTATATCCTGTTTGCACACCTTCATTTCACGTTGGAAAGTCCAGAAATTTCTGGTGTATTTGAGGCACAGGTCCAGAGAAAAATCTTACTAGGACAAGAGGGGGGCTAAGGGCTACATCCATGGAAAAACGCCCCCAGTTTACATTAGCAAAGACTACCTTTTTACAGACTATTTGGTAACACCCTTCAGACATTTTATACATTATACATCAATTTATTTAAAGAGACAAAAGTATGGCAGAATTGCAGCTTGAAACTGAAATGGTGCCATGGGAAGGGTCTTCCCTGGACACTCCGAGTAACACAAGACATAAATATATAAAACAAATTATACAGTGATTTCTGATAGTTTTAATTGCTCTTTTTGTTAAAGCCTGCACTTTAATAAGCCTTATTTAAGGAATTCTCACAAATTTGGAGGCATTTTTCTTAGAGGTTTATTCAAGGAGTTGTTTATTGCATGCATACAACAAATTGTTTTCTTAGCTTAGTAGTACTTAGCTGCCCCTTTCTACACAAACAATATTACTTCAGTTTACTTTTCTTCATGGAAAACTTAGGCACTTGGATGACTCAGATGTCAGCAAGCAGAAAGCAAACAACAGAGAAAATCTAGGAATTATCATTTGCCCTCTTTCCTTTCATCTTTGTCAATCTTCAGTTTCAAACTAGACTTTTGTTCAGCCATTTGTTTTGCCAAGTCAGAGCCAATTGTCACACATTCAGTTGCTCACGAATTGTCAAGCACCAGAACAGAGAGCACCAGAATAATGCTTCCAAAAAAACCCCAAAAACGAAAATTGTGCAAGCTTTTGTTTGGGTTTCCACAAATATTCATTCTTGAGAGATGAAGAAACATGTTTAATGGGTTTTGCTTTGTTTTGGTTAAGAAACTGACCTGGGGAATGGCCAAGAAAGATAAGATGAGGGAAAAAGAGGCATAGGTCTATTTAATTTTTCTTTTACATTCCACTAACTTTAAAAAATACTCCTAAATTTATGCAAAAAACAAAACAATGATAATTAGCAAAAAGTACAAGAACTATCCTCAGCACAAGAATTTTGTGTGCTTTGTGAAAAGAAAACTTCTTCATTTTGATATTTAACATTGTGCAGTCAAAATTCATTAAAACCTAGAACTGCCTCATACGGGGCAACGGGGCTCTACTGTAGAACTGTCCGAATACTTTCGTGAGGGTCAGAATCTTTGAATGATACTTTCAATGCAAGATCAGAATGTAAGAATTTGTGTGCACGCCAAAAAACTTTTTCTACAGCTACTGCTTGCATGCGAATAAACCACGTTGAGAAAATAGTGGATTCTTTACCATTATTTTTAATTCCAAACCAAACTCTATGCAGCCTTTGTGTGCTGCATGATTATAATTCAAATAGTACTTATTACCTTGACCAGGCGGTGTAACATAGGTCCTTCTAACATTTGACAGCACCTTTCCATCTTCTATTATACCGATTCCAATTTTGTTGGCACTTCCTTCAAGACCTATTACTATAGTCATTTCGAAATTTAGAGTGGAGTCACCCTCTATCTCCTCATGTCGTCCGCCATTGCACCTCGGACCTCGTTACCGTTTTGACACAGGGAAAATAAAATGAAAGGGTGAAACTGGTATCCAGGCCCCGGGTCGGGTCTCATCGTAACTTATTTCCTTCTTGGAAAAATGTTAACTCATGACTTTTGAGTTTAGACCATTGCTTTCGATACATGCCAAGGCAAGGCTAACCAAGGACATGATGGAAGTGCTTCTAAATTCCAGTTTACACAAGCATGAGTATTGGGGAAGGTCAAATTTCAATCTGTCAGCAGTGCTTCCAGCCTATGGAATTGTACTCGCAATATGCTTGACAGGGAATTCCGTCGTTTGTGCCACAATATTGAGGAGCAGAAACATGAAAAGTAGATGGTATTACCTCCTTTTTAACCTATCTGTTGCAGATATGGGTTTCGCTATCACAACACCGATACAGTTGGTACAGTTTCTTGATGTTAACCTAGGTAAATACTTCGTCTTTATGTTGCTATTCTATTTAGAATGTAATGCAAAATCAGAATGTAAGCATTTGTGTGCACGTAAAAAACTTCTTCTCCTGCTACTGATTGCATTATTTCTCTCTTTTTTGATTTAAATCTTCATCTTCTAAATAAAAACGTCACCATGCACAAGTTAGCTGATCGCTTCTTGAGGTATAGCTACCTAAAACTGACAAACTTGTCACTTTTTTCATAGGTGATTTTGGCTGCAAATGTGGACTGTTTGTGTTGGACATCTTCCTTGGAACTGCCCTTCTAAGCCTGGCGTTCATTAGTCTTGATCGTTACCATGGTATTTGCAAATCATTTTCAAGCTTTGGATCAGAAAAAGTCAAAGCAAGATTCATAATTCCATTGATCTGGATAGCAGCAGCTGTATCATATTTTCCAATGACTGTGGTATGCAAGAAAAGTAGGCAGCCTGGTAGCTTGGCCTGTGATTGCCACTCTTCATGGCCAGCTCCAAAGTATTACACTGTTTATGCATTCTTTATCACAATTATTATTTACATAGTTCCATTTGTAACTATGCTTGTCTGCTATACAAGAATTTGCAGAAAACTTTGGTGGGGTACAGATATCAACAGCATAATACCTGCAGATGCTGTTGGCTCAAAGAAAAGAAGTATCAAAATGCTTGTAGCTACAACACTTCTGTTTTTTCTCACATGGACACCATACAACATGTTGTATATGGTGAAAAAGTTAAATTTGATTGACCCAAAAACTTTAGGGTAAGCAGCTTTGAAATATTCTTTTATCTTTAAATATGAAATTGATGTTTGATGAATTCTCATCACAAGTGAAATTATGCCAATGCTTTTTGGCTCAGGCCACCACAACAGCATTTCAAAGCAAACAGCCCTTTGAAAAATGCAAATGAAAGCAGTGTAGTATTTTCATTGCATTTATCAGTGTTTCAAAGGAGACAGTCTCAAATAATTAAATCTAGTATTTCAAAGGAGCCAAATTCAAAGGACTAGCTGATCACTTAATATGCTAAATTACAGTGCCAAGTTACAAGCACACAACTTGTTACACCATTTACAGTCTGTAATGCAAAATCTAAACAGGGAAATGCTTTCTGCACAACCATTCTCCATGAGTTATTAAGACCTTCATTGCCTTCCCTAGAGGTCACATTCACTGAAGATAAAAAGCATCAATTTAATGAAACTTTAATGTTTTCCTTTTTATTTTCAAAGTTGGCAAATTTTTCAAACAAGAACATCTAACATGATGTTTTATATTTTCTTTATTACAGAGCACAACACTGTACATGTTTATTAATATTGTAAACAATTGGAAATAAGTGAAATGACACCAGCCACTGGGCTTTTTTAGGGAGGGGAAGAATTGAGGGCAGAATTCAAAATCTAGGCCACACACTTTGCGCTGTCAGGAAACACCCTTTTACCAACAGGGAACACTAATTTTGCCCAATGAGAACGGCCATGATTTAACATTTGGCTACATAATGGGAGTTTCAAAATCAAAAGACAAGATCATTTCTTCCAAAAAGTGGGGCAGGGACATGTCTCTGCTGTTGAAATGAACAGTCTCTTTGGCTGTCTAACTTTTTCTGTCATCAAAGGTCTCAATATATTGCTTTGAACTTAAGTTTGCATAAATTATCCTTTAAATAAATTCTCTTGCCATTTTTCTTAAGGCAAGGTATTCACAAAATATGAAATGTTTTTTGCAATTCTGAAATTTACCAGCCTCTCTACACATCATAGTGTTTTAAACAGCTCTACCTATACAGCATTGAGCACTTAATGAGAGACAGGTGAAGTACTAATTTTCATCAGCTCTGTATCTACACTTACATATTTTTGGGTTGAAGTGCAATCAAAGTGTTCAAAATTTCTATTTTTTGAAAATTATATTGCTGAATATATTTGAAACAATACACGAGCATTCAAATAATATATTTTTTGACAGGAAAATATTCTTGGCCAGTCAAATTTGTGGCTTTGCCAACTCTGCTGTCAATCCATTTGTTTACTGCATTTTCAGCAAGAGCTTTAGAGCTGGGTTCAAAAACATTTTTGCTTGTCGAAAACGAAGGCATCAGGATAGCAGCTTTAACACACAAAAACCATTCAAAGACACAAACAATGACTCAAAACGAAATGAGACAAGAACATCATCTGATACTGGGTATGGTAGTATCAGCATATTAAAGGAAATTGAGTAAAAAGTACTTTTTTTATTGGTTTTATTATCAGTATCCAAATGCCAGTAGCTTCAATTCTGCTTGGAAAATCTACTGTGTCTTATTTATTAGAAATGGGTAATTTCAATAGAATTACTATTATATTATCATTTTTATTAGAATTTGGGTAGATTTGGTTGCTATCAGTATGGGTAATTTTGTGACATTAAGTTGTTTATTTTTGCTGCTTATTCATAATAAAAAAACACTTTGCTTCACATTAGAATCTGTTCTCATGCTTCTATGCAATTTCTTAACTATTTGAATTCACACTTACAAGCATCAGGATGGTTGATATCATTCTTTACAGAGGGAACATCCCTCTTTTTTGCAATGATGTTTAACATTTTTCTTTAAAAGGCAGACCAGTTCAGTTTATTCATTCATTTAAAATTCCACTACATACAAATACATATCTTCTGTACAAAAGATTAAATAACTTATACCGATTTGAATAACTACATGACAAAAGTAAAGAAATATTTATGACACTAGAAGATTTGTATGAAGGTGAATTCTAAAGAAGGGACTAAAGTATCTTTTTTAACATAATACTAATGTGATATGTTTACAATTTGTTTATTTGCTTACCTATTTAAGTGTGAAAAGTAACTGCTGTGGTTCCTGATATAAGGAAAAAACTACTCTGACTTGGATTTATTTTGTATTTTTTCTGCTTTTGTGCATTTAGCAATAATTCGACTGAAGCTCCATAAGTAGAACAAGATCATAAGTCTTAATGGACCCATCAGAAGTACCTAAAATTGAAGAACGTAATAATTATTTATAATTAGTTCATACTATCTAACATTTACTTATCAGATCTGCGACAACAAAAAACTGCAAATTTTGCTTGGAGTCTGCGGGCAGGCTAGCAAAATAAGCTTAATAGAAAAATATTTTTAATATTATTTGTTGTTACATAGATTATTATGATAAATCTACAAATAAATATTTTGTTTTCTTTTCTCATTCATTCTGAAATTTGGACAATTTTCTACTCATTTGCAATATAAAAAACAGCCAATGGTGTATATTTTCCCCTCAGTGGCATAAAGGTTGATAGGGATTGATGCTTTTTTCATTATAGATATTCTGATTTATATCATGAAAGAAGTTAACTTCACTTAATTAAGAAGTGAAAGAGTCAGGTAACATACTTGAACAAGAACTTCCCCAAGAGAGGATGGTGGGGCAGCACCACAAGTTAGTGTATTCATGGCAAATCCATCAACACCACACCAAATTAAGTATTGACGATTCTATAAGAAAAAATTAAAGCAATTAGGGTCATTATTTCAGAACTGAATAGACATATATTTCTTAAACAAAGAGTTGTTTAGGTCTGGGCTACAAAAGGGGACAATCTTTGTTAAGTAGGCATATAGGAAACCTTAAAGTTTTAAATACCTTTTTTCATTTCGACATATATTGAAATTTAATTTCAATACCGTCAATTTAATTCATCAATTATGTTTTTATTCATGGAAAATTCCCAAACATATTAAAAAACCCAAACAAAAAACTGGATGAATATCTCTGCAAATTGTTGGGAAATAAAATCTGATTTTATTTTGCGCACAAAGGGAGTTTCTCAGAATTGCTCAACTTTCGGTAGTCATAAGAAGAACATTCTTTATAGCTTGTTGTTTAATTTTTTAAAAAAGACTCTCAAAAAAGCAAATGATTAAAACTTGAAACTTCCCCTGCACATACACAAAACAATCACACTTCATCCTCACATCAAAAACAATAACAGTCATAAACAACAACGCACAATAATTCCTTAGGGGTGCACAGCAAACAATGTCGACAAAAACAATGAGGAACAAATCAAAACTCGCAAATGAGAACAAAAACAACAGGCTGATTCCCTATGCACACAATGTAGCTCATTTATATGAAAGTTTTTTCTACATGATAAGAAATTGTTGTAAAGATGATGAGATTTCAAATAATTCTTATTAGCTTAAATTACAGTTAGAAAGTTGAATAACTTACAAAAAGTAAAAAAGTGTCAATTTATTCAAATACCAGATGATGCTCTTTTATAAAAAGCTTATATGGAAAGTGATCAAAATCAGGATTTGAGAAAATATACTGAAGGAAAACTGAAGTGTCACACAATGCCATTATTTTCATCTTAATCTGGAAAGAAAATATTGTAAAGCACTAAATGTTTAAATCATATTTACATTGACTCCTTTGATGATAATTTCCGCCACCTCATCAGGTGTAAAAAGGCCAGCTGTTTCTGAGATAAGCTTTGTGGCTTCAGGCTTAAAAAATGAAAGCAAATGAAAGCATAGAACTGAAATTTAATAAGGGCTAAAGCTATGCTACTCACAGGAAATGGAAAATTGGCTAAGCTAAATTGTATTATATAGGACAAGCATTTGCTGATAGGTTATCCTGTATCAAAATTTGTTTTATTGCTATCATCATTATTATTTCTTTTACGGGGAGTTCACCGGACCATACAACTTCTTGATTTTAGAAAACTTCCTTCTCTTCAAGTTGGTTGATGTGTAGCGAATTTCACATAGCAATTTAGGCAATACAGGATGAGATTATTCGTAGATAGATGTGAAACTTGAATCGAAAAGGGGTGTAAATAAATAGATGCAAACCATCTTATTCATAAAATTTTACACAAACAGCTAAATACAAACTTTGGACTCGTTCTCGTTTTCAAAACCAGGTGTATCTGTGTCTGGTGGAAATGCTACAGAAACCCCAATATTGTGTGGCTTGAGCTGAGTAAGAATTGACATAATTAAGAAATAGTAGTCTTTATACAATAGAAATAATGCTAGGACTCTCCAAAAGCAATAATTTCTGAAAGAGTAAAAATACATTTACAACAACATTTCTGACAAATATTTTGCATAAATATTCTTTGGCTAACTTTTAAAATATATGAAAATTATTTAAGTAGGAAATCTTTTGTTTTTTAAAAATTTCAGAATCCAAAATGAAAATCAATACAGCCTTTTTCCTGAATGTTCTGAAATGCTGTTCTGCATTTGAAGATCCTATCTCAATGCACACCCAAAAAAGACTTGAGCCCCATAGCTGAGTTTTGATAGCTCCTATAAAGTTTGTAACTAAAAATGGGATTTAATATTTAGATGCAAATTGGGGGTATTGGGAATATGCTCAATCTTTGCTGTTTTGTTATTAAACACACACAAATTGTTTCATTGCAAAATTTTGAGAATTGGTCAGATAAATTATTTTTAATTTTTTTGTCATTCATTTGCTTCTTCAATCTTCCTATTGTTATAAGCAGCCCCAACTTATCAATTGGAGGGGTGTTAAGAAACAAGAAAATATCACTTGATAAGAACTGGATACACTTTTTTTAAAGTTGTTGCATTCATTTTATTCTTTATTTGAATGGCATTCACATTCTTAATTCTTCAATATTTGCTTTCCGGCCATTTAACAGTATTTTGTATGAAAAAAGTTGGAATAAGTTAGAATTTATTGGAAATTTGCAAATTTGCAAGGAACTAGCTCTACAAGAAATTATCTGCTTGTTGTTTTCAGCATTTGCTGATTCATGTTAAATATTGTTGATAAAAAAACACTAAAAAATAAGAAACCAAAAAAATGAAAAAAGACAGTCATTACCATATTGTTAGTCAAAAAAGGGCCAGGGGGAGAACATGCTATCTGGCCTGAACTGGATATAGAAATAGCTTCAAATTAGCCATTCTCAGAATGAAAATATGAAAGTAACTTTGTCTGATCAGTTTAAACATGTTTTGTCTCTTTGTCTCTCCTCCTGATGCATGATAAAATTTGAACTGGGCATGGGAAAAACATTGGAAGTGTATGTTTTGCAATAGAAGGATTTCTCCTTTTCTTTACATTTCCATAAGCAATATGCACATGGAGATGCCTGATAAAGTAGAAATCTTTCATAAAATAGCTCTTTAGTTTAAGCATACCTCGGAAGCCAAAGATTCTGCAAATCCTCTCACAGCAAACTTAGATGCTGAATAAGCAGTGTATCCATACAACCCTAGCTAAAATGGAATGGACAAGATTTTGTTTTTAAAATGACAGCTAACTATTTCTAGGTAGCAGTTAAAAGGTCAATAGGAGGTATGCTGGTCAGGCCTTGCTAAAGCGCGCAAGCAGTACTTGCAGGCAAACTGTGCTGATTAAATTATATCTGCAAACACATCTGAAAAAGCGGACTTTTTCAAAGTTTTCAATTGTTTAAGAGTTTAGGGAAAAAATTCAGCTACAAGTTTTACCATGTTAATTTTAAGCTCTACCGCTTTGTGAAAGTAATTTATGTAGCAAAAAAAGAGTAAAAGATTTTCCTAACAGCAAGAACGAGATGTCCAGCTATCTTGTTTTGATTATTTATTCTGTTTGAGTTGCTGCAGCAAGCTATTGGTTGTATCAGTCATTGATTGAAGGCTTCTGTGTAAAAAAATTCAGGACAAGCTACAAATCTGGGTGGAGTGTGCAAGAGATGGGAATTGTGATTGCTGTTAATGATCCAAATATTAAAAAAGCTGAAAGTATCCTTAATTATAGTATCAAACAATATAAAGCAATATAAACGACTGCCATTTTCGCTGCTAGAAGAAAATTAAGGACACAATCGCTGCATATGTTTCCTTTGTGTCACAAGCTAAAGTTTGTTTAAATTCTATAATGCTATTATTGCTGATAAAACAATCTTCGTTCTATATATAGTAATTTTCTGTTAAAGAAGCTCTTTGAAAATTTACTGGTCTTTGCATCATTGAACCTTACTTTATGTCTCTTATTTTAAACAATTTTATATCCTATGCATTACATATGAAAAAACCTTGCAGGCACCTTTTGCAAAACAGTTTGTGCTTGCAGGCACAACATTTTTTTAGGGAGGTCTGATGCTGGTTGCCAGTATGATTATCTCATAACATGATGTCTGCCTGGTTCAATCTACTTTCTTATGGAAAAATATTAAATTAATTTCTTCTGAAATTGAGTCATCATAATTAAAGATAATAACCCCGAGAGACAAAATTCATGCCCCGATTTTGTACATTTAGAGAAAGCTCGGAAAAAATAAAACAACTTAACAGAAAGAAAAAACAATATAAAAAGAAAGAACACAGGACCTTAACAGCATTTGCTTGCCCATCTCATGCACAATTTCGGCTCTCTTTTCCACTCAATACATCACATACTGTTCAATTATCTTTATATGTATTTTGAAAAACAACAATTAAAAACACATACATACCTGTCCTCCTATAGATGAAACAAAAACTATGTGCCCTTGTTCCATTTTTTTCATATCATCTATAACACATTTTGTCATATGCACACCTCCAAAGAAATTTGTATCCATCATGAGCTAAAATACAAAAATAAAATGTTCAAATAACTGCAGGGTAAATAGAGACAGAAAATAGGCAGGATGTCTTACAAGATAATTCTGAAACATAGATCACCAATTGTGTACTTACTTTGAAATCTTCAGAATCTGTATTTTCAAAAGTTCCACAATAAGCAAATCCAGCACAGTTTATAAGTATGTTCACACTACCATTACACTCTTGTGCCTGTAAAAGGTAGAAAATTTGAGAAAATCAATCAGTAACTATGGTATTCTCAGGGGCACCAACCCTGGAGGAGCTGCAGGGGCTCTTCCAGGAGGGGCAGAGGGGGCAAGCAGTGCCCTTGAATATTAACTCCTTAGAAAAGATTATAGAATCTTGTTGATAATTGATTAGTTTAGCCATTCTCATTATGTTGATATCCATAAGAAATTAAAATTAAAAATAGAAAAATCTCCTTTTTTCTGTCAGTCTTTGATAACAGAAAATTCTCTTTCAGCAGACGATTATAAACTCTAAAAACCAGCGGCGTCTTATAAGATATTGGCTTTTTTGACCATGTCAGGACAAGAATATTACATTTATTTTATGCCTTAATATAAGAAACACACTGCAGTAAACAATTATTTGATTTATTTTTTTCTTGTGATTATTATTTTCCTTTTTGCATTCTCAATGATTCTGTAACCATGGAGTATTGAGACTAAGTGGACAATCAAAGATTTACAACCAGTCTATTTATATTTCATTGTAACCCCACCCCTCCCCCATCCTCACAAGTACTCTGTTATGGTAGTGAAAGAAAATTCTACTATTTGCCCTAAGCACCAACATTGCCCCTCCTTCCTTAATCTTGTGCGGGCGTCCCTGGGTATTCCGACAAGAAATATTTAAGAAGCCGTTCAAATATTAGAACTATATTTCAAATGGTATAAAGGGCATGCTAAACTTCAAAGAAAAGGGGATTTGAAACAGTTCCTTTAAAAAAATGTGGTACAAAAAATGCATGATTTATTACCTCTTTATATGCATTTCTTATGTAAAGTAGATCTTTGGTCAGATCAACAGATACAATGCAAACCTAAAGAAAACAGACCTTAAATAATTATACAAAACAGTGCCTTAAGATATTCATTTAACAATGTACAAGATTCAAATTTCAATTCACACACCTCTTTGTAAAAGAATTCAGATTGAAAAATGCCCATCAACACAAAAGTGGATAACAAAATCTTTAATACCCATGTCCAAGAAATCCAAGATACTAATGTACATAATGGCACCATGCTTTCAGATGAGCAGCAAATTATTCTTAAGTTTGAGCAATGTATGTGTCCTTTTTCTTTAATTTCTTCTACATCGAGTGCCTTATTGTTTAACACTACCAGAGGCTTGAGCTTGGTTATCCAAAAGATTTTTCCACATTACATGATTCTTCGCTCCCTTTTTTCACATGTCAGCACTCTTGCTTGATATATTTGGAATTATAATTGTAAAAGAAATGGAAAAATGAAAAATGTCTTGAAAAAATTGACAAACAGGTGCTAAAAAGAAACTGTTTGAAAATGACCAAAATGTAGGCAGCCACTAAATTATCAGGAAAAAAACTTTCACTCTGGTGGGTGATATGTCAAAGACATACTAGCACAATATTCTATATAAAATACATATAATATATACATTCATACATTCTACAATAAATATAAATTGATGAAGGACAAAAACATTGAAAATTTGAAGTTATAAATCATTTGAGTTGCAGTTAACAAATTTATTTTTATAACTATTTATTTTTTATTAAGTTTAGTTCTCTTGCATCACAGCCAGCCTCTGCTTCTTTTGATTTGAAATTATCTAGACTTTACTTTTCATTATATGGATTAGAAACTACTTTGATTACTAACCTTTTGGCTTTTTTTCACTTTTTCTTTCTCTAAAACCATGGCAGCCTGAGCCAATTTAATCTGAGAATAAGAAAAGATGAAGTAAAAAATATGTATAAGATTAAGTTAGAATGAATTTTGAAAAACTCACATTCAGCTATCAGGCATTGGTCTGGAAACTTAAACCTAGTAAAAGAAATGTAACCCTAGGTGTTTGCTTGAAAGCCAGGCCCCCTCTCAAACCTCACCTACTGCATACACCAGACTATTTACCTCATTTTTCAAATACTATAATTATAATAACAATTCAGAATATGACTAAGACATGAAAGAAAATGGTACCCTTGTGAAACTTGAAACAAGTGACTGCAAGAAAGGTTTGGGAGATAACATTGACAAAGATCTCAAGTTCAGCAAACATGCTGAGGTAGCTTTAAACAAAGCTAACAGAATAATGGGGATGACAAAAGGCTCATTCATCTACATTGATAAAGAAATATTCAATTGCCTATTCAAAAGCCTGGTAAGACCGCACCTTGAATTTGGCAATGTAGTATGGTCTCCGTGGTTCAAAAAAGATATTAAAACGATTGAGAATCTTCAGAAAAGAGATTGTAAAGTTGTCACAGGTCTGAGAAACCTTTAATCAAGGAGCCCTTTAAAGAACTAAAGTTACCTCCTTTTGTTTACAGAAGACTAAGGGGAGACCTTATTGAAGTATACAAGTACACACACAATTGTAACGATGCTAGGGGCTTGTGTGATTTACAAGAAGATGATAGAGCAAGCAGTAATGATTTCAAGATTAAAAAACAGGGATGCCGTAGGGATGTTGCAAAAAGAATTTTCAGTCTGAGGATTACTGGCATTTGGAATGAATTACCAAACAGCATAGTCAAATCAGGCCTTGCTCTAAGTAAAATGAAGGTACTCCATAAAAAGAGCCCCTTAGAAACTCTAGGCGCTCTATTTCGCACCTCTAAGTAGATTTCCTTGAGAGCATCCTTCAAGAGCTTTAGGAGATCGAGAGCTTTAGGAGATCGAGAGCTTCATATCGAAAGCTTCGGAAGAATGTTAAATATGAAATTCAACGGTGATACCAGAAAGCACCATAATATGAAATAACAAAACATGAAAACAAACACTATGTTCATATAAATATAGAAATATAATAGAACAAAGTCGTCGCAAAATTGTTCAGATTTTTCTAGATATGTAAGTTGCCATCATTCGATGAGCTTTTATCAGTGTCAGTATCACTAGTTATGTTCAGCTTCACATATTGCTTCATCAAAGCGCATGGCTTTAAATCGAACATTTAACTTTGTTTCCTTTTTTCATGTTATCCATTCTATAAGAAACGCTAGAACATCTACTACTCGCAAAAGCTAATGAAAAGCAATGCGATAAGTTATTGAGAAAAACAGAAAATAATATATACTACAAAAGAAGATTAACGCTTGCTCGAAAATCAAATAAATCTGCCGGAGAATACGCTTGATCGCCTGTGTCCTTTATGGTTATTAGAGGGTTATTAAATAATAAATGATATCGAAAACCCAACATTGAATTTGCCTAATTTTTTCTCAAGGGGTAATCTTACGCAAATCATAATATTGCGGTCTGTTGGGAAGATTGTTTAATATGCTTGATCAAGTTGATTCAACAAATTCCAAAAATTTATTTTGCTCCATGTTAATATTGTTTTTACCTTTTGAGGGGCTCTATAAATCGCTCTCCAAGGCTTTTTTTGGGTGCACTCTAGGCGCTCGGGCTCGATCGAGCGCCTTTCCGGGCAAGGCCTGGTCAAATGCAAGTCCACTGTGTTTATTTAAAATGAAAATTGATAATTTGTTCGGGGACACTAAGTACTTAATTGATACAGCAGAAATGATTTCAAAAATCTGAGCATCATGTGAATTAAGAGAAGAGAGGATGTTCCAGAAAAACGTCAAAGTCACTTATTGTGCATGGCCTCATATGTTTTCAATTTGAATATTTCAAGTGCAGAAAGAAATTAACAATAAGCAGTACTTATTCAGTTTATTCATACACAGATAAATTCTCATTAAAACTGTTCAACATTTCATGAACAGCATAACTGAGTAAAAATTGTTAAAGTCAGAAAATGGGTGCCATTAAAAACATTACAGTACAGAAACTTCACTGTGCTGCTAAGTTGCAGAGGAAATTGCTAAAGTCTGATTAGTGCAGTGTATCTGGCTCCATGCTCATGATTGCAAGGGGCAGGAACAGGCCTCTCCGTGAGCATTTTAGCGGGCACGTGCTCAAACGCGCGCCTCGCCTTGCTAAGGTGCGCGTTTTATCAAAAAAATATATTAACGTCAAAGTAGGCAAAAACGGCATGTTTTCGCATGTAAATACTTTTTATCTAGAAATATCTAAAAAAACTACTTAATAGAGCACTAAAAGCAAAAAAAACACATTATTGTTGCAGTTTGTCAATGTCCAGCTCAAATTCCGATGAAGAATCGGAGTCAGAAGAAGTGGAAAAATCAAAATTTGTTCTATTGACGTACGATTCAATTGCTTTCCTGGCACTTCCTTTACAAAGAGGATTTGATAAAATAATGCTTTTGTGTTTTGAGCAAACTTTACACCAAATCGAAACCATCATTGTCTTCCAATTTCATTTTTCGGTCTTTGATCCGCTAACTTCGTCCTTGCGATACTTGCGAAAGCAGATAGCTCTATGGCTTGACCCTTTGAATTACTGGCCATTTAAAAAACTTATAACAATCAGGAATGGCAATGACAGTTTATTGGTTATTGACCGTATGTTTGCTTTCACTTGGCAATAACAATTTCCTCGAAAGAGGGATTAAAAGAAGCAACCGTTTATTTAGATATCAATCGATTTTGAATCTGCAAGGCTCTTTGTAGAAAAATTGTTCAAAACCAAAACACAAGGAGCGCAATTCAAAGAGTTCTTATAAACCAGGCGCGTGATTTATTGCGCGTCTCGACAGGAGCTTGCCAAGGCGCGCGCGTGTGATCGCGCGCCTTAAACGAAGAGGCCTGGGCAGGAAGCATAGGGGCAGGAAGCATAGGGGCTAGAAGCATAGTGGCAGGGGGGCAGCCTCTCAAATGTCCACTAATCAGGCAAAATATATTGAACTTTCAAGAGTTCATGTGAAGTTAAGCCCCTGCCTTTATCCAGTTGGGTGCATACATATTATTTAGGACATTCCTATCAATAACTTCAAATTGGAATGGTTGAAAACTACAAACAACAGAAGGAAGAATTGAAAAATGTCTAACAGGATGTCTTAAACTTGTCTCTTTGGTTAAGATTAGAGTCAGTAAAATTAAATTCATTGTCCCACTTATTCAGCTTGGTCTCTGCTCATTTTTAAATTTTTTAACAATTTGAGCATTAGTAGGTTCAAAAGATTAAAAAGATATTTGACATCTAAGAAAACTAATGTGTAACTTCGCGAATCAGGTTATATTGATTAAGAGTCTTAGCAGATGCTAACCAGGCATACTGCTTGACAGTTGTTGCTGACTTTTTTTCAAGTAGATCCCTTTGGTAGTCAGATGTTGTTGAAATTTTTTCATTTTTCAATTTTTGCCTTTCGGTTTTTTAGAGAATAACATAATAACTGCCTAAGCACATACCTTGTTTCTTGCAACAATAGTAACATTGGCACCTTTTGATAAATACAACTTTGCCAGTGCAAGACCAATGCCACTACTACCACCAGTAATCTGCATGTATTGAAAAAATTGATCAAAAAGAAATTCAGCACACTACAACCACAGTCGTAGAAGGTACATATTATATTACCCCAGACAACATCATCACATTAATTAAAGATTAGACAAGATGAAACTTTTCGATGTATCAAACATTTTGACATTTTAATGAAAAAACATTTTGGAAACAAGTAGATCCAGTTTCAGTGATAAGGGTTTGAATGTAAATATTCTTAAATGTGTCTTTTTGTTGCTTTTCTTGAAAAAATTGGATTAGTCTTTTGAAAATATTTGAATGACAAAGTTAGGCTGTTGAAGTATTCTATCTGTCTTCACTTGAGTTATTTAGTATCTGGTTTATGGCAGATTTTAATGATCGTCACATGAACTAGGCAAAAGATGAGACAAGATGAACCTTTTCAATCTTGAAAAACAATATGCAAACAATAAGAGCCAGTTTCAGCAAAAAGGCTTGTTTCCAAAAACCCTTAAATGTGTCTTTTTGCTGCTGTTCTTTAAAAGAATAAAGGGTGTTTAAAAATATTGGAATTTCAAAGTTGAACTGTTGAAGAAATCTTAGCTTTCTCTACTTTTGAGTTATTTATTATCTGGTTAGGGGAAATGGTAGATTTTAATAAGAACATGAAGACATGCACTACAAAATTCTTAGGCGCAGTGCAGGTGTGCACAATATATACTTTGAGGTGCGGCAAATCTTCGGCGCTTCAGGTGCACCAGGCAAAAGGTTTGTTGCACACCCATTTATCCTGCCAGTGGAAAGTGTAGACACCTTTCTGTTTTTCTAACTGGCTGTGCAAAAAACCCCTAGTTAAAACACTGTTCATTTAACGTTATAATTTATTTGGTTTTTAAGCCTTGGCCTTTAGTTCGCAGGAGTTAGGACATGTATTGAAGACTAAAAAATACTTCTTTCTAACATAAAAAGAAGCACGCGTTTCGATTGATACCTACTATAAAAGAATTCAAATGAAAAAATGAAAATAAAAATAAACTTACCATAACATGACTGTTTTCCACTACTATGTTGCTCTTTACTTTTATACATGAAATTATCCAGTCTAACACAGAAAACATACAAATTGCGATCAGGACACAAATCAAGACAAAAAGCAACATATTTAACTTAAAATTGTAGACAGGATAACCAATTGTCTGTTTTTGCAACTTGGGCCTAGTGATCCTATCCTGTTTCTGGATTTTAGCAGCCTCTTAACCACAGCTGAAAACGAGGCAGGTTCATCCATTCCCAAACTCAAACTCAAACGACATCAAAACATGGACAGGGAACTTGACGTACTTTCTAACTATAGAGCTATCAATAATAAGCTTAAAAAGCGGTTACTAAAGAAACCTAACTTTGCTGAAGCTAGTGATCAATTTGGAACTCTCACTAGGGTCTTGAAGCAGCAGGAGTGCTTGCAATATGCAGGATTCTGCTGTATTGCCAAGGCGCACTGCCAAAACGCATTGAACAATCCTGTGGCTGAGACAGAAGCTTTGGTAGAAGCAGCCAGGCTGTTCTTCAAAGCTGAGAAAGAGAATGTCGATGTTAAGTGTCCTGCATTTGAAGAACATTTAACAGAGGCTACCCACTGTTTCAATCAAGCGATAAAGATTTACAAGCGGGAAGGACATCTTGCCTTAGCTGCAATGATTTCCTTGGAGGTTGGCAATAAGCTCAGAGAAGTTGGGAAAATTCAAGAGGCATGTGATCACTTTATAAGAGCTGCAGAAATTCAAAGATCTTACAGTATTATTGATTACCTACATTCCACAAGAGAAGGCATCACATGCCGTATCATGACTGGAGATTATCACTCTGCACTGAAAATGCTTTCTGAACTTTCAACAATAATTGAAGCTTATGAGAAGAAAGAACCTTTCATACTTGTTTCTCAAAGAGAATTCATATGCAGTTGTGAGATTGATAAAGTTTTCTTGCTATTGCTGCTCCAGTCATCACCCCAGCAACTTAGTAGTGCCTATGGCAAGGTGATGGAGAAATATATTTGGGAAAATCTTGAAGATTCAAGGCCAGCATGGCTTCAGGAAGAACTGTTCCAATTGTTGCAGTCTTTGATTATGGCTGTACAAGAAAAAGACACTGAGCTTCTAAAGGAGCTTGAAAATGACTTATTTCCGTTTCTCAAGGGGTGGCAGTGCCAAATTTATTTTGACTTAATCAATAGCTTGAATCAGGTCGATTAGAAAAACATAGTTCTTATTCTTAATTTTGTATTGTTATGTAATGAAATGAAAATATACCTAATGTATGTATTTAGACAGATTGAGGTTTAGTCCTACCTTTTGGCTCAAGTTTGATTGGGTTCTCTTGGTAAGTCCTTCAAAATATTCTGTGAATGTAGGGTAAATATATATTCTTATCAAAAAAGACTTTTATCTATACCTCTACTCACAATAATCTATACTTATAATGCTTTCTAAGAGTAGCAAGAGAAATTGACTGCAAACAATTTTTCTGAAAAGTTTGCCCCTGAACAACAATTTCTTACTCTCTCCAATTGTCTTCTTGGTGCTAAAACTTTGAGTTACTGTAAAAGGTGGAAATTTGAGGAAAAACTTTATTTCAAGAAAATTACCTGGAGATAAGTTTTAAACCATGAGTTCTATGCTGAAATCTGAGAACAGGGCAACTGTCCTCAATATATTTATGACAATTGATGATCCAACTCTCTCTAATCTTTGGCCCAAAAGCTCTTATCTTTTGCTGTTGTGTGTCAGACACCTGGGATATTCATCTACAGACACCTCCAAAACCATTTTAACACCCCCCCCCACCCTCTTTATAGACATAACAGAAAAGCTACCAAGCATGTTTTGCTGCCGAAACTTCATAGAAATGTGCAAGCCCTGCAAGAGATTACAGCGAAAATTATATCCAACAATGAATATTTTCGGTGACGTCACATGTTGGTGCTCTATTCTTCGTTTTCGTAAGGCGATTCCCTGATAAGCTAAAAAAATGCCAAAGTATGGAAATTATTAGCTCATCTCAGTTCTTCCAGTTATCGATAGAATTTTTGAAATTTTGTTTAAAATCAGATTAGTGATTTAAACAAGAAAATTCTTGGAAAGAAATAGCAAAATTTTCAATTTCAATATTGTCTTGATAAAAGAAGATCTGCTTCTTTAGTAATTTTGAAGTTTCAATCTCGAAGAATAATAAACGATATTTTAGAATTTATTTTCTCTTGTAGCACATTTCTTTCCTTCAATAAAGAATTTGACGTTGCTAACTGTTAATCATGGCAGACTTATATGTGTTCTTTTTTCTCTCTTGGCTTATTTGATACTTACGTAAGCAGTTGTAATAAACGGAGCTACAGCAAAAAATCTTGATATAAACTTCAATGTTCTACAGAGCCGCACTAGATGATGAATTAATATGGAAAGAACATGTAAACAATTTAGCCTTATGAATTCTAAAAGTATTTGCAGTTTAGAATTCTCTATAATATAAACTGTTTCCAAAATGAGAACTCTTAGAATATTATGTAATTCTTTTATTCAATCCATAGTCATAAGAGAAACTGTTGTCTTAGGATCATGCCCAATCTCATGTCCTTTATGGGATACTTAACTGGGGATGTGCTACCAACCAATTAAACTCTAGAATAAATAACGTAGCTTACGTAACGCGACCAGAAAAACAGACTCCCCACAAGTCATAACACATAGTGGTCCTGTCTTCAAACGTATCGTATTGTTTTGTGTTTGCTACCTAGCTTTCGAAGGTAGTTTTAGGGTACTGAAAAACTATGATCATTGAGCAGTGTCTTGGTCCTTCCTTTCGATGTGACCACACATCGTGATTCCTACGCCTGGAATTACAGAGAGCTGACGACTCTCCTCTCTCTGAGAGAAAGTTGGTCATGGGACTCGTACCACGGACCCTTGCGCGGAGTCAACGACCCTGACCACCAAGCCATCCTCGCTCAAACGTCTGAAACTTCTAATTTTGACAAACTCAAAATGCTTGAAGCAGAATAAACGAATAAAAAATGCTGGAATTGAATAAATAAAAGCATAAAATAAAGTATTTAAGACACAGGAACTTCCCTACGCAAAGATGTTGCATAACTACAGTAAAGGTCAACCCTCCCCTCTTGGCTCCTTTTATCTTGCTTCTCTTACCCCTTGGCCTCTATTACGCTTTTAAACATCTTTCAAATTCAATCTCGGATAAAATTGATGAGACAAAATGCAATTTATGCAATTTCTACTTTATATCGCCCCTATATATTCGAATCCCTTCTTTTCCCGAATCTCTGTTCGATTAGAAATCTATCACTTGCGCTTCGAAAACTTGCATTCAACATTTAATCGGGAGAAGGGAAAACGTTTTTTTAAGGAAACAGAAAACATAAACTTTTTTAAAAAATCTCGACCATTTTTGTCCGGAATTGTAGCTTGATAATATCCTTCAAAAGAAAAATGTAAAACTTTCTTTAAGAACATAAACTTTGTTACTAGCGTTTGTGTGTTAATTCTGACTACTGATAATTGCTCTTAATTTATTTAGTTCATTAAAAAGTTCTCACCTTTTTCATTTTATGATAAAAAATCATATTTGTATATTCATTTTGTTTGCTATTTCACCTTCTAAAAAATCAAAACAAAGTATAAATCTAAGCACAAAAATATATTTTAGTCCAAAATATTCATATATGTATATGTTCATTGTCTTCGGTAGTCTTTTCGCCAATGTTTCGTTTGTTTTATACTTTTTTCATTTGTTGCTGAACGTTTTATCAATCATAGATTGAAATGATCCTTCTACTGTATCTCAATAAAGCCCTTTTTCGGGATTATCAAAATGTAAAACAATACAGCAATATATTGTATGGTAAACAGCCATTAAAAGCAAGGCCCATGCTACCAATTCTAAACTGGGGGCCAGCGGTATAAAGAAGTTGTCTTTTTATCCCCCGAGCCTTCGTCGGGGCTAAACTTTTGCTGACTCTTTCTACCACTGCCACCGCAGGGGATGTTCTCTCGACTCTCGTGCGATACATAAATCAATGCAACATTCCTGTTGTGTTCCTGGTTCTTGGCCGCCTCCATAACACCAGTGTTACAGGTAATTTTGCATCTCGATTGTTTCTCAAGCACTTTTTTTTGTTTTTCAGGTAAATGTCTTGAACATCCATTAATGTTTTAGCTTTAAGTTACAACCCTTCAAATAATAAGAATTTCTAAAGAACGGCTTGGTAGTAGGCGGTCTGAGACCTTAGCCGAATGTGAGGGTCAAAAAGCAAAGTACACATTAAAGGCAATTGGCCTGCACGGCCTGCATCATTATGCAGTTAGACCACTAACCGACAAAAAGCTGGATAATCGCACAGTTTTCATAGATGAAGAATCTAAAGAATTCAAGAAACCTTGATCAATACTAAAAACCGCTATCAAAAATTAATAATTCATACTTGTCAAGCTTCTGTGGTCGTGCGGTGTCTTGTCCTAAGAGGTGGTTTTTTTATAGAACCACAAATTTGTGTATTAAACGGTGATTTAACAATAGAAAAACCATATCTTTTGTATTCATTGAACCTCGTTTTATTCAAAACAAACGCTGAAAACAAAATGTAAGCAGTACAAAGTAACTAAGAAATTGTTTTAGAAAGGTTCGCTCCAGTATACATAACATGGTAATGACCCACCCATGATAATGTCATTGATACACAACATGGTAATGTCATTGAAGGTACACCAAGGTTTAAAACTGATATTTCTGTTGCACCTGGCATTTTTGGGATTTGCCAACCCCCAACTAAGATGCAGGGATGGTGGTGCACCCAAGATCTTGTCAGAATCAACCATACCTTGCAAGCTGGGGTTCACAGAAGAACCACCAATCAAAACCTCTATCTATTTAGAGCATTGTTTAAAAATTATAACGCTTAATGCCATTTAACATTTTGCAGAATATTCAGAATTATACAGAATTTCTAACAACCAGCCAACTAATTAACTTATATTTCTAAAAATTTGCTTATATTATCTTGCTGTCTCACATACTTACTATGGTATCCTATCATTTGTATGTTTTTTAGGTTCACTATTAACAACTTCTAGACCCACTTCTGTTTTACTCTGGGCTTTTCAAGTAAACTTGCCTTGTTTCATTACAGGGCCAAGCTAAGACATGGGACTGGCAGAGAAACTGAAACACACTGTTTGTAGTGAAGTTGACAAAAGGCTTGCTGAGCTGAATGACATAAGTGAAAAGATATGGAAAAACCCTGAGCTTTGTTTTGAAGAGATTTATGCTCATGATTTGCTTACAGATATTTTGGAAAAAGAAGGCTTCCTTGTGTCCAGGAAGACCCCTATACCAACTGCATTCACTGCAGTTTATAAAAATGGTGATGGTATCAATGCTGGTATTGTTGTAGAGTATGATGCACTTCCTGGCATTGGGCATGCATGTGGACATAACCTAATTTCAGAAGCAGGCATTGGTGCTGCACTTGGTAATTTTTTATCTTTAGTAAAATTGTCCAGCAGTCTTTTTAAATCTACACACATGACAACATGCACAACTCCATTGATTATCAATTCATTTTAAATAGACTGTTTTCTGCCATGTTGAGCTTGGTATGTTTTATAAAAAGACCTGATAATATTCCTTTTTAAGAAATCCATTGTGATTTATTCAAATCATAGTTTATCTATATGCTTGTGATGGCATAGTCCAGGCTTATGCCTCAGATGCTGACTCAAGCAAATGATTTATTGAATTGAGTAAAATGCTGTTTATTTCAAAACATAAGAGTGAATTAAGGCTTCATGAAGTGCATGCAATCATTTTTTAACAGTTATTTGTATCCAATTACAGACCCTAGATGCAATGTTCAGGTTCAGCTTATTACCTTAATGCCTGTTGCAACACTTGGCAAAGTTAAAGGAAGTGAAAAAATTTGCTACTTGCCTTAAGCAATTGAGCAGACTTACCTTGCCATGTTGCTAGACAAAATCAAAAAATATGTTTTCAATAAGGACTGTGATAATTTTGTGATTATACACAGGACACACTCATAAGTCAGTTTTCTACCTAATTTTTGTGGCATGGTATTATAACAAGTTTGCACAGATTTAATGACAAATAAAAATAGGTTTAAATGTAACAGGACTGAATTTTATGCTCATGTTATTTATTTCCATCATTTCAGATTAGAATGAGATATTTTGCTAATTCAAAGGATAGAAACATCAAAAGTCAAGAAAAATAGAAAACATGCTGATACTGTAGCTGTGATTTAACAAAATTTGTTATATTACCATGCCACAAAAGTTGGGTAGAAAACCGAATTCAATGTATTCAATCCAGTATCCTACACGTTGGTGTCTAAACAGAGGACAGGTTGTAAGATCAGTGGGCTGGTACTAGCTGTCTTATCTTGCTGTTAAAAATGAGGGTCATTGTGGTGAGTAGGATTGGGTGGTTTGAGAAAAATGAAAAAAAGGAACTAGCACTTGTAACTAATGCTGCTACAAAAAGAGAATGTTAAAATAGCTGACAGCATCTGCTTTTGACATTTCAGTAATACGAGGCTGCTTTTGCAATTGGAGAGATTTTGGCACAGAGTTGTTTTCACTTGAGTTTTCTAGTCCTCTCTGTCCGCTCATCCTCTTCAAGGATGTTCCATCCTTCATCATCTGTTGTAATTTGCTTGCTTATTAAACAGAAAAAGTTTTTGCAAGTCTGATCATGTTGCCATAGAACTAAATGACTGTTAGGTTGAAACTTGGCAAATTAGCAACCTGTATAGAGCATTTGTCAAATTTTTGAATTTATATGTGTGCAATGGTGATTTTAAAGTTTTACATGGCTTTGTTCCTCTTTGTCATACTCTGTCTCTGTTATTCTCATATATTAAGCATCCTAAACTAACAACCGATATAGCAAGTTTACTTATATTTACTGATTAATTTTTAGAATTAATAATTGCTTTTCATTTAAAATTTGTAGGAATCAAAGCAGCACTCATGTCTGGTGAGATAAGTGGCCAGTTAACTGTATTTGGCACACCTGCAGAGGAAGGTGGAGGGGGGAAATGCATCATGATACAGCATGGATGTTTTGACGATGTTGATTTTTGTATTATGGCTCACCCATATGTTGAGGATATTATCTACCACCCAGAGCTAGCATTTGAACATATCCAGATAACATATCATGGTGAGGGTCTTCTATAACTAAATGTCATCGATTGCAAGGAACTGTCTTTAAATCACGAGAAGTTCAAGTCATTGCAGATATTCAAGCTATTTAGCATTGTATAGCATGTTTCGCCATCCAGTTCTTTTTATCAATCTTTGTGTGATGATTGTGGCCAAAGTGAATAGGTGGACAGAAATGAGGGTGTCTCCTAGCCATGTCCTTCAGAATTCCAGGCAATGCAGTAAACATCAATTTAGAAATTTAATATCCAGCCAATCAGCATTTTTGCAGATGTGGGAATTTTCAAAAAAAAATTGAAATGGAAAAAGACTACCCTATTAATTGAAGAAGGCAAATTTATCTATCCAAATTTGCAGTAAGTAGCATTTAAATACATTTATTAGATATGTTCATGGTTGGCAACAAACATAGTCCATAACTTTTTATTGGATTTTGAGAGATAGAACAATTAACTAAGGAAAATGTAATCTGATATTTACCTTGCCAACAGGAAAAGCATCACATGCATCAGTTGCACCATGGCTAGGTTTAAATGCACTGGATGCTGTCGTTCAATGTTATAATAACGTGAGCATGATGAGACAACAAATGCTACCTGAGTGCAGAGTCCATGGAATAATAACAAAAGGAGGCGAAAAGCCTAACATTATTCCTCAGCTCTGCCAACTTGAGTACTTTGTACGAGGTACTACAGATGAACAAAGAGATGAACTGAAGAAGAAAGTCCTTGCATGTGCTCAGGCTGCATCAGTTTCAACAGGTTTGTTTTTGTTGCTTTTCTATGATAAAGCATTGCAAGTATAATTTGTTTTAGCAATGACAGTTAATTAATATACTGGTAAATAAGTTGTCTTTCAACGGTAAAATGGTCCTTATCCCAGATACCTTATGGAAATCCGTCAAAAGCTGCCTCTATAAGTAAATATTTGTTTGTATCAGGAGCGATTGCAGAAGCCACCTTAACAACCCATGACTGAAAAGAAAACAACGTCTTAAGGACTCAAGGCTGAACTCCTTTCTCAGTTTTGCTACGTCAAATTTTCTTGCTTGAAGAAAGTTGACAGACCAATTGTAGTCACTCAAACTTGTTATGGGGAAGTTTATCCGAAATTAGCAAAATTCTCCGAAAAGTATCGAAAACAAACTTAACAGACCCAAAATTATGATAGGGCCCAAAAGAGTAATGATAGGGCCCAAAAAATGTAAAAATCAAAATCTTTTTGCTAAGCACATAAGAAATTATATAGTCATAGATATAGTCAACTGAGCACATATAGTCATAGATATTTACTATATGATATTTACTTTAATCACTGTTTCCTATCAGTTCAAAATCAGTTTGAACACATCTGTTTTTTTATTGTTGTTTTGGATATTGTTTTGTGTTAGTTGGACCCATAAGAATCAAAAAGCTTATATTGTTAAAACAGCTACCCAAAGGTAACAGATCTAGAAGAAAACTCTCACCCTGTATATTTAAAGGTCAAGTGACCACCTTTGCTGGACCCGTTTAAATCCTCTTGCAACTTTAGAAGAATAATTTAGGTAGTGCATGCTAATAAACACAGGGGTTAAAACACTGAGTTTTGATGCCACCAATGTTCATCAACCTTTGGAAGGACGAATGTTGATTTGAACGAATTCAGGTTATCAATTCGCAAGAAGCTTTACCTCGGAGACATGATACTTGGCGTAAATTATTACTAACTCGTAATTATTCTCTGACCAAGGTACAGTGTATTCTCTTTCACTGTGCCTTGACCAACGTAGAGCTGTTCTTTTTTGGATCATCTTTCTCGCTTATGTACAATCACTTCCAAAAGTCTTGGAACACTAACGTCAGGTTTCAAAGGCAAATTCAGCCACCCCCTCTCCCCCTAAGAACAATGTTGATCTACTGTAAAAAAAGGCAGGTATTGTGGAGTACGCTTTTTCGTGTGCCTTGTATGATATTTTTCTATGCTTTCAACATTGTTTTGGGGGGAAAGGGGGACGGAAGTAGTTGTATTCGGGAAAACAAGTTAAAAAATAGAAAAGCACAGCGCAAAGTGTTGGGTGTTCCAAGTATCTTTGGCAGCGATTGTACAATTTATAGCAATCGTTGCACTACTTTTATCGTTGGAGTCAAGCTATTAAATAAAGGTTTATCAAATAAATTTTATGTATACATTGATGCCCAAGTCAAATAGGTTATTTGATCAACGGTAATGCGCATTGTTAGTACCATAATGTATCTCAAGCTTAAAATAACATAGAAACATTAATTGAAATAAGCATTAAAGCATTCAAATAAGTGAAATTTTGCAGCCTCAAATCTTATCAAAGATGTGTAAACTGATATTAAAATAATATTTTATGAATTAGTTGATGTACTTAAGAATAAATAGCGTTTATATTGCTATTTATTTTTATAGATTTTTATTTTATTGCTCTTGTTCTTGTACTTTAGTATTTTTCATCGTATTTCAGTCATCACTGGCAGCCATGGCATAATACTATATTTTATTTGAGACTTTTATTAACCTTTGTACCATGATTTGCGAGAGCTTTCGTACAAAGGAAACATTGTTATGACATTGGCCGTAAGTAACGTTTGTTAAATATGATTTGGTTGCTACAATAAAGTAATCACAAGTTACAAAAAGTTTTTTGAATAATCATGGCATGTCAAATAACCAAGGTAGAATAAGCATGTCTCGTTTTATGAAACTTAATTTTGCCTTTTGAATGTCTTAACGTATATTTCTGTATACTCCACAATCGTTTCGTTCATTTAGGTTGCAAGATGGAACAAAAAACTCTTGGCCACCCGTATTCAAACATGCTGATAAACAACTGCCTTGCAAAGCTGTTTGAGCAAAATGGCCTAAAACTGGACATGCACTTCAAGGAAAATCCTCCAAATATGGTTGGCTCAACAGATATGGGCAATGTTTCCCATTTGAAGCCCTCTATACATCCGATGTTCAAGATACCTACAGCTGGTGCAAACCATACGGTTGCGTTCACTGAAGCTGCAATCAAACCAGAGGCCCAAGACCCAACAATCAAGATAGCCAAATGTATGGCAATGACGGCAATCGATGTTCTTTGCGACAGAAAGATACTGGATGCAGTAAATCAAGATTTTCAAAATAATTCATAACGATTTTAGATTTGTGTAATGCATTATTTATACTAACTTTTTAGTGTTTTTAACCATGTGAAAATTGAGATAGAATCTTTTTTAATGTAGAATTCATGTCTTGATTATGTGTTTTTTTTTGTTATTTCCTTTTCTTTGTAGCCTATGAATGATTTGAGTCGTTTTAATACATTTAGCTGTGTTGCAGCTTTTGTGCAAAGTTCAGAAATGTGCGGTTCAAAAATTAATTTTCTTGTCATGTTTGGCACCTAGTAGTTTCACTTTTTTTCGGATCCCAGTCACTTTTTCTGAATATTTAGATATATTCCATAAACATTTGTTCTATACAATAAGGGCATGAATTTCAATGGGGCCTGCAATCGTTTGGTTTTTGACTGAGCAACATTTTCTTTCTTCCTGTATCTTCATCAGGTTAAGGTAATGTCTTTGAAAGTATGTCAATATTTTTAAGATTAAATGTACACACCAAGAAGAATAGGACAAATGACAGACCCTTGAAAACCTCTAGCTAGGCATTAGAATTAGACAGACGACTTTATCGGACCGTTAGGCATTGAATTGTCAGTGACCTGATCGTATGCACCATTTTTAGTCAAAATAAGTAATAAATTCCCACCAGTGGTCGAGCCTACCTCTAATGAAACCCCAAAAGCATTCCTTTATGCCAAGCAAACCATCTCAAATTTTTTTGGTATTTCATTGAAAATTGATCAACGCAAGTTATGAAGTGATGTAGGTGACCAACAAGTAAGAACTTCTTCTACATTTTGAAGAAGTGACAGTTGATTATCAAATGTGCTTGAGTTATTTAGATTCCGGCAGATGTCACCATCAAAGTCAGAGTGATCTTACTAATCTTCGTCGTAAATAGTGTTGACAGTAAGTCTGGAGCAATACAATTCTTCAATTATTTTATAAAAAGTAATAGGGCACTTAGCTTTGACTTTCATAACACGATAGTACTTTAGAATTCAGAACCCTTGAGATAATATCGATTTCAAAAAGTATTGACAGTGAGTCTGGAGCAAAACAATTCTTCAATTATTTTATAAAAAGTAATAGGGCACTTAGCTTTGACTTTCATAACACGATAGTACTTCAGAATTCAGAAACCTTGAGATAATATCGATTTCAAAAAGTATTGACAGTAAGTCTGGAGCAATACAATTCTTCAATTATTTTATAAAAAGTAATAGGGCACTTAGCTTTGACTTTCATAACACGATAGTACTTCAGAATTCAGAACCCTTGAGATAATATCGATTTCAAAAAGTATTGACAGTGAGTCTGGAGCAATACAATTCTTCAATTATTTTATAAAAAGTAATAGGGCACTTTGCTTTGACTTTCATAACACGATAGTACTTTAGAATTCAGAACCCTTGAGATAATATCGATTTCAAAAAGTATTGACACTAAGTCTGGAGCAATACAATTCTTCAATTATTTTATAAAAAGTAATAGGGCACTTAGCTTTGACTTTCATAACACGATAGTACTTTAGAATTCAGAACCCTTGAGATAATATCGATTTCAAAAAGTATTGACAGTGAGTCTGGAGCAATACAATTCTTCAATTATTTTATAAAAAGTAATAGGGCACTTTGCTTTGACTTTCATAACACGATAGTACTTCAGAATTCAGAACCCTTGAGATAATATCGATTTCAAAAAGTATTGACAGTGAGTCTGGAGCAATACAATTCTTCAATTATTTTATAAAAAGTAATAGGGCACTTTGCTTTGACTTTCATAACACGATAGAACTTCAGAATTCAGAACCCTTGAGATAATATCGATTTCAAAAAGTATTGACAGTGAGTCTGGAGCAAAACAATTCTTCAATTATTTTATTAAAAGTAATGGGGCACTTAGCTTCGACCTTCATAATCTAGTCAAATCGAACCTAGCTCTTTAGTGACCTGAACAAATAGGTGACAATTGACCAACTTGTTTAAAAACCATTCAAGAAAGGACTTTAAAAGCTCTAAAAACTTAGACCACGCACTTAATGTAATAGCGTATAACAATTTATTGTATCAACAGCTTTCAAATAGTTTGCGAAAGCCATTGAAGTAATTTCATTTCATTCCTTGGCTTGCACAATCAAATCTTAAATGCCTTGCTGTTTAGATACCCTTGACTGTAGTTTTCTTACTTCACGAAGTCTTTCCTTTTTTTATTCTTTCGATGAGTTTATCAATCTGTCAGCGATAACATTACAACTTTTTACATCAATAGTCAACATCAACTTTTTACATTAACACAATGCTAGAGCACAAAAAAAAGTTTAAAAAAGGTTAATATGCCCCAAAAACTCTATATTACACAGCTTTGAAAGTAATTTTAATAAAACATTAATGGAACTTTCAAAAATTACGCTCTTCGCCACCCGGCAACATTACACAGAGCTTTCTTTTTTGCGCGTTTAAAACTAGATCCAGTCTTTTTTCAATTCAAAGGGGGTATGGAGATTGTCCCAAATTCTCGTGGAATTATCAACGAAAATTGCAAATATTTTACGAAGGCAAAAAAAATACATGGCCCACTTCATGGCATCAGAAAATTATGGACAGATTTGCCGGGGGGTAGTGTAAAGTGTGTGTCAGCCCCCAACATTATTGTTTTTTCCTATAAATTTTGCCTTGATTCGAAAAAAAGTATTTGTTGGTAGCCATTGTATCAGTAGTCATCGGATAATGCAAAAAGCATTTTTCTATCTTCTTATCTTCTTTATCAATAAAACTAAAAACTGAATATTAAACATGGGTGTTTCCATCATTTTCAAGGTACTGCGAGGGTGTGGCACCTAAACCCAATCATTATCAATATTTACAACCCTTGCTGCCAATATCCGTCCTTTGGTTGTACATCACTTCAACTTTGTGATAGAAATAAACAGGAGCACCGCTTGATTCTTTAAAATCATCGGCAAAAATGTTCTACGCAGATAGTCTATAACCATTTGATGAAATGCAAAGAAAATAACTTGCAAGTTGCAAAAACGGTTGGCAGACCAGCGCATTTGCAATAACACATTGTAACAAACCTCTAAATTTTGCAAGATAGCAATTCACTTTTTGAGATGCAGCTATGCATAACTAGGCTAGGCTGCCATGTTTGCAGTAACAATACTTCCTCAGCATTGGGTATTTGTCTTGCAAGCATTTTGGTTGGTCCCCGTATTTGTTTATACGACTTATTATTGGTTCGTCAAAAATTTTATTCTCTTTCGTTTTCAGGGAAACTTCAAAGGTTGCATTACTTGGAAAAGCGGATAATACCAATTGGTAGCTTTTTAATAAATTCACTCCTTTCCCAAATACAACTTTCCCCTCATCAGATTTTGCCGTTTTGGCTGTTTCTCTAAATTCTTGAACCGCCTTTCTTGGCATACTCGTTGCAGCCCGATGTATGTCTTTCAATGCAAGTCTTTCACATTTTCGAAATGCTTCTGGATTTTTCCACAAGAATTCCCTATTAACGAACTGTATAAAACTTCTTGCAACAGCGATAACTTCGGGGTCTGTCGTGTTCAGTTCAGTAGATTCGAGGCAAGGACACCAATGTTCCTTCACGCCTGCCGATTCACAAACACGTGTTGTTTCGTCTATGACTGTGAACAGACTTTGGCCAATAGTTACCTTGGGATGGTATGGATAAGTAAAGAAATGTTTCAGAGTTGCATGTAGGTCAAAGTGTGATGTAAGCACTTTCGTATTATGTCTCATTGCTGTCTTGAATTGCGGTTGCTTTTCAAGTAGTTTTGATGGCATTGTTATAGAAAGAAATGGTAACCTCTCTTCCAATTTTCCTGTCAATGTTTCGCGAAAATTTCCATATCTGGCTCCATGGTCACTTAAAAGAACAAGCACAGTGTCTGCTAGATGCCCAGCTGCTTTCATTTCTTTAAGAAATGACAGAAGAGGGTCTTCGAGACTATAAAGTGTTTCCATGTTATTATGAAACATCGTGGACAAGAAAGTCATTGAGAACTTGGGCAGTACTTTGTACTTCTCGTGAAAATCTCGTAAATAGTTTAAGCTAGTTACAAATATAGGGTTGTTTCCATGACAAGCCCTAGTCTTATTTTTTTGTATTTTTGCATTCAGCCAAAACACTCTGCTGTAATGGTCAGTGGGTGGTTTTTCAAATCCTAGCAGGCGATAACTAAATGCTCCAAACCAGGGATCGTCTTCGTTGAACATTGTAGCATAGCCTCGTTGGATAAAATCTTTGAATATGAACGGCCATTTATCAACCGGTTCGGCACCCCTGTAACCACGACGACTTTCTCCAAAATCACATTCGAATCCTCCAGCAAGTATCGCACTTAGCTGTGCTGTTGTTCCATCTCCTACAATTGTGTGACCATCGAAGATAAACGTATTTTTATCGTTTTTCAGATAGCTGTAAATCTTAGGCATCCTTCTCTTCCAATGAGAAGCAGATTGAGAATCTACCATAAGCAAAGCTATGTTGTATGGCAACTTCGCTTCGATCTTTGTCAACTTTGCTCTTTTGAAAACGTCGTTCTTCTCCACTATCCCTGCATGAAATTCCTCATATCTTTTATTGTCCTTTGTAAACGTTACCCTTACGAAATCCTCGCTAAGTTTCAATTGAAAGTCAACAAGGCCCCCAGAAGGGATCGGAATCATCGTTTTCTCGCCATACTGTACTCTGTTGTCATTGTTAACAGGCCGCCTGATATACTCGTAGTATGCATTTGAAACACCATTTAGTTTTAGATACAAATGTCCATTTCTAACGCTCGAGAAGTACTCTTTCGGACAAAATATTTTTGATACCTTTCCTGTAGAGATGTACCTAAGTATTTCTTGTGCAAATGGATTCAGCTCCGGTAACTGGCAGGCACGGTGAAGTGCTTTCGCATTAGCTGCAATAGGATGCTTTGCCTTCCGCCTCGTCTTTGGTTGTTCCCTAAAACTTATTATAACGACAACTAAAATAAGTAAGAACATAATTTTGTAACATTTGCTTTTCCAATATGCCCGCATCGTTCCCGTGGTGTGACCTGTGTGGCATCCGTTAAATGCCAAAACAATACCTGAAGTACACAGGACATTAAATTCCGGGCAACTAAATCCTTGATGCTGAATTTGAGGCTGAAATTTACTAGATATTAAAAGGCAGTATGCCCCCCATTGTTTTCATGGTCACGATATTTATGCATCGTTGATTTAATGCACAAAAACAATAAGAATGAAGAACCACAAAAACGCAATTTCCTCGAGCGAGGAGCTGCTATGAATTTCGATTCGGAAACGTCTAAGTCAGTTTCGATGATATAAAGATTAGGCAATTTTTGTCGTGTACACCAACAATAACTAGTGTCGGATACTAAAAAGGCAAAGGAAGACCCTCCTTTCAGGCGAGGCTTTCAAGTTAGAATTAGCCAATCACGAAGGGGACAGACTGCCTTTAAAAGCACTATGTCTGGCCAGTCAACCGTTCGGAGTTAGCGCGTATTATTAAAAACCATTGAGAATGGGTCTTACGTTTGCCGATTTGATACATAATAATACGTTAATTGTACAGTCCATCCAATGGGAATTTTAAAGGCATTGAGTCATGGTAAATACTGGTTCTCCGCGGGGGGTTTGTCTGTTTCCATGTGATAAGTTTGTGTTCATGTGATCAGCGATCAGCGATGTGATTTGTCGAAAGCGAAAGGCATTTGAAAAGCCTTTGTGGCATTTGAAAGGTAAAATGGGGGAAGAAGTTTTGAAATCTTTTTTAGAGAGCAAGATAAAAGAGAGAGAAAGAAAGAACCTTTAGAAACAAAGATGGCGGAACAAAGAGCACTTACAACATCGTGTGTGCAGTTTGCTTGACAGCCAATCAGATTAGCGAAGCTATCATTTGGACTCAGCAATTTTTGCAATTTGGGTATACGCTTCCTTTTCACCATGACTCAATGCCTTTAACTTGGCACTAAAATGCCTTGGGACTATTGAGAAAATTATCCGATCTGTATTGTCATTAGCCTAACTATTTGTTCGTTGAATTTCCATTATCTTTGAACTTAGAAAAGTGTGACAAATTAGAAGAGGTGACCAATAACAATTAAGGTATCTCTTTTGTTACGAAATGACTCAAGAGTTTTCGGTTTTAATTTAGTTGCACAAGATTGATTTTAACCCACGTATTAGACCCCTTCGCCTCGCCTTACAGATTCAAAAAAATATACCTTCAGAAAGTCTACTCACGTATGGACTTCAATTACATGACAATAATCTTAAATATAGCTCTTTGACACTGTTGCTAACTCTTTTATAAAGCAAAATCAAATGACGGCTGGACTGGGTCTACGTACCCCAGTCCAAAAATATCGTTTGGGAGCAAATCTCAGTTGGGGTCTGTTTCTAAATGTATTTAGCGCATCAAACTACGAACCAAGATAAAATGAGATGTAACAAATTATCATACTTTATCATAATTATCATATTTATAAGATATAACATATTTCATCTTGATATAACAAATTCTAGCTCTTTATCGTTATTTGTAGTAGAGTTGTAGTTTAAACCTTTTTAGGAGTGGGTCCAAGTACCTCAGTCTAAAGGTAGCTTTTGAGAGTATATTCGTGTTGGGTCTTAGTCTTACCTTTTTCAACGAATTAAACTTCCCATCTTCATCACAATTTAGTTCTTTATTCTAATTTTCAGGGATTTTATGGTGGATTGTTCAAGGTCCGAGTACCCCGACAAGCAAATAGCAGTAAGGGACAAATTATAGTTGGGGCTTGACCCTTATCGTTCTCAGTGCATCAAGCTATTCTTAACGAAATTCAATTCTTTATCTTTATTTACAGTGGAGTTATGATGAATGGACTGGGTCCGAGTAGCCCACTCAAAAATAGCATTCAGGGGCAAATTTGAGATAGGGTCCGACTCTTATCTTTTTTCAGCGCATCAAACTGGGTAGGTGTGTGAAATTTCATGCTGGTATCACAATTTGCATGATCAATGTCATTAGAGCCACCACTACTGAAAGAATAGTCTTTTGAAAAGATCTTGCATTTTTGCTTTTTGAAAGGGTTGTAGGGCATCTAAAACTTGAAATAAGTTTACCAGGGCACTGATAGAGCCAAAAATGCTACAGCCCCCCCCCCTAAAATTTCCACAATGTACTTGAAACCATACAAAATCGTCTGTACTTAGTTTTTATCATGTTTAGCTTCCTAAAACCTTTTGGCCCCCTCAATTTGTAATATTCTCCACGGTCCTTGCAAACATACCAAAAGAAGCGCAGCCATTCCTGCTTCTAGAGCAAAGAAACATTCAAATATCTTGCCTTTCGTACATATAAAGATTACTTTCGTTTTAACGGATTGTCGATGAAGTGCGCGTACTTCAAGTTTGCATGGTCAGTGAGAGTATTTCACATTGCAAATGCGTTGCTTGATTTAATCGTACATTTGCATTTTCCAAAGCTACCCGAGTTTTTGTTTTTCACACAGGACCAGAATAAAATTCAGATTCATTGCCATATTCACGGGAAGTATTTCTCCTTTACAATGGTATGCAGTCTTCTGTTCGATGTTTAAAACTTTTGGATTTTATGAACAATTGTTCATGATACGTAACGTTAGGGCTTGGTGTTTTTATAAAAAAGGGGTGCTTCATCGAAAACATGCGGTTGCCGGTCGTGGCTCGTGGGTCTTGGGTGCTGGGTTCTGGTTCCTGAGTCCTCGATCCTGAGTCCACGGTCCTGGGTCCTGTCTTAAGGTCCTTGTTTTCCGGTATGCCTTCAAAGAACTGATCGAAGGGTGTGGCTCGTCCTTTGGTTCTTATATCGTACATAAAAATGCCACATTCTAGTTTAAAACTACTGTTAAGATTAAGTCCTCTTAGTTCACTAAAGATGGGTTTAGCGCTTGATGTAAAATTTCAAAATTTCATTACCCTTAAAATTTTCTTAAGATTACGTTGTATTGACTCTGTAGCTTTTTCAGCAGCAAAGCAGCAATTAATAGGTCCATAATTAACATGTGGTGCAACAAAGGCAAATTAGAGGTTTCGTGGGATTTGAAGTGGGACAAAATGTCTTACTTTGCAAGAGCACAAATACCTCTTTAGAGTATCAACTTAGTATTATCTATTTGCTATTGGCTGATAGGTGTTTAACACTTGACATAATATTTTTGCATGCTTGATTCATTATTAATTAACAAATTAATTTTTGGTGAGTCTTTTTTGCGGGAAGGAGGGATAATCATAAAGTTTGATTTTCCAACATTCAGGGTAAGTTTGTTTGCATTTAACCAATTTTAAATTTTAGTTAATTCGCTGTTGACAAGATTTTTTAGCGTCTTTAGTTTATAATGTGAGCAAAAAATACTAGTATCAAACAGGTAGAATTTGAGAATGTTAAACGCAAAGGGCATATCGTTGATACAAATAAGGGAAAGAAATGGGCCAAGGATGCTACCTTGTGGTACTCCACTGGTAATTTTAGATGAATTTGATAATCGTTCATTGATTGAGACCTTTTGTATTCTATCATTCAAGTTTTATTTGAACCAATCAACGGCAATTCCTCTGATGCCATAATGGTCTAATTTGGCAATTAGTATGTTGTGGTCAACAGTATCGAAGGTTTTTGCTAAATCGAGGACAATACAACAGGGAAAATTCTTAGTTTCGATTGCATTTGCATGTTGATTGTAAAAGTCTAATATAGTTTGGGGTGTGGATTTATTTTCTGGAAAAAAATTGATGTTCAATTATTATTTCAGGTCTATCTAGAAAATTTGTCAATCTTGCATGCATTAGTTTTCAAAAATTTTGCTGAAAATAGATAGTAATGATATGGGCCGGTAAATTTTTACTTCAGATGTTGACTTTGCTTTATGGACAGAAATTATTTTGACATACTTCAACCTTTTTGAAAACACCCTAATAGATCTAATTAACTGATTTAGTAAGTTGGTCAGTTAAAGCATCGCTAACACACCTGATTAAGTTTACTGGTATGTCATAAGTCAAGTTCGAGGGTAGCCTCGTATTTAAATCATAAGAATTTGCGCCTTTGTCTTCGTATAGAGATGTTGACAGGTTATTTACTTCTGAAGGTGCAACTGGTGAACTGAAAAATGATTCACTGTAAATATTTTCTAGATAATCCATAAAGTTTATACTTAAAGTGCTAAGCTTACTGCCAAGATTTTTTGCTTTTTTAGAGAAAAAATTATTAAACTTGCTAGCTACTCCTTTATCAATTAAACTCACAATAAATCTGTGACAATAAGCATGTCTTGGGGTGTAGTGGTGAAGGGAAACAGTGTGCAGTCCCATATTTTAAAATATTTAAAAAAGGAGGGGCGGGGGTCAGCTCCCTAACTGTTTGTGCTTCGATAAAAAGATAAATCCTTTAGAACATAGAAAGCTGTGGTATTGCTTCACTACAGATCAGTCATTGGCGAGGTATAGTACTCAGAGTTGATATAATTGGTACTTTATACTCATCACACAAATGTACACATATTCCTGCAACAACGTTTCATTGCTCAACCATGGATAGCAATGGTTGTACCATGGTCGCCAATGGTACTTGGAGCATCTTTGCCCATGGTCAACAACGATGGTTCGCCAATGGTTGTACTTGTAACAATCTTTAAAAGTTTTGAATGTTTCTAATTGTTAAATTATACAAGTTTGGAGCATTCTGTCATTGTTGTGTTGCTTTAAGATAATTAGAAATTAATAGATGCAACTTTTCTATCTTTATACAATAACCATGTTTCTTAATAGCAAGTTGAATTCCAACTTCTATTTCAACTGACGTGATAATTCATATGACAAAAATCAGTATAATGGCATTCCAGTTGAGACAATCCATGTAATTACGACAAAATAAGTGTACTCAAGATATCCCAGGTAAGCAGTGGCCGATTAACCGACACAAGGGCCTGGGACCTAAGCTATTTTAGGGGCGATTTCTGCCAAGAACAAGAATATCATATTGTAAAAAAGAGTTAACGTCATTAACCATTATTGCAACAACAGGCTTAGATGTACGACAATCATAAATTAAGATAAAATCTATTTAGAGCAATGTCAAACAATGAGTTTACACAATTACGTCACTTATACATAGACATCTTTCCCTTTTTTCGAGATTTTAAAGCTGCAAAGTCAGAAATAGTTTCATCTACCTAAAGCATGTCCAGTTTACCATGTTTAATGCTTAGAAATGACAGGGTACCCAATTGAGTCTGACATATCGTCG